TATATGAATCTACTTTCTGTTACCTGGTTGCAAAAAAATTGGCCCAAATTATAATAAACAACTTTTCTAAACTAATTAACCATCAAATATAGTTTTAGCTATCATCACTACAATTAAGCTCTAAATACAAGCAATTAACTGAGGAAGACAGTTGATAAATTGATAATTGATAAGAACATACAAAAGAGAAAGGAAAAGAAATCCATGATGACAATTTATTGAAATGAACACAAAAAAAATGTTTTAAATTATAAATCACCGATTTTTTAATCTATTAAATTTATTGTACCAATTTAATAAATTTTTGGTTGTAAAAAAGTTGGAATGTCAAAATTTCTGTCGATTTTCCTCTTTTTTCGTCTCATTTTACCATTGATAATTCGAAAATTTGGCAAATTAAATAAAATTATAAATTTTATTGGATTTTCGAAATGTAGAGAAAGTCACAGAGAAAAAATGAAAAAATTTACCATTGCACGATAAGTAACAGTAAGTAAAGTAATGTAATCTAATCAATCTGCATAGAATGTTTGAGCAGCGTGGCGTAGAGCGCCAGGGGGACTTCATCCTCAGCGCCATCTGGCCTTTAATCGCCAGTGGCAAATTTCTAATTTAATTTTGGCATGAATCGATGGTAAAAGACCTTGATTTTAAATTGCTTGCAACAAAAATGTTCTAAGAATAAAAGCGAGAAGGAGAGAAAGGAAAAATAATCAGACAAATTTTAATAGTTTTATTAATTGATGCAACAAGAGGGCGATGTCCTGAAGCAATGCAGCCAGAAGCACTTGATTCCTAACTATTTCATCCTAACCTCAGGATCTTACGCAATCGTCGAATGAATAGAGTACTGCGAGATTATATCCACGAGCTCGAATCATGTCGCCACAAGATATCTTATGCCTTATTTAGTACCTGCCATAAAAAATGATGATCGCTAAATGCACAATATTTTGAAGGATATCTTTATAACTAGGTAAGGCAAATGGGAGAACTCAAACTAGCCAAGTAGAATTTTGTATGCATAGGAAGAATCGAGAGGTTTTGGTGACACTCTCATTTGCAGTTGAGCCAGCCTAAATATCTATAGTGCACCTGGTTTGGAGGAGAAATCGCAACCTGTGAAAGCTCTTTAATTGCTTAATCCTTTTCCAGTGGCTCAAAGTTCAACATATAACAGGACAAGAATTCTGTAAACATGTAATTCAAATGTTTTTTTATAAAATCTGCAAAAATCATCAATTCAACCATGAAACTTTGCATAGAAAATTTAATGTCCAACGAGCGGTTCATGAAATATTTTCTGCCTATATCTATGAAATTTTATATCATATTTTTTATTTTCTATAGAAGATTATAAAACCGGTAAATTTTTTCATATTGTGTAATATAACCTTAATTAATGAAAATATTTTCCGAATTGCAGTCTTCCTTCTTCATCGCAACATCATCTTTTCGTTCATTTTTATCGTCATAGAATCGTCATTTTAATAATTTTACATAAATTATGAAAAAATTCGTCCTAAGAACGAGCAGAAAGCTATATTCTAATACAGTCTTTGACATCCCCTTAAAATTCATTGTTTTTCTTTAAAATTCGTTAAAATTCTGCTGTACTATTAATACCACTCTGGTTAAAGCACATTGTAATTCGACGTTGCTGTTGAAGGGAATAACAATACTGGAAGAAGCATGTAGCAGCCTTCAGTGAAATCTACGATGGCGAAGTCACAAAGCTGATGACGTGCAGTTTAAGAGGAAGTTACTGGTGCATTACAGCAGAAGAGAGCAGCGGGGTTTGACGGGATTATATAGGGAACTAAGGGGAGTTACGAAAATATTAAGGAAGCATTCAACGTGATTTGTGGAGATTTATCATGAATTTTGCAAATTATTTTATGAAGTTACTACTCTTAGCAAGCACCAAGTTTGATTCCCGCAGCTTAACGAGAGCAGATCTGTCATTAAAACTCGAATGTAAGGGGTTATGGGTGGCAATTTTTATTTCTAGTCACACTTTTTAAAAAAATCCTACTTGTACCCACTGGAGCCAGTGTAACAACCAGAAATACTGCATGCTAACCACTTATTTATTTTTTTAATTTATCGGCACTGATTTACCATTTTCCTCGTACTGCACCATTTACATATACTTCTTTTTCTTGTTCTAACAGGTCTCCATTACTGGTTAGGCTGGCTCTAACGGCTACAAGGGTAAGACGCTTCCAAGCGGCGCTGTCTGATGCCATCGTCGACAGTAATGGAAGCCATTCCTTTTTCCATCGTCTAAGTCCATATATTGCTGGTCTACCTATACGTTCAAAATCTTTTCTCACCGTATCAGTCCAGGTCTTGATTGGCCCACCTCGCTTTTGACGCACCGTTACACGGTTTAGCAAATAACGAAATATGCGTCAACTCGTGTGGTGGACGACGGAGAATGTGCCCTAACCAGCGAAGGCAGTGATAACATTATTTATGCAAGTAGTATTTGAACGAAGGTGGATGCGATGTAGTGAGATTTTATCCACTTGGCGAACCCGTAATATGTACCTTAGACAAGAGTGGTCAAAGGCAGATAACTTCTTAATATCCTCCACTCTCATTGGCCATGTTTCAGAACCATATAATAAGATCGAACGGATCACGGCAATATAGATGCGGACTTTCGTTTTTATGGTGATTTCACGACGATTCCATAAAGGTTTCGTCAATCGGAAGAACGCATTTCTAGCTCCCGTGATCCGAGTTATAATATCATCTTTTGCCTGTCCATTTGGTATTAGAGTGGACCCAAGGTATTTGAAATCAGGCACTTCCTCAACCGGCACATATACAGAAAAAATAAACCTTTCATTGCATCTTGCTTACTAATGGCTTGGCTGCTTGGCTCATTTGCAATTTTTCCCAGAATTTGAATGACATTAGTATGTTAGTTTGCAATGTGAATGAAAAAGAAACCGAAATTCTGCGAAGTGGATATATCTATTTGCGCAATCTTCATAACACCTTACATATTCTGGCTTAAAAAACACTTTAATTACTTATTTTATTTATATCAAGATAATTGTCATCGATATAATCGAGACTAAGGTTCGATTCCGATCAATGTAACCTGGAGTGGCAGAGCCAGTTAAAGGAAAAGGAAGAGGAAAGCAGAATCGTTGCTTAATTCTAAGCGCTGATGCTGAGGTTCAATTCCCGGTATGTCCTTCAAAAATCCGGACGGTTCTGGCGATTCATTTGTATTTTCGAAGGATATGTCTAGTCCGAGAAGCCAGCGAAGCGAGTCTAATCGGCAATGGTGAGTGCTCTTAAAAAAAGCTCGAATAACCTGCTTTTAAAAAACCATCGAAATCGCCGTCACGTTGTATTGTCCATAAGAAGCCTTCTCACACCCCACTGTATTTCCCCAGTATTCCCTAAAACCCTGTTGTAATTCCTTAGCAGCCCGTCGAAATTCGTTATTCTTTCTCAATATAATACAATACATATTTGAAACTCTGAAACCCCACAACACTATCTCTCGATTGCACCGAGAACTCATCTATATTTCAATCCGAGTGGCAAAAGTGCCTTCTGCCGAAGTGCCTCACTACTTCAGCACCAGAGCAGCAGACCTAACCAACCACGCCCAGCCCGTTCACCTGCACCGCTTTCTTTTTATAGGAACCGCTCAATAACTGAACCAACAGAGCTTTACGAATACGGAGGATACGAGTTTTAGTAATGTTCTTTAAAATATTTTTTGCGATATTAATGGCGAATAAAACGGAGACAAACAAGAAATTTCGTTCATTAGCGGAACCATTTTAAATTCTTTTAAATTACTTTTACATTTTCAGCGAAAAATTTTGCAAAAAAATGGAATTAATAGAGAAAATCGGCCGACAAATACAAAAAAAAAACATTTGCCGCGCTTTTGGTTTTTCACTAAAAGTTTGTTTCTTTTTTACATATTTTTGAAAATAGATTATGAATAAATAATATTGAGAACGCGTAACAAAAACAAGAGCAACAACAATAAAAGAGTGGAAGAGCGCGCCGGGCGCGGCAAAGTGGCGGAGCGGTAAATGGCGCGAAACTGCCCTTTCCTCTCGAAAAGAATTCGGGGATGAAGTTTTAGGTGATCGTGGCGATCGCTGAGCGACTCTGCAAGCAGAAAATTTATTGGACTGTGGGACCAGCCAAACTGAAAATACTGTGAAGGAAATATTAGAAGAAAAAGAATTATTGCAATTATTCTTCTAGACAAAGTTTTCTGCACATTTTTCATAGATTAATCACTATTCTCAATTGTCGAAGTTCCGCTCCTTTTTCGTCTCTTATCATGCGTTATCACCGAGCTGAAGCTGATAGTATCGTTATCAAATTAATATGTTTATCAGCATAAGCCAAATTGAGCATCTATATTGTGTAATGTAGGTGAGTATTTTCATAGTACTGGCTGATTGATTTTCTGTTGGTGATCACCTTAACCAAAAATTATTAAATCAAAAAAATGAAAACCTCGAATTTACTTAGAAGGGTTCTATTTATTCAAAATTTCTTGCTTCTTATCACAGCCATCGCCATCTCCGTTTTCATTATCTGTGCTAACTAATAAAATGCGTAAGCATGGAACTTCTAACAGCTCTCACCATTGCTGGTTTGGCTGGCTCGGCTGGCTACAAGGGTATCCGGGCTGTTCAGTCTGACGCCATCATCGACGGTAATAGAAGCCATTCTTTTTTCCATCGTCTAAAATTCAAATATCAGGTTGATTGGCTTAGAGTCATTTAGGGATGGAAATATTGGCGAATCTGTCGTTGAAAAAACACCTTATAACATTTAGTTCCGTTCATAAATTCGCTCTATGGGCAGCATTTTACCGCATTGTTCCTTCATTTTTTATTATATTCAACGACTCATTAGAAATTATTTCAGAAGCAATAAGCGTTAAGGATTTTTCAGAATATCGATTAATTAATTAAAAATTAGTTCAGAAAATACACACTTCGATGAACGCAGCATATGTTAATCCAATGAAAATATTCGACGTTAAACGGTCAAAATACAATGGGACGAATTTGCTTAAAGATTGCTTATCAGTAAATGATCCTCAAGCTTATCAAATTATTCGAAATGTATTTCTTTTTATTTTATCCGCTTTCTTCTGTTTTGAATGGCTGAATCTGTTATGGTGATAGTGAATCATTGGCGGAGTGGCTTGTTGAGAGTAAAGAGTTTCTGTTGGATTTCAGTTGGTCGGCGTCGATAAGCGTGTTAACCGAGTTGTTGCTGAGGTTCTTTGTTCTCACCTCACTTATCATAAAATAATATTATTTGGTATAATAATTCTTACAGGATTTTATTATGGCAAATTGTATGGGAAAGTTCAAATTTTATTTGCTAATAAAATTCAAAATTTAATATTTTGAGGAAAAAGCGCGTCAACGCGGTAATCTCGAACTTATTGCCAGTGAAAACTTTACAACAAGAGCAGTTTATGAGGCGCTGGGGTCTTCAATGTCCAACAAATACTCCGAAGGATATCCTGGTGCGAGGTATTCTTTCTTTATTTTCTTATTAATAGAATACATGCAAATAAGCATAACTGCACCACACTTTCGCGCAAATGCATCTGTACTACCATCACAAAGCGTCGCCTTCGCTGGTTATTAGGGCATGTTCTTCGTCGCGTACCACAGGAGTTGTTATACATACTTCGTTACTTGCTAAAATTTGTATTGAGTGGCTTCTAAAGTGATTGGGCTAGCACGGTCTGGACTACAGTTAAGAGAGATTTTGCATGTACAGGGATCAGCGATATGTGAGCTTAGAACGTGGAAAAAGGAATGGCTTCCATTACTGTCGACGATGGCTTCAGATCGAGCAGCTTGAAGGCCTAGCCTACTCCTGTAGCCAGTGGAGTTAATCTAACCTATAATGGAGAATGGTTTGAAGAAAAATAGTACGAGTCTTAAGAGAAAAGGAGGCTGTTCTTACTGCTACTCTTCAAATCCTCTTCTTCTTCTAATAGCTCTCACCATTACTGGTTAGGTTGGCTGCACTGGCTACAAGCGTAAAGCATCTCCAAGGCTAGTAGTAATAGAAGCCATTCTTTTTTCCACCTTTTAAGTTCACAGGAATAGGCTTTTAAGCTACTCAATCTGATCGTAGACAGTAATGGAAGCCATTCCTTTTTCCATCGTCTAAGTCCATATATTTCTGGTCCACTTACACGTTCAAAATCTTTTCTCACCGTATCAGTCCAAATCTTGATTGGCCCTCCTCGTTTTTGATGCCAACCATCACAGGGTTTAGCAAATAATGAAATATGCGTTAACTCCCGTGGTGGACAACGGAGAACGTGGCCTAACCAGCGAAGGCGGTGCTCTGTATTAATATTATTAATGCAAGTGGTATTTGAACGAAGATGCATATATGTGCGATTTTATCCACTCGATAGATTCGTAAAATGTACCTTAAAATGTATCTTAGACTCCTCAAATCAATTCTTCGAGTCCTAAAATTATTTTTTTCTTCTCAGTAGCAAAATTATGGTGAAATTTAAGATATTATGGAGGGAATGAATTCATCGATGAAATGGAACGTTTGTGCCAGCAACGAGCATTACAGGTTAATTGTTATTGAAATTCCTATTCCTAGTTCATCAACAGATTTGCTTTTCCTTACAGTTTTCTTTTGTTCATTTTAATATTCTTGATTTTATTAATTGATTTTTTTTATTTCGCACTACTTCTCATTTAATAGATTTCGAACTTTATTGCGCCACATTACTGCGGTTCGGTATATTTTATAGTTTATCATATTTTAGGTTTTCGGCTTAGATCCAGAGTTATGGGGTGTTAATGTACAAAGTCTGTCAGGTTGTCCAGCTAATTTCGCTGTATATACTGCGCTAGTTGAACCAAATGGTCGTATAATGGGACTTGATTTACCTGATGGTGGACATTTAAGTCATGGGTAAGCTCGTTCAGTTCCTTCTTTTGAGGTTTTTGAGGTTTTATCATGTGCATAATTTATTACAGGTTTTTCACTCCACAAAAAAAGGTGTCTGCTACTTCTATTTTTTTCCAGTCAATGCCGTACAAAGTCGATCCTATTACTGGACTTATTGATTACGATGTTTTAGAAATTAATTCTTTGTTATTTCGACCAAAAATTATTATTGCAGGTTGAAATTTTAAATAAATTTTTTTCATTCTTCATTCTTATTTTTTGCCAAAAATTTGCTTTTTTTTTATCAAAATTGTTGTTTATACTAAATTTTTGCAACTAAAATTTATTTATATTCCAGAATTTTGGTATTGCAGGAACAAGTTGCTACTCTCGTCTTCTTGATTACGCACGCTTTCGACATATTGCGGATAAATGTGGTGCTTATTTAATGGCAGATATGGCGCATATATCGGGACTGGTTGCTGCTGGCGTTATTCCATCGCCTTTTGAATATGCAGATGTGGTGACTACTACCACTCATAAATCTTTGCGTGGTCCACGTGGAGCAATCATTTTCTATAGAAAAGGTATAAAAATTATTCCATTTGCCCATATTCCTTCTTATTTTATCCTTGTAAGAGCCTGCAAATTTTCCATTTTATTTTTCAGGAATTAGAACAATAACTGCGAAGGGAGAAAAGATTGTGTATGATTTGGGCCCAAAAATCGATTCGGCTGTATTTCCAGGCTTACAGGGTGGTCCGCACAATCACACAATTGCAGGTCACTTGGTTTAATTTAGTTAAAATTGCATTAAACTATTAAATTTTAAATTAAATTGTTGAAAATGTTCTAAATTTTTTAGGGATTGCGGTAGCTTTAAACCAGTGTCTTACGGAAGATTTCGTCAAGTATTCCAAACAAGTTCTGAAGAATGCGAAAGCCCTCGTGGACAGGCTTATTTCACTTGGGTATAGTATTGTTACAGGTCAGAATTAATTAATATTAATTAATTAATATAATAAGTATTTTTGCCAGAGATTCTTATTTAACCAGCTATTTCCCTAGCATTGTTTTTTTTTTAAAGTTTCTGCTTGCTAGTGTATTCCTAAATTTCATTTCAGGAGGTACAGATAACCATTTATGCTTGGTTGATTTGCGTCCAATTGGCCTAGATGGTGCCAAAGTGGAATTTGTATTGGATTTGGCCCATATAACTTGTAATAAGAATACATGCCCTGGTAATTTTTTACGTTTAAGTGCTATTCTTTATATTTCAATATTCAAAAAAAGACACAAAGAAATGTCAGCTTAATAATTGCTTTTTATTTCAGAGAAAAATTTTTTTTTATTGTCGGAAAGTTTCAGATTTTATTTCTAGGCGATCTGAGTGCATTTAAACCAGGAGGAATACGTTTAGGTACCCCAGCGCTCACTTCTAGAGGATTTAATGAAAGTGATTTTTTTAAAGTTGCTGATTTTATCGACGAAGGTTCGTTTTTTTTAAATAATCATTTCTTTTTATTAAATAATTAAATAAATTTGCCGAATAAATAATGCGTAAATTTTTTCCACAAATTTGTTTTACTTTTATTTTTATTTTCTAGCTGTGCATACTTAATTTTTTTAAGGGATCCTCTAGATGAGAATAAACTATGGACTATGAGAACAAATTTTTTTTTGAGGAATCAAAATACTAAAGAAATACGAATCGAAGCTGGGCAAAACAATAAAAGAATTAAAATCATTCGCCGCAAGTGATTCAGAGTTTAAATCTGATGTGCAAGATTTGGCAAAACGTGTTGAAAATTTTGCGATTTCATTTGATATTCCAGGAAAAGAAGATATTTAAAAGTTATCGCGATGAAAATTAAGTTCTAGTCTTCTATTTTTTGTCTCAAATATATTCAGTTTTACTTATCACTTTTTTTTCACTATGACTTCCATTTCTGCCCCTTTTCACTTGAAAAAAATATTTATTGATGCTCATATATATGCTCAAAAGTGTTTTTGGAAGACAAGCATAATCGCAAATCTGAAATGCATGAGACTGGGTAACATTAGATATATACACGGGAAATTCATCGCATGATCTGAATATCTGTATATCAGTAAGGATTAATGATATTATTAAAGGATTTTCTTGCCTTTGTAAATCGTATGCCAATGCAGATTTGGATTTTTCATACGTCCCCCATACAAAAACAATATTTATTTATGCCGATACTGGTTTCACATCCACCATTTCACTTGATTTTTCTTGATTTTTCCTTCAAAAATTTAGAGAAAAATAAGGTTCTTCGAATCGTTTTGATTCTGATATCGAAGCACCGATGTTTCTCCCGATAAGAATAAAAATCCAGGTGATGCTGGCAATGCAGCTGTGGTTGTGGTTGTCAAGCACCTCTTTGGTATAATCTGTCTGGATCGACCAACCAGTAGAGTGGGCTCAATCAGAAATAGCAAAAAATTTACAATTAGTCGCTTTCAGCTGTTTTATTGATTTGCTTATTAACTCATTTTTCCACCATTTATGAAAGGAATTAAAATCATTCGCAAGTTATTCGGAGTTTAAATCGGATGCGCAGAAATTCGGAAGAATTAAAAAACTGCTTTCACATAAGTTCTTATTACCTCCAAGCATAACTAGAAAAAACAGAAGCCAAATATTCACACATTAACCTATAAATATGATATAAGTAGAATATATGTGGCGATATAATTGTGGCCGAGAGTAGAGAGTGAACCGTCAACACACCACTTTTCATTGGGCGACGGTGTCGCCTAACCGAGAAGCAGAGGAGAGTGGTTGGGTAAAATGAGTGCTGCTCAACCCTTAGCGCCGATGCTGAAATTTTACTCCTGGTAAATGAGTACAAAATCGTGTGCTAGCGACTCACCGCTACTTCTATTGCCAGGAGACTTCGTAACATATTTGTTCAGTCCGACAAGCCAGCGGAGCCACTCACAATATTGATATTGAATTAACAATATTGAATCGCCAAGAAAAGCATGTTTGTGGATGTTACACTGGAAATAATAAAAATTTCCATAAAATAATGCTTTGCTCCATATCCAGTACCACTATCTTTCCCCCTGTGCCCTCGGTAATGACTACAATTTTTGGATAACTCATTGGACCAAATTGGCGCTGAACTAACGCTGCGGACTCTATAAGGTCCACGACCCACGGAAACCATGACCTGCGATGGGTCCGTGAAGAAAAGGACTTGACGATCACTAAATACAGCCCAATAATCTACGCAAGTTGCATTGAGTGCAATATTAAGCTGCTAAATGTAAAATTTTTTAAATCCTCGGTTTTGAACAGAATATTGTTATAGGCTTGTGCCCCACTACTGTATTAATATCAATTGTAAGCGCTTGCCGTTCATTAGTGTTGCGTGCGCGGCGTGCGGTTAGTTGCGGTGCGAAGGGGTGCGCAGCGGTGCGTGCTGCGTCGCGTTTCTGCACTCATTTTAAAAAAATTTTCTTTTGATTTTAAAATTAAAATTTAAATAATAATTATTATTGAAGAGTTTGAAGCGTTCCAACCAATTAATTCCCTTTAATTTTAGAAAATTTTTTTGACCAAAAAATAAAAATTTAAAGTAAATTTAATTCCGGAATTTTTGATTAAAAATCTATTGAAAATCGTTCAAATGAAAAAAAGTGGAAAAAATTTAATAGTTTAATAGCTTAAAAATAATTAAAAGTTTTCGATATTTTGAAAAAAGTTTTTTTAGAAATTTTTTGATTTTATTTAATATTGATTAACCGTGAAATTATATTTTCTGTTTACTATAGTAATGTACTGTAGTAACAAAATAAATGAATTGATTAATTAAACGAATAATCGTAATGAACCGGGTAATGTCGGCGACTCACCTGCACTTCTATCGCCAAAGGACTCCCTGCCATACTTGTCGAGTCCAGCAAGTCGGCGAAGCGGAGTTAACCAGCGGTGGTGAGTGCTCTTAAAAAAGTCACATTAAAGAGTGCCAGTTAATCGATTAAACAATTCTATAGAATTCTATAGAAAGCAGTTGCATTGATAAATAAATTTATTTTCAATGAACTATAAATCGGCTTCAGATTTTTCTAATGAAACTTCACTGCAAAATTTGAGTTTTAATATTTATTAATTTATTAATTTTCTAGGTGAAAATTTTGCTAGTATGGATTTGCTTGTAGATTTCTATTCGATTTCATTAGTCCTCTTAGTAATTGCAAAAAATTAAATGAGAAAAACTTGAAATACAGTTTCAAAGTTATTTGTATAAAATTTTGTAAAAATTTTTAATAAGAATAGAATATAAAGTGAGGGTTGAAGGTCGGTTGTTCCTGAAGTTTTAAATGAGTATAAATGAGTATACATTTGAATATACAACTTGAAAGCTTATAAAAATGGTATCAAACATAATCTTTTTTTTCAATGGAAGGACATTTATGGCTAAAAGGAAAAGGAAAAGAAGAAGTTAAAAATGTGTTGGTTTCTGAAGATAAAATTTTTGATCGAATTGTCGTCTTCTTATGGTCCTCGTACGAATTTCCTTTGATTCCTTTTTTTGATGGAACTGTATTTGTATCTCTTAGATTTTACGTATTTCGCAGAATTGTGCAGAATTAAATCGTTCGATTCACTTGGTGGATCTTCGATCGGTGAGTCTCTTTCTCTTTTCTTTTTTTATATATTTTTTTTCTTTTGGTGATTTAAATTTGTAAGAAGATAACCGACTGAATAATGTCTCAGATTATCATGTTCCGACAGAAGTATCATTATTTTCATCGCTAAATGATTTCTTGGTAAAAATTTTCTATTTATGCTATTAATCAGAAAGAAGCTAATCCAAAAAATCTAATCCAAAATAATGAAAATAGAAAATAGTGAGTTAACCACTTGGATTTCTTAATCTAGTATTAAAAAAGTTTGATTTTTGATTTTTCTTGGTGAAATTTTGTAGCTGAATCATAGTCAGTGCTATTAAAGTTTGGAGAAATACCATCTGATTTAACAGTTGGCGTTGGTATATGCGAGAAGATGACATCGGCGGGATCTACTAATGCACTGAATCAACCATTGGATGAAAATTTTATAAGACGGTTGATTGAAGCCGTGAAAAGCCAGCCTTGTCTATATAATCCGAATCATGAGCATTATGGTAATAGGCACGCTAATGCTCAATATAGGGCTCGTGTATGGCAAAAGCTGTGTGTTGATTTAGAATTTACTGGTTAATTTTTCTAAAATTCCTTATGTTTCTTAAATCTTAAAAATTTGCGTTTACATGCTGCTCCGATCTTATTAATAATTGTTGATTTTTATTTCTTTAATTTTAAATTAAATTAGAAAATCCGTCATTTAACATTCATTACCACGTTTTTTTGTTCATTCTTTTTTTTTCATTAAGAGGATGCCCATATTTTGCAAACGCATTGGAAGCGCTTGCGTGATCGGTATTTGCGAGAACGCAGAAAACGGAAGAACAATATTATAAGTGATAGTTCGCATTTGGTTTGTTTTGCTTTTTTCAGAGTATTTGTGATTGTGGATATAATTTTTTAATAGCAGATGTAAGGAATCATATAAATTTATTAAATTTTAACTGTGATGTTTTTTGCTATTTAATATTTTATCCATTTACTTTCAGTCAATGTTGATATGATATATTTTTCTTTAGGTAACTCCAGGTAGTATTTTTTAAAAGTCTGTGGAAGGATTGGCAGATTGCTTAAATATATATTAGATTTCGTATCTTTTTTTTATTTCTGTTTAGATTCACATTCGCAATTAACTTTAAAAATATTTGAATTGTTTTTGTTTTTTTAGGAAAGTGGTAATTTCACTCGTGAGAGGCATGTTTCAGAAAGCTCTAGCTCTGGAAATACGACTAGTTTGGCTGGTAGTCGTTATTTTGAGATGATGCGTTGGATAGAACCTTATTTGGCTGATGTTAGTTATCTCAAGTATTTTTTTTGTTGTTTGCAATACCATTTTTTAACTAAATTTTTCGTATATTAATGTAATATGTTTTTATTTAGGTAACTCCAAGTAGCAGTTTTGGGGCGACAAATATTAATCCTTCTGATAACTGTTCAAACGGTGCTACTGTTCAGAAAGGTCTGTCCTGTCCTACTCTCGAAAGTTTTCCTACGCATCTAATCTTTACGTTATGCTGTTTAATGCATAGGCTAATTGAAGTGAACTGTAAAAGGATGCAATAATAATGATGGAACTTAGGTTGTTGATCCTTTCTTGGGTCATCAGCTAGTACAACCATCGTATACATGATGCTTTACATTTACAAACCACAAGGTCTTCATTTGAAGAAATTGCCTACCAAAGTTCGTCTAAAGGCGTTTACATCATTGTCTTTATCTGGGCTTCACTTGTTCTACAGTTATTTCCTACAGTAAAAAAGGGTATGCAATTTCAGGACAAAGTAGTGGGAATAGGGCTGCAGTGGTGACCACATCTGAAAATACGGATACTTTTTATGTTAATAGAAGTAATTCTACTCATTCTGACCATTCCGAACCAGCTTTGCAACAAGCAGGATCCAAAAATGAAGTTATGTTGAGCTGGTAAGTACATTGCTTTATTATTTGGTTTTTTAAAAATTATGAATAAATTATTTAGTTTTGAACAACGTGATCGGCAAAAGTTGCAAGCAGAACGAACAGAGCCACGAAATCGTGATTACACCAAATCATGTGGTAATATCCCCAATGGATCAAGTGGGCGAACAAATACGCAGAGCGATCCATCGCCGATAAATGGTTTGCATTTTATAGCCTGTTGTCTGCTATTATACAGTAGAAATTTATTCGTGCAGAGCCTTTAAACATATGATACTGCTGCTGCGTTTTAGGACACATCACATTTAACTTGCTGTTTAGAATTGCTTGTTATTTTTTCTTTTTCTTATTCTGCTTATTTTGCTTTTTTAGACAAAATTAGGCTAAGTTTCATAGACATAGTTCTAGTGCAATAAATTAAAGTTGCAATAATTACTTTTCTATGCAGCCAGTCCTTCATCTTCAACAACGAGTAGTGAAATTGATGTTGGCTCCGTTCCCACAATTTCTGGTCAAACAATTACTCAACAACAGTCAAATATACAAAGGGTGAGAAGCCGTTTATCATTCTACTTATTGGCTTATTAAATATTTTTTATTCGGTGTTTTCATCTATTTTTCTAGGTTACTGTTTCATTGTTTGATTTAATATTATTAGCAGCATCCTTCTCAGCGAATTTTATATACAAAAGCAGAAGTGCAACCCCGTTCATCGATGCAAACTTGTGATGGAAGCGTTTATACATTAATGTCTCAGGGTATTGCGCCTTCATCTTCAAAAAAGGATGTCAGTCTTAGAACAAGTGAGCTATAATTTAATTGCAAAAAGTCGTTTTATTTTTCTTTTTTTTTAAAATTTTCTTTAATTTCATGTTGATGCCAACATTTTAATTATAATTTTTTTTTTTTTATTTTATTATCCTAGGTGATGGTAATGCAGTGGCGATGGTTATTGATACAGCAAACTATTACCAGCATGGCAATCAAAAAATGTGTGTTTGCAATTTTATCCTTAATTTGTCAGTTTGCCTAAAAATTATGATTTAAACGCATTAAAATTTATTTTCACTGAAAATTGACAAATTCACAGGTATCGTTTGGTTAATGTATCTGAAATGAATGCAGAACTGGTCCCATTATCAGCGGGAAATGCAGGATCTTCGACAAATGAAGTGAAATTAATCACAGTTCCTCGGATTCAATCGTCTTCCGAAGTTTCACATCGAAGAAAACGTCTTGCACCTGGTAGTTTACCTAGTATAAGTAATGGTCGAGGTCAACTTGGTGACGATTTAATTCTTGATGATGGCACCGGCAATACCATTGTGGAAAAGACTATTACGATTGATCAGAGTATGCATTTGAAATATCAACTTCATAATAAAGCATTAAGAGTGGGTTGGATATAGCAGATCATTGTTAATAATTAATCATTTAATCATTTTTATTAAATATATGATATTTTAGCATTTTTTCGAAGATATTTTTGCACTTCAGTTTTGTTTCAGCTTCTCCTATAAGTGGTGATCGTTTACTTTTGGATCATTCTGTTAGTGCATCTAATATTTTGGGGCACCACAGTTTGCAACAGGTTTTGCTATCTGGCTCATTCATAATTTTAATATTGATAGTATGAAATTCGAATGAAGTGATTTATGTCAGCAGTGTTTTCTTTTTTTCAGGTTCACATTCAGAATGCCGGAGGATCAGCACAACATGGTAGTGTTATTACGAGTGGCCATCATGTTCAGTTATCACATCAGATTAACCATCCAGGTCTTATTTAATATAATTTACTGTTTCTACCATCTTTCCAGTCCTTAAATCTTAGTAATAATTGGAACAGATCATAAGTTCATTGCATGTTAAAATTATAGGAAGTACGCAGATTAATGTTGTTGCAATGAGGCCACAACAGCAAAATCAGAGATTTATCACTCAACAATTATCAGTTCAACAACCTCATTATACGATGCTTACGAATCAGTCGATCACAAATAATCAGGACGAACATTTAGAATTTGCCAATTCTATTGCCACACATTTAGCTAGACTTAACGATGATGAAGTAGACGCTTGCTTTTTATTTCTCCTTTTTTGCTGAATTTCATTTTATTATTTTGCAGAAAGCTGTTGCGAAAATGAACATTCAGAGAATATTAATGGATGCTCGTTTTGGTCTTGGTGCTTGTGCTCGTATGATTCATGATGAAGAACTTACTGAAGTTGCAACCACTAGCACTACTCATGAAATGATAGTTAATACACAACAGCATCAAGATCCATCAACTCGAAGATAGTCTTATCGTTATGCGTATGGTCTTTTTTTCATTTATTTAGACCTGATGCGTCTTCTCAGGATTAATGAGTTTTTGACTGTAATTCCGTAAAAGATGAAGAAGGTTATACCTCACTGTTATTAGTAGATTGTGAATATTAATTGAGAATTGCATTTCCCCATGTTTTGTGAAGTTTGTTTCTCATCTGAAATTGTGTCTACTTATTTCCTCATATATTTTATTAATACATATAATTTTTTCGTTTGTTTGCCTGTCATTAATTCGTTATTTATGCATATTCATGGTATTCATAGGAATTCATTAATATGTCCATATGCGAAAAGGTAGTTTTCTTTTTTTGCTGTTTTAATTGTCATTCGATTAAAACTAATGCTGAAAAAAAGTTGTTCTGAGGAATCTTTGAGAAATAGAGTAATTGTATGCCTGTTTTTTAATATTTTTTGCAGCTGCTAACCAGCTTAGCTCTCCTTTGATCACTTTTAAGCAATTGATTCGTCCAATAGATTTAGTAAATATGTTTCATATTTTGTAGATGTTGTTAGTGAATTCAGTGATCGTGAATTTAAGGTTGATGAGAATACGCAGTAATTATCGCAGCCAGCGTTAGGATTTGGGATTTTAATTTATAGGCTCTTATGATAGTCTTATACAAAAAGATCCTTAGCAAATGCTGAGAAATGTCCAGACTTTTGCAAATCATTTTTTATTAATTTTTGATCTCATTTGTATATAATTTTATATATTGCTTGAGAGTATCGAAGTCATTATGGGTTGTTTTTTATTAATCATGATGCATATTTTCATTTAATCACTTAATATGGTCCTTTTCTTATTGATGTCATGTTGAAAATTTGAGGCGTTTTAAAAAGTGCATCATACGGTCATTTAGATTTAATTTTTATTTTAACTTTTTTCTTTTAATAAAAATATTTTTAAATTTTTGCTGTTCGTACATGTCTTCATTTTTTCATGATAAAAAGACGATCTTTATGGGAAATAATGGGTTGAAGAAGTGCAGATTTTCTACGAAAGGCTAGTTACTCGCCTATAAAGCGTAGTTTAACTATTATCAGAAAGAAGCGCATTCGTCGTTCGTTCGTATTAGATCGAGTGAAGAAGGCATCAGTTGGAGCAGAAATATACATCTCTCTTTGATATATTGACAGTGCAGGTTATTCGATAGTTTATTACTATTACTATTATTATTGATGTTTGTAATACCTCTATTCTTCTGTCAAACGAGCTCATTTTTATCCTTTTTTCCATTGCAAATTGTAAATATTTTTGTGTTTTCGAATTTTTAATTAAATTTTTTTAATTTTTAATAAAATATACAATATAAAAATTATTAATATAATATAAAAATTATTATTTTTATGCTTTTTCAATTTTTTTGAATGGCAGTTTATTTAATTTTTTTATAACGAGGAATGGATTTATTTTTTCTCACTCAAAATTGATGAAATACGATAATAATTGGCTTATTTTATCGCTGATAATTGCTTCTTTCTACTCATTTATTTATGTATAATTAATTAACTAATTAAATGTCGGTAGTCCATGGAAAAATCGGAAAATTATCACTAGCTGAATATCTTATTGAGTTTTTCTTCCAAGTAGAGGGTACCATTAGGGGGACTGTAATCCTACCTGCATCTCTCCCTCTCCGTGGATCCCTTTGGGGAATGGAATTATTCCCGTAGAGTTATCCAAATTGATGTTAGAATTTCAAGCATTTTGCCATGAAGATGGTCTATCATTGAGTATTTATGACTGTAAATTGTCTGGGTCTTTAGTGAGTTTCAATTTGAGTTTTTACAATGAATCAAATTTTAAATTGTTTATTAAAATTTTATTTAATTAAAACTATTTCTAGATGGGCTTAATTATGAAATATAATGAAATATACTTTTTTTATCAAATAAATCTGAATCTAAAAAGAAATGAATTTTTAAGCATAATTTTACGTTACAAACAAGGCCCTCTAAATTTTTTGTGAATGGAATTTTAAAAATTTTCCGAAAAATTCTTTAAATATTGGTATATTCAAGAAAAAATTATTTAAAATTATTAAATGAACAATTAACGAAATTTCATTGTAAAATCAAGGAATTAGAAAAATTTATGAGTGTTTTCTGTTTCAATTTGGCCTAATTTAATTACCATTAACTGTTGAAAGTATCATTAATTGAGGGCGTTTATATTCGTCGTTGTTAATGATTAGTGTTTTCTTTATCATATCACATGTTTTTGCTAATTTTGTGGTGCATTTTTCATATGTATAGTCAATAGTGGTTACGACTATATGTGGCGGTTCATTCGAATGATAAGGCTCCTATAAATGCAGTGACAGTACTGTGAAATCGATAGCGGCCGATAGTAGGTTGCTATAAGTAGCGTGGATTTGATTTCTGTCGCCTAACCACTTCTAATTCTAGATTGCACCAAAGGGGCTCTCTGAAAATGAATTTCAATAGTGGAATTTAATAGTCCTTTGGTAGATTCTCTTCCTCCAATACGAATTTTACAACCAGCATCCATTTCAGCTTGTTTCACTGATAAGTCTCTCGGTCCAAAAATTTGTTCTATACATTTTCTGTTAGTCGTCATCAGTTGTGATAGTAAATTGTTCATGTGTGATATTAATGACTGAAATTATATTAGATTGATTGAGATATTTAATTTGGACATTGTCTTGCTTTAAATCGCTTTGAAAGTCATATTTTATAACATTTCATGAGTTGAATTTTTAATTTTATGCTTATGTTCTTAAACGATTCTAAGGTTTGTGAAATGTAAAAGCCAGTGAAACCAAGCCAGAAATGATCAGCCCGATAGCATTTGCCCGAAGGACTAAATGGTTCCAGTAAAATCCTGGCTTTTAGTTTATTTATCAGTAGTGTAGGGATATGTAATGCTTCGATATTTATATAATTCAATGTCTACCTGGAAAAGATTTTTCGTTTTCTTAATAGCATAAATTTGGTTCCATATGCGATATATTTCAGTTGATAAAGTTTATATACATATCGAAAGCATCCTCGATTCATATTCGATTTGCATTTTTGATTTCCATTTCATCCATAAAATATTTCACCGAGAAACATCTGAAAAATTTATTTTATAATAGATTTACCTCCACTGACGATGATTTTTTATCTCAAGTTGACTTCAAGCAATCGTCATAGCTCGCATATATTCATATATATAAATCATATCGTCATATATACATATATATAAATCGCAAAAATTTTTCTACTGAAATCTTGCATTTTGAACGAATTCATCTGATAGGATTTGTATTGATGAAGGTTCCTGGATTGGTGGCAATCTCTGAGATGGTGGGGATTTCTGGATAGATTCGTTGGATGGCTTATCATCATAAGTAATATGTTTAATAATGTGCTCAGTACCACCACTTTCTTCAAATTTTTTCAAAATTGACCAGTTCCGTCAACTGATTTGTAGTGAAAATTATGAATAGAATGTTATATTTTCTTTCCAAAAGTATTTAATTAAATAGAACCGTTCAATTAAAAAAAAAAAATTCGCATCCAATAATTACTTCGATAAATTACCATTTGAAGTAATTTTTTATTTTTATTATTATTAGAATTTTAAAAATAATAAATTATTTATAAAAATAATTCAATTTATAAAATCTAAGTTATTTGTAAAATAATTCAATCGATTCTCATCGTTGATAAATATTTCATTTTATCATCGGAATTTTATCATTTTCGTTAATTTCTGCATTATTTTATAGTTTTCTTGCATTAAGTTAATGGCTCATCTGTTTGATACGGCAAATAAATTCTTAATTAAAGCGCAACAGCGAGCACAACATGAGCCACACGAGTCTGTCACAGCTTCTTTTCAGGCTGGCCAGAATTTACAAACTCTTGACCAGATCTTTGCAGAATGCCTTATTAGAGAGGTTGGCTTTCAGAAACCAATCATTTGAAAGGTAGGTTTAAAATTCAAAGGGGTAGGAGTGGATCTTAGCGAAGGTATTACGAGAGCAGAATAGAGAAAGAGAAAGAAATTATTGGATTTTATAATTCGTGACCTAATAACTGTGATATAACTGTTTTTTAGGACATTAATATTAGGAAAATATAAAAGTTGTTTCGATGATCTTTTGGAAAACAGGCGATATTATTACTTAGCAGTGTTCGATAAAATATCTCTAAAGCATTATTTTTATCTTATCAGATTATCATTTAGGCAAAACGGCCAAAATCCAAGCCATTTTCTTTTATTATTTTGTGAATTATTTCTTTTTATTTGTTAATTTAATAATTTAATAAATTTGCAACGTTATATTAGTAGAGATTTATCTCGGATTTCTGTAATTTATCAAACGATTTGAATTTATTTCATTTTAAACTGAAATGTGATTGGTAACTTTAAATATGCTTAACACTGACCGTTTGTTATACTAATTGACGACCACTGATTTGAAGGATGCGGATTTTTGACCACCACATGATCTCTCTCTTCTGCGATTGTCCGCTAAAGTGACCAGCAAAGACGGTGATTTTCTCATAGAAAGGAAGAAAGCAGCACAAGTTGTATTCGCAGTGCATTTCTCTATCTGTAGTAAATTTCTTGGATTTTATTGTAAACTTCCATTGTTGTTATGCATGGGAGTCCTATGAATCAATAAATCGGAGAAAGATAGATATTGACTGTTTTTTTTCATGAATTTATTGACTTTTTCCATGTAAGAAATTATTTTTCCAGCAAGTTTGGCAAATTATTGGCAAATTGGATAAATATTTGGCAGTGATGCAAGTGTGTTGGGGAATGTTGCTTAAGCGCTGAAGCGGCCACAAGTCTTTGTGATTCCCGTCGTTCGATGGAAGCAGGCCTGTCGGGAACTCTGTTCTCTCGGCCTCTTGGCCCTCCAGGATTCCGCTCCTGCGGCGAGTTCCCAACCCATCCGATTAAGTAGTGTCGGCGATACCTTCAATTCTAATTGTACTATTTCGTACTCCTCTTTATTTCCTCATTACATTGTTAGTTTATGTCTTATTTCTTCTTTTCGCAAATTTTCATTTGCGATTTTATTCGTCTGTTGTTAATGCAGACATAGCGCTTGTCGCCGTGCTTGCTTGGTTCCAATAAGCGATTGGCCGAAATATTAGCCAAGACGGAAATCTAACGAATTTCTCTTGCGGAAGGCGATTTTCTGATTTTTTGCTGTATTTGGTTATGGTGATTCTTTTTTCCGCAAAAAACATGAAGAATATTTTTAAAAAAATTTGAAAAAATAAAAAATCATTATAATCATCGATTGACGGAGATTTCTTCGTAAAAATAGTTAGTTTAACAAATAAATAATAAAAATATGTCGAAAAACTGCGACGTACTTGTGTACTTATAACACATAGTTTAGTTGAGAATGTTGATATCGATCTCGTTTAAAGCCCCACAGGCATTTCGCTTTTTCTTCGCTTTCTTCTTCCGAATATTTAGTTGGCCCTTTAAAAGCAGTGGAGGAGTACGGGGAAGAAATTGATGGAAGGAGAGGAGAGTGTCGAAGGAAGAAGTAAGCATTCCTAGAAATATATGGAAGGAGTAGGAAAGGGGAGGATGGCAGTGGCATACAGGCCAGTTACATTGCTGTACAATGGCTTTCTTGTGTTAAATTAGGCCTCCGCGCAAATCACAGCTTCCACAGCTATTTCTATTTTTCATTATAATAAATTATTTTCCACTCTGAAAAACTCGCTGTTTTTTTGTCGGCCATAATTTTTCACATAACAGTGACGGCTTTCGTCATTTGAGCGACGTTGTCACTAATTTCTTTTGAATGAAATATTTTGGATGAATTTCTCTTGTCTTATTCATTTATTTATAAGTAATGTTTATAATTTTATTTTAGATAATTTAATTAGCGATTCTTGTTGTGTTTATAATTTTTTTAATAAAAGTGTAATTGAATTATAATGGATCTCTTAAAAGTTGCAATGATTGGCTCGGGCAATTGGTTAGTTATTTGATCTTTTGCAAGGGATACGATAAATATGCGCGAGAGGGTTTGCACACGATGCTCGACTGTGCATTGCTGAGATCGAGTAAGTCCTGAGGCTTGATTCAGGTTTGAATCGGGGACTTGTCGTCGGAGGGAAATCCGGGTGGCGCTGCAGAACTACCTGCATTTCTGCCTCCTTGAGTGACTGTCTGGCGAAATGAATTGTTGGCACTTCTAAATGTAAGTATGCATGGATATGCCCACATGGATACTGTAGGTTTATTACTTACCTGCTTCACTCATTTGCTAATGCTTTGCTTTAATTAATTGATAGAGTGATACATCGAGGAATGAAATAATCATGTAGGGTGGATTTATCAAAATAATCACTTAAACTTGTAAATTTACTTTAAAAATATGTGGTTCACCGTGTGATGATTAAGGGGAACAACTGTGGCTCGTATTGTTGCATCGAATATAGAAATTTATAAAGAGGAATTTGATCCGATTGTAAAAATGTGGATGTTCGAAGAAATTGTTAACGGCAGAAAGCTGTCAGAAATAATTAACACTGAACATGAAAATGTGAAATATTTGCCCGGTAAAAAGATCCCCCCAAATGTGGTTAGTACTTAATTTAACTTTTTAACGTTGCAGTTTTATTTTTTTCATTATTTCTCTTCTTATAACGTCTTACGCCATTTCTAACTTGGCTTGGCTTGACTTGACTGCCAGAACGAGACGCTTATTGCCTATTAATTATGGAACTATAGTTATATAAGTGGTCATCTAAAGTAATTAAATCGGTATATTTAGCACGGTTTTCTTTATGAAATTGACATTTTTGCTTTTTTTTGATTTGATTTTTTTTGACTAATCTAACTAAGGGCTGTTAATGCCGTTAGAAAATTTCACCAGATACTCATTTGACGCTAAAAGTATCAGATGGGTCGCCGCCACCATCCACAAAACGAACGTATTTTGCCCATTTCTCTTAACATCAATCAATCTGAACTGCTAATTCGGTTCTTCTTCTTCTAACAGCTCTCACCATTAATGGTTAGGTTGGTCCCATTGGCTACAAGGATAAGACGCTTCCAAGCTACGCGATCTGATGCCATCGTCGACAGAAGCCATTCCTTTTTCCATCGTCTAAGTCCATATATCGCTGGTCTTTCTGTACGTTCAAAATCTTTCCTGGCTGTATCAGTCCAGGTCTTGAGTGGCCCACCTCGCTTTTGGCGCCAGCCATAATAGGGTTTAGCCTCTAATATTATGAAATAAAAATATATGGCAACTGAAGTCTGTAGATGGCATGCGTGGATTTAACTGAAGTTTGCTCGGATGCAGATATTCTTATTTTTGTTACACCACATCAGTTTCTCGTCAATATTTGCAATAATATGAAAGGAAAACTGAAAGAGAATGCTATTGGTATTTCTCTCATTAAGGTATACTTTTTATTTTATTAAATAATTCTGTTAAGAATTAAGAAATAAGAATTAATTTAAGTATTTATTTGGTTGCATTGTTGATAATTTAAGCTTTAATAATTCGAGAATTTAAGCTTTAATAGTCTATTTTTAAGGATTTGTCTTAAATTGCTATCTCCATTCGTAGACTACTTATGTTTTTTCGGTTTAGTACCAGCACTTTCTAGTTTGGCTCAATACAATGGTTGTTAGGCTGGGAACTCTATGCGAGAGAATCACTTGAGAATAGAACAGGTAGATCTCTGATATGGTTTAGATTTTGTTTCCAGTGACAGCATTATTATATAATGTAACAGAATTCAGCAAAAGTCGTAGATAATAATGATTTGATCTTTATAGAAGCACTCTGCTGTCCCTTTGTATTATCATGCTTTTATATCGTTGCGCTATTGTATTTCAGGGTTTATTACCGGAAAAGAAGGGTGGAATAAGATTGATTTCTGAAGAAATTCATGATATATTAAATATCAGTGTATCAATTTTAATGGGTGCAAATCTTGCTCAAGAAGTTGCGGATGGGCATTTTTGTGAAGCCACACTTGGTAATTCTTTCAGTAATATCATAATTCTTAATTAATGTTATAAAACATAAAATAGTAATGGTTACTAGCAAATTCATTAACAGCCAAAATCAAAAAATTGGCAATATTCAGAAAATGGAAAAAAGGCGTTAAAAATTGATGCGACAAATTTTAGTGCTTCTTACCAGTTCTGCTATTTCTACTGTCCGAGTTTTTCTTGGAAATTTTTCTCATAAGCGTTTATTTGCTTGTTTAGGTTGTTTAGAAAGCAATGAAATAAGTGAAAAATTACGAAAGCTTTTTGAGACCGATAACTTCAAAATTAGTGTCGTTCATGACCCAAAAACTGTGGAAGTTTGTGGCGCCTTAAAGGTTGTTTATTTTTCATCGAATTTCATTTGATTTATAAATTTTCGATTTGATTATTTAACAGATTTTTTAAAGAATATCTGATTGACATTTTCATTCTTAAAATTTTTAAATATTGGGCTGAACGATACTCTTTTTAAATATTATTTTTGCAGAATATTGTCGGTTGTGCCGCTGGCATAGCTGATGGATTAGACTGTGGACAAAACACAAAAGCAGCTATTCTTCGAATTGGCCTTGTTGAAATCACCAAGGTTTGTCGTTTTTCTTTTTATAAGACCGTAAATTTTCCATTTCTTCTATATTTAATTATTCATTCTTGGACTAAATATTATTTTATTCAATTGCATTTCTGTGGAATCTGTGGCATATCGATATTTTATGGAGTAAACGGCGACAATTCCGACGAGCCCAGAAAAAACTGCTAATAATTTCAACCAATCAGTTTCAGTTTGTGGACATGTTTTATCCTGGTTCGCACATACGTACATTTTTCGAAAGTTGTGGTATTGGTGATCTTATTGCAACTTGTTATGGCGGTCGAAATCGTGCTGTTTGTGAAGCGATGGTGAAAACTAAAAAGGTATTTACTACGAAGAATTTCTCTGATCAAATTTTTTATTTCCTTGATTACTAAAAAGTTATCATTAATAGATAGTGAATAAACAAATTAAAAAGATTTTCGATGGGAAATGCATATTTATTTTAAAAGGCGTTATTAAGGCATAAGGTACGATGATCTCGAGTTTTTACTACCATGCATGCTGTTCATGTCCTTTAGCAAGCGAAAAATCTAAGTTATTTATTTTTGGTTCTGTTTTGCTTCTCTTCCCAATGCACTGACTTATAAACGTATATGGCTCTTAATAGTCAGTGGAGTTAGCCAAACCAAGAATATTGATGATTATTATTCTTAATCCATTTTATCAGATTTCAGCCGTTGTCGGTAGTTGAAAGAGAACTTCTGAATGGTCAAAGTGCGCAAGGACCTTTGTGTGCTGAAGAAGTTTATTTGATGTTAAAGAAATTTAATTTGGAAAACAAGTTAGTTTCGTTCCTTTGTATTTATATTTTTTTTCCTAACACCAACATTAGATGGGGACATGGTCGAATTGGCTAAGACTAAAGTCAAACATCATTTCGCTTAAAGTAAACAAATTTGGTATTAAAATCGAGGTGGTGCTCGAGACTTGGGGTACTTTTGTATTCAAGTGACTCTTTGGTGAACGGTTTCCTGCACAGTAATAGCCAGTAGAGCCATGCAATTCACATCCTTAATTTTCCAATTTCATTTCAAAGAAATCCTTTAATTCAAAAAAATTCCCGAAAAGAATCCGATTTAAAATTTTCCATCTCATCTTATGTTTATAATTAATTTGTAGGTTTCCATTATTTGTGACAGTTCATCGAATATGCAAAAACGAAATCGAACCTTTCGAACTTATAAATCGAGTAAAAGAAAAACCATCAATTTGATTTTAATCTATTTGCGCTTTTATAGCGCTTTTTTCCACTAAAAATAGTTATCAGGTCATTGGGCGAATACGTTGTATCTACTACTTAGACCTTAATTCAAACTCATGGAATTCTCAATATTGTGCTCCTTTTTTTTATTTCTAATTGCGATATAAATAGAAATATACGATTTAGGTAAATTTATACTGGTAAATCTATAGATAATATGAAAATGTGAAAATAAAAATGTTAAAAATACTTAAATTTTAAAAAAATGCATTAAAATTCCATTCAGCATTCCACCTCAATCCCTACCATCATCAGTGGCAAACTCATCTTCGAGAAGTGCTGGAGAGGTGATGCTGGAGACTTTTCTCTATCTACTTCAAATGATTCTCTTGCGAAATTATCACTAATTTTTTAAACAAAAACTAACTCTTTTTAATTTTATCAATTTGCAAATTATAATCCACACTACCTTCTTTTTACCCTTTTTTAACCCTTTTTTTCTAACCACAACTTTATCAGTCTTGGCCATTAATTCATTTGCTGTGCTTTCTCCCTATATTTTTCAAATTTTGGAGCACAGTTTTTCTCTTTTTCATTTTAATAACTTATAATATATCTAATAAACGACGACGATTCATAAGTTCATTCGAACTAAAGCGATAATTATTACAAAAGAGAATTACAAATGAAAAATTAACAAGAAAAAAAGCGAAATCAGAAATAATTTTATAGCTAAATTTATAAAAACAAAAAAAAAAAAAATTTAGCACAAAATTTTTGAGCGATAGCAATAAAACTTTGAAGTATATGGAAATATATATAAAAAATCGAATATATTGCAAAAAGCTTACGAGTAAAATAACCAAATGGAAAAAATGATTTTTTATAGTCCATAAAAATTAGAAAGTCAAAACGAAATCGGCGGAAGAAATTCAAGCTTCATAATTTCGAAACCAATTTGCGTAAGAATCCAACAAAATAAAAAGCAGAAGGGCAAATAAAACATAATCTGAATATAAATTTGGAAAAACTTCCATTTAGATTCAAATTTAAGCGATTTCTTTCTTGGTTTAATGAATTTCTAAAAATTTCTTTGCTAAATATTGGTTTCAGCCTTACTGTAGAAAAAAAAGAATAAATTATGAAAATAAAATAAAGTTAAGCGACTACAAAGAAATCCCACGAAAAAGTTACAGAAGTTATTTTTCCATTTCAAAAATTATTTTCATTTAGCGTATTTAAAATGAAATGTTCATAGCAAGAAGAATCAAATATTGAAACAAAGTTCTTGTCTTTTTTAAAATTTTTTTCGCTGTCTACTGTGAATTTTTTCACGAGGAACTTCCTTATAGAAGTCCATTTTTTATTTTGTAATGACAATAACTAATAAATAATTTTTGATAAATTTTTACTATTTTTTCTAATAAATCTATTCAGAGAAAACTTTCTCGGATAAGAAAAATAAAGAAAAAATTAAAAACATTTTTCTTCTGATTCATTTAATCATTTAAACATCAATTATAAGCGAAAGAAGCATTATAAGGAAAACTTAGGTGAAAGAAGATTAAAATGTAATTAAAATGTAAAATGTAATTTTAAAATGTAATTTCTGAGGATAATTCTGAACCTATTTCTGATTTACGTTGCATTCACTGCTGCACAAGAATAACATATTCGGTCGCGTTGATCCGATGTCACAGTAACACAACGGCGACAATGTATTTTACCGCAACGATAGCAATGAAAGCGTCGTTCAACACGAGTAGCAAATTCTGCACCACAGTTCTTCGATGAGCATTCATCTGCTGCACGTAAAGATTGCCACTGAAGTGCAGGGAATGAAGTATTATCATCCTATAAATAATGACTATTTCTAACAAGTTTAAACAATAATTTAAACAATAATTGAGATCTAAAATCCATTATTTAAAATGTGGAAATAACTAACAGATAAAGCAGAAGACAAATCATAGATATCATTTTCCGAAGTTTCTGGATTTAAAGGAAATATTCCTGCTCCACTTTCTTTTTTATCTAAAAATGAGGCAGTAATAATCACCAGGGACAATAATTCCATGTAGAAAAATTAAAAGCATACATAATTCAGGTAATGACTGCAGAGGTGTTGTAGGTTGTGCTCCTGATGAGACAGTACTGGAGTGACCACTATCAGACATAACTCCACTAATCACTGACTGTTTAACCGACAAACTTTTCAAGTCAGCCAACTGCTGAAAAGTATATTCAAAAAACTGAATGTACTCAATGGAGAAAATTAATCCATATTTTTAAAGTTTATGCTCTTCATAAATAGAAATGATGGAGCCAAAAAAGTCACAGCCTGAAGTGAAGCCATTTGCGCTTCTAATACTCCAATATGTTCAAGTGTTGCTATTGTTACATCAGTTGTCGATTCTCTAGGAAGAAGACCGGTATCAAACCGATTATACATAGCTGTCCAAACGACAATAGCTGATGGATGCAAATCGACATTAGCCAAATATGAAAATTTATTAGCCTGAAACTATAAAAATTGACTTAGAACCAAATAAAAAACTAGTTTCTTAAATATTTTAGAGCCAACTGCTGCGCTAAATCCAAATATTACCTCGTATAGTGGATTAATATAGTCATCATGATGATCATCTATATAACTCCATAGAGAAAGCGTCCGTTTTGCCAGGTTTAAATCCTAAAAATATTATATTCAAATCTTACATTTATTAGCACATATTATGGCATAAAATATTGTGTGCAGATATGAAAAAGGTTGGAATGAAAGGAAAAAAATGAAAGGAAAAATAAATAAATAAAAAATAAATAAATTTAAATATTATAATTGAATAATCTTTAAAATATTCCATAAAATAATTCCATTGAAAATATAACATAAAAAAATATAAATAATGCAAAAACTCTTAGAGAAAAACAAAAAAATAATTAATTTAACAATTTCAGCTGAGCATACTTTACGATCTTTATCGCAATTACCGAGGAATGTACCATATTGACAAGAGTAAGCGTGTTCGTGAATATCTATCAAATACCTTTCGTTAAATTCAAATGCACGAGGCTGCAGCCGCATAATCTGATAAACACAGTCAAGAAACTGCGTGAAAATTGGAGAAACCTAAATAAATCCAATGAAAATATCAAATCTTAAGTTGGAAGACATCAGAAACGAGGAATGCCTATCAACACCTGGACCGCCATGACCAAAACAGACTATGAATAAAATCTGAAAGTCAAGAACCTGCGTAGGCATAGGCGTAGACTTATAAAAAAAAAACTCTTGGGCCAACCGAAAAGCTTGGATACGTCCTATCCTAGTAACAAATGCCGCTAGCCAAACCAAAAATGGTTCTCGCTGCTAGAAAAAAAAGGGAAAAAGGAATAAAAATCAGAAATAGTAAGAAAATCGATTTTATAGCTATCGCGCAAATAGAAATAATATGGAAAAACCTAATGAATAATAATAAATTAAATAACACATATGAAAAAAAATGGAAGAAAATTTGAGAATGACATGAAAATGTATGGGAAATCGTCACTTCTTTAGCAGCTTCTTCATTAAGAGCACCAATATGCCCACACCGGTCATCGAATTTGTGCCCGAATCCAAGCCAATCTTTTTCTATTAAAACCTAAAGCAACTTCATTATAAATTTTTGCCATATTTTGTTGAAAATCGCAAACATTTTGTTTATTCATCCGATTTGTGTTAATTGTGAAATCTATATATAATTCCATAATCTATAATTTTTAATTTATAATTCTCTAAATTGTCTATGTATTTGCATAAGTATCCTATATTTAACAAATATATATATATATATACGGCGCCGAAACATTACTGTGATTAACTGGCGAGTAGTTAACGTGGAATGTAACTAGAATGTAACGACAGTCTGAATCGCAGCCAATCCTTCAGATGAAGATCCTTGTGCAAGATCCTCTCAAAATTTGTCTACCTTACCTAAATCTTCAAAATCTCTGGTAGAGAATTTAAGGTTAAGGGTGATGCACATCTATAGAGAGCGAGAAAATTTTTTTAATATAATATATAATTAATATTAATTTGCATATATATATATATAATAAAATGTACGATTATGTACAGGTTTATTAAAAAACATCTCGTGTTCTCTATAAATCTCACATTTTCGCAATACATTTATTAACTCCATTATATATAACTCTGCTTCACCGAGCTACTTTCTCTTTACATGTTGACTTCTTAGATAAAGCCAGGATTTAGGCTGCAGATATCGCAGCGTCTCATCTATTCTAATCTTACCCTTCTTCAAATGGGGTTAAAACTGGTTTTATTGATTTTGTGCTCTATTCGCATCAAAGTATAACATTTTTCTTGGTAATATCAATATCAAATTAACAAAAATATCTGATAACACACTTGAAAACCTCTTATTGTTCGAAAAAATGGATCAAGCAATAGTTGCGCCAGGCTCACGGTTTGTGATGTTCGATCCCAACCATCAGAACAATGTACAACAGCAGAAATACCACGAGAAACCAAATCAGCCAAAAATGCACTGCAGTCAAGCAGTGATCGAATATGCCTTAACCAACCCGAAGATTCAAGCTGCTTATAGTAATCGGTAATTGTTTTGGTTCGTTGACAAGCTAAAAAAATAAGCAAATAAGCAAATAGGTATAGCAGTCATGGTTTTTTTTAGAGCTCTCACCACTGCTGGTTGGACTCGCTCTGCTAGCTTATCGCACGAGACAAATAAGCCAGGGAGTTCCTTGACGAAAAGGTCAGTCGTCAGAATTACTGAATTTTTGGACAAGTTTAATTCCGTGAAAGGAAGAACCTCAGTATCTGCACTTCAAATTGAGCAACCCACTGAGCTATTCTACTCTCCCATAGCAATATCCATCTATAGTCAAGTTAACTTCTATTTTTGTTCGTTTAAATAAATTAAAAATTAACATTAGTAATAAACTCATCTCGCAACGATCTGCCTTTATTAATGAAAATTTAGAGTTATTATTACCAATTTTGATTCAATTAACAAATGAATACATTCCAATATTGCAAGAAAAACCGATGACTCTTACCGTCAAGCAATTTATTTAAACTTGAACGCATAACATGAATATTCTCGATATCAAAAAAATGAAAGCGCATATTTGGATAATTTTTTATATCTTCGTATCCTTTGCCTTGCATTTTATTCATCATCGCATTCACCTAAAGTATTTTTCGAAATAATTAAAATGATGATAAGATTTGTCTTAACAATTTCCTTTATCATATTAATCAAAACTAATAATATTTAGATTTCATTAAAAAATCAAAAAATATCAAAGAGTTAGATACGAAAGAACATATTTGAATTTTTCTTTTCTTCATAACTTTTCTCATTAAAAAGCTGCAGAATTTTTACGAAATTTTCAGTGAAAATAGACAAAAAACTAAACCAATGGCCTGGTATCAATAAGACAAAGTGATTGATAAGAAGGATTTGTTTTAGCGATTAAATTCATTAGTTGTTCATCTTCGACACAGCGAGCAGTAAAACCTGTTAGTGGTTGGGCGCATCTGCAAAATCTTCCCTAAACTGTAAAAATACAGTTTTTGCTTATTACACTTCAACAAAACAACAGTTCGAAATCAAACCATTTCTTCAAATATTAGGCAATTCCATAAACAACACCGTATTCCTATCAAAAATTTGAATTAAAACATATTAATAAGAAAACTGGCTACAAGGGTAATAATAAGAAACAATATTATACAATATATCGTTTTCTACAATTTTTTCCCATCTAAAAACCAATTTATGAATTTTCTTTCTAAGTCTCTCTACAGAAAGCTGGGCTGCACTTCCAAGGCCATTTCCAAAAGAATGGAATTTTTTTGTTATTAAACAATGAAGAGATCCGAATAAACAGAATTAGAGGGAGCAATGCCATAAAACTAAACCGAACTAAATGACACAACTTCCTAGTCAATTGATTTTTTGACGCATACTTTTGGCGTAAATTATGCGCTGTTGTAATGAAAACATCTTTTCTGTTAGTTATTGCAGGCAAATATCGATGAAATTTATTGGAGACGAGTTGTTAGATATCAGAAGTGAGTCAGCCAAGATTTCTGTGATTCATAATCAATTATCTTCTTTATTCCACAACATGACACTTTTATGTTTGTTTATGCTGGGTTTATTAGAGATGTTTCTGCTGAGGAAAACCACTGGTATTTACGATTAGGATTATTATAGATAGGATACCAAAATGTCTTTCTTTTGTCTTCCTTTTCCTATCTGAAAAAAAGTGAAGCACGAATTGAACTGAAACATTCAACTTATGTGGTCAACAATGTGATCAACGGCTTTATTACAAAATCACAATAGCTTTCCTAACTCAATCTGTTTTTTCACCAGATTTCATTCGATGTTGTGGATCAATTTCGATTATGGAACGCAAAAAGTCTTCATTAATTTTTGAAGACTTACCAAACCCTTCGACTTTCTGTAAATTGAAATCACCATTTCTAAATTTCGAAAATAATCTCAGACACTTCTTCATATTCAATGGTTCTAGATACACTTCGCTTATATAGTTTGTTGCGGTTATTATTTCATTTATCAAATTCCTACATCAATGTTGCAAATGTTCTTCAGATTTTTGAAAATATTGGAAATCATTATTGAATCACTATATGAATACACAAATGTCAACTAAATGACTACTACATAAGCTATAGAAATCACCCATATTTCTTTTGCTGCGAGAAAATTTCTAAGCTCACTTCAGAAAAGCGAAGTTATTAATGGAATGACCTAATATATTGCACTAATGAACAATATAATTCTACTTTAAGATCGGCTTATGAAAAAAAATTAAAATACTGATAATTTTCACTTCATAATAGGCTAAAACTTGGCAAAAATAATAAATACCTCGATATACTTGCAAAATTTGGCCGATGCCAATAAGTGAGGACAGGTAAACGAGCACGACTGCGAAATTTACATGAACCAATAAGAATTTGTTTTGTAGCAGATGAAGGGGTACATAAATATTCCGGATATGTATCACAGTACTAGAAAAATATTGTTTTAATTTTAGCTGTTTCTGTAAAAATTCATTTAGGTAATATTTTATAAAATAATATTTATAGAATATATAAATAATCCAGCGATACATGGAGATAGGAAAAAGGAGTGGAAAAAGCAATAAATTTAGTTATTCGAATGAATGAAGCATTCCAAAATTTAATTTTGGCCACAGAAGTTGAGTTAAAGGCCAGAATTAATAATTACTTCAAATTTGGGTAATTAGTTAATTTCAGAAATGACATTAGAGGCGTGGAAATGCCTCACTTTAGGGATCAACCAAACCAGAAATGGCTCAAGCAGTTAGAAGGATTTATTTCGTTCAGCTTGGATCTTCGGCATTGATTCATTATGAATTTTAGAAACTGTCAGAAAAAAACTTTCACTTTCTTTGCGATAAAATCCGCTGTTTCCACTGTTTTTTATTTGAAATGATTCGAACTATTATCTCGAATTAATAAAAACCAAATTAGAAATATAAATTTGAAAAAATTGAACATACTCGATAATCTACATTAAAATCATTAATTTTCCATAAATGTTTATCAGCAATACCGATACCTTGCCTAGCAAATTCAATCTGCCAATTAAAACGGTCCCAACAACGTTTTCGTCCTAACCAATGTTCGCCATTTTTTTCTCGATTTTCAAAAGCAAAGACATCAATTATGTTAACTAAAATATTTTCTAAAGAAATCTTCCTCAGTATTTCCTAATTTTATGAATAAAGATTTGAATGAAGATGAAAAGTGAAATAAAATATAAAATATAAGATTAAAAGTGGAATGAAGATTAAAAGTGAAGAAAAATATAGCTGAGAATATAAAGAAGTACAAAGAATTTTAAGAAATGAGAAATATAGTCGCATATTTCATAACCTATTTCTTTTCCAATTTAACTTTCTTAAGCCTTAAACCTTATTCCAAATCATAAATTATTAAGTTATATGTATATTATATATACATAGTTAAATTATAATTATAATATATCATAAAATATTAAATTATAATTACATAAAACAATAATTCAAAAAAAAAGTATAAGATACAATTATATTTTAAAAAACGCTACCCGGTCTGCCACATTTCAACAGTGTTTCATATAAATCTTGACAATCTTTATCCTTTGCTATCAAAAAATTTAATGTTAAAAAATGCTTGCATCGAATAGTTAAATATGTCCCAATGGCAGAAAGATTGCCTTTTTCGATATTTCCAATAAGCGCGTTTGCAACCTAAAAGTTATTTTTACTTTTCTAAATAATAAATAACAATAATAAAAATAAATAAAATTAAAATAAATAATTTAAAAATAATAAAAATAATTTTTATTAATTTTAAATAATAATAATTTAAAAATTAAGACAAAATGAAATAGCCACTAATATTTATTTATGTAGAATTTTATTTATTTAATAAAATTTCAAAATTATCAAAAAAAATCAAACCCATATTTCTTTTGATGAATTATCAGCACGAAATATAAAATGTGATGTGGTTATATGAATTGTTCCAACAATATTCGATTCTGATCCAAATTTATCGATTAACTGTACTTTCGTTATCTGAAATTTCTATGTAAAAATAATTTATTTTTATTACAAAAATTATTAATACTGTAAATCATAAAAATCGTAAATTATAAAAATATGTTTAAAAGCTTTAGCTATAAATTTATTACTGACTTCAAAATTTCTATAAATTTGCTACTGCCTTTACAAAAATTTATGAATTTAAAAATGTCGGCATTAATATCAAAAAATTTTGAAAAATTTACCAAAGTAAAGAGGACAAAAAAATACCCCTTTTTTGCAAATATGTCTAACATATAATAGCAAAAAATACCTTAGAAATAAATCCATGAAATTCGGAAATATTTAAAAAACATCTCCCTTCAATGAATTTTTCATAAAATCGATTTAACGCATTATTTATTACCAATTTTTTTCCACTATTTAACATTTTTAAAAAAAATATTTTATATTATAAAAAGTAGAAATAATTTTGTAAAATTACTACAATTCTCGTATCATTCATTCATTTATCAAAATAATTTAAGAGAGGATGGCTTTGAATAGTGTTCAATATTTGCTAAAAAAGAAATAGAATATGAAGCAAATGGCGAGAATACTCAAGTGAAAGGGAAAAAAATGTTGATTCACAAAATCCAATAAAAGAGATCAATACTTCAGGCAAATTTAAGGAACATTGATGAGAAAGAGAATTTTACAGGAATGTTTGAATATTTCTCGAATTTAACTAAAATAATGAAGTTAAATAATAGTAATAGAGGATAAAAAAATAATTTTAACAATTTTAGTGCTGATTCTATACTGAGCTCAGATGAATTTCTCATGAAAGCAAGAATTTCACCTCTCCAAGTAGCCAGTGCACCTGCATCATTTCCAACCAGGATAATGAGAAAACAAAAAGAAGAAAAAAAGAGAAGCAGAAAAAAAATGAAGTGAAGAATTGCAAAAAAAATAAAAACCCAATTTCTCCAATATAATCTCTAAAAACTGTAAGGAAATTCTGAAAAAAATATAAAATTACGAACAAAATTACGAACTAAAAATCATTTTTATTTTCACTATGTTCCGGTTTTTAACCAATGAAGTATGCCCACACTTATTGCATGTTATGCTATGTTGAATTAGCAAAAAACTGTGGACAGTTATACTGAGATCCATTAAAATTGCAATTCGATACCCTCAAAGTTAGGCAAATTATTATGCAAATAAGACTGAGAAAATTGGATGAGATGAGAATCTTTCAAAACGATTTTATATTAAATAAAAAATAAGATGTAACTGAGAGGCATTTTATCAGCGTGCATCAGCGCAGATATATGTATATACGAATGATATTGGCGATTCATCTGTACTTTTACTGCCAAGTGAAAATTTACCTGCTCTGACAAACCAACGATGCAGCTAAGGAGAAATAGTGTACACTTTCAGGATAGATAGCAATAAAAGTAAAAATAATAATTATAAAGGAAAATAGACCTTCGGTGCGAGTATATCTTCCAGTCGCATATTTGTATTTCCCAGATTTATATCACATTCGATTCACATAAAAATAAAGAAATAAATAATTATCAATGATAAAAAACAAATATTTTGCAAATAAAATGAAATGCGATTTTATTAAATTACCAAATTCTAATGAAATTTTAAGGATTACTTTATCAACGAAATTATCAGTGATAATTTTAATAAGCGATATAACAATGCCATATGTGCTTAATGAGTTAAATCTCTCGATTTGGAAGCCTGTTGCTAAAGCCGCGACTCTGACCTTTTGACCTCCATTTCTTTCTTTATATTCACAATTTTTGTTAATACCTCAAAACTACATCTCCACCACCCACTACATCATTCTTTCATCAATTTTTTTCCCCACTTTCCTTAATTAGAAAATCCATTATTGATTGAGCGAATTTATTCGTGGCCACGGACATGTGTCGACTTGAATTGCGGCCCGCAATGAAATTTTTTATGCTAAAATTTATTGTAATAAGAAAAGAAATAATAATATTTGCATTCAATTTAATTTTAATTGCCATAAACAATTAAAAGTGAAGAAAATGCTACAAAAATTGGACGATGCAATAAAATAATTATGAGGGAAAAATTCAAAAATTACATTTAAAAAGTGTAATAAAAAATAAATGGGATTTTGAAAAATTGAAAAAAATATAATTTAATGTGAAGAAAGTGCAACATAAAATAAAAAGTATAATACAATAACAATGCTGGAAGAAATTAAAAAATATAATAGGGATAATACTGAAAAAAAATAATAGAAAATGAAGAGAATTTTGCAAAAAATATGGAGAAAATAACGAAAATGTTCAAAAAATGCTGCGGAGAGCAGAACTTCAGCATCGACGTTCCGAATTGAGTAACAACCCGCTGAAGGGCCGTTAGAGGAAGAAAGTGCACGTTTAGCCAGCCAGATTATTCCTAACTCGAGTAGGGGATATGATACTTGAACTCACTCGGCCATGCAGTCTCAGAAGACGAGAACGACAGGAATACTAATAAATAAATGAGAGAAAGCTTTAATTTCTGATTTGAGAAAAGGAATTTTTCGAAATTTTCTCTATTTTTCGTAAGAAAAATGATGAATATATTTTGATTTGTAAAAAATATTTTGATTTTTAATTTGTATTTATTTTTAGGTATTTATTTTTATGAATTTATTATTGGAATTTAAAAATTTTTTTTATCATTAGAAAATAAAAAATTTATTTATCACTATGAAATAAAAAGAAAATAAAAAAGGTGAGTGATAAAAAATTCAGAACGAAATTTATCACAATCATCCTATTTTTTTCACTTATCTGAGATGTACAGGTGCAAAACCGTTGAACGGAAGTGAAATTTGTTCATTACTGAAGTTTTGCAATTATTTTGTTTAAAAAGCTTTTTGATTTTTTAAACGAAACAATTCATTGAAAAAAAGAAATAATAAATAATTAGAAACATTAAAAATATTTTCCCATTATTACTTTAAAAAATTTTAAGAAGTAAACAAAAATAAAATAAATAGTTTAATTAATAATAATAATAAATAATAATAATAAAAAATAAATAAATATCGTTCCATTTAAGCGTCGTTCTTTGATAGTGATTTAACAATTCAAAATAATTCTTTTTATCAGCAGCACTTGAATTGTTAAATTAATTAATTAATCAGCGTATCCACTTAAAATAATGGACAAATCATGAAATGTGGAAAATATATTTAAAGGGTTAGAAATAAAGCGGAAATCAACATTTATCTTGTTGTACTATAGACCGTATTTGTCTGCATTGCAGTCATTTTAATAATTAATGCAATAGGACGAAAAGCAATGAAGTTCCATACTGGAAGGAGACAGAAAGAATAAGGATTAGAGAAAGTATGAATTAATTGGTGCGAAGGTCCTTTCATTTTTATTAGTTCGCTAGCTTTGGCGAATTTTTGTGAAATTCTCTATTTTTTGAAAGAATTCTTAATTCGACAAACACACTGTTCTTTGGGAAAAAAAAATTTAAAAAAAAAATTAAAAATTAAATTATTCAAAAAAAAATTTTTTTTAAATGTTGGCATAATTGAAATAATTGCAAATTTAAGTAAAGTGGCGATTTTACTTCATTTGACGTCAAATCAACCGAGAATTTTTTAAAAGATAAAAGTGGATTTCACCGCGCTTTTGAAGTTTTACAAATTTCATCTATTGTACTTCAAATATTACATGAAAGCATATTATATGAAATTGCCTTTTTCATTTTTAAGAAAAGCTTAATGGCGATTTCGCATGAAATTTTTGCAGTTGAACGATGAAACATTGCAAAAGCCATAAGAATTTTGATTAAAAAATATTTTAAACAAAATAGAAAAAGGCATATCGGAGATTCGGTATCTCACTTTCATATCTGGTGAAGATTCGAAATATTTTCTGTAAAGGGACTGCATATGAATTAAGAATGAGTAACCTTGCCAAAATTCCACTTTTTTGTAGATCTTTCTAACATGCATTTTTTACCAAATGAACATCGAATGAGGCTCCGGTTCATATTATTTGTCATCCTTTCTCTTAAAGCTATTATCCTTTTCAAATACATGCTTCCATTAGCTCCACAAAAGCTTTAAATGAAGACCATAAATATGATTCAATGAAAAGAAAATTTTTCTCTTTTCCTATATCGGCCAATGAAAAAATTCAATAAGGTAAAATAAAAATTTCATTCTGATTTGCCTGCAATAAAATTTCTGAAAATATCCATACACGGTCCGCATAGCCCGCGTTAGATACGGTACCATGTTTTTAAGTACTAATTCTGTGACCCAAAATTTTTGTAAAAGAATTTCATGAGCAATTACCGAAATTCTCGAATATTGACGATCATATTTACGAGCAAAGGTAGCTTTATAATTTGCAAATTGGTAAAATTTCAAAAACTTTTACATATTTTACATACCACAATCTATAAAATAAGGAGCGTCGATGCTGAGGTTTTACTCCCTGCAAGCGTAAACCTATCCAAGAATTGGGATGATGCTGGCGACTCACCTGCATTTCTATCGTCAATTTGTATGCATACACGCAAAAAAACTCATTTCCTCCAAAATCGGTTAAATTTCGCAAATTTGTCGTCATTATTCATTGTATAGTTTAACATTTCTCCCTAAAATCTCTATAATTTCTACCTTCGATGTACTACTGCATCCTAAGCCAATCACAAAACCATTTCCCATGCCCCCTATCATCTTCCAAAGATTCCAAACCATCCTTAATAATTTTATTATAATTTATTAAAAATATATTAGTAGATTAAGGCCATTTGGGTAAAAAGATAGAAAGTAAGGGTAGAAAGATAATATTTCAGTGTTGCTAAAAATAATACTTTTATATATAGAAATTTCTGCATAATTGTATCGTATAATTTATAGTTAAAATGTGGAAATATATTCGCAGATAAACTATTCTAATCATGAAATTATTCAATTTCACATTTTATTTTAAAACGATTTTAACGATTGTATAGTCATCAAATAGAATAAAGACTGATTTTATTTTTATAATTATTAATAAACTAAGTGATAACAATCTGCATGATGATATAATAAATAAACGAAGAAATTTTTGAAAAATCTTTTTTTAAATGATAAAAAATAATGAAAGAATTTCTCAACAAATGCAAAAAAAATAATGAAATCATTTGTTCAATTGGGAAAAAATATATTTTTATATATATTTTTTTATAATAAATTTTTTTCTAAAATTATGGGTCTTTTTCACGAAACATTTTTTCAAAATTTTATTTTTTACAGATATAGCTCTTCAAATAACCTATTTGATAATTTCAAAAAATTTAATGTTATCATGGTAAATATTACCAGAGGCCTAGAAGATTGAGAGTTGGCAAGCCAGCCTTAGGGTTTTGCCAGAGGAGCGCTTCTGGAAAACCTAAATTCAAATGCTTATCAGAATATTATTTAATGCAATTTGAAATTCTGTTGTAACTCTTTGAGAATTGATTAATTTTTGAGGATAATTTTTTAAAATTTGACTAAAAGATGCGGCAGAAATTAAAATGCAAATATCTAATATTAATTAGTCCTAAAGTTCCTGTAATTTTCCTATACTCTTTTTAGTGGGTGGTTGCACAAATTATCGCCTCTATCTATCTTCAAGAGTCAGGTCTCAGTTCTGGCAAGAAAAAATCGTCTTCCTTAATGGTGCACGCAAATATACCTTTCCATCACCAAGTGGATTTTTAGCAAAAATTTCTTATCAGTGTGCTAACAATTAGGTTAATATAGCTAAATTTTTGTTTAATGTTACTATTCTTTTTAATTATAGTAATTATATTCAAAAAAGCATATAGAAAGCAGTACATTAATTAATTGAATTTAATGAAAATTTATTGCAAATTTGTCGAATTTAATTATCGAATTGTCGAAATCATTAAATCAAATTTTATTTTTATTTATTTCTCAAAAGAATTTTTTTATTTCGAGTTCATATCTAAAATAATTTCAAATTAGCAAGATGTATATTTAATATGGGAAGAAAATGATAATAAAATTTATGCGTTCTTAACTCTGGTTTCGGTGTCCATTCATCAAGTTCGCTAAAACTTAAATTTAAGAATGCGAGCACTCGAACTTGCTTATCGCTAAAAAAACAATGGATGATAATAAAATGATAAGGGAGCCATTAACAAAGAATTTTAAATTTGATGAACTCATTCTACCGGAAAGTATAAGCAAAAATTTAATTTCTTCTTTCGTTCACCTTCGATAGAATTTGTAAGCTATGGTTAGTCTTAGCCGACCAGTACCAGTCCTAAAAATTTTTGATTTATTTGTACTTTTATTCACAAATGACTCACTGATGAAAGAATAGCAGCCAATTGAGTCAGAAATCACGCGAAGACGATGGAAGATCTATGATATATATTTAATATTTAACTGGATACTATATTTAACTGCTTCAGCTTCAGCTACATTCCATGGAGAGGCAATTTATGTTTATAATTGTATTGTTCAGATTAGTCTAATATACAGGAATGGTCTTCGTTCCATCTGATTTTTTCATACTTGAGACGACTTGACTTCGCTTTTAGAGTGGCCAATGCCTTTTTTTATTCTTTCAGCCCCCGAAATTCTTTTAAATTTCTTTTTCATGGCATTGAGAATAAATTGTTAATTTTAAATATTGTTTAAAATTATTTATTTAGGCGTCGAATTATTTAATATTGTTATAAAATAAAATTATATTATTATTTAATGTTGTTTACCATTAGATGTGAAATATTAGACGGTTAGATATTGCTTAAAAAAGAGTCATTTTTATTTTTTTCCAGTTGCAATAAAATTTCATGCAACTTTATTCATTTTCGATTATGCTAGTTCCACTAGCTATAAGGATGATATTCCTCGTCAGAGCATTTTAGGAATAGAAAAACAAGAAGGTCCCACTCAGATTTTTAATGACAATTTACAGTTGGTAGATGCCGCGAATCGCGATAGTTGGAAAGATAATCTAAATGATATATGGTTAGCCATATTCCTCCCATCATATTGATTACGAACATTCTGGTTTTATCGGCAAATAACGAAAAAACGAACAAAACTCTCAGCGAAAATGCTTTGGATTTCAGAATTTATCGATGAACCGTGCCTTAGTTCAACTGAGATTACTACTGTGGAAAAATATTTTGCAACAATTTCGATCGCCATGCTTTACATTCTATGAACTATTCGTGCCATTTTTCCTGATTGCTCTCTTTTTTGGTTTAATGATCGGGGTATGCAAACATCATTTTCATATTTTTAGATCGGTTTTTCTATATCATTTATGTTTTCAAGCAAATAAAATATTACAGAACGATAAATAATCAACGAGATAATGCAAATTTCGAGTTATCTTCTACTGTTTAAATTATTTTAGTGGATTATGTCTAGTTAAGAAATTAGTGACATTAAAGATGCTCCAAAAATCCAGCTGAGCAATAGATCGTGCAAACGCACGGCTATTATTCTGCTTGATCTTCTTTTCAAAAGGCAAAGTTATTAAGAAAATTTGCAGTCAAGCTTCGTCATCCAATTCAAATAACTATCGCTTCCTCGATTTCCGCGGAAAAGAATGAAATATTAGAAGTTTTGATAGATAAAATTCATTAATTTTCTGAATTATTAAATAAATTATGAATTATTAAATAAAGAATTAAATTTTTCTTGACAGATTTATTGTTGAAATAACATATTATCGAAATTTTTAAATTTTAGTTACGCGATCGTTTTGAAAAATCACACAATGAAACAATATATCCATCTTGGTACGTTCAAGGAAATGCTTTTGATCTCATAATACCACCGGACACCAAAAACATGTCGGTATGAGGATTTATGTGCTAAATTTTAAATATTTGTGATTGAAGTTATGCCTATTGCCATATTTATCAGTTATCATTAATTAATTAAAAACTAAAAAGTGAACCAAAAATATTTACTGGCCATTTGACCGAAAAATGTCAACAGTAATAAATTGGAAAAATAGGTTATTTTATAATTTAATTAAGAATCTTATCTTGCAAAATAATGCAGTAATAATCGGATTTTCCAGGGCTCCATGATAGATCCCTTGGTTTTATTTCAAGGACCTAAAAGTGAGGATTGTATTTTTTTAAATATAACAAATGAAAAGGATTCAACAAAATTTCATATCAATCTCGAAATTGCGTATTCGCCTAACAATTTCAAAATTAATCGGATTATGAATACTGTTAAAGTAAGATTTCTTTATCAAACAAGAATTTCCCTTATCAAATAAAAATCAGCCAAAATTTTTCAAATTTCTTTTATTTTTAAAGCATTTTTTTGATGAAAATCTTTTTTTCTGGATTTACTTCTTTGAAATCACTTTTTTGAATAAATTTGTAATGAATCTACTTGAGTTTAATCTTTTAGATTGGATTAATCTTTTCCGTATCAAACAAAAATTTTCCGACCTTTAATTCTGTGAATTATTTTTGAATGTTTATAAATTTGCATTTCCTTTTCGCGCTGATATTTCGACAATATAAATATGATAACAATAAATTCCTTTAGCTTTTTTTCAGGAAAGATTTACAAATTCAAATATTCTTAGTTTACTGAAATTTCTAAACTTAAATACCACCGATAACGAAGGATTGCAGTATTTATTGAATTTGACTATTTCATCAGAAGCATCGCTAACGAGTATATCTTTTAATTATGAAATTATTTAAACAATTGATATAACAATTATTTTGATAAGTGTCGATATGATTTGATGATTATGATCAATGATCAACGATATGATTAATGATTATTCTTTTTCTTCTCCATCTTCGAACCATTTCTAGCTTGCTTCATTAGCAAATAAGATACGCGCGGTCGCAAGCGCCAATCGCATTTTACTGTCATGTTTATTTCAACAAAATTATAGGAAGTGAACTTACTTCGAAATTTACACTTTAATCTTCGTGTGATAAATCCACTTAACAACTTGAAATTTTTCTTTTTCAATTATTGCAGAGGATTACCGAGAATTTCACATGAAATTTCATAGGGATTCATAAAGAGACCATTAGCCTTTCGTAATATTCAATCTATATGACTCTTTAAAAAAAAAGGATTAAATTTAAAAATTTTGGAATTATGAAGAGATGGTCGAAATGTTTCTTCGAGTAAGGTTGAAGTGTGAATTCGATTTATGTTCCTCGGCAGTAATAAACCTGTAATTAAAAGTTTAATCCGAAATTACACTTAATGCTGCTCTATCAGCTACTCCTGCAATCCTATTGTCGAATGATTTTCCAAAGAGATATCACCCTATAAATCAGTGGAGCAAAGGAAGCTAGAAATGGCAAGTGTTGCTATATGATGAATGGAGGAGGTTTTTTAAAGTTAAAAGTATAGATGAAGTTGCCGAATTGTTGTCACTGACCCTAAACTAACCGTAATTTTTGCGACTTGATCAAATTTATTTCCACAATACATTTCATTTTTGTGCCCTCAGGTAAAGATACCGAAAATGAACTCAATGAATATATGGCAAAATCGCTTTCAACCCAATGTGGAAATCCGCTCATTGGTTGCTTTTTAATTATAGACTATATAAATTATAAAAACGCCAAATTAAAGTTCATTCTTCGTTATTTAGTAAGTAATGAAGTAATCGGTTAGCGTTCACGATTTCTGGTTAGCTTCCATTTATGCTTAATAAAGTCAAAAGTTTTTACCTTTAGAGAGTCGCTTGACGATAGAAGAATGGATGAAGCTATTCTAACTAGAACCTCTCGGATTTTATAATGATAGATTCATTATTATAGGATGCAGGACCTTTGTCTTTCAACACAATAAAGTGCCTTAATTCATTTCATGAATATAATATTGCCAGATTTCTTTAAGGTGGAATAGTGTTCGACGAAGATTTTGCTAATTCCAACGAAACTACCAATATTTCTTATAAAATTCGTTTATCAAATACGAAACGTCGTTTCGTTAACCCACTATTCGGTAAATTGCCATGGGATACAAGAATAAATTTCGCTATTCAACTTATATCCGGTCCGATTGATCCAAATGATGCTGGAGGCGGAGACCCAGGTATGCTTAATAACTTATCAAATTTTCAATTCGAAATGAAAGAAGATATGTGATCATCCATTTATCCGTATGAGAACAGAAGGAGCCTATTTAAATAAAAATAGTTTAATATTTAATGGACAGTTCTCTCGCAATACAATTAGAATTTTTGCATTTAGCAATCATGGCCTTCTTTCGATAGTTTTTAATATTTATAGTTTGGCCAGTTGCATTGACCGAGTTCGACTTTTTCTCGAGAGGGTCATTTAGAAATAGGATTATACGTGGATCCTCACTATTTCACTTTAAATGGCGAGTATGTTGCTGGCAAGGAATGAAATCCTCTGTCATTGACCTCAGTTAATGCAATAAATCCTACCGTAATTCTGTCCTATGGCGCAATTCCAAAATTCCATCGCTATTATTTTTAAATAAATTTATAAATTTTTTACGAATCATATTCGATTCATTGAGCTTATAAAAACTTTGTCGAACGCATGCGTGAATGGATTTAGCAACTGAATTATTGATGACCTAAGTTTGGCGAAAGATCTCAGCTCAGTTGAAACAACTAAACCAGATGCAGATTGTTAGAAGAAGTGGTGTAGATATGAAAAAGTACTTATTTTTATAAAATTATATACAAGCGAAGTGATTGAGATTTTTCAGGATATTGGCAAGAAGGTTTTCTTACTTTACAAAGAGCGGTTGACATAGCGATAATACAGTACATAAATGGAAACCATACTGATCAAGAGCTATATGTCAAAGTAGGTATTTATTGAATTAAGCAAATTAGTAGTTAGTACTTGTCGTTCTTGTATCTCATGGCAATTTATCAAGCAGAAATTTTCGCTAGAGAATTACTTGATGATAGAAGTGCATTAAATTTTTAAGTTTTTAGGATCAATTTTTTTCAGAAACAGGAACTAAGTCCTATCAATATGATAGGACTGAGCCACTATCCTTCGTGAAAAGTAGATTATTAACTTATTTATTTAACTTCTTTTCGCACTCTAATATATGATAGTCGTAGTTTGACGAACAAGTCGCTTAAACCAGATGCATTTATATCTTGAAATCTTTCCTAGATGCAACGATTTCCATATCCACCTTATCAAAATGAAATCATAGAAGTTGGTGAATTTTTTCTACCCGTATTGATAATATTTGCTTTTTTACCCAATATTATATATACAGTTCGAATTATTGTCGCTGAGAAGGAGGACCACTTAAAGGTTTCTTTCTTTCTTCATTAAAATTTCTTCTCTGGATTGAGGACCATTTCAATATTTTATTCAATGAGTATTTTTCCATACAGGAATATATGATAATAATGGGTCTTTCGCGTTGGATACATTGGTTATCATTTTTCATCGTAAGCTATGCAAAATTATTGCTCATGGTCGTTGTAATAACAATACTACTTCACATCGTTACCATCAAAAGCGACCCTACGGTGGTTTTTGTATTTTTCCTTTTGTACTCCTTCGATGCCGTTTATTTTTCATTCGTTTTATCCACATTTTTGCAGTCTGGTAAGTATTGCTCTGGATATTACTCTCATCAATTACTATTATTACTGCTAGTAATACTAATATTATTATTAATAATTAGTGTAACGGCTTTAACTATCAGTAATGCTCTATGATAGATGATACTTTATTTTGAAAAGCAATGAAATAACTTATATTGAGCTTCCTTAAATCAATCGTTCATTCAAATTCCAATCAAAGAAAACGACAAAGTAATACTAACATTATGCTTAAACTTAGTTATAACGGTGAAGTTAGATAAGCATAATTATTGCTAATAAAAATAGAAGTTATTATACTCATACAATTGATAATAATAAATAATACATATTAATTAGGGACTGCGGCAACATTAGTTGCTGTTCTTGGTTGGATGTTACTTTATTTTTGGACATCTTTTTTCAATGGAACCGATATTTTGGTACCATATTCATTCGAAATTAGGTTGTTGAATTGCGTAAATCCTAATGTCGTACTGGCTTTTGCTTCGAAACTTCTCGCTCAACATGAAATACACGGTGGGAAATTTTTTTCTAATTATAATAAAAATATCAATCAAAATTTTTTTCAGCTAATACTGTGAAATCAAAAAAAAAAATAAAATAGGTTCCAGAATTTTAAAATTATAGATTGCGGGCTTCATTGGGACAACCTTTTTCAAACAACTTCAGCCGATGATCCATTAACATTGGGGCATCTTTTTATTATGCTTATCATTGATGGTATTATTTTAATAACCACTGCTTGGTATGTTGATGAGATCACGCGAATAGATAATGGTGTTCAGCGAAGACCTTATTTTTTCATTTTGGTAGGCTTTGAATTTATTTTTATAGGGCATTTATAATGCATTCGCTATCTAAATAATAGCAGGCTTTTTTCACTTTCACTTTCATCACAACGCATCATTTTTATGGAATGATTGATTGATGAATTTTTCTAAAATAGAGCAACCAAAGTGGTTTTTTTATGTGGTTCATGAAGTCATAAGGAGAAAAAAAAAGTGTTGCATAATTTCAGCCATCGTACTGGTTTCGCAATTACACAAATAATCAAGTACCACAAGTTGAATCGTCTGATGATCGAACAGAAGATTCAACGATCGATGATGAAAATGTAAATCAAGAAATTGCAATAAATATCTTAAATTTTACAAAAATATATGGGAAGAATTTTTGGAATAAAATTTGGAACTGTCAATTTGTATGTTTTCCATTCTTTATAAAATTTCTATTGAGCGGAAATAATGAACCTCGCTTGCTTCGGATCTTTTTGATTTTTTTTGCTAAATAATTCCGGTTTAGGGTGAGATAGCCGAAAAGAAAGCTGTCTCCAACCTCAATTTGAAAATTTATCGCGGTAATTTGATAGCTTTACTTGGTCACAATGGCGCTGGAAAGAGTACAACATTTTCTATGCTTACAGGTTTGTTCTAAAGTATGGCGGAAGTAAAACCACACTTCAGTGTGAGGATAATCCGCTTCCTCCTTAGTTTATAACTGTTGATTACTATGGCAACCTCCAGTTTAATCATTAATTATTGTTGTGAGTTATAAAAAAAATATAGAATAAAACTGATAACATTGGTTTGGTCGACGATTGTGGACTGGCACTCGCCTCCCACAATTGAAGAAATAATGATTCCACAACAGTTCCACCATATTAACCTTAAGTACAACAAGTAAAATTTTACCAATGTGAACTTTAACCTTTAATCTTTATTAACCTCAAATTCGAACTTCAAACTTGCGTGACCAAATTTTTTAGTAAAAAAATATAGATTAACAAATTAACATCGACAAATCAAGTGTCGGTAACTCGCTGGCAAGATAAGTTCCATCGAGAATCGAGTTTAAATTTGCCGATGCACCACTTTTTGTAGGGCCGCAGTTCTCGCTTAATTGCGAAGAATAAAGGAAAGTAGAATGGCTTTCAGTAGGTTGTTGATCAATTAAAAGCGCCGATGTTCTATTTCCGGCAGGAGGTAAACTTGTCCGAAAATCTAGGTGATTCTGGTGACTCACCTGTTGTTCTATCGCCATGAGACCCCCTGGCATATTTGTCTAGTGCGATATGCCAGCAGAGTGAGTCCAATCAGTAATGGCAGGTACTCCTATAAAGGAGTTTTTAAAAAACCTCTGATCCTACGGAAAGAAGGAAGAACGGAAATACAAACGGCTAGCGATTCAGAAGAAGCAATTTTAAGATTTTATATTAATTAGTTTGCGCAAGGATGTTTGGCGATAAATAAATAAAATTAAGTTCGAGTTCAAGATTTCGTTATACTTCTTGACGTAAGCTATTACCAATAACTTTAATAATAATGTATCGTAATAATGTTATTAGTACCATTGTAATATTATTTATTCCAAAAAAGAAAGAAAAAAGAAATAATAACCACGCGCTAATAAAAATTGCACAAAATATAAATACAGTACAGTTTTATAAAAATTAAAAGAATAAAAGCGAAAATTATTTTGCTGTGACAGTATAAGGCTGAGGAGAATATATAGTTGTGATTGTGTTTAATTCATTTTTCATTTGAAAAACTAAATAATTGATGATGCAGAAACTATTTCAGTAGAAAATTTATTCGAGAAAGCAACTAATTCTGCGAATGAGGAAATTATTAGCTGTTTTATTTCGCTTCAATCTTGCAAATTATTAGTTGTTATAAGAGTTAATTATCAGTGATAATTTAATATGAATGAATATGAATCTCAGGCACGACCGTTCCATCATCTGGTACAGCCTATATCGATGGATACGATATTCGTACATCGCTGCCCGAGATTCGCTCTCGACTTGGACTTTGTCCACAGCACAATATTCTATTCAATACTTTAACTGTAATTGAGCATCTTGAATTTTTTTGCAAAGTAATTAATTGATATTTTCATTAAAAGTTTGTCGAAATATATTTTGATATATTTATTATATATTTATTATTTATTTTGATTTATTTATATTTATTTATTTATTTTGATATATTTAAACATATATTTTGACCATGTGGAAAGCTCGTAGTTATTTTCTTTGGAAATTCATTGGCGAACACTGCAGTAAGCAAATGGGATTCTATAATATAATAGCTTATAAGAAATACGCACATTGGTGCTGATCCAAATAAGAAATATTCTTAAAGCTGAAAGGAAGATTCTGGAACAAATATGAAGCAATGCAACTGATTAATAGACTGAAAATTGCTGACAAATCGAATAGTTATGCTAACGTTTTATCGGGTGGCCAAAAACGAAAACTTTCGCTTGCAATATCACTTATCGGTGGATCCGAGGTAATATTTAATGCTCAATCATATTATTCGGTTTCTTTGCTAATTATGAGATTTAAGATTATACTATTAGATGAACCGACATCAGGAATGGATCCTGAAGCACGACACGACGCATGGTCACTTCTTCAAGGCGAAAAAGTGATTTGTTCTATTTTAAAATTTTAATAAATAATAAAAATTGAATAAAAATGATTTTTTTATTTATGCTGAAGATAATATTTGAAATACCGATAGCGTTTTTATTTAAAGAAAAATCGAACGATTCTTTTAACAACTCATTACATGGAAGAAGCTGACTTATTGGGAGATCGTATCGCAATTATCTGTAACGGCGAATTACAATGTTGCGGTTCTAGCATGTTTTTGAAAAAGAAATATGGTACTTTAACCGTTAATTCAATCTTCTATTACACCATTTCTGATTCGACTTGTTACACTAAGCTAGGATGACACTTTTTTGCCAAAGAATCAATCATAGGAATAGAAAGTACACATGAACCCCCAAAATCACCCACAATTTATTAATTTCAATTAATTTTCTGTTGTAATTTTTGAAATGAGATATCATTTATTATTTATTTATTTTGAGCTTGGAACATGCGAGGTTCTTTTATTACAAGAGTAGCATGGAGCTTCTTTATTGTGCGAGATGATATATTTTACTTTTTAAATCTGATTTTAGGCTCCGGTTATCATTTAACAGTAATGTATAAGACAATTCAGTCATTGCAGCAACAGGAAAAAGTAGTAAAAGATAGTCTAGCTTTAATCTCACATTATTGCCCGGATGCTCAGATACAGTCATGCGCTGGGCTTGAAGCTACATTTCTACTTCCATCTGAATTTCGAAGCAGGTACAGTTTTCTTTTTCTTAAATTTTGTTTTCTCATGATATTTTTTGCATTCAATATTTTTGCCAAGGCCATTACAATCATTGCGACTAGAGTTTGAAAATATAGAGTTTAAAGGTTCCCATCTCTGTTCCGTGAAATGGAAGAAATTGGCGAATCGATAGGAATATTGTCCTTTGGAGTATCCATCACGACTATGGAAGAAGTGTTTTTAAAGTAATCATTTTGAGAATTCGTAGTATCTCTTGAGAAGGCCATTAATTTTTACGCTTTGAATGCACCATTTATGGGTTCAAATGCCTCTTCCTCTTGAAGGACATAAATTGGAAGTTTTCATTGGAAATTGAATGCATCTGCGGAATAAGTCTTTCCTTCAAAATTCCAATGCCGATTAAATCTTTAGAGTGAATCGTTTCCCACTTGCTTCTAATTTTAATTCGCCAACTTTTTTTGAAATTTTAATTCATACAATTTATTTGAATGAGCTCGAAAAACATCTCCTCTCACGAGCAAACTTATTCAGAGTGAATCAGTTGGCGGCAATGAAAATTTTCGATGACAAATTAGCCTATTTGAAAGATGGTAGCAATAACATATCAAATGATATTTCTATTCAGCGTATGTTTAACTTTATTTTCTACTAAGGAAAATGCTCACCAAATGAACGTGCAGATTTGTCTTTAAGCACTGACAAATGTTGTAAATTAACAGCTCGTTACAAAACTTTGCTAAACCTTTTTATTTTCGCCTATTCCTAATTCTCCTGTATAACACGTGCCAACCTAATGTTCGCTCACCAAAGACCGCCTATTCATAATCACAAAATTTTATAGTTTTAACCGCGATTGCAACAAAAATGAACAGTGAGATTTGGCAAGGTGATAGCTCAAAAAATGAAAGTGGGTGGTATTAAGGGGCCGCAATTGGCTCTGTAAAAGCTAAAGTGACAAAAGAGAGTTTACTATTAAGTAGGCTACATCGTGGTACTCAAAGAACATAGCTAATTTGATGGTGTATTAAGGGAAATCGTAATTCCCTATTCCGTCTATGGTAAATTTTCAACGGTTACCACTGCCTTTCGATAATAGAATACTGCAATACTGGAAATCTATGAGTGTCAGAGCTGTTGTCACTCAACACCATATAAGAAGAATGCGGAAGTGAAGGAGACAATAAGACGTTAAGGGAAATCCAGAAAGCTTTTAAAAATGTATAAAGCCATTAGTAGGAGGATGTTATTAACTTGTTGAAGCAAAAGAGAAATTGGGAGATGAGCGAATGTTAAGGAGAAATGACAAGATTCAAAGGTTAGGATAAGGCATTTAGCGAGGATTAAGAGTTTTCACAAAATGTGGCAGATTATAAATAAGTTTGTCACCAGATACACAGACACCGACATTGCCAATTATCGTATAGGCTATTCAATTCATATAGTATTTTTTAATTTCGATCTTCAAAAGCTTATAACTCTTCTTCTAGGCCTACGAACAAAACGACGTCTTATTGGATCGCCATTATATATTCAACATTTTCGAGCAATGTTTATCAAACGATCAATCTTTTTCTTTCGAAAGTGGACTCTTTTCATTCCGCAATTATTAATTCCAGTTAACCAACGTTCTTTTTTTATTATACATATTTTCGTATATATATTTTATATAATTTTTATTTTATCAACTTTTTATTTCTGTCCATCAAAGCATTTCGGAGGCATTGAATACAGTATAGTAGGAAAATTCATGAACTTTTTTAATTGTAAAATTTAGGTGATATTCATGGCATTGTTGGTTTGGTCAGCGATTACTGTACCTTCAGCCAAAATTCAAGCACCTCAAATCATTAACATCCAACCTTATTCGAAAGACAAGCCTGCATCTATTTTAGTGGAAAATCAGACCATAAGTGCATATGGCGAGAAACTGTCTTTGCCTTTGTTAGTTCGACAATTTATTTATTTTTTCTAAAAGCTTATTTCTGGTACAAGCTCGCTTGTCAGGCCAGACATTTCATTTGCCAAGGAGTCAGTGGATCATCAGCTCGGTTTTTTTTGAGCGATAAACTTATTCATGGCGAAACCAGAGTCTCAGCGTTAGTCCTTTCTAAATTAGAGTAAAAATCCACTGTACTGTGCTTTACTTCATTTATAATTATAATGAGTGAATGTTCTCATTTGTGAAAGGATACAGGTTTTTTGTTATGTTAATCTGACCTGACTTTTCAGAAAAAAAGTGAAATTTTCTAGGTCTTTGTTGATTTATAGATTGTTAAAAGAAACCTTAGCCACAAGAAATTCTGAAGATTATTTCTTGATTATGCCTTATACTAATGTGCCGATGGAAATCCTCGCAGAATCAGAAATGGCAAGCGTTTGCAAAAATAAATTTTCTTCAAATCTATTTATATGATGGTTAGTCTAATGTGCAATTTAAGAAAAAAATTGTTTTTCAGGAAGGAACCAGAGGATTTGGACTTCATAATCCTGTAGCATTTCGCCTAGAAGAGGACCATTTTGGTTTTTTCTCTACAAAATCAATCGTTGGTAATCATTGGCTTTTTTAATTCATTCATCAAATTAAATATTCTCGTTATTTTTATAAATATTTCTTGTAATCTAAATTTTTGAGAAATCTCAACTATGGAACAAAAATTGAAAATTGAATTGAATTGAAAAATTGAAAAAATCTGAAAATATGAAAAAATTCTTATAACCTTAGAAAAATTCAACGAAATCATATCTCACGGAATCATCACGCATAGGAAAATGATGATAATGAGTAGCGGATTCTTCATGATGCCCATGATTCACTTGATTTCTAAGCGACTTCTTGTCGAAAAATCAATTAGCCAAACCAGAAACGATGTTGTGAGATGAAAAAAGAGAAGATGCAATGAGTTTATATGAATTCAAATATAAGGGGAAATTAATGGAAACCAGCACGAGCTATGGAAAACTTTTTTAAAGAAAAAATTATGCATTTTGCTTACGACCTACGAAACAACAACACGCTCGTTTTGTACAAAGGCTAAGTCAAAGGCTACGAATTTATTCGAACTTTTGGATTGGATTTTGCATCAGAAAATACTTATTGCTCTATTTTTTACAGCAATGTTCAATAATTTTGGACGATCTGCGCAGCCACTCGCATTGAATTTGGTCGATTCAGCAATTCTTCGAATGGTGACGAAGAAAAATACAACTATAAATGTATGCTTCCGTGCTAATAGAATTTACCACATTCCTCTAATAAAAAAATTTACAAAGATATTTAGGCCATCAAAAATGAAATCCATGTGAGTACTGAAGATTCGCTTGCAATTAATTCATTAAAGTACCATTTAGCAAATGGCCAGAAAACCAAAGGTGTTGAATGCTGTTAGAAGAAGAATAGAAAAAAAGCAAAATATTTTCAGACAGTCAATCATCCACTGCCTCCAACAGCTGGGGATTCGTTAAAAACAAAAGATGCCTATAATGGACCAGCATTGTTAATTGGTTACGCTATAATAGTGTCGATGAGCATGGTCGTCTCTGGATATTCTTGCTTTCTAATACAGGAAAGAAGTCGAAAAGCTAAACATTTACAGGTTCACAGTTCACTTAAGCAAAGCAGCAAAGTAAATAATTTGGCATCTCTTTGTTAAAATTAACCTAATCGTCCAATCCTAATTTTCCATAAAAGTTATCTCAACAAACCCCATTATAGCTAATGAGTGGTTTGAACCCATTAATTTATTGGACGACTGCTTTTATATGGGATGCTATTTGTTTTCTGCTGCCAGTTGTATCATTTATCGCTATTTTCGCAGCTTTTGATATCAGAGTAATTTTTTCTTTCCAACGATATTATAGAATTGCCACTTTTCTCATTGCTATAGAAATTTTAAAAACTTTCTATAAGAAAACTTGAAAAATTTTAGAACTTATAGAAATTTAAATTTTAGAAATTTTTAAAATTTTACAAAAATTTTTAAAATTTTAAAATTAGGGAAAGAAGAGAAAAGAAAAAAATCTAAAAATTAAAAAATTAAGACAACTTTAAAAAAGTAGAAGAGAATGATCTCAGGTTTACATACAACGATCAGATGTTGTCTTAACTCTTATATTAATAATGTTGTTATATGGATGGTCTCAAATACCTTTTGTATATCTTCTCTCATTTGCATTTAATCTTGCATCTAAAGGATATTCGATGATTGTCGTCTATAGTATTATTACAGGTAAGCAAGAAAGTCTTCTTAATAAGATAGTCTAAGTCGGCGTCCACTCTGCTATCCTACCCCCATTATTGTAGCTATCTTGACCAATAAACAATACTGGTGCCATAAATTTATTTATATGAAAAACTCGCAGTTAGTAGTGCACTATTTTATTTTAATTTAAACAAGTTCTATTATTTTTTTTGATTTTTTAATTTTAGGTATAATTGGTGCAATAGCGGTGCCAATAATTGAACAAACCACAAATGATGATACAGCAGATATCGTTTCCACAATATTGTCGTTATTTTTTCCAACCTATAATCTCAATAGCTGTTTCACGAAAATCTATGGCAATGAGTGCCGACGTCAAGCTTGCTCAGTAACTGACTGCTCATTCTCACAAAATTTTGGCACACTTATGAATATCTGCTGTGGAACTGATGATGGTAATCAGTTTTCATAAATTAAAAAGCAGTGAAATCAATGAATGCCTAAGGTTTCTGTATATGTATGCATTAAGCAATGGCAGTTCGAGAACCTTAGACAACCGTTCTATGTTTCCATACTTGAAACTTATTTAATATTGCTTTAATTTTCATTTCACCTCTTAGGTCCCTTGACACAATCATCTGGAAAGGCCGCAAAATCATGGTACTCATTTCAAAGTTTGTCGCACTTTAGAAATACCCACTCAATCTGTTTACTCTCATTTCTTACAAATTCATTTTCTAGTGTTTTCAATGTTCTCGTTTAGAACGGACGAATGTATTAACTGTACATTTATTTTCGTCATATTGAAAGAAATATGTTAATTTTAAGAGCGTATCTACACGAATAATATCTTAAGCACAGCTGGCAAAAAAGGTTTACTCTTTTCAATTATATTTTTCGTGGCTCAAGGATTTACATCTTGGTTCCTTATATTTTGCGTTGAAAGCGGCTATCTAAGAAAATGGTTCTTGGCACCGAATTGTGACAACTTCCAGGTATTTCTTTATCGCATTGCTCTATTGCTTCTTGCGAAATTAACGATTTTTAGGTGAAAATGAAGTGTTTTAGATTGCCGAAAACCAAGAAGACGAAGATTCTTGTGTTCAAATGGAAAAATCTTTAGTTCGATATATGAACGAATATAGCGCACCTGTGATTGCGAAGAATTTAAAAAAAATTTACGGCAACTTCGATGCCGTAAAAGGTGTCAGTTTCTGCGTGGATACTGGTGACTGCTTTGGATTATTAGGTATCGTCTTGCGGATCATTACGATGTTTATTGCAATGCACCGCAGCATTTCAAATGCTTTTTTTGTCTTTGAGTAACTTCATCAGCAATTTTTCTATTTTTTGCGATTTACCGTTATTATCACAGTCGTTTGATAGATTTTAATCTGACAGCTATTTAAATTGGAAATTACATTTGAGGTGTGAATGGTGCAGGAAAGACGTCAACATTCCAGATGTTAGCTGGTGAAAATTCTATATCCTCCGGTGATGCCTTTATTAAAGGCCACAGTATTGCAATGCAGTGGCGAGAAGTTATTTATTTATTTCTATCATTAAGTATTTTAGTATAAGGCAAAAATTTTCTCTACAATCGTAGTATTAATTTTTTCATTCTTTGCTTCTTAAGATCTGCATTTCTCTTTTAACTTTCTTTATATATATGTTTTTATACTTTTTCTCCATTTGGCTGGCAGACTCTTTTACTTTGACCAGAAAGTTACTTGGAGGTAGAAATGCAGATAGGCTAAAACTACTACGCGAAATCCCAAGGATACCACGTTGCTGAACTGGTACCTTAAACATTACACCATTCGGCCTTACACATTTACTTGACTTCTACTGAAAGATATGTTAAAGGCAACAGCAGAAATTGGTTATTGCCCACAATTCGATGCACTTATCGATGAAATGACAGGAGAAGAGACGCTAACGATGCATGCACGAATTCGTGGAATACATATGGATGATATATCATCGATCGTAAATGCCGTTATTGATGCTGTTGGCATCAAAATTTGTGCAAAAAGAATGGTAAAAACCTACAGCGGCGGAAATAAGCGCCGTTTGAGTCTGGGTATAGCGCTTGTTGGTCTTCCAGAAGTTTTGCTTTTAGATGAACCGACTACTGGTGTTGATCCCAAAGCTCGAAGAGCAGTATGGAATATTCTCTTGAAGGTGAGTTTAATCACTCGCTCGACTTCTGTAGTTCATATACCCTTAAATCGTTTAATTTTGAAATTCTAGTCTTAAAATCAGTCTGAAATAAAGCTTAGTGATTTGCACCATAAAAGAAAACCATATGAACGACCATAAAAAACACTTAGGTGAAAGAAAAAGGTACCTCGATAGTTTTAACTTCTCACAGTATGGAAGAATGTGAAGTGCTATGCAATAAAGTTGCGATTATGTGCCATGGTCGATTCAAATGCTTAGGAACCACTCAACAAATTAAATCCAGGTAAATCTTTCCTTGTACGTGGTGCTTTGGAATACATTTAATCTTATCATTTCAAACATTTGGTTGTATATTTATCTCTGCCCGAAATAAAATTGAATTGTTGAGGTCTCACTTGCATTTTTACATTTTAAAGCGATTCTCTTGAGAAAATATCTCACTCTAATTGCCGATAGAATGAGCCCATAGTGATTGCTACCTGCCGATTTAGTATATCAGAAATTTCAAAGAAAAAATCCTATTGAATCTTTCTTTAGGTGATGCACTTAATAATGAGAGAGTTCTCACCAGTACTGGTTAAACTCGCTCCACTGACTTGAGCAACATGGCAGAGATTCCTTTGTCGGTAGAAACATAGATCTCGGAGTCGCCAGCATCACCCAGATTTTCTTACAGGTTTATTTATGGGGGGAATCGGACCTCAGCATGGGTTCTCCCAATCGAGCAACAACCCACTGAGCTATTCTATTCCTGGGTGACTTATAAGAGCCTATTTTATGTAAATTTCTTTGAAGATATGGTGCAGGATATACGCTATTAGTCCGGCTAACATCGCAATCTGAAGCTGAAGATATAAAAGCAGTTATAAAAAAAGCTTTTCCTGATTCAATTCTAAAGGTTTCCTTATTTTACCCTTTATTTAACGCAACTTATAATTGTTTATATATTCATTAGCTATTCTTCCAGCTATCATTCACAGCTGCATTGAATGCTAAATTTTTAAATTTTTATGCTAAATTTTTAAATTTTTATGCTAAATTTTTTTGCGAAAAGGAATCCACGACTTTCCGAAGATCATATTTCACAGAAAATACCAGTTTAATTTTCTGAAACTTTACGCTTTTCGAAGTTTAGGAACAACACCTCCTACAGCTTCGGTATGAAATAATCAAAAACAATGAGAACAAATGGTCAAACATGTTTATGAAAATTGAAGCAATCAGCAGAAGATATAAAATTGCCGACTATTCATTGTGCCAAGCCACACTGGAACAGGTCCCCCTTCTTTTTCTAACAGTATTCGTAGTTTTTATTTTAGCTGAATCTACTTTTCCCCGAATATCGCTTGAGGAATGAGGTACAGTTCCACGGCATTTATTTCATTTTTAATAATAGATTCGCTCTCATCAAGGAATTCGAATCCAAAAGCATAAACTCATTCCTTTAGTGGTGAAAATATAAAAAGTGACATGGAAACGATCGCTGTTTTTTACAGGTATTTTTGGAGCTTTCTCATAACACATCGATATCAAATCGCAGTGCAAATAAATCAGTTTTACCTAGTTCAAATATTTTAAATGACTGGACTTAACTGCTCGAAAATAGTCAGCTGTAATCTAAAACATGTGTCAAATTCCGCGCTTAAGCTTCATTAGAAATTTATTCTAAACATCATGGAGTTTTAAGTACCATGAACATTATATGTCATTTACGAAATATATCTGAACTATATATACATAATTGATTTTTGTTAAAATGATAAAGCAATGATAAATAATAAAAAATAAAAGCATTATAATAATTACGTGAAAAAAAATTGCAATTTTCAGCGTATGCTTTTCTGGCTTTTTCATTTCAGTTGTAATTTCAGCGTATGTTTTTCTGGCCTTTTCATTTTTTCTAAATAAAAATAATATGAAATAAGCCATTATCAAAGGAAAATTCTGTATCAAAAATGCTAAATGTGGATATGGATTCATAAAGTTCAAATTCAGCTCCATATATGATTCAGTATGAAAAGGAAAATAAACACTGAAAAAAGAACTGAAAAGATTATGAAAATAAATCATAATGGTTAGAAAATATTTACCCTTCGATTTCTTTTTGCTGTAGAGTTCATGGCCTTCCGATTTTTTTGCTTGTTTATCGCTTTTTCTCTGCGATTATCCTTCTTTTGCCGCGCATCAACAACCTATAGTTTAAAAAAAGAAACTGTCAGATCTTTCTCTAATTTTTTCCTAAATTTTTTCCTCATTTTTGATGATAACTATATAAATTCAATAAAAACATCTAAATTTTGGAGCAGGAAAAGAAGCAAAAAACTTTGAGAAAGTGGTCAACCTTATATAATCCACTAGGCCTCGATGTTCGACCCATTTTTCCTTTCGTCATCACCTTATAAACGATTTCTTTCCTTTTCATTGTAATATTTTTGCGATATAATCTGCATTAAAAAATCATAAATCACGAATAATTTAAGATTAATGAAAACTTCGTAAATTTAGATAGAAATATGTTGAATACAAAGCAAAATTTATTTAAAAGTGGAAACCAAACTTTTTCAGTTCACGGATTTTTTCATTATAAGGCAAATTTTCATTTTCCATTAAATTTTCAGCTTTTTTCTTTGTCTTTTCCAGTTTTATAATTTGTCGTCGCTTTTTTCTGGCTTTGGCTTGCGCTATCTAAATTATAAAAAGTTTAAAGACTGAAGATTTAAATTTAAAAACTTTTTAAATTTAAATCTTAAATTAAATCTTAACAAAATTTAAATTCAAAAAATTTAAATTTAATATAATAGAAGAAAAGAAAAAAAAACAATTCAATTACGTAAAAATTATCATCATCAAAAATAACCGACTTAAGACCCAAACCTTTTTGATTGGTCGTGCATTTAATTCCTTCATTTGATCCTTATACCGCTGAATCTGCTCCTAAAATTTCGAAATTTCTCCGCTTTACGCAACAATTTTGATTTTTTACAAAAATATTAAAGTAAATAAAAAATTGTAAAAAATAGAGATAGTAGAGAAATAGGAACTTTTGTAACAGGTAACTCCTTCCGGTAATGCCTTGCCTCGTCCTTAACGAACCAATCAGGCAATCCTTCATCATTATTTGTATATCTGTAAATAAGATACTGGATTATATCTAAATAACTATAAGATGAAGTCCCAACAGGATACAAACCTGTTCCAGGCCCAGTCCTCCAAGTCGCGACGAGTTTTTGAAGAATAAATTAGTTGCTCACCAAGAGCCAACACTTCAGGGGCTAATTTCACCCTCTTCGTCACTACAATTGAAAAGAAAACAATACAATTTAAAGCAATAAAAGGAGATTAAAAGTATTATCTAACAGAAGCCAAAAAACGAAATAAAGATTTGATAATAGTTCCGTATTACCAAGATTTTCTTTATCCTTGATAGATAAGCCTTTCCTTTTTGCCATCTTCAGATCATCAATTTGTATCTTTTTATCATTTTCATTCGATAAATCGTCTAAACATGAAGTATAAATTTCTTCGTTATTCTCCTCCACTGAATTGAGAACTTCATTATCTGCCCATTTTACTTTGTTTTTTTTCCCATCTAAAATGGTGATCAATGAAAAAATCAGCACTCTTATATATTAGAAATTCAGAGCAGAAGGAAGATAAGTGAATAAATGTAAAAAACAAATCTTCTTTGGATAAAAACGTGTTTTAAGACATAAAAACTGGCATTATCATAACAACTTGCTTTTTGAACGATTTTCCAATATTCTTTCGACTTCTCTAACAGCTTGATCGTCATCATCATCGTCAAGAAATTCTGCGATACCTTCCTGAAAAATGCTACTTCACTTATGAATGATGGGAACATAACTAAAATGAAATAAATTGACAAAAGATAACCAAAATACCTGAGCAAACCAATTCGACATATGTGTCTCATTTCTCTTTTCCACAGGCAAATAACTCTCATCATCATGTATCAGATTTCTATCAACCATCTCATTAACACTGAAAGGAGATACTTGAAATAACTATAGAGTTCGATTAATAAACAGTAAGACGGCCACAGACTAGGTAATAGTTAATACAAAAATCACCCTTCCAAAATTATATCAGAGTTTTTATCGAAACCGTCGTCACTATCATCGTCTTTCTCACCAGCAGCATGAACTGATACTTTAGAGTTCAGGGAAATATTCGCTTTTTCTCTCTTATCATCCTTTATTCCTATTTTCTTAGCTTTAGCTATTTTATTTAAGGAGAAAAGGTCTTGTTCTTGAGGTAGATCGTAGGCAGAATCTTCATGAACCATTTTTAATTGTTTCCGCATTTGTATTTTTGCCTTTTCCTTCAGTAATTTTCGACGTTTCTTTTTTAAAGCGGCCTGAAATATCAAAAAATTGCCTATATAGACAGTTTTTAAGAAAAAAATAACTGAACGGAAATTTGAAATAAATAGCAATTTTTTTCTTTAAAAAAAAAATAAAAAGAAAAAATGAAATAAAAAAATGCCCCCTTTCTTATTAATAACATACTTTATCTATAGCACGTGCTTTGGCAATCTGTTCATCGACAAGAGCAAGCCGTTGCTCCCTTGAAAAACAAAATAATAGAGCGGAAACAAAAATAATGGAAGACGTAAATATTGATATTAAAATCGCTGAATCGTTTGAAGGACAAGAATGAATAAAAATGAGAATATCAATTTAAAGCCAAACGAATAAACCATAAAATAATTGCGGCAAACGATTATATCATTTGTAGCTAAATTAAAAGCCAAAAACAGACTCTATTTCATTTTCATCCAGTTGTGATGACACTCCTGGATGTTCTTCCGCCTTATCTTCCTCTTCGCTCAATTCTTTTAATATCTTCTTTCTCCAGTTCAAAATGAGACGAAGTTCTCTAGGTCCACAAACTTTTAAATCCATAATACAATGTTGTAGTTCTTCAGTGGTCGCTTCATGTTTCTGCCATATTTCATCGTCTAGCACTATCTTAAGTATTTAGTCAAGCACTTTTATGACAAAAATTGAATATAGGCGACGAATAATTCGAGAATATATGGCATTAAGAAGTAAAGCTGTTGAAAAAAATAAAAGCTGTCGAAATTAACCTGATTAACGCTTCCTAAAATTTCGAGATAATTTTTACTACGAATAAATTCGCTAGCTGTAATTTTTTTGTATAGCAAAATCTGATCTTCATATCCTTCTGGTTTTGTTTTCTTTTCATTTTTGCCACTTTGAAAGATTCGATACCTACAAATTAAAGAACGAAGCATGAAACGAAGGAAGTCCTATGTAAAACTTACACATCAGGCTGTTTCGCTTCATCGCTGGTGTCTAAAAATACTTTCTTTGAGTCGAGGAGACTGGAATCTACTTTTGATGGCTTCAAATATTTTTCACAAACAACAAAAATTTCAGCTGATTCTAAACGTGAGGCGGCTGGCTTCCAAACATGAACCTCAAAATTCAAAATATAATTACAAATATAAAAACCAAAATAAATTGTGCTTTGACAATTAAATCTGTAAAGTATTTATCATAAATCACTCACTTTTCGAAATAATTTCTGAAACACTGAAATAAGACAATGATAGTCTTTAGAACGAAAGATTTTTGTTATGAAGTAGCCATTCTTGGAAAGAATTTGAGTAGCAAGCTTCAATGCAGAAAGACTTAAACAATTTTGTTGGAAAGCGTCATGCAACCAATTCAAACCAATATTCGGTGCACCATCATGAAGCACGCAATCAGCCTAAGCTCAACTTTTTTTATCACGCCATTAAATTAAACATTTATCTAACAAAATTCATGATAAAGTGGATTTGCTGAAAAGATAAAAAGATCTCTCATACCTCCCAATTTTGTAATTCTTTTTTAATCATTTGTCTAGCACTCTCCGTTGTTATATCACCTTGCAAAGTAATACATTTATCAACAGGTTTTATAGGTACCAAATCGATTCCTAAAAAAGGAAATGAATTGAAAATTAAAATAAGATAAATTTAAGCACTACTGCGATTTTAGGATTTTAATTTTACTAAGAACAAGGAATTCAAGCAACTTTTACCATTACTAAATCTTATTTACCTCAATCTTTAATTAATATAATATATTAATTAAAGCTCATATTAATATATAATATATAATGAATTACGGAAATGAAACTAACCAATACGTATGGATGAAATTGGCATATTTTGTGCAGCAACTTGAAGCCATCCTCCTGGAGCAGCACATAAATCAACAACTGCACGCGATTTTTGCAGGAATTCAAAACGCTTATTTAGCTGTATTAATTTGAAAGCCGCACGAGATCGATAGCCTGAAAGCAAGAAAATCATAATAAGATTTAAGAAAAGAAACTAATTAACCTAATTAATCTGTTTTTATAACAAGCAAAAAAAGTGAAAATTAGTCGACCTCCACGTAATAACTGAGGACGAATGGATAGCGCTCGCTTCGATTAGTGATAAGGTACCATAGTTTCTGTGGATAGGATGGCTCATAAATGGGTTGTTGCTCAATTCGGAACTGAATTCTGTTCCACACAGAAGCAAATATGTCCAAAAATTCAGGTGATGCAGACGACTTACCTGTACTTCTATGGCCAAGTGACTCCCTGGCATGATTGTCCAGTGCGACAAGCCAGCACAGCGAGTTCAACCAGTAATGGTGAGGAGCACAGTTTCTGTATATAGACTGGTAAGCCCACCATTAATAGTGAAATCCGGATGATAAAGCTCAACCAGTAAATATGAAGAGAAAGATTTTTATGCATCATAAAAAATGGTGGAAAGGGAATTTTAGGAAAAACAGATTTAAAGGGCCTAAAGAAAAAAATTGAAAAAGAATCTAATATTAATATTTGCTAATTAATTATTAATAATCAATTATTAATAATCAATAATAATCATTATCAATAATAATAATAATCACAAAATGATGGAGACATAATAACAATAACAATAGCAATAACAATTATGATTTATAAATAAAAGAAATGGTTAACAATAATTGATTAATAATACAATTATATAATTATAAATGTAATTATAATCAACATAACTATAAAAATAACTATAAATAATAATATTATTTATAATCTATAAATAATTTACAGCATTTATTTATAATCTATTTATAATTTACAGCATTATTATTTAATAGCATTAAATTAATAGCATTATTATTTAATAATGCTATTAATAATGATAACAATAATTAATAATAATAATTAGTAATAATGGTAATAAATGTAAGAATATTAATTTAAAATAAAATAATATAATAATAGAAATATTTTATATTATGAATCAACTATAATAGAAATAATACAATAAGAAGAAATAATATTGTAAATAATATTATAAATAATAAGTTAATATAACAGTATTACCGCTAACGATAATTCAAAAGAAAATCGAAATCGAAAAAAAAATGGCAGGAAAGGTAGAATGGCTCCGGAGTGCCCTGTGCCAGTTGTACTCCAGGCGCAACCTATTTTCCAAAAACCCAGATGACCCACCAGCAGTTCCATCGCCTGGCATAGATTGCCCTGGCAAAAATATGTCTGCACGACAAGTGGTGAAGTGAGCCAGAAAGTTGGCCTCTCTCCATAAAAAAGGTGGAACATTTCTTATAAAATAAAGATAGAGTGGTGAACATTGGAGCGACGAGGGGTCCGGTTTCCGGAAAAGTGAAATCACTATAATGAGAAAAATTAAGGAATTAGTTACTAAAAAAGAGAATTATGAGAAAGGGAGAATTACAATGATTAGTCGACCAAACTTTTCGCTGCCAAAACCCGTAAAATTAAATGTAATAATTACTATGGAACAAAATTTATTACTATGGAACAAAATTGTTGAATAGAAAGCAATAAATAAGCAAAAAGGGAAACGAACCAGCTTCCTTCGCTAAAAAGTAATATTTGTCTCTACGCTGCTTTCCGATCTTCTTTTTCGCCATTTTCTTCAATCAACTAGCTAGTGAATTTTCTTTTCCCGTCGAAATTAACGAATATATGCTCGACCCCCTAAAAAACTTCGTTAGATCAACAAGGAACCACTCGAACACCGAACTTAATGCCACCCCTCTCCCTCTCCCCCCCATCCTTCTTCCTCAAATAAGTTTACTCTTTTGTCAATGCCGCGAAACTTGCCAAGTTGAACTTTAGACCGATTCTTAGTACTTGAGTCATCTCTAATAATCGGTCGCCTATGGTACATTTTCGCTTCTCATCTTATTGGCTTTGAAAAATTTATTTGTTAATGAACGGATAACTTTTGGAACTCTTTTTTGGTTTTCGAGGAGAGAATTTTTTCTAAAGTTAATAGGAATATTTAATGGATTTTATAATTTTATGAATAATTTGTAATTTAAATTTTTTCCCTATAAAACATCAAAATGTTTGAAAAGTATATTTTATTTTTAATTTAAAAATAATTAATAATTATGAAAATTCGAAAATTAATAAATATCAGTTTTAGTGACTTTTTAACTGATTTTAATTTATTAATTTTTTTAGGAATGAAATTTTCTTTTCTGCTAAAAGTGCATTTTTTTCTTTATTTATAGATTATTTTTCAATTTTTATTTTTATTTTAATTATTGTTTAAAAATTTAGAATTCGAAAATTCAAATAGTTTCGATTAAAATTAAATACGGAAAGTGAAAATTTAAGAAAATTTTAAGAAAATTTCGATGAATTTATTTTTTTAATTTTTTGCAATAATTTCGTATTTATCGTTTTAAATAAAATTTATTTAGTCAAATTCATTTAAAAATTTTCTCTCCGTAAATTTTTTAAAAGTTGAAATTGTTTTATTTTAATTGTATTTTAGTCAATTATTTAATAATATTTTAATTAATCACTTTTATTCACTTTTTTATTTGTCGAGTTTGTGAGATTTTTAAAACTTTCAATATTTTTTAGTATTTAAACACTGAAAATGTGTGATAATAAAACGTAATTTCTAATAAAAATATGGGATTTAAATCAGAAAGCGATTTAGATGAGTGCGTATGGCCACATTGCCGGCCGACCAATCGAATGTTTAAGTATTGCTGTTGAACTGCAAAAAGAAAAATTTGTCGACAAAAATGGACAAGAAGTTCTTTTTGTTTTATATCTCCTATTTCTAAATTTCCAGTAATAGTAGATTTGTTAACAAATTATTTATGTTCTTTCTGGTAATCACTTAAGGAGGTGGAATGGACTCCCGGGTTGTTGCTTTCATTTCGGGGCGCTGACGCGGAATTCCTTTTTCGGGAAAAATAAATCTGTCTTTTAAAATTGATGATGTTGATATATATCACCGTGCGGTCTCTTGGCATTGTCTGGTCTGACAAGCCAGCGGAGCAACTATTAAGTACTAGGCTGAAGACAAATAGCAGGCCTTTATCCTCTTTCCTTAATAGCAATGAAATAGCTGCTTTGTTCCTCTTTCTCTGAATGAATAACTAGTTGAATAGTCGGCAAATATTGTGTATTGTTGGAAGAAAAGTTAGAAGACTGGAGAAAACAATTTATGTAAAAGGCAAATAAATAAAAAAGGAAGAAATTTTAGGCTCTTCGCGTTGGATTTAAGATCGGTGGTGGAATAGACCAAGATCCGAGTCGAGCACTCTTTCCATATCCTGATACTGTTTGTTTTCAAATTTACATCAATACCTTTAAATAGTCAATAGTGTTTTCTAATTCTTCACCACTTTTTGTTAGTTTTAATTGTATTTTTTATTATAACTTTCCGAGCTAATTTTCTATTCATGTTAAGCTTATAAAAAATATTATTAAATTATTTATTAAAATAAATAAAAAACCCACACTTCTTTAAAATATTTCTAAAAATTTAGAGGTTTTCTGGAAGGCAAAAATGTATATTTTCAGTTTATATCGTTTAACTTTTTGCCGAAATTATTTTTTTTATAGGGCATTTACATAACGTATATCGAAAAAGATTCACCGGCTGATCTTGCTGGTCTTCGCCAACACGACAAAATTTTACGAGTTATTATTGATTACGATATTCTAACATCGCAGATTTCTTTGCACTGAATCTTTGATTAAATTTTTTTCGACGAAACTTTTCCAAAACTGTAACTCACTATTTTTAAATTTGCATCAATCCAACAGTAACGATAATTTTATCTTTTAAAATTAGCAATATTACTGAAAGGATTCAAATTAGCCGACAAAAAAACTTCCCAAATATTTCTCTTCTGTCAAAGTGTCAATAAAATCATTCTCGAAATAATGAAAAGTTCGAATTTGATTAAAAAAGGTGTAAAAAAAAGTTTCAAAATAATTTTTAAATAACGATGAAGATAAAATACAGAAATCGCCGGTCTAATTGTATATATTTTTTGTAGGTGAATGGCAATGATTTTACGATGGTTACACACGAAAAAGCAGTGAAATATATAAAGAAATATCCAGTGTTAAATATGTTGGTTGCAAGGAGAGATCTCCCTTATTAATTTTTTTATGAGTATATTTCTATTTATTTATTTTATTTTATTTCATTTTCGTTAAATTTATATATTTTATATCATTATAATTATTGTTATTACCAATATTATTAATAGAAGCAGTGATTAAAAATATGAGACACAACAGATGAAAGAGATTACAAATAAATAAATATAGAAATAATAAATTTAAAAAAAATAAATGCAAGCCAAAAGACGATGATCATTTAATAATTTTTATATATTAAGTAACATGGAATGTTATTCTTTGTATTAAAAAAAACTATATTGTATTAATAAATAAATTGATCTGGCAAAAAAAATGAAATAAATTATAATAACGAATAACGAATGAAAATAATGAATCCTATAATAAGGATTTCTTTATTGGAAGAACTTTGCATGGGTACTGCCTCTTAATAAAAATAAACATTAAAAATGAATCTAAGATAGTTGATGAAAACTTATATGTACTTTTATCCTTTATCCTTTTCAATCAGAGTAAAAAGGAAACACAATGTCAAATATGAACACATAAATTATAAATTGTTTAAGATTATATTTATTAATGGAATCAGAAATTTTACTAATGCAAGGTGAAGTAACTAATGGACTGTTCAATAAGAGGTGCGAAGGTTGAATCAAATATTATTTTATTTAAGAGAGGGTATATAGATATATAGATTTCTATCCAAAAGTAACTCTGTCACTGAAAGTAAAACCTAAGAATCTGCTGAGAACTCGCCTGCATCTCTAACTTCAAATGTTTCTCTAATGAAAAATTCACCTGAATCTCTAACTTCAAATGTCTCTCTAATGAAAAGGCATTATCCTACAAAAACCAGCCAAACCAGAAGTAAGTCATAATATCGGCAGGATTGTTCGACGATTCGTCTAATTCGTTTTTCGCCCCTTATAAAACGGAAATTAATGATTGATAGATATTTAAATTAATTTACAAACAATAATTAATATAATAATTAATCATAAGAATGAAGGAAACATTTTGATGAATCCCAAATTGGTTTTGAAAAGGGCTCAACGAACACAACCATAGTTATAACAAATATAAATATAGCAAGATATGTAACAAGACTTGCTAGCATTAAAAATCTTTCCCAATTCAATATCTAAAAATATTTAAAATAATTAAAATTAATTTTCTGATTTCGTACCACATAATGACCATTATTTTAATTTTTCAGTATGGAATTAAATTTCAAATGATTTTATGCTTTCTTATCTTAGAAAAAAATTTTTATAAATAATAGTTTCTAAATTTCTAAATAAATAAATAGTTTCTAAATTTATATATTTAGATATGTTTAAAAACATTTTTGCATAAAAATAAAACCTCAAGATTATGCAATATGACAATACCCATCAGTAATCCAGTTACTATTCCGGCAATATGAGCTGTATATGAAATACGATCACATTTATCCTCCTGAAATCGCCTATAAACTGTTGTACCCAAATCAAAAGCGATGAACACTGTTATAACAGCTAGCCGCATATGACGATAGGGCATTTCCGCCCAATTCTAAAGATCATATTTGTGTAAATAACCAGTGAGTGGACGAGCAAAAGCTGAATAAAAAAATTTTGGGATAGAATTCAAGTCAGTTGAACACTTATTAACGATATCATATAATCACAATACTGGATTAAAGGATATATAAAAACTAAATCAAAACAATACTAACAATAATGACATTTGAAAGATGAGCGGCAATTAATGCATAAACTCCAGCAGAGCAACCAATTAGATAAACCGATGGGTCCAACGTATATTGAAGCAGTGACCCTAAAAAACTGTCCAAGTGATTCTGAATTTATGTAATAAGTGGATTTATCGTTATGAATATCTGAATTAACCAAATCTCCATTTACTATTCCAGAAATATAAACTGTTATAAAATACGATCTCATTTATCTTCACGAGGTGGTCTTTTTTTTTCTTGCGATGGTCTATAAAATGTTACACACAAATAAAACTATTGTATGCAAAGATACTGTTGCGGATCATTTGCATTACTACTTCCAAAAGAGGAAAGATTTTCCCACTCGCATCTCAATTTCAGTGAGAAATTTATCTTTGCCAAGGATAAGAATAGGATTCATGCTATTTCGATTTAAAGTAAAACGGAAAGTATAGTTATATCAACAATTCATAATAGCAGTAGCTCAACAACATAAACACTTATATAAAAGCCATTTCAAAAGATAAAGGAAAACATACCAAGAAGAACAGCTAAAAGATAAATCGGAGCGATGCGCCAACTCTTATGAACAAGTTCAAGTGGAATGCCGATTAAAAGCTGGAAAACGAGATTCGGTAATAAATGAAGTAACCTATAAAAGATGTTTGCAACTTTCATTTTATTAATATATTAATATTTGATGGACAAAAAATCATTTTAAACCAGAAACCAATATATAAAATAAATAAATAAAACCTACATTTCTTCTTATAAATTAATAATAATAAATTAATAATAGTAATACAATTTCTAAAGTAACTGTAGTAATCTCTAAAGTAACTAAAGTAAATAAACTGATTTAAATTGATAATAATCAAAGGAAAAAAAGAGTAATAAATAATAATAACAAATGTCCATATGAAAATTTGTTTAATATAAATCTAGATATTTTTTCAATATAAAGCAACATAAAAAAATATTAAATGATAACCCTTGATGAAGAAACTGATAAGTGAAAAATCTCCAAACTTGATGCCGTAGCGGAGGTGCAAACAAGAATGGCCCAACATTACCACTGATCCAACAACCAGCACAATAATTCATTGGATCATCATGCTTACCACTAATGTACCATAAAAAAACAAGCACCTTAAAAAATAGCCAAAATAACGAGTAAAAATGAGAAGGACTCACACTGATAATCTTTTCATTTCTGAATTTCTATTTTATAAATATGTATTTCTATTTTATAAATAAAAATTAAGTTTCAAGTCAAACAATAGCACACTGAGAATTTTTATATTGGAATTTTCATATATGAGAAATATCAAAAATATTACTGACTGTTCAATAAACTTACCAACTGTAGAATAAAATAAACTACAATTTTCAATATCAATAAGATTATAAATTTTTTGTGGTGGTAACATAGAGTTTGTTTTTGATATTTCTTATTCATAAATGTGAAAATTTCCACTGCTCTATTGCTTGACTTGTAACTTGATTTTAAAATCATAACAAAAGCCAGAGCTGAGAAAAATAAAATTATCGTAAAATAATGTGATTAATATTTAAGACTAGATTTAAAATGATATTTAAAACGAAAAAAAATGCAACCTGAGTCAATGATATCAGTAAAATAAATATTGGTGGAGGCAAACAATTATATTCATCAATATAGGTATGAACTAATGGACGTTCTGTCTTCGAAATTATCGAATCCGCTATCGTATATAAAAAACGTTTAGCCTTACCTTTTTGTGCTTTTGCCGATGTTACCTAGAAAGAAAATTTTTTTTATCATTGAATAATATTGAACTTCTACAAAGCAAACTTAAATTTTTAATATCTAATGTTATATGTAATAAATCTTTAAAAACTAATTTTTTAGAATAATTTAGAAAACTGATGAAATAATTTTAAATTAAATTAAGACACAAACCAAAAGAGAAAAATCAGCGAGATCAAGAAAATCATTATGATTATGTCGAGAAGCGGCATTTAATAATACCTTTATTTGACTCTCACTTAGTTCCACCTTAAATTTTTCTCTAAACAAATACATATCTCTAAAGAATTTTTTAATAAAAAAATCATTCAAATTACTTTTCTAATTTTTCAAATATCACTTAAACCATTTGGAATTAAAAGCAAATCTTAACATTTTTGATTTGATTTGATTGATTTTTGATTTTTAAGTACATTCTGCACCCTCATATAGAGTTTTCTAATCCATAAACTCCAATAATTTACCAAAATTCTATAAAAATTAACCTGATTCCTATTGTTATTTAAAAGATGATGAATTTCACGATACAATATTCTACCATCGCCATCGATATCAAGCTGAAGAATCAGTTATTCCTTATCCATTCAGAAAAGAAAAAGGAAGAGCTTGTATCAATAACAATAACGTAATACAGCATGACATTAATGAAAAACAAAAACATTTAAAGAGTAGATATTTGCGTTAGTTATTAATATCTTGGGTAATTCCTTTCAATTTATCCTAAACTTAGATATCGACCACTGATGGCAAAACTACTTCAACAGACAATTTCAAAAATAAGAGAATAAAAAATATAAGCCATAATAAATCTTTGTCAGACAAATGGATTTCCAATCTTCATCCCATTATCACCATCTCCACCGTCTGCTTGGTTAAGACAGACCATATAATTTACCTTAATCGTATTAACTTTTTCTATCACTTTTATTTCAGTTATTGTTCACTCAGAAAAATTAAATTATTAAAGTTATAAAGTGATAAAGAGAAAAGTGCTGAATTACATTTGAAAACAAGAAAACGAGATAAAACAACGAGAAAAAATTGATGATAAATGATAAGAATTGCAAAAGCGATAGCAATAAATTTTATTTGAGATTAAGAATTCCCTTTTATTCCCTTTTCCCTTATTTGATTTTTCAAATGTAATTCAGCACTTTGTTCTTTGATCAACTTATTCATTTCATTTTCTCAAATAGGTGAATAAATTATAAATAACCTTATCAAATACTCTTGCAATATGTTCCCTTGGCTTATCGTTAAAAATAACCATTGCCCTTTTATTTATTCACTGAGCGTTTTTTCTGATATGAATTTACAGTTGGAGTCCATTTTGAACTGCAAAAAAAGAATTAGATATAGGGAATATTCGTTAAAAATCTATTAGAAAACACCAATGTTTTTTTGTGGTAAACAACGATATTAATAGCAAAATTAACAAAATTAATAATAAATAGTTAAAAAATTTCTTCATCTTCTATCATTTCTCACCATTATTAATTAAACTAACTGCCAGCTAGGAGAATGAGACATTTCTGAACCTGAGGACCATAATAAACAGCATATTTCTTTTTCCTACTATACAACTGGATGGTCTAAAATCCCCTGACTGCATCAATCGACGTTTTGAATGAGCATCATTTTTACTGCCATTCATCATTAGGCTTGACATGCAGCTGAATCGATTTCTGTGCAGAGAGGCGTAGAACACAACCAGCATTGACACGCTCTCTGACGACATTTTATCAATACAAATGGCATTCGAGCAAAGACGAATGTAATTACCTCAGATTTGATCCGCTCAATGGGCATGTTCTACGCTTCGCTTCACAGAAAATTTTTTAAAATTTTTAATCGAGTTTCCACACTTTTAAAGTGTAATTTTAAAAATGTCTTCTTTTCAAGATTGAAAAATAGAAAAAAATTTTGAGATTTGAATGATTTTTCAATTGATTTTCAATATAAATAGAGAATAAACTGAATTACATGAAATCAACTTGAAATTTGGCTGAGATGATTAAACTAACAAAATCGTTCTCAGTAATAAAGTCAGAAACTAGAAGAATTAATCAATCAATCATCTCAACGTGAAAAGAAATGAAAAATTCGAAGAAATAAAAAAAAAATAAATTGTAAACAATAAACTGTTGCAGCTATTATTTTTAAAAAGCAGAAGAATATTTTTAAAATAATTTCGCAAAAAGATAAAAGCAATAAATATCCGTTTTCTGAAAAAAATGCGCAAATTTTTTCATAAAATTCGAAAGAAATTCAGAAAAAACTTATAATTTAAAATAAAATGCTTTTTCATTTTCATTATTATCAATTAACGTTGAATTGAATAAAAAGATTGAAAAAATTCCTTAAAAAATTTTAAAATCTCAGAAATTTAAAAATCAATAAATTTTCAATTTTTTGGTTTAAAAAAAATAATGAAACGAATTACTAATTAAATCAAACTCAGTTAATGATGGAACTATTTTTCGCAAAGAAAAATCGCCCCTTTGCAAAAAAATTTTGAAAAATTCACTATTTACCTTTTTATTTTGTTTATTATTACGGAGAGAAAAAAAAAGAAATTACGGAACGATGATGACGAATTACGGCCGAATCATTACAAACCGGAAATAGAGTAAAGCTTGCAGTTGGCAGTCAGCCAAGTGTTCCTTTTAAGACCAAAGAAAAGGAAAATTTTAAATTTAAAGTATATTTTTTTCTTTAATAATATTTAAATTATTTTTATTTTACTTATTATTTTTATTATTATTTATTATTTAATTATATTATTAATTATATTATAAAAAATTATTATTTTGCTATTTAATTATGAAATCGAAAAATAAATTAAAGGAAAGAAATAAGGGGGATCGATTCATTCCATTTATTAAATTACTTCAAATTTTTGAAAGAATTTTTGAAATAAAAAAATCTTTTTAGATTTTTCAATTTCATTTTTTTTGTTTTATTAAAAAATTATTTTTTTTCTGCTTTTTTTGCTTTTGTTTGTGTAATTATTAATGGCTTTTTCGAATTTAAAATTCGATAAACAAATTAATTTTTATAAATTTTATAAATTTTATTTAAATTTTGTAGAAATGTCCGATTCGCTTCGATCTGCCGTCGAACAAGTTATAGGAAATTTAAGAAATCTTGCAATAACCTCGAAAAACATTTCAAACGCATTGAAGAAAGAAACAAAAATTAAGGTATTTATTTTATAAATTATTTTATTAAAAAAATGGCAAAATTAATGCAAATGTTTGCTTTTTCACCTTAATTTCTGGTAATTTCAAACGGTATTAAAAAAGTTTAAATTTTGAAATATTTATTTAAAATATTGAATTTATTGGCTTATTTTCCTTTATTATTTAATCGAATGCAATGATTTTTGTCTAAAGCTGAATGCAAATGAAGCAAAGAAGATTGCTGATGAAGCGAACATTTTATTTCGCGAAATGGTGATAATGAAACTTAATTTGTTAATCGAAAGTGATGAGGTTTGTATTTTATGTTAAATTTTTGGGATCAATTGATAATAACTGATAGTAATAGTTGATTATAATCTAAATATTCTTCTTCTTCTAACAGCTCTCATCATTACTGGTTAGGCTGGCTCCAACTAGGGTAAGAATTTCCAAACGGCGCGGTCTGATGATATCGTCGACAGTAATGGAAGCCATTCCTTTTTCCATCGTCTAAGTCCATATACTGCTGGTCCATTCTGTGATACATTATTTATGGGTGGTAGAGGCCATCTTCAGTGCTATTTGGACGAAGATGGATGCGATCTTGTGATATCTTATCTGCTCAACGGATCCGTAATATATACCTTAGATAAGCGTGGTCAATAATCTAAATATTATAATATTGTGAAGCCACTTAAAGCGATTTTTATATAATTGTTATATTTCACGCATTAGAGCAGTGGTTTTTCATTTTTTTTCGCATATCGCACCTTCTTCGGTCGAAAATTATCCACGTATATCCAATGAATAATTCATGAAAAATTGCACATTTAGTTATTCAGTTGCAATTCAGAGAAAAAGAAAACTGTTACGTAAGTTGCGAATTTTAATCGAATGCAGTTATTTTTGTTCAGTAACAAGTAGTGATGCCATATTATTCTAGAGAATAAGTGCGAGATCGATTCATTGTTTTTGTTAAAATTAGTTTCAGATTGACGATAATATTGAAAAATTGAAAAGAATAATAGCAAATTCGGATACGAAGAGTCAAGGTATTTTATTATTGGTTAATATATAAAAAATCGCTTTCTCGTCATCTTTGGGTGGTAGAGGCCATCTTCAATCAAGAGGCCAATTAGGAGCTTGAGGATTCTGCGCAGCATTTCAGCTATTCCTAACAATTCGCTTTTCTAGATTTCTGATATTCCTGGAACCACAGTCCCCAGTGCTACCACTGCAAGTTCTTTGGCCTTTAATTTCCATATTTTCTCTAGTTTCATCTTTTAGCTTCTGATTTTGTAAAAAATAATAATTAAAGGCAGTGGAGTTATGCTCGTCTGCCGCGCGTTAATCTTTTAAACCTTTGTTCTGGATAGTAGTTAAGATTGTATTGATTACCTCACGTATTCATAAAAAATTTTATTCTTCACACCTCAAACTTGGGTAATTAAATCGATTAATTTATAGATAGAAAAAATAAGATATGATTAAACAGACTAAAGGGCAAAAACAAAAGAAAAGAATAAAAAATATAATAGAGAAAATAACAAAAATGAATTTTTGTTATATTGAATACATAAATATTGGAACCCAACCGCTTGGGTTCCTTGATGGCATCGAAATGAGGGAAGAAAAACGACTTAAGAAGAATATAAAATATATAAATATAAAATATATTCTGTAAATTATCTTTTATCTTTTATTGACATAAGAAATGCAATAAACAAAGGATCGATTAAATTATGAAATTCTTCGGGCCAAGGTTTGAAATAATAATTTTAGAAAGGACATCGCATTTCGCGACGGATATTTTTTTAATTCCTTATGTTTTTTTAGCATAGATATATTTACAAGCTTTTTGCATAATTTGCATAATTTTTTTAATTTAATTTCATGGAAAGAATCTATCTATCTCGCAGTACATTTTTCTATTTTTCTACGATCATTATTTTGCAAGGATATATTTGCTTTTTAAAACGGCGTTACGATAATTATCATAGAAAATTACTTAAAAAACTGCAAATTTCTATCTAATCTCGCAATGCCTTACTTTCTTAATACTTGCAAACGCCTCTTAATTAACTTAAGAAATTGAGGTTGGCGACCTTCTGGTGTTCCACGATGGGATTGTTTTGCTCATATATATAAGCATCTTTCTGACCATGAAAATAATTTATTGCTGATAAAGAATACATTATTAAAAGAACTGGAAGTTTGTTTTTTAATTTTGCCTACAAGGCTATTTTGATTCTTATCAATGAAATTTTCCAAATAAACATTTCACTTTCGTTATTGTATGAATGTTCCTTTTTTTGCTTCTTGACTGGAAAAATAATTTAGTTTACCTGTTTATATCGTCTTTATTAATGTTGTAAATTATCTATGAATTAAATCTACTAAATAATTTTGCGGCAAATACTAACTCTTTTTTATTAATTATGAGATTAATTAATTAAAAGATTAAAATGACTTTCAATTTTAAAGGAAGAACAAAAAGCAACGAAATCTCTAAAGGACCAAATGAATGTTATATGCGAGAACTTCAAGTACACAGTAAGCGACCCATTGTAAAATCAGAAATATTGCGACATATTTTTTCTGAACAGAATCTTCAAAAAATGGAAATTTTGTAGAACTGTTTTTCTAAAGTTTGACGATGATATCTCAAATCTCTCCACACTTTTCTAATTAATCCACCAAATTTTTTCGAAGTTTTTCACCAGGACAAAGTATAAATTTCTCATCTGATTTCATTACTCTTGAAAATTTGCTTTTACGAATTTATCATTATTTTAATTGTTTAATGTAAGGCAGCGCATTCTTCTGAGTAAATTTTCTCATACTTTTTCTTAAAATTCGTACTTTTCTTGTTTGAAATTTTTGCCCAAAAATTTTTAAACCTATGAAATGTAATATCCACCACAAAAAAAATGAAAAATCTAATCAAGAGAAATCTTTTTTAAGAAAAAAATTATATATACAATAGAAATAACTTATAAAACCACAAAAACTGTCGTCGTCCAAATTATTGATAAGAAATAGCAATCGCGATGATTTTATGAAATGCATAGCATACAATTTAAACACGAAAATATATTTCAAACCGCACTAACAAAATGCATTTAAAAAAAATTAAAGCCTAATAGAACATTTCTTTTCATTATCATTTCATCATCTTCCCATTGAATAATCCAATTTCATTATATAAATTAAAGAAAACCATCAAACAAATTTTGTCCATGCGACTTTATGCGACTTTTCAAATAATAACTTTGAAATGACGCATTAAGAAACGAAACGAAAACAAAGCGCAATATTTATAAAACTTGTGAAAAAAAATGGCCAAAATTGAAATACATCTAAGAACTTCAAATAATAATGAGATCTTTATTTTTTTAACTTAATGGAATAAAAAATACTTTTTCAACAAACTAATGAACATGAAAAAAATATATTTGAGATATGCAATATTGCGTATATATACCAAGAATACATCATGAACTAATCCGATCTATTAAAACGAAAAAGAAAAAGAAAACAAATGTCAAGACTAGTTTTAATGACATATGGCAAATAAAATTTACAAAAATTAAAAAATATATTTATTATTTGAAGATTTTCTGGAAGAAAAACCCGATATTAAAGAAAAAAATTTTTTTATTTTTTTTGTCCACCATATATTTAAAGTTTTTTTCATTTTTTTTGGCATTAATGAGTACAAATCAATTTATCCGCTCACATATTTTGACATTAAATTTCAACTTTTGTGCTACTAGACAAAGTAAACTTACAGAAAAGCAAAAGTCGCGAAACAAATGCAGTAAAATCAAAATCAAAAAATCAAAAATTTATAAGGTGTAATTATTAATACCAAATACACCCACTGTGAATACAAAATGCAATTTAGTCATGAATATTAAAATATCTATATATTCTGAATAATTTATATGCAATATTGCATATATGCTATATTAAAGTACTTCATACATTTAATTTACCATACATTAGATCTCTAATTTACCTTACGCTACACCGTTATTTAAATACACCTTTCCTTAAAATTAAATGAGCTTTGATAGTTTCAATCTTGTGACTTTTTAGTATGAATTGTTGCCAATAGTTGCTGGGGCAAGTAACTAGAAGTTTCATGTTGGTTCGTATTAGACATTATATCAACTTTAGCTGGTGATCCTGCTCGAAGGCCATCATTCCCCAAACGACAAACGCAACGAGATTCGTGCAATTTTAGCATTTCGTTAACTCGTTCTAGTTCCCGCCGAAGAACTTGATTTTGAGTCTATAATTTAGAAAATGAAATTAAAAATTTTTAAATAAAAAAAATTGGCACAAAAGATAAAGAAAGTTGTTGCCAAAATTATTTGAAATAAAATTATTACTGAAAGTGCAACATTTTCCTGCTGAAGTACGTGAACTCTAGTGATCATCTCGTCGTGCTCTTCTTTTTTACGTTTTCGATATCGCACCGCTGCAGCCTTATTTCTCTCAAGTATGGTGACACGACGTTCATCCGGTGGCAGCTCTGAGGCAAGAGATGAACGGCCACGACCACGACCACTACGACTTAGGGTTTGCAGAGATACATCGCTTTCATTGCTGTACAATAAACAATTTCTAATATAAAATGGAATTTCAAAATAGAAATTTTAAATATGAGTATAACTATAAGTATAAATTACCAATTATGGCAAAAAGAAAAAACTTTTATTTTAGAATGCATGGAAAGTTGAGGAAATTTACCTTCGTGGACCAGAATTGACTTGGTCCTCTGACTTTGGTATTTTAGTCTGTTGTTGGAAAGAAGCATCCTCATGTTCAAAAAACTGCCGATTCTGAAAAATAAAAAAATACGTTAAAAAAATGAAAAAAATCAAAAAAAAGCCATTTTATCCACAAATTATCCACAAATGTATTAAGAATTCACAATTAAATTTTTTTATTTCAGCTAATATATTAAGAAAATAAAAATTACATTTTTTCTGATAATTATCGACTTCACATCCCTAGAATCCCATTGCCCAGATGTGTTTAAGGAAGATAATGATCGAGCCACATTAGTAGTTTCATCCACATTTGATGTTGGTACAGACTATAAACGAAAATTAATAATCTCTTGTTTGAATCATTTGAATCTTGAAAAACGCACCATAAAAATTAAACAATAAAAATTAATTACCTGTACTGAAGATGTCAACACAGGAACAAGTAATTCGCTCAGAGGCGCAACATTTGACCGCACATTCAATCTTTTTTTTCTAAATAAACGATCAAGAAATTAATTACACGGTCATGAAAAAAATATAAATATGAAAATTGGAAAATTCCTTACACAGGTTGTTGAGCAGAAGGCATGGTGCTCTGAGGCCTTGAAATAACTGCCTGGGAAAATAAGGTGGAATCAAGAGAAGACGGGTTATTCGCGGTCACGAATGAGGTAAGCAAATTGGAGGGTGATGAAGAAGAACATGGTGGACAAAAAATCAGTGAAGAACGCGTATCTGAATTCGCTGATGTCGATGGAATTGCGCCTGATAATAAGGAAGATGCAACTGAAGGTTGCTGTGGACCAGTTTCCTAAACAAGATAATTAAGCAATTATATGATAAGCACAAAAACTTAAAATCGAACCAGACAGATTTATTAGTCATTTAATCACCATTCAACTAAAACTTCTCAAATTAATTGTAAAACTGTAAATAAAACATAGTAGCAGAATGACGCATTGCACCAAAAAATAATAACTAAATGAAAACAAATAGGCAAAAAGAAAACCAGAGGTCGAGATGTAGCTATTGTTGCATTCCCATAACCAATAGTACTCAGTCTATCAGTATGCATATCTAATACTGCATTCAAAACATCAGCCGTTCTAGGGGCTTGCGAACAATCATCACCACATCGTGAAATCTGAGATGAAAGGCTGCTATTATCCTTCATCTGGAAACTTCAATATAAGATAGGCAATGATAAAAAAAATTCCCCCTTTATTCCACATCATAAAATATTATTTATAAAACTTAGCTTTTCTATTCCATGAATTCATTATAATTTGGAATGATAGAACCGGAAAAGAGAATTTAAGCAAAACCAAACCTGTTGAACCAATCGTGAAAGTTCGGCTGTTTTAAAACCTTCATTTTCAAAATCTGCTGATAACACGTTTATATTTGAGAATATAGTTGGTGAATGAGCCAAAGTAGATGGCAATTTTAAAAGAGTAATACCTGCCGTTGTGGGCAAAGAAAGATTTGCGGGGACTAGACCATTCTAAAATAAAAGAAACATTTTTACACTAATAAAACATAAAACAATTTCTGCACCATAAATTCCGAACAAATATGCAAAAGAATACTTTTTTTCGAAAAAAATTGATCTTTAATCTAGTGAAATTTAAAAATAGTTCAACAAAGAAATGAAAAAAACCTGTTCAAGCAATTCTTCGCTACACTGACTGATTCGACGATTAGCTTCACGAAATTTCAGCTCAAAAGGATTAACAGATATACACTTTTGAATTATTTCAGCTGTGGATGGGAATTCACCTGTCAGGTATAACATATACGTTATATTAATTGCTCGTTTCATGAGGTTTTTTTCAGAATTTATTAATTATGAGTAAAACTCCTTTGACTGGCAATGATGAATGAAAATAAACCTGTGATCGATGACGAACTCGATGAAAGAACATTTGCCAAATTCGGTGTATCTAATGTTAATATATCTATTGAATTATCATCACGCTCAACTATTCGTTCCATCATTGACTATAAAAAATTATATACCATCATTATTATAACCAAATGCATATATAAAATAAACAAAAAATGGACAAAACTAGTCCAAATATTTTCATAATATCAAATATACCATTTAAAATAAATGAAAAAAGGAATTTCCCGGAAAATCCACTGAACTTCCATTAATGCAACAAGGTATGAAATTCATACTACTGTCGCTGAATCCCACAATTCACATAGGACTAGGCATTTGTTTGTAGATCCTTTAGAATTGAAAATTTTGAGAAAACTACGACGATTCACTGAAATTTAACATAAGGATTATTAAACACCAATTTCCACCTGATTATTGTTGAAATTACCCAATGTTTCCTTCCTAAATCTATCACTCCTTTATCACAAATTAAAGATGGATGAACTTTCTTCTGAAAAAAATTTAAACTGCAAACTGAGAATCTAATTTCTTCCAAAGTAATCAGCTAAATCAATGTTCGCAAAATTGTTACCATATCCAATTTTTGAAAAAAGGGTAGGCAATTAAGATAAACAAAAAACACACTCTTAAAAAACACACCAGTGTTACTTTTGTTATTCACAAAGAACCGAAGAATATCCAAGAAATAAATCATGCTCGCTATATTTTCTATCTCACTTTTATCTAAGATCAAAAATATGTTCATCAACTAAAAATATTTTAAATATCTTAAAATTGATGAATGAAATAAAAAATCGCCAACACGATTTGAAAATCAGATAATGAAGAGAAGGATGGATATTTATCGCTTAAAAACAAAGAAATGGTGTAGAGAACAAAAAAAAATTTTGAAGAATTCTATCCAAAAAAGTCAAAGAAGAAAAACAGAAATAATAACAAAAATATTTCATTACACCAGGCCAATTTCATAATTTTCAAAGCAGAAAGGCAAAGTTTTTAATCAATTTTCTGTTCAACTTGTTTGTGAGGAAAAAAAAGAGGAGGAGCTGATAAAATATCTGGAATCTTCAAGTTTTTTTAATGCGTGAATTTTGAAATACGATAATAACATAGTAATATATAAGTGGATATCACGCCTCATCCTGAGGTACACGCACGTCATCAATTTTGAGTATCATGCGTACTACCTGAAAGAATCTGATTGTGAAAATTATACATAGATATACGTCAGAAATTCTGAATAAAAATCAGTTCTATTAAATCGATAGGTAACGAAAAAAAATTTGAAAAAATTTAAAGATTTAAATACCTGAGTTGCAAGCGAAATTTGTTCCTTTTTCGAAATTAAAGTCTCGATTACTTTCTGTTCACGCATATCTTAAAGTTTGTTAGTTCTACAGCATTTCGAAAAAAATTTTTTTAAAAAAGCGTTTGACCATGTCGTTCAAATATTAACCACTAATTTTAATCCAAATTATTAATCGGAGAACATTGGAATGAGTAATTTTATGAGGCATGCAAAATTTGCCTATTATCAATTACAAAAATCATTTGGAAAAACAGTAATAATTTTTTTTCTTCAACTATACCACAATATAAGTTGCTCAAAAAGGACAGAGAGCTGCCAAAAAAAATATACCATTTGTACCAACAGATAGGCAATCGACACCAAGGCGTGGATTATTCTGCTGAAGTTGCTTGGCCTTGAGATCAGTAACTATATCAATTGCCGATAAACCCGAATTTTCAGCAAGTGCGATTGGAATGCTTTCTAATGCATCAGCAAAAGCACGAAAGGCGTACTGTTCTACACCTTCAATCTAAATAACAGCAAATTAATAACATACAATAGAAGAGTTTTGATCAGAAGCTACAGCCACTATTTAATAAGCTTAAAATTAAAAAACTGTAAAATGTATATAATCATGTGGCCAGAGATATAGCGATACTTCAGTTTCTTACTATTATCCAAATTTAAAAATCATTTAAATTCAAAAATCACCAAAAAACGAAATGGAAAAATTCAACGAAAAAAAACCGTAAACCTTATCTGCTTCATTCGCAACAGCTAAAGAACACGAAATTTCAGCAGCTCCACCCCCATAAACAATTCTGTTATCTTTTATTAAGTTCCTTGTAACACAAAGTGCATCATTTATTGAACGTTTAGCTTCATCAATTATCATTTTATTTCCACCACGAATGAATATTGTAACAGCTCGATTATTTGGACATTGTTCAATACATAACATTCGGTCCTAAAAATAATACGATTCGAAAATTTAAAACATTGACCATATAAGGTTTCAAAATTGAAATCAAAAATCTAGAATTTTATGAAGATAATGATTAAATATATTGAAAATATTGAAAATTCCTGCCTTAGCGGTTCCAAAACACATTTCACGAACCAAACCAGCGCTACCAAGTTTTTCAGGTTTTAATTCGCTAAACCTAGGCACAATACGACCATTTGTTGCAATAGCGATAAGTTCAATTTCTGGACCACCAACCCAACGAACCGCAGGCAAATTATGAGCATGTAATAAATGATTAGCTTCATCATCAAACCCCCACTGACATATCGCCAATGTGGCACCACTATCTTTAACCTAAAATGTAATTTCGTTTTCTTTTTGTTATCAGTTGTTATCTACTTTTGATGAATTAAAGAAATATTCTGACAAACATATATAATATTTTTTATATTCTAATATTTGCTCAGTCAAACGATTTTAATAAAATTTCAATTTAAAACAATTTTTAAAGAAAATTTTAAATTTTGAACCTTTATCCTTAAAAATTGAGAAAACTTTCAATTCAACAATTTTTTCCTCTTTCCCGCAAATAAAAAAAATAACACTTATGGTACATTTAAAACATAATATATAATATTTAAAACAACAGAAAATAAGAGAATAATTTCAATTCAAAAAACCTTCAGGTATTAAAAAAATTAACCTCTTTGATCATTTTTTCAAATGTTTCTCTTTCATAAGTACGAAGTTTTTCAAAATCTTCCTTTGATGTGATATTCAGTTTATATTTCGTTTTTGGTTTCGGTGGCTCGAATGGACAAGTCAATATTGCTAACTTCACATTGTGCAATTCCTACAACAATAATGGGCCAAAATTAGGTTATTACAGGGAATATGGAGTTTATTCATGATAATTTCATTATCTCGTTGCGGTACAATGAAGCGGAAAATTAACCTTTGGCATTTGAGGATGACTCATAGTCTTATCAATGACAATGCCTTTAATTAGACAGGTTTCCTCGAGTCTCCCACCAACTTTACCATCAATTTTGATCAATTCAAAATCAACATCACGTTTTGTTAAATCAGCAACTGAAAGTACGGCATCCACGGCAATTTCAGCAAGCACCTTCATACAACGATTCACTCTACAATTTCATCTTCACTTTACATTATATTATACTAGAAAAAGCGTTATCGAAAAAATTCAAATGAAAAAAATTAAAATTACTAAGAGGCCCATACATTTTTGAACCAAGCGATGTCAAAGCAGACTGCACAAGGAGATCACGATTTTCTATAGGAAATGTGTCGGATATTAAATCTAATATTTCAAGTGCTTTTTTACAAGCCAAATCAAATCCATCAGCAATTTTCATCGGATGAATTCCTTTATCCAATAATACTTCTGCTTGCTCTAATAATGCACCAGCCAATACTTAATAATAAGATATTAAGAATTAATAAGATATTATTATTAATATGATAAAATTAAAATTAAGACAAAAATAAATTTATTATTAAATCTATTAAATTTAATGATTAGAACCACCTACCTACAATAAGGAAAACAAATAAATAAATAAAGCAATATCTTGAAAAAAAAATGAATATGAATGAAGAGTATGGATAAGAATATTATATAAATAAAATATCTAAGTAAAAAGAAAAAAAATAATTTCAGATTAAAAACTTCTTCGATAAATTCTCATTCTTCTATTTTGATTCAATTTTGGGTCAGTGGCTATAGCTCTTTATTTACGTAAAAAACATATCAATGCAAACAAATAATGATAAAAAATAATGGAAAAATGTATACACAAATTTATACCTATCATTTCATTGTCAGTAGCTAAACAAATTAATAAATGGATTTCATGTTCATATTAAAACTAGATTTTTTTGGATCATACAAGATGAAACAAAATAAATAAACAGAATAAAATAAAATAAGTAAAATAAATAAATAAAGAACAAACCAACAACTCCAGTAGTGCCATCACCAATCTCGGCATCTTGACTTTTAGATAATTCAACCATTAATTTTGCTATCTGGTGTTGAATATCCATTTTATCCATAATTGTAGCACCATCATTTGTAATTGAAACGTCGCCATCACTAGATACAAGCATTTTATCAAGACCACGAGGACCAAGCGATGATTTTAAAGTATTTGCAATTGCTCTTGATGCCAAGATATGACTCTGAAATTTTCATTTTAAATATTTTTTAAATAATATAATTATAAATCATTAAATGATAAATGGGTAAAAATTTTCCAAATTTTTATTGTTTTCACAATATGAATCCATAAAACTTTTTAAAAAATCGATGAAGTTAAAAAATTTCTTGAGCTTCCCTGTTTCAGTTATCTTTGAATGTAAGAAGAATGGACAAAACCTCATTTTAAAAAATTGCGAACCTAAGGTTTTGCATATTATTCATATTTTTATTCTCCATCTTGGAATTATCAAAAATAATCAAAAATAATTAAAGATGATAAATAACATAAATAAAGCGAAATTTTTCTAAATTTTAAATTAAGCAAATACAGAAAAATGAAACGTGACTAATTAAATATAATTTTATGGAGTTGATAAATAGGAATTTGAAAAAACTACTGAATTATTAAATATTGTTAATTTGAAAATCTTTTAAAGATGTTAATTTCTTGATTCACTCCTAATATTTACATCTAAATTAAAGTAACATTTGGAAAATGCACAAAAAAAAACCGAAAAAAATTTGTTTAACGCAGAATCATACGAAAAATACATTCTATTTGAGCGAAAAAATTGATTACTTCTTTTACCTATATTTTCCTTCATTTATAATAATTCAAAATTCATTTAATGAAATATTCAATAACATAACTAACAGAAAAAATATGAATAAAAAATTGCATAAATAATAAATAGTAAAAAAAACCTTGAGTGCATCAATGCCAGTAAGTCGTTTTTGTTTTTCTTGATCTCGCACAACGATAAATGGATTGCCAAAATCATCGAACATAAGTTGGGCTGCAGCAGGTGCTGCTAATCCTCCTGATGCCATTGTTACTATATTATCAGATTTCTTCTGGAAATAAGTAATAATGTAAGAAAAAAATAAAAAATGCGACACTGTCACGTTTCGAATACTATAGCTTTCTATTTCAAGAATAAGCGCCATTCTCAATTTTACTGACCACATTAACTGACGAAAAAAATTCCACTTCTTAATCAAAGCATCATTTAGCACAGAAGATTCAGATAGTTTTTAGCAAACTTACTTATAAGGGAAGAGAATCGAATATTTTTCGTCAGGTTAAATCAAAAAAACACAGCTTAACTACCAGCACCTCCTGTTGCACAAATAAATTATAAGTGCCGAAGAAATAAGCTTTCTTTCTCTTTCCCCTTCGATAATATCAAATCTTATCCTCCTCAATCTCCAATATTTCTTGCCTCACCTCCATTATTTACATGGAAATAATGAAAAAAATTATAGAAAGCAAAGACGACAGTACCAATAGTTGGCACTCATCCTTCCTCGCTGGCTAGGAACGCCATAGGAACGTCACAGAATCACATGAAAAGTAAAGATGGACCACTGATAGATTTTTCTAAATGCTGGCAGAGAAGAAGCATGAAAATCTACGTAAAATACATTACCGGTCCACAATGCTCCAAAAAGTATTCCAAAATTAAAAGTGCGACGTGAGAAAACGGAAGGAAATGAAAAATTGAAAAAAGAGGAAAGATAAAGAGGAGGAATGGAAAGAAGGAAAAAATGAAGAGCGGATAGAAAAATAGGAAAAAAGCAACATAAAAAAGCCAAACACACACAAATCGATCCAACAATATACTTGTACTTTTTTCCTTTCATTGCATCACAAATTCATTCCGCAAATACATACAGTAACCTTGAGCTTGAATCAGAATTCGTCGTTTTAAGAACCGATTTTCCAAAATAAAACATATAACAGCTAACTAGCATATTTTGCTGAGTCACATGCCCATTCAAAACCTTCTTTTATTGGAATTTCTATTTAAATAGTCATTAATACCCAATACCCAATGAAAATGCAGTGCAACAAATTGCCCAATTATGTATATCTTTGGCCACTTTATTAACCGCAAAAATATAAATTTCCCCACGCTTGTACAACCTCAATAAACCTTTTAATGACTCCATAACAGATTGTCCCGGAAACTCGAATATAGATACCAAAATATTATAGCGATTAGCCGCAATTCTTTGGAATAAATTAGACAACCAAGACGGCCAACACCACGAACTTTTCGCAGACCACTGCCGTTACGACGAAGCACAATTCAATCTACTCAAACTTCTTGGCTCTTCTAACTTTTTACGTATTTATTTTCTTCCAAGACTGGCCATCTGATTTTGCACACAATTTGCATTTGTAAAATAACATTCTCCATATTTTTTGCAGTGCTTATTCATTTAGCCATTCGTGCGACTAAAATAATTCACATATACTTACCATCTGATTCCTTCCTTTCGCCTTTTTTATATCGAATTCATTCTAATGTATTCATACTATTCTAATCGAATAAATAATTCTCGAATACTCAATTCAAATCCCTGACTTTCGCAAATTTCAAAATGAAGAAGGCTCAGCAAAAAGCGATCTTTATATCCAAATAATACTGAGATATCAAAAATCAGAAATTTTTTCATCCATCTCCTCCTTTGCAGTATTCTATGCCTCTCGTCAGGCTATATTTTTCTCCCCACTTTTCAGAATGAAAAGAAAATGTGAAAGAAAATGCCGTATCATTTGGTAGAATATTCACTGCAAAAAACGCATCAACTTGAGTTGACTCCTCAAACAGGAAATCACCTTCATATCTTTAATAAATGAAAATAAATGGACTTTAAAGACGTTACGAAATATTTTTTAAATGAGATACGACAGCATAGAATTAAATTAAAATTAAAATGAATTATGAATTAAAATCATTTAAATGTTAAATATACCATTACACATATTAAAGAGACCTAAAAAGAATAACGAACACAAAACAACACCAAAATTATGATTGCTGATCGCAATTATTCAGTTAAAACGAATTCATTTTGGGGCCAACATATTTTCTGGTTTAACCCATTGGTCAAACTGCTCAGCTGTTAATATTCCCAAATTGACAGCTTCTTCTTTCAAAGTGGTTCCATTTTTATGAGCCGTTTTTGCGATTTTTGCTGCATTATCATATCCGATATGCGGATTAAGAGCAGTTACCAGCATCAACGATTCTCTCAAGATCTTCTCAATATTTGCCTTAAAAAAGCCTCAGTAAAAAAATGAGAAAACAAAGTATTCAAAGGTAAAATTAAAAATAACCATATTGGCCTGGATACCATCGACACAGTTTATAGAAAATGATACGCAAGAATCTGCAATAAGACGAGTTGAATGCAGAACATTACGGACAATCATTGGTTTGAAAACATTCAGTTCAAAGTGACCATTTGAACCACCAACAGTTACAGCAACCTAAAATATCACGAATAATACAAAATAAACATAAGCCATAGCCAGTGAAAAGCATACCATAAAAATTTTCACTTTCCTCACTACTAGACTCGTGACTAGACTCGCTCCGCTGGATTGTCACACTAGACATGCCAGGGAGTTCCTTGGTAATATGAAGTACGTAAGTAAGCAAGTCGGTAGCATCACCTCACCACGATTTTTGGACATTTTTACTCCTGCCAGGAGAACCTCAATAAAATATTGATTAGAATCAAAATTTACTTGATTGCCAAATACTTGCGCAGCAACCATTGTTATTGCTTCACATTGAGTTGGATTGACCTTCCCAGGCATAATAGAGCTTCCCGGTTCATTTTCTGGTAAAGACAACTCACCTAAACCACAACGAGGACCTGAACCCAAAAATCGTATGTCATTGGCAATTTTCATCAAACTCGTAGCAACTGTATTTAATGCTCCATGAACCTAAGTCGAAAAATAAAATTTATATTTAAATTTCAGGAACTTCATAATTTAAAAAATCATTGGATCAAGGCAGATTTAACCAACGAACCGAAATTACTTAAACAGCACATTTTTTAACTTTTAATATCCAATAAATATTTTGTCAGCCCCTCTAAAATCTCAGAAATCTTCAAAATGAATAAAAAAAAAGCTTACAAATTACCTCAACCATTGCATCATGTGCTGCCAGGGCTTCGAATTTATTCGGAGCCGTCACGAATGGTAGATTAGTCAATTCTGATACTTTTCTAAATATTCAAAACTTGAAATGGAAAAAGGATAACAAAATGCAATGCACATTTCAACATAACAGTTATATTAATATAAATTATATATTATTATTATATATATATATATATTAAATATCAAATAAATGAATACTAAATAATGAATACGAAATAAAAAGGAACAATAAATTCACATAAATATAGCAAAAATAAATGAAAAATAAAAATAAAAAAATAAACTTAAAATAAACATAAAATATCAAAAGTAAACTTCGCGACTTTCTCAGCAAAACCAATGCGAGTATTGAGGCCAGTACCAACGGCAGTTCCACCGGCAGCTAACATGTACAATCGTGGCAATGTTCCTTTCACTCTTTCTATTCCGTTTTCCATCTAAAAAAATATTGAAAAACGAAAATAGTGAAACAACAAAAAATCCAGAAAACAATAATAAACCTGTTGCACATAACCACTGAACTCTTGGCCAAGTGTCAATGGCACGGCGTCCTGAGTATGTGTGCGCCCAATTTTAATAATTTTTTCAAATTCTTTTGATTTTTTAGCCAGTGAATCACGCAACTGTATTAGCGCCGGCAACAGACGACCATTAATCTCGCTGAAAGATTTAAGGTAAAACAATTGCTGGAATATACAAAGAATATTTTCAGCATAATATGGACTCAAAAACAAAACAGATGGAACAATTAATCACTTTGTAAACATACTGAAATAAATCAAATTGTAAAAAAAAAGGAACCGCGCAACAGCAATATGCATTGCGGTTGGGTAAGTATCATTTGATGATTGTGACATGTTGACATGGTCATTTGGATGAACTGGCTTTTTTGATCCTAATTCGCCACCAAGAAGTTCAATTGCCCGATTTGATATTACTTCATTCACATTCATATTCGACTGAGTACCAGACCCAGTTTGCCACACTACCAAGGGAAAATGATCATCCAATTTACCCTCGATCACTTCATCTAAAAATATCTTTGCAATAACACTCCAAATATAATTTACAATAACACATAACTGAATCTAAAAAACCATGAGAAAAATTCATCCATATATATTAATGAATGGTTCAATTTCTTTCAGGTGTGGCGTTAGACTGCCACACTTAGTACAATAACACTTAGATGCTTAGCATCCAACGCAATCAGCCAGAAAAAAGGACATTAAGGACAAAAACTATTTGAAAACAGATATTTAAAAATATTAAAAAAATAATTCCAAATATCAAGTAAAATAAAAAATGGTCGACTAATGCTTTGCTTCAGACAAATATCAAGTTGTCATAGATTCTGTCGATTCTCGTCCTTCAACAAAGCAACTTGCGAATAAAAGTTATAAAGGATTTACTTGCATTTCTATTTTCCAAGAGAATCTTTAAGAGAATGGTCTTACCCTATCAGGCAGCAGAACCAGCCAAACGAGAATAGCACAGTTAGAACAAATATTCGGAAAATTAAAAAAGAATTTCACACCAGCGGCCTTGGATATCGCATCAGCTAATTTCGTTTCAAGCCCGAATTCTTTATTTACGAGAGCCGCAGCCTTTTTTAGAATACCAAATGCATGAATGACAGGCAAAGGCATTCGTTCTTCCGGACCGCCTATCTTGAAGTTCATCATCGATCTAAATCCAAAATTCTTGAACATTTTGTTTTTTACCATAAATTTTCAAACTTCAAATTTCATACATGGAGAAAGATATATGCAATCCGATTTTAGATTTGATTTTAAAAGATGATTTGCTAATGAAGACAATGGTTAATAATGGTTGATTTGTTGCGCCGATTATGCGGTTCGCTAGAAACAAAATAAGGTCCACACGACTTCCTCAAAAGTGGAAACGATGGCCGCTAAAATTTGAGGTGGTGCGTTTCAGAATTCCACTTAGAATATGCCTTTCAGACATGCACAGGAAGGTATACTTGCTTTACGATCCTTTAGCGACCTTGGCAGCTAGTGGAACCAACCAAATGACAAATGGTGAACATTATTTCCGTTAAAAACCGTTTTTTTAATATAATTTAACGGAACACTTTTCGAAATTCTTTAAAACTTATCCTCTTTTAATTTGTTTTCAAAAAATTTAAAATATTTGCCGCTCAAAAAATATTCCATATCACAATTCTTAATTCAGCGAAACGGGGAATATTTTTTTCGAAAATTCATATTTGAGAAAAAAGGGTAAAAAACCTTGCAGTCTGTGCGCCATAATAACGATCGGCGGCGACTTCAATTTCGCCAAATGTATCACGTTCTTTACGAAATTTCGTAGAAATCATTCGAATCACTTGGAAATAGGGCGATGAAAACGACGACAACGAAGGCGACGAACGATTCAGCCGAGCAGCAAATTGCATTGCAAGCCGAACGAACACTTTCGATTGATTGACCCCCTAATGACCTTTAAAATCGTTTCGAGACCACATTTCGTTTTAAGACAAATCACTATTTGTCAGTTGGAGGTGCCCTCTAATGTTTGGCGGGAAGTATTTAAATTTGAATTCGATTTCAAATTTAATAAATCATTTCGATTAAATTATTTTAAATAAAGTATGAGAGGATGGATCGGTTGATTTGGTAAATAAGTTAAAAGAAAAATGAAAAGGGAAATGATTATTTAAATTTAGATGAATTAAAGTAAATTGGAAAAATAGTAAAGAAGAAAAATAAAGAAATAACGAATACTTTAATTTTTTTAATTTTTAATTAATTCGTAGTTTCCAACGGAACGGGAAGGGACATCCACGCCGGGTTCAACTGATTTGTAGTTTCAACGGAACGGGAAGGGGAGGGGACGTCCATGCCGGGTTCAACTGATTTGTAGTTTCCAACGGAACGGGAAGGGACATCCACGCCGGGTTCAACTGATTTGTAGTTTCCAACGGAACGGAAAGGGGAGGGGACGTCCATGCCGGGTTCAACTGATTTGTAGTTTCCAACGGAACGGGAAGGGGAGGGGACGTCCATGCCGGGTTCAACTGATTTGTAGTTTCCAACGGAACGGGAAGGGGAGGGGACGTCCATGCCGGGGTCAACTGATTTGTAGGTTCCAGCAGCACGGGAAAGGAAGGAAGCATTCACGCCAGGTTCAACTGATTTATAGGTTTCGGCAGCACGGGAAGGGGATGGAACATCCACGTCGAGTTTCAATTGCATAACTTTGAAAGAAGTAAGACTACCATTAAAAAATTCGATGGGCAATGTGGGCACGTGCCTGCACTTTTAGCGCTGCCTGACGAAATTTTCAAACCGTATTTACAGCTAACAATTAGTTGAGTTTGCTTAAGCAGGATTGAAGCTGCATGTAGCTCTTTTCCCGTGCGCTTAGTTAGGCACTGCGCGTGGAATCTTACGTAGCAAACTACGCAGATATAGAAGATGTGATGATCGCGGTCACACTAAAGTTTAGGATGAAGAAAGTAGGCGAACGGAGTAAGTATAGTCTACTGAGATTTTACTGTTGAAATCATTTTTTAAAAATTTGTAACAATTTCTATAGTTTCTCGTGCTGAAGTTTATGATTGACATTTGTTTAATCAGTTGAAGTTTTCATTGAAAATATAAATTTTCAGGTAAAAAATGTCAGATACAGTTGCAGTAAAGGTCGCCATACGTGTTCGACCATTCAGTGAGCGTGAAATGGCTGAAAATTGTCGCGAATGCTTACAATATTTCGCGCAACATTCGCAGGTTTCATGTTTTTCTTAGAAATCAGCTAAAATTTTGTTTTTTCGAAGAGAAAAAATTGCAAAAACAATGGGAATAAGTCATAATTGCTATTGAAATTGAAAAATTTTAAATTGAAAAATTTCAAATTTTTAAAATGATTTTCTTACTTAGATAGCTATCAGCGAAAAAATTTTTGCTTTCGACAATGTATTTGATCCTACAACACCGCAAGATGTCGTATATAATTTATGTGCGGCACCACTGCTGGAACATTTATTTAAAGGTTTATTTTTATATTTGTTCGGCTTAAATCTTATAAAATCAAGTACAGAAATAATAACAGGTGGTAATATAACATAATAATACAACATGCGCCAGTCAGCTGAGATGGAAATAATCCTCTGCTGAAGTTTTAAGCTGAAATCTGCTTACAAATTTGCATGTCTACGTAATTGCTATAATTAATAGTCTACTCCAATCAGTGGTTAATGATATATGGCGCGAGGTCTGTTTGATCTGAGAATGAATAAGAGGAATTTAATCAATAAAAAATTAGAATCATCATGGGGCTGAAGTGAAGGACCTTAGAGTAAAAGAAAAAATTATTCAATGGACACTACAAACAATGGTCTGAAATATTGCTATAGACAAATGATTTTGAAGTCATCTAAACCTTCTTGTATGGTTATGGTCCTCAATCCACAAACATCGTCATCCATTGTTTTCCTGCTACCGAATGAAGCTAACATCGGAACTGTATAAAGAAGGCATTAGATAAATTTATCGTTATCATTGTCAAAGTGCTTATTCTTAACATTTTATTTTGTCAAGTACAATATTTTGGATTGATAAAGTAAAAATCTGTTTGGTCGGAAAATTTTTTCTTGAATCAAATTTTTCAAAATATATCTATATTTTATTGCATTGCTCCAGCTTCATAAAATTTCTGCTAGCGATTTCTATAGGTCAGTACCTATCGTTTTGAGAATAAAACTCAGATAGTTTCTGGAAATTAATTTTTTGAAGATTTATATGTTATCTATAATAATCGTTTACGATTGAGGTTATAACTGTACTATTTTGGCTTATGGTCAGACTGGAAGTGGCAAAACTTATACTATGGGAACAGAAGAGACATATGTAAGTTTTTTGTTGTCATTCTATGGTAACGTAATTTTATTGATTTTTTCCAGATCCTCAAGATGAAAAAAATTCATGTTGAGAGTTTTTTAGAATGCTATTTCGACCGCTTATTTGGTTAGGCAAATTTTGTCAAGGTTTTATTTGGCAGTAAGAATACGAGTGGCATTCAGAAGATTTGCTTCTGGGAACTTCTGAGAATAGATCCCCAGTACCGATGTTTCGAAATGAGAGCAACGACTCTCCTAGATACTTTACACTCTATATTAAGATTCTAATAAAGAAATTTTTTAATTAAATTTTGATTAAATTTTTGAAAATTTTCTTTTATGTTCAAAATATTTGAGGAGAGAATGAAAAGCGAGGAGCGAGGTGTAATTCCGCGCATTGTTGATAGTGTTTTTGACCGTATTGGGTCCTCAAATGATTTTGATGTTTCCGTATCTATGCTTGAAATATATGAAGAGAAGATTCTCGATTTGTTAAATTCATCACGCGATTTGTTGCAAATACGTGAACTCAAAGGAAATGTTTTTGTAAGTTTTTTCCAGTAGATTTTTATTTTTTCGTTTCATTCATTTGTTAATTTTTTTATTGTTAATTTTTTTCTTTCAATGTTAAATTTAAAATTTAAAAGATATTCATTCAAAGATATTCTTTAATTCATCAGGTTCAAGGCTTATCAACGCATCAAGTTGATAATTTGGCTGCTACTATGATAGAGTTAGAAAAAGGTTGTCAGCTGCGTAGCAAGGGAGAAACTGCAATGAATGACAAATCTTCACGTTCTCATGCAATTTTTACTATTTATATTAGTAAAAAGCCAACTGATGATGAGTAAATTTTATATTTTTTAGATTATTGAATTTCTAATAGAACTTTTATTCTATTAGAAATATGATTGGAAACAAATATGATTTCTAATTATTTTAGTGAGACAAGTTTCAAATCAAAGTTACATTTGGTTGATTTGGCTGGATCGGAAAGGTTAAAAAAGACTCAAGCAGAAGGCGAACGTATGCGTGAAGGCATAAAAATTAATGAAGGTTTACTCGCTCTAGGTAATGTTATTGCTGCACTTTCGGAACAGGGTACGACTGGACGACATATTCCCTATCGAGATTCTAAAATTACTCGTTTACTTCAAGGTTTTATTTCTAAATCTAAAAGAACAGCTCGAAAATATTATTATATCTATATTGAACGTATTTATGTCTGATGTCTGATGAATATTTAATTCTTTTAATATTTAATTCATTAATATTTGTTTATATATCTTCCTAATAAAAATTTTAGCTTACATAACTTATTGAAGTATAGAAACGTTTAAAAATGAAAGTTTTCAGATTCTCTTGGAGGTAATAGTTATACTGTGATGATTGCTTGTGTATCACCTGCAGAGGTGAATGCAGAAGAGACGTTGGCAACTTTAAGGTATGCAGATCGCACGAAGAAGATTAAAAACAAACCAATGGTAAACATAGATCCAAATATAGCCGCTATGGAGCGCTTAAAATCCGAACTTGCTACAGTAAAGCTTGAATTACTTGCGCTTCGTGGAGAGAATAATAGCCACACTACTTCTTATGGGTATGTTTTCATTAATTTTTGTCTTGCAATAGGATGTTCCATTTTGTTGATTGTGTTATGAGAGGTTGGATCGGTTGATTTGGTAAATAAGTTAAAAGAAAAATGAAAAGGAAAATGATTATTTAAATTTAGATGAATTAAAGTAAATAGGAAAAATAGTAAAGAAGAATAATAAAGAAATAATAAATACTTTAATGTTTAATTAATTTGTAAGTTCCAACAGGGAAAGGAGCGTCTACGTCAGGTTCAACTGATTTGTAGATTCCAGCAGCATGAGAAGGGGAGGGGACATCCACGCCGGGCTCAACTGATTTGTAGATTCCAGCAGCACGGGAAGAGAAGGAGGCGTTCACGCCAGGCTCAACTGATTTGTAGGTTCCAGCAGCACGGGAAGGGTCGGAGAGCCACTTGAATATTATAATGAGATCTATAATAATATAATATAATAGCAGATCTATAGTAATTAAACGGAATTATTTCCATATTAAATGAATTAATAACAAGTGAATAACCAGACAGAATCATTTTCGTGTCTATGGAACCAAATTTTTTAATGGAATATCTTCAAATGAGCGAATTTCAGTTTAAAAATGCCTACAAAATACGAGTTCGATGATTTGGAGAAAAGATATTGTGAACTACAAAATGAAAATCATAAATTAAACGTGCGTTTTGCTGAATCTGTTGCGGAGAATTCTCGATTTGTTGAACAGTTGTTAGTTGCTGAGCAAATGATCGAGAAATTAAAGGGAGCGATTTCCAATGCTCATTCACTTATTGAGTTAGTCTACTGCAATTTAATTTTTATATTTTTTATGTTTTCTCGGACCATACCACATTATAAATATTTGAAAACATATAGATACAAAAGTTTTCTTTACTATGATTCTTCTTAGCGAAAGGGATAAAGCGGGCAATTATAAAGATATTTTGAACCTTTTCGATTTATCGCACTTCAACATCCAGCCTGATGATGAAAATGAAAATTCTGTCGTTGTAAGTTTTACGTTCATTTTTTTATCCAATAAAATTTATTTCTTCGCTTTTTGCTTAATTTATTCTACTAACATCAAAATTTATTAAGTATTAGTTATGTATATAGATTTAATTAATTTATGCGTAAAATTTTCATTAAAAAGTGGGGGATTCCTTTACTTTTCGTCCATGCGATATTGGGTGCAGAAAAATTGTTAAATTGCCTTAAAATTAATAAAAATTTTGCCATAGTATTGATATTCATACTTTCATTCTTTATTTTGAATTCATTCTAATAAAATATATTAATTAAATAAGTGAATTAAATAAAAAAATTAGAAATTAAAATAAGTCAGAAAAATAAATTGGTAATTAATCTCATAAAATCCGTAAATTTTTATTTCTTATTTTCAATGTTAAATGTAATTTTTAAGTGTGAAGTGGATGAAAATGATGATGGAGGAAATGATCAGAATTATGTATCAAAATTTTTAACGACACAAACTGCTCTACAACATAGAATGGCTGATATTCTTGAAGAGATTAAAAACAAAGTAACAAAGTTTTTATTAAGAATTAATTTATTAAGAATTTTATTATATATTTCCATTTTTATATGCTAATGAATGATGGCAGAATGTTACTGAGGCCAACATTACGTAAATGTTGAATGTTATTAGAAAAAGAATTTTTGATAAACAAAATAAATTTTAGGTATTTGGAGGTAATGTGCAGAATTTTGTACAAATTTGTAAATATTAAATGTGTAAAATTTTTTTGCGCCACTTTTCAGGAGAAGGCATTTGAGGCCACAACTGCTTCGCAAGCTGAAATTGAGAAAATGCGAGCTGCCTTTACCGCTGAAGTAGAAGAATTACAACAAAAATTAATAGCTTTGGAAGCTGAACGTAATGAATTAATTACCAAGTTAAAAGGATCAACTACACACCATAAGTATATTTATTTGCTGTTTGCATTTTTCTTCGTTAAATTTTGATTTTTAAATCTCTATAACATTTTATATAATATATTATATAAAAAAATATTAATTATAATAATTTTATATATATATATATATATGTTCATGCTGAAAAAGTCATCTACAGTCCAAAATTTGCCATATTTTTTCAAGATTCTCCCCGATTCTTCAATGCTATTGATTGCCTTGGAAATCTAGTTCTAGTTTATTTAGTTTTTTCCTCTTAGTGGTCCATTTTTTTAACCCCAGAATTTTTATTTACATTTTTTTTTAACTCGTCCTCTAATCCTTTTAGATATTTATATTTTATATTATATATATGTATATATATTTTAAACTCCTCAGCACCTCCCTAAAAATTTTTTTGGAACTTTTAGTATAGCATCTGTTGAAGTCCTATATGTGCACTGTTATCGATTTATAACGAAAGACAAATGGGAATTAGCAATAGGCTAAGAAAAACTATAGCAGTGGACACTATTTATATAGTCTCTCGATACGTCCTATAGTCTCTTAACTCTCGCTATTACATTTTTGTGCACCATTAATAATCTGAAAAATTTTTTATCGTTTAATGTCTCCCGGTACCGTTATAAAATCACGATTATAAAAAGCTTTCTCAAAACTATTAATATTATTAGAATTCTTTTAATTATCCTTGAAGCTTCGTTAGACTATGTCACTTTCTTTTTCCAGAGCACGACACATTCTCTTCACTTTTCATTTTCTTTTAATGTACTAGTGTCCACTGTTTTAGTTTTTCTTAACCTGATAGTTCCCATTTGTCTTGATAACAGCTGTTGATCTGTTATGCTATTATACTGAAATTTTGGCTTATCTTTTAGAAACCCCTTTCATATTTTGTCACATTTTGTCAAATTTTATAAAAAAAATTTCCCTACGTTTTATTAGACCACGATCATAAAGCTTTACTATGCTCTTTTGCTAAGATCCATTAGGATCGTCATAAACTTTTTTTGCCAGTTCAGGCCCAATTATAACAAGCAGCTATCACTATTTTTTCCCTTAAACATTCAGATTTTTCACAAAATTATAAAATTATAAAAAGTATAAAATCACAAAAGTTGGGATCGTGCTGTTTGGCTATATTTCGACCATAGAGGGTGGAGTGGGATGAGAAAGGATAGAGTAATGAATGTGATAGTACGAAAGCAATATAACATTCTAAGATAAAAAATTTTAAGGAAATATCAAGGTATACATAGAATGAAGTTAATTCCTTAATTTCTTTCGTTCATATCCGTATATTTTTAATGGTTTATAAGTGAAAGTTTTTAAGTATTTCACGTGCGTTTTAGAGTGAGCGAGGAACGAAGAAAAAGATTATTGGAATTGGAAAAGCAACTTGACGCTTATAAAAAAAGACTTGCGGAGATTAAAAGATTAGAAAGAGAAAATAATAATCTCCAGCTAAAGGCCAAACAATTAAATCATGAATTAATGGTTCGGCTTTTATTTTTTCAATTATTTTTTTTATAATTTTAGTTCAAAATTATCATTTTCATATTTTTTCAAATAATCAAAAAAAATAGAATTTTTTTTCCAAAATGAAATAAAACTTGCTTAACATCCCGTGATATATTAAGAATAGTTTATAATACATTAGGAATTGAAAAAATTACGTGTAAAGATGTCGAAAAAACTCAAAGATGAAGAAGCGAAATTCAGAAATTGGAAAGTAAAAGCGGATCGAGAATTAATGCAAATGAAGAATCGCGTATGTCCACTTTTAATCCACATTTTCCATTTCTTCAATCCTATTTTTTAAATTATCTACTTAGCCGTTAATGAATGAAACAGTTTTGTAGATTATTATCAAAAATAGTAGGAAAAAAATAGTAGTTTTTTTTTCTTATAGTTTTCGAAAATAAGGGAAATTTTCTTTATGGAATTGTGAGATGTATGCTTTAAATAGCGAATGAATTTATAAATGAGTGAATTTGAGTGAATTTTATTTAAGCATATTTATATACGATTACTTTTATATTGGTTGGTAATTAATTTCGAATAGAATGTTAAATCGCAATTTTTGTGAATATTAATAAAAATAGTAAATAAGGGATAATCAAAGGTCTAAGGCATTTTATAAATGTTGTTCAAATTTGGCAATGAATATTGGTCAGAAATTGGCTGTAATCGTCTTGTTGTATATGTGTACTGATTCTTTTGGATTCTTGATTTCATATGACACATTTATAATTGTGAATGATATCCTGAGTCAAAAATAAAATAAAAATTGCATAAGAGTATTTTTTAATAATGTTAATTTGCAGCGTATCAGCGTTTAATAATTGAATATTATTATCTCAAATCTTAATTTTGTGGGTTATTTTCTCGGTAAATAGTCCACAATAGTCAATCTTATAGGAAAGAAAACGTGAAATGGAAATGGCAAGGCAACAGCAAGCATCTTCTCTTCAACTGGCAGTTTATCGACGAAAATATGAGGAAGCCAATGCTTGTAATCGACGCTTACAGCAACAATTATCTCGAAGTTCTGCGCGCACTAACACACCACGTACCGATGAACAACTTCTAGTAAGTTAGTTTCTTATTTAGTTCGATTTTTTGAATTTAAAACTAAAATTTTTTATTTCAAGTATTTTATATTTATTTTATTTTTAGGCTTTTCTTGATGAAGAGCTAGCAATAGCTTTTTCGGCAGCAGAGGCAAAAATTCATTGCAAAATATTAAATGAGCAGCGAGAAGCATTATCTATTCAGTTAAAAAATTTGGAGACTCAACTTAACTGCTTAAAATCAGAACCACCTTATAAGGTAACTTATAATTTATTGTGTATTTTATAGTTTACCCTTTGATATGAATATTTTCAAAATTAGCATTTAAGATATTATACAAAATTCTTTTATTTCCAAAATATTTATATTTCTCTTTGTTTATTTTTTTATTAATATTCTATTATAGAAGATTTTGATTTGATTAATTTTATTAACATTTTGGAGAATGATTATTTTTTAAAATAATTTTTAAAATAGGCCATTTTTTAACATTTTTATTTATCTTCCCAACAAATTTATTAATCATTAAGAGACGTGCCAGCAATGATGGTGCAAATACAGACAGTGAAAAAGAATTAAATCTGCTGGAGGAAATCAAAAACGTAAAACGTGAAGTAATTTTTTTAACAATATATTTTTTCTTTCTAATTTTTCGATTAAATAAATCCACAGATCCACAAATCCACAAATATTATCTATGAATCATTTCAAGATTGAATTGCGTAGCACTGAACTGAATGATATTCAAGCCAAATGCAAGAAAGCTGATTCCGAAGATCGTGTTGAACAACGATGGAGTTCTTGTCATTCACTTGTGGAAGCGAAAATCGCTCTTAAACATATCTTCAGCTTAGTAATGTTAACACTTTCATTTAAAGTTTATTTTGTAACTCACCATTATTAAATATAGTCATTAATCGTAATTAAATTTTAAAATTTTAATATTTCACTTGTAGATAATGGTGCGATTAGCTATAATGTTCAGTGTTTAATGTTGCAGGCCATAAAAGAAAGACGGTCTGCTTTCGAAAAGGAAATTCTTTTAGAAGAACTAAAACGAAAATTGGAAGAAAGGAGCAAAAATTTTAACATGAAAATTGAAAATTTAGAAAATCAGCTGAGAAATGAAAAAAAGGCGATTGAAACGCTTAAAGGAGCGCGTATCCATTCGGCATACATGAATATTCAACGAGTTAGTGAAGAAATCGATTTAGTAATTTGCTTCAGAATATATTATAGAAGCAGATTGCTTGATATATTTTTTTAAAAACCTGGAACTAAACTAAAGTTTTTTTCAAAAATTTGTTGTTATAGGATGATGAAATATTAAGCCAAACTTTTACGAAGGATGTTATGAATGAAAATAGCTTCGATTATTCTGAGCAAGTTAGAAACAGCATCGCTGAAACAGAAGATAAGCAGGTATTTTCTAGTCAACTAAGTGTTTTCTTATTATTTTTTGTAACTTTCTCGGTGGTAAAAATCAATACTCTCTTTGGCAATATCCATAAATCTTTATAAAACTTATACTTAATATACAAATATATATACATAATATAAAGAAATCAAAAAAAAAAACAACAAATAGCAACACCCAAAGACAATAAACAAACATAATAATTATATCACACATACAAGTTAAAAAGAAATAACAAGCGCAAGTTTTCTATCTAAGGATAAAATTGTATTTGAGCAAAACTTCACTAAATTTACCAATTGTCTTTTTAATTGTTTTTTATTTTTCAGATGTTGAGGCTGCAGAATGATCAACATCTTCGTAAACGATCGCTTTCACATAATGCTGAATGTGATTATGCCATTTATTCAATGAGAGATAGGAAAAGAGTCAGTTAGTTATCTATTTATTCAAATTAGTTAATCAGAATGCTGGAAAATAATTAATTTAGATTAAATTTTTCTTACACATTTCTTGCACAGTTATTTCCAATTTTGTGCGAATCATATTATTTTGCGGTTGAAGATTTCGGAAGAGCAAAGTACAGAGCATTCTTATGTTCACTGGAGCGCTATGAGATTACGACCTCGTTCCGCCAAGGTTTGATTGGCTTGTATTGATTTCCACTGGTTTTTTTGAATATTATTCATTTAATTTTATAGGCGAATGCTTTACAATCAAGTTCCGATGAAGATGAGAACGATAGGAGAGCAAATGAAGATATAAATGATATTTCTTATTATCCCACACCTAATAAGAAATGTAAAAGGTATAATATATCTCGCTAAAAATTAGTTTAATGAATTGCATAATTCTTTTATTTGTATATAAACTCGCATTTTCAATGAAGAAGCGATCGTCATCGAACGTCCGTGTTTGAAAATCCGGTTTCTCATAGAACGTCCGTCAGTAATCATGGAGGCAAAATCGGCGAAAACAACGTTAGTTCAAATGAACTCTATTTACCCGTAGGCATACTTCATACATAATTATTCATATTAGCGCAGAAGGATTTTTCTATCGCAGATTGCAAAACTTTCAATTTTTCAGTCAATTTATTTTCTCTCGTTTCTTCACAATAATCATTTAAGAGATTAATTAATTAGAAAATACAAATTATTGAACAAGAATTGATAGGAGAAACTAAGACTAATAAATAAACTGGGAAATGAAAAGAATGATCAAATTAAATTTCTATATACGTATATCAGAAATGTAATTTAGACAGCGTTAAGTGGATTTTCGGGAATACAAGAGGAAAAGTGGAGTCGTGAAAAAGATCAGTTAGCCTCCTCTTTATTAGGGATGGATCGACGAGTGATATCAAAATCGCTATTTGATAATCCGATGAAATAACATATTTTAGCTATTTGCTCGTTCTAACCAAATATATTTGTATTAATTGTATTTACCTTGTAATATTTTTTTTTCATTATTTGTTTCATGTTTTCACATATTAAAATTTTTTTCAAACGTTTTAAATAATGGTTAATAAATTTAAACCCATGAATTTGGTGATATTTATTCACAATCGATCATTGGTTAAACAAGGTGTTTAGTGAAGCTGATATTTCTTCTCTGACATATGATTCTTATGGAAATAGTATTTCATAGAGAAAAGAAATTAAACCTGAATAGAATACGTGGTTCAAACGTAGAACAGACTGAAGAGTTGGCCTCAGGTTTAGGTCAAATCTTAGAATCTAGCCTTAATCAACAAACATTGTGAAGAGAGGAAAAATCCTCTTTTTCCTTAATATTTTACTATAGGATTTTCAACTAGGATATATAAAATTGATTTTTTCGAAGTAGGAAGTAAATTTTTACCTCCTATTTCGTAGCGGGATCTCTTTGTGGTTCCTGTGGTCCTCCACTTTTCCAAATTCTTTTTCGTGCAGCCCAGTAAAATTCTGTGACCATATGTGCCTAGTTGTCGTAGACAGTAGGAAAGAGAACGATTTTTATTGCTATTTGCTATGGGTATCGAGTGGATCGGCTCACAATAACCATGAATGTAAGTTGGTTCGGTGGGGAATAAGAATACGCAAAGGTTACTAGAGGAAATATTCATGTAGCGTTCCATTTATCTTAACCAAATGTGGGCATTTAAACCTTTTATGAAATCTCTGGTACGAAAAAGAGGATTAAAAACAGAAGATTTGGTTTGGACTGAGAATTGTACCAAAGTGAAGGTGTCGTGAGGGTTGCCATGGTCACATTAGTACCACATATAAACTGCATTATCGTGGAACTTTTTCATATTGGTGTAGGATGGAAAATTTTCCAGTGGACTTACAAGTTTTTACTCACAAGCTTCAGTTATACGTTAGTAAATGAAACAAATCCAATGCTAAACTATCCATCTTAACTCTTCTTTTTGTAAAATGGCGTTATAAAATTACTCTCCGATGCTATTCTGTAATTTAGCGAGATTCCGCGAAAGATTCAAAGCAGATTTTTTTTGTTCCATAAATTGAAAATGGTTTATATTTTTCTGGATTACTGTATAAAATGCAATCTTCCGCAAGAAAAACCTATCAATCATTTTACAGATTAAACGAACTTCTAGTGATAAATATCGAAGGTTCAAAAGTTGTGCGAGTTCAGTTAATGATTAATGATTTGCATGTATAAAATCGTCTAAAAGTTGCCATTGTTTAGGTTATATCTTAGTGATATCTTCTGCAAACAGTATGAATAAATAATGCATTAAATTCGAAGGTTCGTCAGATTTGTGAACCTTAATGGAAGTAAATTCGTTTTTAGAAGTGGAATAGGAATGGTGCTGGAGGCCGTTCTGTCTCGCAAGCGACTCTGGTGAAGTGGTCTTTTAGCCAGTGGAGTTAGCCAAAGTGAAAGAGCGGTCTGCTGTCAGAAAGATATCACAGCTACTATTGGGTCGATGGAACATAGCTTATTTGTTCGTGGTTTTAGATTTTTATAACATTAATATTAGAGAAAACGATATGATTTTAGTAGCCTAGAAATTTCAATGCTACGATTAACGAAAAGCAAATGAATCGATCACAAAAATCAGAATGGATCGAATAAAAAACTTGAAGCTCTAAGGAAGCATCCACGAAGCATTTTTAAGTTGTAATAATAGAGGCAGAATAAATGTGCACATCAATGCTTAACAGATGGCATCAGTTGTTAAGATCTACGATAAAAAAAAGACATCTTTTGCGTGGATATGGAATTTTCCTGGATATTCATCGCCCTAACTTATTTGATTCCAGAAATGCACTAATTGGTTCATCCGCTGATTTCATGGAATTTTTCTTTTCTTCCAGAAACTTCTTTTTAAGCACCGAGTTATGACAGCGGAACTATCTGCGCCTTTTTTTAAAATCCTATTGCGTTTTTCAAATAACTCGGATAAATAAGGAGAGGAAATTGTGAGATACTTATAAGAGTGTTAATCGCCCATTTATATTCTCATTTCAACTTAAGTTTAAAGAGAAATTTTGCAAGTGGGTAGCGATAAAACTTCATTGAAAATTTTATATTTCCTTTATTCATTTTTAATAGAACAAGCCATCTGACGATTTTATCCCAATAATTAGCTGTTCCAGCCGTTCTTTTTCATTCACCACTTCTGCTTTGGTAAGTTCCATTAAAATTCCTTTGTCAGTGAGTCACTAGAAGTGCAGGGCCGCATCATACGAATTTCAGTTTAATAGCAGGTTTACTCCCATAAAATCGTCGCACTTGCGAGAACTAAATCTTAGCCAAAGCGACGGCCCACTTGCCATCGCACCTTTTGATTTTTTATTCGCTATAAATTATATGTGCTGTTTCTTTTATTATCGTAAATTATGCTACCACAACATTGCATCAATCGTTGATATTCGAGCCAAAAATCTGGAGTTGCTATTGAAGGAAGTAAATGACAAATGAATGAACTCCCACTCCTTCAAATCCTAATTGAGTTGCCAGCATGTAAGAGCTGAAAACTGATGCTAGATCCATTGTCAAGCAAAATTTCTCGTTTGCAAAATTTATTTCCATGTTTCAGTTTGCAAAGAGAGATTCAACGATCGTTATTGTTTCTAATCTTCATTTCATTACGCTGAAACTAAATTCCACTCTAATCCTAACGGACAAATACAGTGCCATATTGCATATCTCCATTTTACAGAAATTTTATAAATAATCAAAAAATTACTGATATTTTTCTAACTCTCTACTCTTGTTATACTTCTTCTAACATCACTTAACATTTCTGGTTTGCTAGAGTAATTTGGCGATAGAAATGCGGACTGTCCCCTCCTCGCACTGATCGAGCTTAATTTTTAGTAACAGGTGGATTGCTCTTAGTCGAAGTTGCATCTACTCGACCATCGCATCGTTTCCTCGCTTCTCTTCAATTTTACTAAATTGTTCACTTTTGATATTTTTGTATGAATGAAAATTTATTTGGAGAAATTTATGTGGCAATAAGATTTTTAAGGCATATCAAAGAATTAATTTCTTAAATATTCGAGAAAAGTTTTTTTATTCAAGTTTGTCGTCTCAAATAACGACGCTCTTACACCTTTGTATTCCTTTTTCTTAAGAACAATCAACCGCTTAACAATATTTTTGTCGAACAATAACAGTTTTTAAAATAACGACAGTGTGCAAAGGCGTTGTTTGAGTCCAAAAGATTCGACAATTCGATGCGGAGATGCATTTGAAGGAGTTCCGTCTTTAGTGGTCGCTGTTTCTTGGAAATTCGACGTGTCGCTTAAATTTTCCTTTATGGGGCATAAATTCTCAACTCATCCAAGTTCTGAAGAAACTGAGTGTGATTCTCTCGCAAAATGCTCGAAACTCACCGCTTCACAAAGGTATATTCTTTGAGAATAATGGGAATTTCGAGATAAGTCTTTGCCAAGAATTTCTATTAAGAAAACAAATTAAGAGGTTTAGAAGAGTTAAAAGAGATTTAAAATGAAGGCGGCAATTTGTAAAATTATGGTAATAGAGCTTAAAGGAGTTTTGAGGATATTTAAAAGATACTTCATTGGGTTTGGAGAGGTTTTTAACGAGTGATGGCGAGTTTTAAGGTGTGCTGAAAACCCGACTCGGTGAACGGCAATTACCTAGGCGGTATAGTATAATTTAGAGGCTTTATGAAGCATTGGCTTGATTGTAGGTAATTAATTGCGGAGTTCAGAGGTGCTAGGAGAATTTTTATTGCAGAAGTCGGTAGTTTCTAGTTTGCCATTTGAATGGTTGTTATTTAAAGAAGTTTTTTTGAAGAGCATAACAATTTTTTATATCTTTCTTTTGTCGTTTGACCTAATTGCTATTTTGATATGACTGATAATATTCAAACTTGCGTTGATTATAGAAAATATAGATTATATTGATTATAGAAAAGATGCTTAAAGTAGAAAAAGGAAAAGTAAATTGTAGTCTTTGTTTTAGCATGGAGGGAAGGAAAATTTAGAAAAGTTTCTGGTTTTTTCATTCTGGAACGAATTTTAAAAGAAAATTAAAAATCTTTTATGTTGCATATTCAATTTTAATAAATAAAAATATACCAAAAAAGCCATACTTTTAAGCTTCTTAAAATCTTTATTTTTCAAAATTGCTTACATCAAAAAGCAAAAAAAATTTCAAACTTTATTTCATTTGACTTAAAATTTTGCATAAAATATTTCTCATATTTTCCAACTAAAAATTTATTTCATTTTTACAGAGACATCGTTATCGAAGGTTTCGAAAATGCCAGCGAAGATATAACGCAACGAATAGTTATGAGAATGCTTCAGCAGCGCGAGGATTTCAGGTATTTCCTATTTTCACGAGGAATCTTGTAAAATTTTTTTCGTAAATTTTTCATCGACGGTTAAGTTCAGCCCAATTTTGAATGGATTTTTGTATCAAATAGAATATTTCAGAACATTTATGGATGATTTAAGTCCAGATTTGAGGAAGATTCTCATCATGCAGTTGAAACAGTATCTCCACAGTGTTATTGACAACATTGATGACGCAGAAAAAGTAATGAACAATTCATTAGCACTAAGCTAAATGCTTAAAAAAAATTTGGAAGAAAAGAAAATTTAGAACTTAGAATGAGTAGAATGAGTAGAATGCTGGCAACATTTGACTGGCTCGTTTCACTTCAGTCACCTCTACTGACGTTTAGCCTACATTTTTTGGTCGTTCCTGATCCGAATTCCAGTAATTTTTAAAATTATTTATAATTTAGAAACAATACTTCCAGATCAAATTGTTGTCCTCAAAATTTGGAATGGAACACGTAATATTGAAGCGATTCGGATTTAAAACAGATTTTTTCGCCCTTATGGCCAATTCAATTGCAACTGAATGCGCATTTCTCAGCGATACAACAACATCTGCTACAACTACCTTTAAAGTTTGTCTTAGGAAGCGGCTAGAATTAAATTATCAAATAAACATAAACAAGTCATTCAACTAATTGAGAAGAATGGTTTCAGGCTTGGATAAATCTCGTAGGATTCATGTTTTCAGCTGTAAGAGATGGCTTTTATAAAGAATTACGCTTTCAGCGCCATTTACCACATCAACCTTTAACTTCTTCGAAGAGTTTGTGTTAGTCTTTAGCAGAAGTCGAAATCAGGTGGTATTCAACCATGAATTCAAATAACATTGGTTGGATGTCCAATCCTTGAGGACAACAAACTTTATATTTTAAAATAAAACTATGGTGGCGCTCCCAGCCTCTCTGGACTTCTTTCTGTTCCCAGTTGACTTTCTGGCATAATGGTCTTATCCATTCGACCAGCCAAACCAAAATTATTGAGAGCATTTAAAAATCGAGGAAATCTTTTTGGCATTACTATTGGTAGCAAAAACGTCTGTTAAAAGTAAAATGCTTCAGCAAATCACTAGACAGAAGATTCATCGTTCTAGTGATTTAATCCAGCATTTCCAGAAAAAAGAAAAAAATTTGCAAAAATTTTAACCAAAAAGAATTTAACAAATTTATAAAAAATATTTTTAGCTGATTTAAATATGAATGCAAATCAATTTCCTGCAGAAATCGGACCAACTGATTGTAAAAATTGCAAAAATGATAAAGAGGAACGGAGGTAAATCTGATCAACAGAAATTCTTTCATGCCGAGATTTTTTCTTTTTGTTTTGGCTTGTTTTTTATATTTCTATAGACCGTTTTTCTTGGCTTTAAAAAAATTATTTTTAGGCCCATTTCAAATTCATTAACAAATCGTATTCGTTCAGAGATGATTTAAGGATATAGTGATAAATATCGATAAATATTAAGAGAAGAAAATATTATTTCCACTTAATCTAATGTGATATAGGGAAATAGAATTGAGATAAATTTGAGAAGACATGATTCCTTGAGCTTAAACCCACTCTTATGATCCGAAATACGGTGCTCGTAATAGTTTTAATAGTTATAAAAATTTTTCTTCAGCTGCTCATTTCTTTTTTTTTGCTTACTACTCCTTATTTCTCCTTTTCTCCGTTCCTGCCTCTCTTTCTTTGACAAAAACAATAGAATTTGGTAGTTGACCAGCATCTGAAGAAATTTAATTTGCAGCATTAAAGATAATACCCAGAGAGATGACACATTACCTGTAGAAATAAGTGGTACAAAGGAAACGACCAGATCGAATGAATTGATTATTGATGAATGTGAACGACCTACTCGGGCATTGCAGCGCAAGGACGCATTTTACGTGGCTCAGTCACCGCAGATTTATAAAAAACGATCCAGATCTGCTTATCAAAATATAAATTTGCAAAATGGTACTCTTCTTCATTGGCAATTTTTCTTTATATTTTTGCATTCCAATGAATTTGCGTTTTCCCATAAAGCATACAATTCTTAATTCTAAATATTCCTCTCATTTTTAATGCATAATTGATGGAGGAATTATTGGCAGAATTTCCAGCACAATCATCAGCTGAAGGAGATCGACTGGAAATGACGAAAATCAAATTTGAAATGTTGAATGAACAACATAAAAAAGTAAGCATCTGAGTCAGAAAGGTTGCATTCGCGAAAGTTAAGAGTAAATTTTTTTGGGCTCCGATATTCGCTAATTTGAGATATAAAGATTTCGTGAACTTCAAAAACTATAAATCCCCTATCTTAGTATTGCTTTTGTTTCTTCGCTATTAATTATTTGCACTAAATGTCTTAGTTGTCGCAGTCGACCAATTCTGCAATGGGAAACGTTGGCAGATTTCAGAAAAATAACAGCAAAACAACAGCCAACAAAAAGAGAAAATATCAAAAGTATGAAATTTTCCTGGTTGTATTATCCTCATTTTTCTTCTGGTTTCCCAACGAAATTTTGAGAATAATTTGTATTCTTAATAAGTTGTACAACAAAAAAGGACTGGCAAACTAGTTGGCAATTGGATCTTTTCTCCTTTAATGATACCAATCTGCATCGTTTAATTCTTCGCTGAATATTAAGCGCTCCTTGATGAAAAATACTTGCTTCAAATCGGCCTCTTTACGACCGAAGCTTTCACTAAAACTGAACTGGGTGGCTGAAAAGGAACCCGTTTAACCTATTCCCAAGCGCGCCTCTCTGGCCCGATTCCCTGCCCAATTGAATAAATTTGCACACGTCTGGACTATTTTTCCTGATGTAAATCGTCAGGAAAACAAATTGACCAACCGAAAAGTGAATAATTTATTACGCAGCCGTAATGAAAGTCTTGTCGACTTTGAACATTTAGATTATTCGAAAGAAGACAAGGGAACCTATTTGCGCACTAAACTGGTACAACACAACTTTTTCGTTCGTACTATTAACCATCCGAATAAGTTGGTAATGTGCGCACCAGCACCTAATTTTAAAGAAAAAAATTTAAAAAACTGTTGTCTGCGACATCATTTCACTATTTTTATTTGGCATAACAACTCAATCCACTAATAAATTTAATCTTTTTATTATTTTGATTCATTAATATAACTTTTATGTTATTGCAAATAAATGCGCATGGCTATTGCCCTGCTTGATTCTTTCTTTTTTGCATGAAACATTAAAAAATATTTTAGAGGACAAAGTGCTTCAGCAACAAATCTATTCGATCCCAACAAAATTATTGATGACTTCATGCACGATCGTCTTTGAATGTTGCTGAGTTATAATAATAATGGGATAACTCTTCAACCACTTCACCGGCAAGCAATCGGTTAATGCCTCTTTACGCAAATTAATTTAAGGTTTTCTGAAACTCTATTATTAATTGTAAATATAAAAATTTATAATCAGAAATGCCAAATTTTCTCTCTGTGAAACAATTTAACGAGATCAAAATATTTATTTATAACTCTAAAAAGAATGATCGTTGGAGATTTAAAAATATCATAAAAGAAAGTGAAATTATGAAACCATTACAGCTGAACCTGTTGCTTTATGATAAAAACTAGGGATAGAATGGTCGAGTAATATTGATTAAGGGCAAAAAACATCGCTTTTCGATATGCATGAAGCAGTCATTAAAAATGAAGGTGCTTGAACAGGAAATATCGAATGCCTGGATCACTTATCCACTAAGCCAGCCAAGCCAGAAGTAATAAGAAGAGAAGAAAAAAATGCAAATGCAAATAAACAAGTGCCATAAAAATCGTAAATAGGTAGATTTACTGGAAGAGAATGGAAAACATTACAATACAAACCGGATTGAAAAATAAGTACTCAAAAGAAAATGAATAAAGAAAAAATTGAAAAGCACTTAAATACGGAATAACTTAAATTAACGATATTTACTTATACAATAAAGCCTCATCAGGCACAATGCAGAACATTGTATTACTAACAGAAAAAATGAGAAACGCTAAGTTTAACCAAAAAAAATTGGCATTTTATTATAACAAAAAATGGGTGCCTTTAAGCTGTGTTTAAGCAGAAAAGAATACGCAGTTTAAGAAATGGCTTAAACTTCTCAAATAATTAAAATATTAAATAAATAAGTAAAATGAAAAATATTAAGTAATAAGTAAATTTAAAATCAAAATAATAAACATTTGACTGAAAATCGAAGATCCGTGAACAATTATGCAAAAAATTCTTTCATAACTTTAAAATTTAAGTCAGAATTTAAGTCAGAGTTTACAAAAAACTGAACTTATTGCTTGCAGATTCAAAACCTCTCCAAAATTTCGAGAATATAAAATTATAATTATAGTTATAACAATTATCAAAGTTAATAAACGCAATAAATAAATAAAATTCAAACAAGAGAGCACCTAACAAATTTTGTTCGCAAAAAATAAAATACTTTTCTGGTATATTTATTGTTACAAGGATTTTGTAAAATATGTATCGTTGCAACTGAGAACTGAGTGAGTGATAATCAGAAACTTGCCCAGCTACAAAGACAATAGCAGACCTTTAAATATTGATAACCTCATGAAGAACAATGCAAAACATTGTGGTGTGGCCTGATTTGGATGGCTATATAAAAATAGTGCTTTGCCGTAATACCACTAATTTCTTACTGGTTAGCCTGATTTATTTTACATTTCTTGATTTGTATTCTTCGCTATACATGAATGTGGTGGCGGCTTACCTCGCTCTTTTGGCATACTTGCCAGCGATATTTTCACATTAATATTTTCAATGTGGCGGTTCTCTTTCCCAACTATATATTTTAGCCCAAAATGGCTAGCAACCTCATAATCTTGATGAACACATTTGATGGATAAATTTCGTAGCACTGAGATGGTGGCAACAATAAGGATACTTTTGACATTAGGCAAGTCACGTAGTCTTTGGAAGTTAATAAGGGGCTGTAGCGGATATCAACCAGTCTACACAGTATGACTGGCGTAAATAGACGCCATCGGTATTGTGACCAATCACATATTAGCAAATTTTTTCTTGAGTGCTATGTGCACTATATGCACCAGAAATATTTGCAATCCACTGAAGTCCACACGAGAATCACCATTATTATTTAATGAATTAGATTCTTGCAGAAGTCTTAAAATAGATCTACTGGCCTAGTGGGCTGTGGACTTCTCGTGACACTCGTACCTGCACCAAAGATTTTTCCCTGCGGCCCAATCCGGTGGGGCAATTTCTTGTTCCAAATCAACATGTTCGTCGATGGGACCATCCTACTCTCTTTCCCTAACCAATCACAAACATTCCATTCTGAACTCAATGCGCAATATGGGCCTCACTCATAATCACGTTATGAATGAGCAGGACAGTTGCACCGCCAATAATCCAATGCCATCACGAATAGCTGCCCATCACAGAAATGCCATAGATATACTGGGTGTATAGCCATCACACAATTTAAACAGGACGAGCTGAGCATAATATATAATAATAATAAAATAATAATGATGATTAATATTAATAATAATATTAATAATAATAATTAATAATAACCAATAATAATAATTAATAATAATAAAATAATAATTAATAATAATAAAATAATAATTAATAATAATAATTAATTATTATTTATTATACTTTCTATTACTATTATAACTATTATTAATAATAATAATTAATGATAATAATAACTAATAATAATTAATAATAGTAATAATAATAATTAATAATAGTAATAACAATAGTTAATAATAATATAATGATAATAATAATTAATAACAATAATATTATATTATATTAACATTAACATCATATATATTATATTAGATATATAATTATATTATTTTATATATAATATTATATATATTATACACATATTATTATATTATAATATATATTATTATATATAGTATACCATGAGATAAAGGGATAGAATGGCTCAGTGGGTTGTTGCTCAATTGAGAGCGCTGATCCTGAGGTTCGATTCCCCGCAGAAGCAAACCTATACAAAAATCCGGATGATGATGGCGACTCACTTGCATTGCTATCGTCAAGGAACTCCCTGGCATAATGCCGAATGCGATAAGCCAGCGGAGCGAGTTTAACCAGTAACGGTGAGGACTCTCAAAAAAAAAAATATATAGTATATTATATCATAAACAATAATATGATATATAACTATTAAATTATATATAATATAAATATATTATATATATGTTATATTATTATAATATTATATAAATATTATATATTATATAATAATATTATAAATAATTATTATGAATTATATATTATATATTATTATATTATTATTGATAACAATATAATAAAAACTTCTGAATTCCAAAAGAACTGAATTTTTAAAGTATCTTATGATGAGTGCCATGTTATACTACTTTCTACTCGAACCGAAAGCTTCCCAACTGCTCAATGATTCGACTAATTACAGCGATTGTTCATACAAATCATTCGATGAAGATATAAAATAGATAAACAAATGATGTAAATAAATATAATTATTCACCTGTAACAAATTATGCACTATAAAGCGAGAAAAAACAATATTATAAAAAAGATTAATGAATGGAAGGCCATGAAAAAAATATTCGGATTAGACCATAGAAAACCGCTGACAGTGAAATACCAGCAAACATCTAACCATCATACGCATGCAACAAATGGGATAAATAAATAAAGACAAAGACTAACCAAACAAATAAAAGCATAAACCCAGGCTAAGTATATAAGCCGCTCTAGAATTCTTCCGCATATGGCACTAGCTCGACGATAACCCTTAGCACCAAATCTATTCCTAAGCGCCTCTTTTCGAAATACAAGGTAACCTAATGTTCTCCATTTCAGCCTTCATAATGTATTTTACAAATGATGTTGCAAGCTTCATGTAGCAAACCTCTGGAATATTTCCTGGACCGATAAATAAAAAAGAATTAAAAGAATTAAAACAACACAAATACGACGACTATTAGAATTTGAACAGTAAGTTTAGACATCTCACTGAACAAATATTAATTGGAGAAATCGAACAGATGCAAGCAAATCAGAAAATTTTTTTAAATATACTAGAAGAGCATCCATTAAACATAAACATGGCAGAGTAGAACATCAAAAATCTTATCCGATTATTGCGTTTCAGAAATTTCTTAGGTTCATAAAACTTGTTTTTTGCACCAAAATGAGGGAACATTTGCAAAATTTCGAATCATGGTTTCTCCATAACAATGAATGCATAATGAGGTCCATGAAAATTGAGTTAAATGTTTGCACTAATGTTTGTACTTAAAGTATTTTTCATATACTATCTTCTGTATACTGTCTTCCAACATTTTTTCATGAGAACGTTGAACATTTTTCATGTATAACCGAATAAGTTGCTCGATAAGGTTCAAAGAAGTTTGCTGGACATGCCCAATCAATGGAATTAATCTACAAACCATATTCCCCACCATTCCCAGCAATTTGAAAACTACCCTACAATTAGAATTTTAAACATACAACAACACTGCGGAATAATGCTGCAACCCATGAAAATATAACGAATTAACTTCGACCAAGCCAAAATAACATGCAACACATGAAAAATAAAATTATTTCAGAATGATACCAAAAAATCACCAACAACTATTTTTCTGAAAAATACAGAAAAAACACCACTAAAATTGTTAATTTCTACAAAAAAAAATAATAAAATTGTTAACTTCGACATGAAATGCGGAAGTCCAATATTATAAGAATTTTCGCTTAAATGCAATATTTTATTATATAAAACTTTAACTGCCAAATGAATAACCTAAAACTTACGAGAAAAAGGTATTCCGAGATACACAGCGATCAAAACGCATCAAAAAAAAGTCAATTCAACTATATTTATTATTAATATTTTTGCAATAAAATTCTTATAAAAATTTGTTATAAAAAATGTTCATTTTATATAAAAATTTATACCACAATTTTCTGCTTTTTCACTGACTTCATTCCGAACAATCCAAAACAGGGCAATAAAAAAGCAAAAATACTAATGTGATATAAATTTTCGCATCACGAACAGCAAAATAGCAATCTTGTTCAAAAAAATTCGATTAACAACATAAACAAGTAGTCATAATTTATCATAAATTTTTTTAAACTTTTTGGAATGAGAAAAAATATATGTAAATGACAGAAATGCGTGGACTTAAAAATCATTTTTATCCTTCAAATATAAATCGAATGCCTCCAACTTGCTCTTGGTATACCTGAAACGAAAACTTAAAATTTTAACAAGATACGACCAAAAGACGTTCAAAAAGAGCGATGTTATGAAATTATAAAAGATTGAATACTCCACTTTAAGGTGAATGAAATTTTATTCACCCAAATCTATGTTAATAAGACATGAAATCTCTTATTAATGAAAAGAACAATGGAAGAAAAAAAAACTGAATTATAAAATATTTCTAAAATTATGACGATCTGTGATTTACAAAACCTCATTTTTTGCGGTTTTCCGCAACAATTACGTTAAAATTTGCCTTTTTTCATAGTCTTTTTATCACTTTAAAGACAAATGGCAAATTTATGAATTGATTAAAATCACGATGCCTTAAAAGTAAAATATCATTAAATATCATTAAATAAAAATATTTCAGGGAAACGAATGGATTATTTCTTTAAAATTAATTATTATAAATTTAAGGAGAAAAAAATGAGATATTTAAGTTAAAAACAAGATAAACCAACTTCAATAACATCGTCTTCTTCCATTTCCAGTGTTTTCGGAGTATCTTCATCATTAATTCGACGTCCATCAAAGAGGAAACGTAATGAACCAACTGAAACGCCAACGCGGTCGGCGTACGATTTTTTTAATTTTCCCATGCTCGTACCATATTTAACTCGAAAATGAACTTCATTTGAATCCTTAAAAATTATTATTCGAAAAATTAAAATTAACTAAAAGAATTTTTTTTGACGGTTTGAAATTTATCCAAAAACCTTTTCAGCTTAGTTACAACCTTCCGAATTTTTCTCTTGAATAAATGAATTTTAAGGCAGCAAAAATTAAAATTGCGAAAAAATAAAATCCTTTTTCAGATATTTCTAATAGAACGAAAATATTTTGAAATTGCAAATGATAAGAAATTGAAACGAATTACGAAGTGAAATTACATTTTTCGTTGGGAATTTACCTAAGATAATTCCAATCAAAATTTTAATCAAAAACAATAAGAAAAAAAAAGAAAGGTACCTGTCCAACAACTTTTAATTTTATATATTCGGCAGGGGCAGCAGTTTTTGTTGCATTTGAATCCGTCGTCGCTGCTGTTTGCGCTGTTGCATCATCGGCCATTTTCTTCAATTTCCTAAAATTTAAAATAGAATTTAAAAATAACAAAAGGGATTTGAATAATATCCGTCGAATGTTTATTTGTAAAATATTTATTTTATATTTATGAAGTTCCATTAAAAAATCCAATTACATCTAATTTAGCTGCGAACGAAGAAACGAACCGCGGTTTAATGCTTTAAGGAACAAACAAATATATGGGAATTACAACAAAAAACAAAACAACGAAATTTTCATGATTACTACTGGTTTACCAATCAGAAATCTATCAGAAGAGTGACAAAAGCAGCGCAATAAGGAGGCAATAATTCGCAGCAAATAATTTTTCGAGATGATGCGAATTAACTTAATGCCACTGAAAATTGGTAGTGGACGGGGAAATTTGGAAACGTTCGACCCCAATAATAAACAAGCGACAAACGACAAACAATGCAGACTGTCAGATGGTGAAGAGAGGAACAAAAAACGAATATTCCATGGAAGAAGGCCTTTTCGCAATAATTCAATTCCGAATAAATTACCAACTCAGTAAATTAATTTAAGCGAACCTTGAAAATAAACTTCCCCAACTCAAATATTAGTCGTTTAATCATTTCCCCCCTTCCATCCCCATAACTCCACATCCCTCCCTCGTCCCCCTTCCTTCCTAACCTTTCCTCTTACCACTTCAACTCCTTAACTTATATCCTCCTCAGCTTTCGACGACCTCGCCGGCAATCTCTTTAAATACGCTTTGCAGTGTTCATCTGAAGTCAAAAGGGATTGGCATGCAGCCAATAGTGGAAGAAGCGCGAATTTCAAAGGGAGTCGTCGATGGTGTTTGTTCTTTCGCGGTGGCCAAAGTGTTTTTCTATCAATAACTGAAATTCTTGTCGGAAGTGCTTTCCTTTAACAGTTGATAGTGGCTAATAGAAGAATGCTGCGTAGAAGGACGGTTAAGCTGTCGTCGCCTCAATAAGTCCTTCAGGCTCGCACGACGGTTGCCTTAGCTGCCTTCTAATCGAGCGCCCTCCTGGCTACGAAGAAAGTTTACTCCGTTCCGCAGAGCTGAAATCTTACTATGCACGGGAACGCCAAGTCTTTTCCTTAGTCGGCTTTCGCTCTTGTTTCCCATAAAGGACGTGCAGCATCACCGCCTTACTTTTGTGATGAACATACATTTCATTTTAAAAATACTTGGCAGCTCCATGATTAGACTACGGAATCAGTAAGGAGTACTATAGTGTTGGAAGAAAATGACCCTACTCTAAATTTTAAAAAATCATCCGAATTGGACCGCGTCTGAATTTTAGTGGATCCATAATGGCCGTGGAACCAAGTTTTCAAGGAGTTTTCTTATTTTTGATAGTCAACAGCTTTTTCAAATAAAGAAACTAAATTAAACAAAATTTTGGATTTAGACGACAGAATTAATTTTGAACATTTAAAGTTAATATTTCATTCATTTTGGATTGTCTATGCTGGGACATTCTTGCAGCAAAAGTAAATCTGTCTGCCAAAAATCCAGAACAGGTGGCGTTGGTGATGCACCTGTACTATCACCAAATGAAATTTATTTATAGGATCCGACGGACGAATCCAGCGGAGCGAGTGTAATAAAAAATGGTGAGTATAGGTACTGTTGGTGAGTACTCTTAGAAAAAATGGTGAGTATAGGTACTGTTGGTGAGTACTGTTAGAAGAAGAAAATTTTTTCAGATATCGGTTTTTGTAATGTGGAATTTGACATATTTTGGTTCCTTTGGTTTAGATGTTGATGATGGTAATTCGCAGGTGAGTGGAGATGCGACAACTCAGTGGGAATGGAATATCAGACATCGAACAAATATTGCTGTTGGCAACTGTGAAGGATCGAGTAGCCATAGAAGGTTTGTTCTTTTATAGTACTGTGAAAAAATTTGATTTCTGGATAGCTTTTTGAATTTTATGTTCATATTTGAGAAAAAATGAAAAGTTTTTATAAGCCTTAGGACTCCAGTTTCCAAATTTACCGCAGAATAAAAAAAAAGCAGTAGAACTTTCCCAACATGGAGGCATTCTTCACTTCGCTTGTATATGTAACGCAATCGTCCGTTCCGCAAGCTTTATTATTATAAACAAATACTTTGATTGTCGAAAAAACCGCAAGAATTTATTTTAAAAAAACGCATTCAAATCATAAAAATTCATATAGCTAATTTAAAAAACTAAATACTAAATTGTTTACAATTTTTAGATGCACCCTTGAAAGAAAAAAATATTTTTTTTATACAATTTTTTATGTGATTTGCATCATATTGTAAGCCCAACCCAGATATGGGAAAAAAAAGTAGGATCAGTTCGAAGTGTTTAAAAAAAACGACAGGAACTTCGACCAATTTTTTCTCTCAAACCAGAATTTAACGCGATATTTTCCTTCTTTCTTAATCCTGACTTGACCCAATAATTATGCTGTTATAATATATTGTTGCTATAATTCAACGGTGAATAAAATTTCTCCTTTCGACTCAAAACATTTTTCACGACAATATTCATGAACAAATTAAGTAAAAGTAAATTAAAATAAAAAAATTGGTGGTGAGGGGAAAATTGTGGATATTGATGAAAATTTATTGTCCAATCGTAAGAGGAGTACTAATCGAGAATCACATCAGTTATGGGCTTTTGGTGAATTTTATGAAGAAATAAATGAACGTTCCATTGTTCAGCTTCCAAATTTCAGGAACACATTTATATAGATTATCGGAAGAAATGTTGCAAGTGGTCCGATTAAACGTTCGCAGTGTTAGTCGGTTCTCCGAAATGGAAGAGATTTCAGCAATGCCAGATTGATCAGAGATGCCGAACACGCATGAAACGTCGAAAAGATACAGAGTTCTTGAAATGGCGCAATAGCGCTGTGCACCAGCTATATAGCACAGTCGTTTGCGAGAAGACGAACCATTCGATGCGGTATAAAAAGGTGCCCTCCGCCTTAAATACGATTTTAAAATTTTTTTCGATCGCTACTAATTTTAACTTTAACCCATAAACTTTGTACTTTTCATTATTCATAAATTGTAAATACGAAGTTCAAAGCAGTCATTTGACATTGTCAATGGTGTTTTTCAGATTCTATTAATTGCTATTTTTAACGTTTCTATTGAAATTTATTTAGTTTATAATTTAATTTAATTTTGACGATAAAGTATTTTGTTTTTTGGGTATAAATTTCCATCTTGCAGGATTTCAGTGAAGGAAGACTTGCGTACCACTTTTTCATCTTTAATTTTGATAGTGTGGTTTCGAACTTTCACTCGAATTTTTTATTTCGCCTTGCTTTGAATTGCACGCGAGATTGGCGTGGAGACTAATAGATGGAATGTCGAACTTATAGTTTGATAGAAAAAAGGGAAAATTTGCCAAGTTATTCATCATTATGATATCTGTTCAGAAATAAAACGCTATCGAAAGCTACGCTAAAGAAACGCTTAAAAGGATGTGCACCATGCTCGGCCTAAAAATGGCATTGAATTTATGGGCCATTTACGCTCAAATTTTGGTTCACGAATTTGATTACATATTAACCGTGATGAGCACAAATCGGCTTAAAAATAGCCCGTCTTCAATTGGTTTTACTGGATGCCTTTCGTGCGTGGTTTAGCGTTGCGATATAAATTTCGCTTAAATATATTCCGTCCCACACATAAATTCTGATAAATCGAATTATGCCATAAAAATATTGGAAATATATAAATGCTCAAAACGCCATTCGTTTAAATTTGTTTGCAAAGGGCAGTAAATTGCATTGTTCATAGAAATTAGAAAGTAAGTAAGGAATGTATACAAAGTTGAGAGAAAAAGGTTAAAGCGGCCATGGTAAATATTGTTTCATTAGCGATTTAGCCAGGTAATGCTGGTAATTACTAATGGTGCTCACCAAATATTAAATACTAGAGCATTCAGGTTATTAGAACCGGATTTAACCGGAATAAAGCCAGATAAACTTTGGCGACGGCCACTTAGACCCAGTTTAAAATCCATTTAAACAAGAAGTTGCTAATGATACTAAAAATTGAACAGCGATAAATAAATTTTTGAAATTAAATAAATGAAAAAAGACATCGAGCATTTCGAGCTGATCTCATGACTTTTAAATATTCTTCGTCAGGGGGGTGGGGAATTTAATCTGTTATAAAGGACGTGAAACCTACAACGGTTCGGTTCACCACTCGAATGTTTTACCTTGTCTATCAAAGCGCCACCAAACAATTATACCCGAACATACAGCAACACAGCAACAAAACTAATTTCAAGTGGTAGTGTATTTGTATTTGGAATTATTATCATGTATAGCATGTCTTAAAATTGAAATGCGGGCCTATCCACACTTTCATGCCTCTCTGCGGAAAGAATATTATTCGGAGGTAACGGGACCAGAAAAGGTACGGAATTTTAAATGACGACGAAGACACGGAATTTGCAATTTTAGATTTCGCTATTTGCAAGAAAACAGTTCTTAAAAATTTATATCAATTTCGTCGATTAGACGAGAGCCGAACATACCTTTGCTGAATAAAAATTGCATGATTATTACTTGATGGCCTAAATACGATGACCTTAGCTATTTCATTTACAACTGATTTATTTTCATTATATCGTTTTATGTTGTAAAAATATTATTAAAATTAATAAATATTAATAAATTCGAATAATCGCTGCAGACCTACATTCCCGAGTACCCTTCTGGTGCAAAAATCATCCGAATGCCCCACTGCAATTAGTGGAGTCAGCCAAATGACCTATTGCAGAGATCATATTACGAAAAGGACGCTTTCACTTTGTAACGATATTTTTTTGGCATCGAGTATTGGCTAAGTATGAATTCTTCTACAAACAGCTAGTTGACTTAGAGGAATTATCGATGGTAAACAGTGAATATTCTGATTTAAAAAAACGGGAGAAAAATTTAAGAATAATTAGGTGAAAGGGAAAATAAATGGAGATAGGTGATAGGACCTTCTCTTTCTTTCATAGATTTTCATATTAGCTTTGATCCAAAAACAATGATTTTAAGATTCGACATTTTTAAAAGAAATTCCATTTATTGAAAAAAAATCTATTAAACGAATAAATAAGAAAGGAATCCGCGGAAATTTAAAAATCTAAAAAATGAAATAAATCATTACAAATACACGAAAAAAAATGTCATATTTATACAGTGAATAATTAAGTACAAGGATTTTATAAAGTAATATATTTCAAGGTGAAAAATCCAACTATCACGGTTTATTTTTCAAATGATGCAAAGTGCGACTTTTTCCGTTTAACCGAATCGAGCCATATTCCATTGGTAATAGAATAATGGTGGTCAACAAGCATAAAGCAATATCCAATTCAGAAGTATGAGACCAACAAAGAAGAAAAAAAGAAGCAAGCAAGTATTGATAAACGTATAGGCTTCAGATAAATAATTATAAATGGGGCGAAACTTTTTTCTTCAGAAACTCCTTAAATATCTTTAAAAATGAATCATCTGTTGAAAAGTTAGGTATCAAAAATTTTCAAATCTCTTAGATATCAACTTTTATACTGAATGGCCATGGAATTCCATTCACGACACTATAGCTAGAAATGACTTACAACTATAAGTAGACTTCTTTTTTCTGGCGAAATCACTGTGGATTCATCTTCGCATCTACCTAGCTACAGTCCATAAGGTTATAAAACAAGGTCAATGAACGTGGAAGATATTAAAGATACAAACCATTTTTTCCTATTCCACCGTATAATATCTCAAGATTATCCACTTTTTCTCGAATACTATATGCGCTGATTAGATATAGCAATATTGGCTATCGCGAGAAAGGTCAATTAAGATTTGGACGGTTATAATTAGGAGAAATTTAGAAATATATGGGCTTAAATGGTGGAAAAAAAAACTATTACTATTGGATCGAAAATTCTGAAAATACCTTATCCTTGATACAATATTGGATTAGAATAACCAGCAGTGATGCGTGTTTGAAATAAATTTTACGACTTACAAGCAAATATAGTTACTTTTATAAGTAATACAAATAATACAAAGCGCATCAAGTCTGTCGCTATTACATACAACTTCACTCCAGCTGCAGCTTTTAAATTCTAACTGCTAAGAATAAAAATAATTTCCCTAATAATTAAAAATATAATAAATAATAAAAATACAATAAATGCTCATGTAATAACAAAAAAATAAATAAATAAAAAAAGAGTGGATTTTGAATCATTTAGGAATATATTCACTTTTTGATCAACTGACTGGCGATAAATCTACCATGAAAATTGAAGATAGGATAGGAATTCACATCAATTCCCAAGTGATTCCTTGGCTATCTAGCCATCCTCACTATCTACACCTCTAATATTTATTGAAGTAATTAAAAACTCTAGGAAAACTCTTTCTCAATTGCTAATAAAAATGTTTCTCTCGGTGGATTTTTTCAGATCTTTCTATATTTTTAATATAATCCATTCTTTTAATTGATCGACTTAAAGTTGAAAGAGAAACATTGATACCATCATTTCTTAATTCTTCTTTCAACTGCTTCAATGTACAATATGGGTTAGCATCAAATATATTGAACATTTTTTGTTTCAACAATTTATCACTTGGAGAGGTACGAGTAAATTTTTCATATGCAATCTTATAGTAAATTTTTCATATGCGGACAAGTTATCAAATTTGCCTTCCCCATAGAGCTTTCTAAGCCTGGTAATAGTTCTAAGAGATAAGTTAAGAATTTCACTTATTTGTGACGATGTCAAACCCGATGTGAATAATTCGATAAATTTGTTAACCATCTCACGAGTAATCGTTTGGCGCTTCTTTCTGTTGGTAATATTTCGCTGTATCTCTGCCTAAAACATAAGGAAAATTAAAGTGGTATTTAATATTAAGAGCATATAATTTTGGAAAATCTATTTCCTTTTTCAAATACACTCTCTTTATAACTTAAAAACTTAAATGCAAATTCAATAAGATATTTTAAGCTATAATTATAATCTAAAATATTCCTAATTATAAAAGGTTTATAAGAAAAATTAATAAACAAATGAAAAATTAAACAAAAAGACCGCCAATAACATCGTTTCTTCACAACTTAAAATGAAAAGAGAAATGACTCTCCAATGAGAAGATCACCTAATAACTAAATGTGTATAACCGGCTAATTAACTAATTTTTGCAGAAACGTTAAAAGCAGAAAAGTAACCATTGCACTGAAGTTTCTACTGTAACATAGGAAGTTTTTTTAAGAACTTACTTGTTTTGATACATTTGGCATTGTCAGTGAAATATATTCATGCTTATCTTTAAATAATTGCTGAAAAATAATAAAAGATAACATTTCTTCTTTTTTCTATACAATAGACACAAGTTTTTGATATTTGTGCTCATTAAGAGGAAATAAGCCTAAAGAAGAATACATTTGGCCTCTGGAGGTAGCGATGAATTAACTGATCTCGTTCATTTTTGTTACTACTCATTCTGATTCAAATTTCGCTAATTCCAAATTCGTAAATGTGACGCGATATTCACGAGACTATGATATTGTAATACATATCTCCAATAAAGTTGAATAGATAAATGTTACTATTTGTACTAATAATTAGCAAAAATTACCTGTTTTACAGACAACATGTCAGACCTTACTGATGATGATTGTTGTGACGCAAAAGACGCCTGCGCCCTTATGGCTTGATCTGTTACCTAAAAGAATAAGATAAATGGATTACATATTTCATACTCTACTGAAAAATCTGCAGAAAACATTCAAATAAGCTAAAACTGCAGGCAAATTTTAAGAAAATATAATTTGAAATATCCCTTTAAAATTATCGGATCTAAAAAAATGCATATTTGAAATTATCGATATTTGCAATAAAATTTATAAAATTTATAACAAATTAAAATTTATAAATTTATAAATTTAACCATGTTTTGCAATGAATCCTTCCTAAATTTATCATCTTCAGTGTTACGACTGACGATTAATTGCATGAATGGAATAATATTATCGGCACAAGAATTTAAACAATCCATTCCTTTCGGATTATCGACCAAATTCCAAATTTCCTCTATCATTAGTAGTCCATCTATTTCTTCTGGAATACAGAAATGTTAATTTAAAAAAATGGAGTGAAAAACAGTTATAGAAAAAAGAAACCATTTAATTTTGCTTTTCTTAATGCCTGTTGTAATATATTCAATACAATCGGTAATATTCCATAAAGTGCTTCGGCCTTTTCTTTTTTTCCTTCCAAAGACAAACTTTTTTCGAAATTTAATAAAACATTCATCAAATCGCCTAAATTAATTAAAAATATTATCATAAATTTCTTTAAATATAATAATAAATAAATAGGGAAGAAGTTTTTTTAATTGAAATAATTTAAACATTTCTCTTTAAAATATTTTCTTATTAGCGATGAGAGACCTTTTTCAACTACAGTTAATTTTAAAAAATTTGACTTTTACAACGCAAAGCACAGTAATTCGATTTAAATTCACCTTTACTCTGCGAAATATGTTGGAAAAATCATGTAACAGTACACATGCAAACACTGGCAATAGCACAGCCTACCACCACTGAATACGCAACATTTAAACTTGGATGGATAGGATCGATCTTCAAAGCATGCCAGACTTCTTGATATTCTTTAGAACTTGCAATCTCATAAGACTATTAATAATGATACGAAACAGCACTGCGGAACAACAGCTTAGACCATCAATTCGATGCACCAAGCAGCCTCGACGAAACTCGACGTGTTAATCAGCCACTGGCCAAGTCCGAACGTGCATTCCCGCGCTCCGCTCCTGTGCCCACGCGTCGTCCAAGAAGAGCGACCTCGTCGCAGTTGCGCTAGCCGAGAACGAGTGAATGCTGCACAAAGAAATAATGATAATAGCGTGAAGTTATTAAGTAATTATTAAGTAATCGGAGGCGAGAAAAAGCAACAACATTAACGGTCAATAACCGGCAATCGACACTGAAAAACAGCTAATTAAAATAACGAAAACCTTTTTTAACATCCGAGAAATCCATAGTCGCACGAGTCGCTGCCCAAGCAGTTCGATTCGACACGAAATGTTCGTTTGCAGTGAATTAGAGGTTTGGTGGGAGAACCTCCAAGGTTAATATTATCAATCTCCATTAGTGGTTTTGTTGCTTTTTCACTTGCAAATTCAAAAATCGAAGCACGAAATTCTGAATTTTTCCCACGGAAAATTTTAATTTTGCCCTTTAAAAAAATTGCACATTTTTTCATTCGTCGATATTTACAAAGAATGAAATTTTAATTCAAAAAATCAATTTAATCATAACTTAAATCTGAAAAATAAAAAATAACAAAATATGAATACCCCTTTAGAGCAATTTCAACTCCAAGTAATACGGCCCACGAGATTTGAGTCAGAGCAGCAGCCGCTGAGAATTTCATTCAGATGATCAAGCGCGGTGAAAGTCATTCGCTGAGTTTATAACGTCTTATAAGAGTAGGGAGAAGTAAGGCAGCGGAACGGTCATTAGAAAGTTTTGACTGAAGCACTAAGGCACCAAAAATCATTTCTTGTGAACAGAGTCGGCTGATAACGATAAGAAAACAAGGCGCAGCGTTGGGGCACTCTCTTCTTTACTATACTTTCTAATATACCTATAAGCATCGCTTAAGTGCAACGTTTCATAGATGCACATCAGATCGCAGAGCCGCCGCCTGTGCGCGAAAATCTTTAGAGCCTTTGCGGTGGTATTGCAGAAGATCATCAGTAAAACTGCAGTTCTCTTTTGAAGTTATGCAGTGATTGCAGTGATTGTAATTGATTGAATTCGGTTTATAAATAACGGACTGTGGTGTAAAGGACAAATAAATATTATGTACATCTAAATGATCGTTATTCCGGGAAATTATTGCGGTTATTAAGAATAGTTCTTCAGTTATTTCTTCAAAACTCGGATGATTTTGATTTTTGTTAACACCATCACTGGTTAAACTCGCTCCACTGGCTTGTCGCATTGAGCATTATGCCAGGGAGTCCCTTGGCGATAGAAATACAGGTGAGTCGCCAGCATCAGCCGGATTTTTGGACAGGTTTGCTCCTGCGGAGAACCGGACCTCAGCATTGGCGCTCCCAATTGATCAACCCACCGATCCATTTTTACAAACTCCCAAAATAAATAATAACAATTTGAAAGACTAATTTTGAAAATATATCGCCGTATTGCTTCGATTACTGCTAACAATTCCAATTTTCCCGTCTAAAGCTGAAAATGGCTGAAGAAAAAAAACTCGGCACTTAGCCGCGTAAATTAAAATTGTTATTCAAGCGAAAACCACTTTACTTTTGTATGAAAAAATTAGACCAAAACTAATTCGTTTCAAATTCTGGAAATTTTCGAAACCTGGCAAAGAATTGAAGTACCATAATGGAGATATGAAGAAGGGAGCACGCCTAATCTAATTGCATTCCTAGTGTAATATTCAAAGCCTGATTTGGTATTAGTGGTGCAATAAGTTTTAATAAAGTGAGAAAGCAGAATGAAAAAAGAAAAAATGATGAGAACGGTGTTTACGATAAACAGTGCCGCAGATCTCGGTGCTCTGAAAGAGAGCGCCAATGCTCAGCACTCCCTTCCCTGCAGAAATAAACATATCTTTCAAAAATCTCTCACGATTGGTGACTCACTTGTATCTTTGTCGCCAAGTGACTCCCTGGCAAAAATTCAGTTTGGTCCGCGCTGGTGGAGCTAGTCTAACGGCCAGCGCTCCGCACCAATATCACCTTTTTCGCTTATCCTAACTGAATCTACATAATTGGAATTGAAAAGGTGCGAAAAACGCCTTCCGCCGCCAAATAAATTTTCTTCTTCAGTGGTTTTATATACGTTTTTTAAAATAAAGCGAAAAAAAAGGGGAATATATACGCAAACTGCTTCTTCTCTAACGAAAAAATTGTTTTATTAAGCAAATTGAAACGACGGAAATCGCATTTCAGATTTGCATTGTAAAGCACAAACGACACATTTTATTTCTTTCAGTAGGTTTTCTCTTTCATGCGTTTATTTTAATTATCAAATTTCACAACGTCTAATAATTTCATGATTTAGAATGTTTGACTTTATGAAAATGAGATTTCACGAAACGATTTCACCTATTTTCCAATTTCCACTTACGCAGATTCTACATGGCACTCGAGCAGCAAAATTTTCTTTCATGGACAATAGACATGGACAATTAAATAAAAAATGTTAAATATATTTATAAATTCAGAAAATAAACAATTTTTGAATGTAAAACCAAAAGTAACCCATTTTTTCATTTTTTTCTTTCCACTTTTATATAAATAAATAAATTAACCATATAAATACAATCATGACATAAATAATAAAAAAAACAACAATGCAAGTTTTTAAAATATAATGAATTATGCTACAGTTCCATTTTTGGTGGCCAATGTTCTTTTATACTTGTTAATATTGCATCAAATGGATTTCTTCGACCCAAACGATTACGCCACATAAACTCAATCAGATAGGACTCAAAATAATGGCGTGCCGTACCACGCTGCTTATGGCTACGCCATTTTACAAACCCCCACAATTTATCCATATTTTCAGAGTATTCTTCGTTGCCCGAATCAATAAAATTATAGTTATGAATAGACTGAAACTGCTCGAAGCCAGCTTGCTTCACTTCTATTTCTTTAAATCGTCGCCAACATTCAGAGACAATTGTTGACCCATCTTCAACATTTTCACCAATAATCTGCATCAAAGTCACTACATTTCGGTTCGGCGCTTGAACAACAAAGCATTCTCTCGTTTCACGGCAAAATCCACCAAAAACCCATAGCTGACGTAGTTCACGATTTCCATTCCTCTTATGATTCGTGAAATGACTTTCATCAATCTCTACTATTTTGTTACGACCACCGATTTTTTTATTTTTTTGCTGCCTCATGGCTTCGACACATACCTCGCGCATCTGCTTATTCCATTTAACAATTGTTTTGGCACTTAAACCAAGTTCTCGTCTACACCACTCCAGAGAAGTCAATTCATGAGCCCATCCATAAATGAAACGAATTATGGTAACGAAAGGTAAGCAAGTATCAGAACACCAAGTGCCTTTTCGGATCGTAACCATTCTGTTGCAAGTTGAGTGGCTATCTCTCCAAAAAATGTCCCTTTTAAAACAAAGTCTCATTGAATGCCCGTATTGCTGACATTTACATTCTAGTGGTAAAATTCCATGTTGCTGCAAAAATTCGACTGCTTCTTTTGGTCTAGTGGGTAAACCGGGAAATTTCACAGCTAGCGCCTATAATTAACAAGAACAATAAGGAATTTAATAAATCCAACATGCTTGAAAAAAAGGATGTCGGATTTCTAACCAATATAATAAAAATTTTTTCTATTTTTAAACTAATATTTTATGTCCATAATTCAAAAGAATATATATGAATTAATTAAAGATTGAAATTTAACCAAGAAAAAAAAATTCTTCATATCAATGATATTTCAAGACATTAAACTCTAAAAAATTTAGCCGAACTTCGGTAGCAATAGAAGAAATACAATTTCTTACAATACAATTCACAGCTAGCGCCTACAATAAATAAAATTCCCAAGAAAATAGCAAATAGCATAAAATACGAGTATTTCCTTTTTTAAACGAAAAATACCTGTTCTGTTTCTGAGAGGATGGGTCGTGGTCCAAAATATTGATGGAGCACTCCAGCTTCACGCGACTTCTAAATCAATCTATATATTTTAGGATATGAGGCAACGACACAAAATGAGGAATAAAGGAGGCGAGAGACATGTTACTTTTTTCGATATGACAAAAGAAACATGGGCTCTATGGACCCATTCATTAATGGAGATAAATCAGCCATTAAAAATGATAAATGGCTGCTGGAGATTTTTTATGGATTGGAGATTGAACTATCCATACCTCTATTTTCTAGACAATTCAATTCTCTAGGATCACACCGAAGTAATCAGCGAAGGAAACCAAGTTGAATCAAAAGTGAATGGGGTGAAATTTTGTAAGAAGAAAAAGGAAAATAAATTTATAACAAATTTGAAAAAAAAATCTGCGTTAAAAAACCATCTTCATTTGATAACCATATGATTATACTGAGAGAAAAAATATCTATTCTGAATTTTCTGCTTCTTATTACATATTGCTATATGAATTTATGGAAATCATATACAATAAATATTCAAAGTCATGCATCAATATTTTAAAAAAAAAATATATTCAGTTAACAACAGTTAACAGAGTTTTATAGGATATTTTATTTCGAATAAAAATAAAAGCGAAAAATATTACCTGATAAGCCAAATCAATATCATCATTTTCAACTAAGTCTTCTGCTCGTACTGGACCGATTTCAGCAAGATTTTCATAAAGTTCTCCATTTACTATAAATTATTATAAAATAAATCAATCCAGCTTCACAAATCGATTTATAAAATGCACAGTCTCTGAAATAATAATATAATAAATTAGATAGGAGTTTCATCGGCTTTTTTAATTTTTTTTAAATCCAAAAAGCTGTAAGTAACCATTGGTTGAATCAATAACTGCTTCGCCGTTTTGGAATAGATTTGGGAAAATAACGCTCCATTTATCCTTTTGTTCGATTTCCTCTGACTTTACTGAGATAAAATCATCCATAGGCTGCAAATTTTTTTTTCTAACAGCTCTCACCATTACTGGTTAGGCTGACTCCAACGGCTACAAGGATAAGACGCTTCCAAACGGCGCTGTCTGATGCCATCGTCGACAGTAATTAGACAGAAGCCATTCCTTTTTCCATCGTCTAAGTCCATATATTGCTGCTCCACCTATACGTTCAAAATCTTTCCTGACCGTATCAGTCCAGGTCTTAATTGGTCCACCTCGCTTTCCATCACACGGTTTAGTAAGTAACGAAATATGCGACAACTCTTGTGGTGGACGACAGAGAACGTGCCCTAACCACCGAAGGCGACGCTCTGCGACAAAATGATTAATGCAAGTGGTATTTGAACGAAGGTGGATGCGATCATGTGTTATTTTATCCGCTCGACGGATCCATATATTTTAGATAGGAGGAGTCAAAAGCAGATAACTTTTTAATATCTCAACTCTCATTGGTCATATCTCAGAGCCATATAGCAAGATCGAACGTGGCTATATAGATGCGGACTTTTGTTTTAATGGTGATCTCACGATAGCTCCATAAAGGTTCCGCATTTCTACTTGCTGTGATCCGAGTTTAATATCCTGTTTTGCCCGGCCATTTGGTATTAGAGTGGACCCAAAATCGGGCACATCTCATATATACAACGAAACACTTTCGTTTTATTTACATTGACCATGTGTCTGGTTCTCGCTGCAGTTTCTGACACGTTATTTAGCATTATTTGCATTTCGTTATAACTGTCAGCAAAAAGGACTACAACGTATTTAAGACCTGTGATACGATGCTCTGGACCAATTTGGACATCCCCTTAGTGCCAACAAGCGATGTTCATTACCCAGTCTATCGTATAGTTAAATATTGTATGGGAAAGGACACACTTTTGACGGACACCAGTTTTTATTTCGAAGGAGTCTGTCAGTTCCCCATATAAACAGACCTGCGCTGACGCTCATAAAATGCCTTTATGAGTTGAATGGTCTTCTCTGGAACATCGTCGCATTCCATCACCCTCCAAAGCGCCTTTTTATCAATTGAATCAAAGGCAGCCGCGAAGTCGATAAAACACGTGACAGTGGGTTGCAAATATTTGAAGCGATGTTCCAACACCCTTTTTAGCGTGAATATCTGGTTAGTACAACGGCAGCCCGATCTGAATCCAGCTTGATTAGGGCGCATCCTGCTATCTCGTACTTCCATAAGTGTTGAGTAAAAGAGAAGCAAAAATTTTCGCTAAAACGTCTAGTAGGCTGATTCCTCGATAATAGTCTCCTATCACCTTTCTTAGAAACAGAATTACTTTGCTCCAATCATCTGGTAATATTTCTTTTTCCCATACCAGAGAGTACATTTGTTGAATGTGTATTATGAAGAATGATGGACATTTAAAGAGTTCAGCCCGAAGACCATCTTCTCCCTGGGCCTTATTGGCCTTAAGCTTATAGATAACAGATATTATTTCCTCTTCTGTCGGGGGCTCGCAGTTGCAAGTATATGGTTCAGAGAACGTATCAGTTATATCAGGGACAACAGATGGCGCTCCATGGTTAAGTTTTGCCTCAAAGAATTCTTTTCATCTTATGCGGCGGTTTTTAATATTCTTGACTGGCACGCCATTGCTGTCCCTTACCATTACTGATCGTTCCCCGAATTATAGTTGAAGAAAAAGGAAATAATTTCCTATTATCGCCTAATCGAGCCACCGTCTCCATTTTTGAGGAATGTCACTCCAATAGTGATTTCCGTCCCGCCGTGCTGCTTTCGCAGCAAATCTTCGAAGCATCTGGTAGTCAGGATCACCTGACATTCGTGCTCTGGCAACTTTTTCAGACAGTTAGACAGTTGCTTCCGATACCCAACTAGCATACCTCCTACTAATATGCCCTAGCGTTGAAATGACTGACTTTCGAAGACATTCCTTTAGTTTGGACCAGTATTTATCGGAAAAGTCACTCACTGATAATTGTATCACTGAGATGTTTCAATAATTCAGTTTGAAATGCGCTCACTACCTTCGAATTTTTTAATTTGAGATAGCTTAAGAGTCTTGGAGGATGCTGGCTGTTTTCTGCAAATAGTCAGTTTTATGCGGATCTTGGCTCGAACCATAACATGGTAAGATCCATAAAGATGCCCGTTCCAGCGCCGCGGTAGGAACGACTGTCGAGTATAGAACTCTTCCAACGGTAACTGACTAAGGTATTATCAGTCTGGTTGAAGTCTTGGTTATCCGGGGAGTTCCACGTGACTAGATATTTTCTATGATGCCGGAAGCAACTATTGGTAACAAAAAGCTCATGTTCTTCGGCATAGCGAAGAAGACGTTCTCCACTGGCATACCGGTCTCCGATGCCATATTTGCCAATTGTTGAGCTCATCGCAGTCGCATTATGACCTACGCGAGCATTCAGTCTGCTCCGATTATGATCATGGTATGTTTTGGTGGAGACTTTCTTAGCAGTTGAAGTTCCGCATAGAACTTGTCTTTATCACGGTCATCTGCCGACAGCATTGGAGCATAGACATTGACAATCGAGATATTGCAGAACTTACCCTTAAAATGGGCATAGGCCATAGGGTCGTTTACGTGTTTCCACTCAATCAAAGTGGAATGGGCCTTATCAGACATGGCAATCGCTACGCCATTTCGTCCCGAGTTATTCGAACCACCACAGTGATATAGCCAGTACCTCTGCTCCCAGCCAGGATTAATAATCACTCGAGACCCAAAATAAGGAAGATGGATATCCGACAAGCAAGCGATATCTATATTTAAAAAGGATGTGGACAATGATCGCTTGGCTTGCAACGTCCATAAGCGTTCTGACGTTCCACGCTTATACGGCTAGAAATTCGCCATGCGTGCAGAGAACTGTTCCTCTTGATAAATTTTCAGCAATTACCCTGGCTTGCGAGCATATTATATTTATCAATAGGCTGCAAATTAATTATTGTCAAATGCTAATTAACTACTACTAATTTTTGTAGTCTTTCCAAATTCTTTATTCCGATAACCACATGCTATCTTAAAGAAAAATTTTCGAAAATCTCTTAGAAAGTATGAAGAAAAAATTTCGTAAATTTTCCAAGAGTAATAGCAATAAAAATATTATAGAATAACATAAGATATTTCAGAAATTTCATATTTCATAATGAAATTATCATAATGAAATAAATGGATATGAAAAAGAAACTTACTTGCAAATCGATTTCCTGCCAAACGTTTTTTGTATCATGATAAAAAGATATTGCTTGTTTCCTAATAGTTTTTCGTTTCCTCTTTTCTTTGCCAATATAGCTCTATAATATTTTCATTTAATAATTTTCAAATTAAAGCCTATAAACTATCTGAAAAGTTTAAAATCGCCAAGTTAGAAAAATTCGTTAATCATTAAACAAGTTTACTACTCATTAAATATATATTGGCCAAAATATGACTTTCTGATGAACCAACATGAAAAACTGATTGTACAAGAGGAATGACGATATCAGCGCATAAAATCAAACTTTCCATACTGCTTCGATCAGTATCAACCAAATTTCGAACTTGTTCAACTATTAATTCTCCTATGTCTGGGTCTTCTGAATAAAAGAACCGTTTACCATTTAGATTTAAAACAGAAAATTTAACTTATAGAAAAGATTTAACTATTAATTAAAATTTAACTATTTTTCCAGTAAATAAGAAATGGTAAGGCTGGAAAAAATTAGATTATAAAATTAGATTAATTTAATTAGAACTTTTGTTTAGATGGAAATTAATAACCTCTTAAAAAAACTTTTGTCGATGCAATTCGCATAATATTTAATACAATACCAAAAATTCGACCAAGTAAATTGGCTTTGTTGTTTTTTCCTTCAAAACGTAAATTTCTTGAAATATCATCGAAAATTTTCACCAAATCACCTGAATAATATGAAATCAACTAAAACAAAGATAATTGTACTATTAGAAAAAATGTGAATCATAAACGATAAATTTCACAACTCAATTTAAAATTTTAAAATTTTTTTCTGCTCTTGTATTTTAATTGTTTACCTTGTTTTATCAAAAATTCCTTTATAAAAGTTCTTATACTCTATTTTAATTTTAAAAGTTTTAATTTTAATTTTAAAATTTTACCATCGCACATCAAGGAATTCGTCTGCTTTCTTGAAGACGAAGGTAAAACAGGACAACTGCCCTCGATCGTCGCTGATGGACCCGCATCTAACCAACTTTGGTCTTCTGAATTTTCCATAGATGAAACGACATTATGCGATGGATGACAATGTATAACAATTATAGTAGTTGTAGACTTTTCATCATCAGTTAAATTCGAAGAAGTTGATGCAGTCTGATTTATGTAATGATCATTATTTGACAAAATCGTTGCATACCCATCCGCTTCAACCGCCATTATGATTCGATTCCCATTAGCTGCAAAAAGAATTCACAAATTAAATAAAGTGAAGTACGAATAAATTACAAATTATTAAATAATTGGCATTAATTAACATATATTAATAGATTAATTAATGTATAAAAAATAACAAATAATAACAAATAACCAAATAATTTTTTTTTAAAAGACTTCATTACTGGCTAAACTCGCTCCGCCGGCTTGTCGCATTGGACAAATATGCCAGAGAGTCCCTTGGCGACAGAAATACGGATGAGTCGCCAGGACCACCCGGGTTTTTGGACAGGTTTACTCCTGCGGGGAATCGAACCTCGGCGCTCCGAATCGAGCAACAACCCACTGAGTCGTTCTTATATAATTAAATAATTAAAATAATTAACAACCAAATATTAAATAAAATTAAATAAACTGTAATTTCTGCTTTGTTTTAAAGATTTGCAAAAAATAATGATAACAACGAATGATAAATAACAAAAGAAAGGACAATAAAATAAAAATTAAAACAATAATAATAAAGCAATCTCTCTATGAACGCGAAGACAAAATTAAATAGCAAAAATAGAAAAATAAAAATTTCGACTATCACCAACTTTCGAAATTTCATGGACGCTTATAAAAAGTGGCGTTTTTTAAATATTAGAAGAAATTAGCTTCTAAACGCTGCTCAAAGCCGTCATAATACTCCACTAACATAGCTTTAAACCCCGTTACAGGTCATGCAAGCAGTCCGAAACCGACCTATAGTCTCCCACAGAAGACTTCTTAAAAGCGAATATTGTTAGAAAGGCATAAGAAGGGATTTTTTTCCTCGCAGAAGTCTGCAAAAGTGATTATTGCAAAGAACCCCTCAGACTGCATAGCCCTACTCCAAGCGCGACAGTTTCAAGTCAAATTCTGCCAGGGCAACCGACTTCATACAAAATATAACGCAGTTAAACATTTTCACAACGTCGAAATTTTACAGCTCGGCTAGCGAAGAGACACGGCCTGCGCGTGTGTTCAAAACTTTTGTGGGCATATGCCAAAATCGCGGTATTGTCGGTTATATTTGGCACCAGAATATTTGAAATTAATCACGAATATGAATTGAAAAAATGTCGTTTGGGGAAAATGTCAGTGGTGCGGTGCTAGGTCGCGAGCAATCTCTTAAATTTTAATTCATTGACAGGTTTATTCCTGTCGAGAAGGATCCACGTTGCCCGAAATTCTTTCAAAAAGAATATAAAAAGGAGACAGTTAGCTGCAATGTTCTGCTGAATCTTAATAAACAAGTTTAATATAAAACTTCGTGGAAGGATTTTTCCTTTTTAAGATTTCAGCAGTTACCAGGATTTTCGAATTATTTTCGTGATAAAATATCAATGAAAGTATCAATATATCAGTAAACATATAGGACATGACTATGAGCATTGGGAGCTGCGCTCACGTGGTTTAATGGTTAGCACTTTGAACGTGTGACGGGGTTCAGGTCTCTGCGGATCTTCTGGGTTGCGCATTGACTTTGCTTTGCAATCTGATCCATCTTCTTTTTCGCGTTTAATTTCTTCACTTATTTATTTATTTCATCAAAATCTACTTATAATGAATAAACGTTTTTAAAAGAACTAATCAAAAATGTGATAGTTAAAGAATTTATAGAAAAGCAGAGGAAAAGCAATGTAGAAGAATGAATCGGCAATAGGCGAAAAAAAATGAAGTCGAGGAAGGAGAAAGGAAATGATCAATGGAGGGAAGAGGGGAGAATGACAATAAAGGAAAGAAAATAAAAGGGAAAGAGGAGTGGAAGAAAGAAAGGAGGAAGTCGAGGGGAAAAGGAAAAAAAGGGGTGAAAATTACAAGTGTAAGAATTTGAATATCTTGACTTGTTTATGCTTAAGAGCTAGTATCTGGGAAACGATTCCGCGGTGGTCCCGTGGTGTAGGGGTTAGCACTCAGGACTCTGAATCCTGCGACGGGAGTTCAAATCTCCCCGGGACCTTATGCTTTTGCTTCCACGGCGATGTTTGTGGAGCGAAATGTTTACGAATCAAACATCTTAAGTACAATGTTGTGGCCTAACGTTGGATGGATATTTGCGTGTTTCAACTTTTTGTATTTGAAGATTTGTGCTCGCATTCTTCTTACTTCAGATAGGTTAAAAGTGAATTTCAGGTTACTATGAAGGTGTTTATTTGATCATTTGGCGTGAACAGGGCCAGGTTAATGCAACTATCGAAAGGCTCTTCGTCGTTCCAATTTCTTCGTCTTCAGAGACAGCGATAGGCAAGCGTTGCTCGTTTGAAAAGCCTCTGCGAGCTGTTGCGAATTTTTGAACGTTCAAAATTTTTAATTTTTAATGAAATCTCTTTTCAAATTAATTTCAATTTTTTTAATTCTAATTTTTTAGTTTAAAAATATTTATTTTGATGTTCGATGCTTTGTCCCTTAATCTGCTTTATTAAGAAAAAAATATTTAGGTTATTTCTAAGAAATGAAAAATCGAAAAAGAGCGTAAAATTTTTTGAGCTGACTGCGCGAAAAGACGGAAAATTGCTTTGCTCGAAACGATAGAAAAATTTTATAACCAAAATGCAACAATTCAATTTGAAACACCATTTTGAATGCAATCATTTAGATTTAACAAAAAACAAGAATTCAGAACACAAAAAGGTTCTCCCTACTTCGTTCGCTAATAACTCAACAAGACGTATTTCCATTTTTCGGCACAAATGGCGCTGAAGCGAGTCCCAGTACACCTCGATTAATTGCAAGGCTTTCAAGGCCCTCTAAAAGACCGCTGTTTTATTTGAAGCAAAATTTGAAGCCATCAGTCCAAATCGTATGCGAGTGCAAATGAATTGTTTACATTGATCCAAAAGCTGATTTTCGCTGGTATCGTTTCTCGGTTTACCGATCGCAACAGCTTCAATATTATCAACAAAAAAGGCTTTTTCAGTTCATTCACAATCGATCTGTCATACATATTTTGCTCTGAACTATGCAATATCCATAATTCAATATCTCGCAAAACTAAATATTATAGGAGATGGAACGATGCCCTTGAGCGGTTTCTTACTTTGATGAGTGGAACACCTAAATTTTAAGATTACTACTAAAATTTTATAGTGTATAAATATTTTACGGATTTCCCACTTGGTTTATTGCTTTCACCATTTCTCGTTTGGCTGATTCCACTGATCATTGGGGTATTTTTGCCAAAAATATAGCGATGGAAGTGCAAGTGAGTTATCAAAACCACCGAGATTTTCTTTAAAATGAGGCAAAAGAATAGGACTGTGAAGTCGAAGCAACATGCAACTGTTCCGTTGACCGTTCCATCTACAACTGCTTACAACTTACAATTTGTAATGATAAAGCCATTCTTTCTTAACTGCGATAATTAAAAAGATGTTAATCTTTAGTTTTAATTGGCTTTTGCAGTCATTGGCCTAAGAGTTTGCGATATTGTCGAATTTGAAGGCTTTTTTGATTTAACCAGGTTTTGTCAAGTTGTACATCGATATTTAGAAATTTAAATTTTAATTCTCGTATTAATTTTGGTTTTCATGGCGAATACAAGTTGTTCGCCATCACAGTCGAATACTAGTGTTATATTTAATAAAATTAATGAATAAAATCTTTTTTCAAAATATATATAAGAATTGAAATAATTGTTGGTTGTCTTCTTAACAGATGGCGGAAACAATTTTCTTGGGATTATTCAGATCCATTTTGATTTTCATCGTTGTAGCTAATAAAAAATAGTCACATTGCATATCGCATACATAGTGAATGCATGGCGAGAAAAGAAAAAGCTATCAATAAGAGAAAAATTTGGCGATGGAACCTGCGGTGTGCGGAATGAACCTTATTCGAAAGATGCAAAACTCTACAAAATAAATCGCTCAACAAAAATTCCTCATGGATAGATTAATTGGGTGATTCTGTCCTTCAGTCGATCATCATTTTTTCGCGATCGTTGTAAGGTTGTTCCTTCAAATCGATTCGTTGTTTTAGGGCAAACTGAAAGTAAAAACGGATAATTTCCACCCGCAGCTGTTCCTTTGTATTCCCAATTAATTTGCTTTAATATTTAATCAAAATATATGTTTTAAAAAGAAATCGAAATGCTGTCATTACATAGAAAATAAGTGTTAGGTTTACTGCATTTATTTGTAAACAAATAGTTCAAATAATAAATATAAACGAATTTGTTATGACACATAATATTATCTACTATTAGTATTTTTCTTAAATTGCGACCTCCGAGTTTATAGTCTCCAATATGTCCCCAAGCAATTGAAGTTATAATTGAGAACAATAATCGAGAGTATCCTAATTTGCGCCGACCCTCTCGCCTTCTTCCACGATTAAGCTTTCATTAAAAAAGCTCGAATGTGCTGAAGACCTCCTCTGTCCAACTAATAATCAGTAAGACGAGCTCAACCAGGAAAGGTAAGCGCTTACTTATTTAACATTGGCTTGAATCACTCCTGCTGCCGATATTCTGAATATTTTTTCAAATTGGAGAATTTATATCTTACTCCGAATCGAAATGAAATAATTGTTCCAGTGAATTATGCAATTTTTAAACTATGATTATTTAGAAAAAAGTAAAGGTAACGCTCATTGATTCTGGCTAGGCTAGCTCCATCAACTTTCAGAAGGATAGAGCAGCAGCATCAGACGAATTTTCTTAAAAGGCTTACTTATGTCGAAAGCAAGACCCGAACTTTCAAGACAACAATCTAAGCAATAACCATTTTGCTATCTTGCCTCTGGTTATCCATATAGCTGAATTAAAGAAACTGCCTCTCTATTGAGCAGAAATAAGGTAATTATACTCTAAAAAAAGGAAAACGTGAAGAAAAATGCAAGCATAACAATAAAAATACATAGCATAGTCTCGAAATATGAAAAGCTTGCAAAAGCTTGTAATCCGTAGAAGAGGAAATTAGTATCACCTTGAGTTTAATACCTTTCCTCCCAGTGCGGTAATCTGAGCCACTATTCACTCAGATACCCAGTAGAAACTATCTAAGAACCTGAATGCAAGCTTACTTGAAATTGACATTTGCCCTTTGATGTGATACGAACACAGTTATTGCCTTCAACCATTGCTGAAGTTCTGATTTCTTTTCGAACATTTCGTGATTCCAAATGCTCTCGAAATACTTCAACAATATTTACAGTCAATGGTAAAATCAAGGCGCCATCCTTTCGCCTAAAAATTGATCAAAATCATTACTAAATTGTTTTACCAAAAAAGAATCTAAATTATATGGAAATACAAAAATATTTGCATCAAATATTTGGTATGTCATATTTGTTGTCATATTTTTTAGAAAATGTGGCCAAATGGCACATTGCTTCAATTATCCAGCTCCATGCTTCATGCAAAAGGACCTGTCTTTAAGAAATTCGACCGGTGGTATGGGCCCATTTGGATCTATTCTTAAGCGATTCACCGACGAATATGCTTCATCCTATTAATCACTGAAGCAAATTAGCTAGTAGTAGGATGTGAAAAAATAGATTTAAAATTTCTTGGAAACGATTTTCGAAAAGAAAAGTTTTAAAGATATGAATAAGAAGACGAAATTTTTATTTGAAAACGGCCCTTAATCTCTTCCATATTTTTGGCTCTATTTCTAAATGCATTGTAATTTCTTTGCAATTATTTCTAACTGAAAGCGAAAACTTAAGGAAAACCTTCTTATTGAAATCGTCACAAGTCCCGACAACTGTGTCATAACGGTGTACGATCCTTGATAATTCATTTCTTCGATAATAATTGAAGCTTCCGTTATATAATGTGGAGGCACAACGACATTACTGTCCACTCCCCACGATAACGTCTCACATTTCGTATTTTCGTTCATATTGTTGAAATGCATCTCATGTTTGAAACCAGCTTTTAATTCCGCTATTTCACCTGTAAATTTAGAAAGACATTTTTCTACGTATACTCATGGTTTTTTAAAATTTTTTACAATTCGGCGATATGATTTCAATTTGCCATTGCCAATAAATAATAGCGATTTATTAGAGTTTATATTCGTCATTTGCCTAGGAAAATAAATGCATTACTTCCTCTAAGGCGAAGTGTTCTCAGTGAATGGGAAAAGCGCTGTGAATCGGGGGGGGGGGGGGGGGGGGGGGGGGGGGGGGGGGGAGGGGCAAAAAGGAAAAAGAAATGGTTTAAATTGCCGATATCGCTTTCCTTAATAAATGATTTATTGAAGAGGCGAAATAACCGAGTGGATAGCGCTTTAGAAAAATTTGCCTCCGAGACCCGACATGGACGAACCCTGCCAAATCATTTATTGCAACTAGCGACTCATTTAACAAAAATTTCATATTGGTATATTCTTTCTACTGTTAGCTGACTTCCTGACAAAAAAATTCTGGCCATAGCACTATGGAATAGCGGAGTTACGAAATATTTTTTACGAAATATGAAATTTTTGTTAAATTATAGCAAAGAAAAAATATCCATTTATTATCTGGATTAAAGAATATACCAATTGCAGAGCACTGCTTCGCTCATAAATATACTTAAATTAGGGGTTCGTGGATTTTTTATATTCCTTCCAAATGAAATGAACTCGCGAATCTTTTTTTTAAATGTAAAATAACATGAAAAACAAAATAAAAATTTAATACACAGGAATAGGGTAAAGAAGGGCCTTTATTGTGAAGTGAAAATATACGATTTCTATTGGTGGCAAAATCATCACAGATGAAGGTATTTACCCAAATTCACTAGAAAAAGGTACAAATTTCAGTGGAGATAAGTGCATAGACGTAATATTTTTCCTAGAATAAGACCCACTAATCTATGCCAAATTTCCAAAAAATTCAAGAAATAAGAGAAGGAAGAGGAAAAGATCTTTTAAAAATAACCCTATTTGCCAGATATGTTTAATATTGCATTTCGACATCCTTCACTTTACTTGCAATGTAATCATTTTCCTATCCAAACCCATAATTTTTCGAAAATTTATACGAATAAAGGCCCAAGGCGATCCGTGAGCACCGTCTCCAATAATTCCGCAAATCTCAGTCTTTATGAACATTTTATACTCTTTGTAAAATGTCAAGTGAAGCAGAACGTACCATATCGAATATCAATTCCCACAGCTTTAGCATAATTTATGAAATAGACTAAATAATCTATTTAATACTTATTTGTTCCAGCAAATATTGGCAAGCATTATGCGTATCATATCCCATTATTTGTCATAAACAATGGGCTCTATGTCATTGATTTCATTTAAACCAATCCCTCCACCGTCGTTTCTTTCGTTTACAAGTTTCAAAGAAAAATTAAACTGATAAATACCCTTAGGCATTCTTAAATATCGAATATGAATTCGCGAAAACGTTTTCTCACGCCAAAATTTCGGGAATAATAGTTAGAATTTGGTATTTAGAACGTTTCCTATGGAGAAATCTCAACGGGGAAACCTTTGTGATTCATATTTTCTGCCGAACTTCGTCTTCTTCTTGCTGACAGTATAATGCGAAAATTACGAAGAATCTAGAAGGAAGGTAGCCGATAATACTTTTAAATGTACGATCTCGCAAAGCCTTATTACAATTTTATTCTTTTTCGAACAACATTCACCATATGATTTCATTAGCTCTTGGGATGAGTCGTTCTTATCCAGAGAGTCATTTGGGGATAGAGGCACAGACGGATTACCGGCAGCCACGCCAATTTCGCTAATAGCATAAATATATTTTAGTAATCTAACATTAATTTACGTCTGCTTTATGTATTTATGTATGGTATTGGATGTTAATATATATAATATATTTTCAACATATACATAAATAATAATATATATGTAAATGATTATATACACAACAAAGTTAATGATTTTAAAGAAATGCCCGCTGGCTTTCTCTGCAACAGTGATGGGATAATTGACGAAATGAGGGTGAACTCATTAAAGAAAAAAAGAACAAAATAAAGTACCTACATGGAGTTTTAAGAGTCAATTCGGTTTCGCCACCCAGCGAATAGCCTTGTTCTCTTACTACGCAACACATACTTTCCGTTGTTCTTTCAGTTTTGAACGAATATTCTTGAGATCGATCTGTATTATTTGTATATACAGATTTAAATAAAGTGTATGGTCGTGCACCAGTCGCATGGAACTGCGTGTAACTCGGTTCGCCATGGGTCACTATGAGCTTTTTTCGATTCTGAAATAGCGATTTGTGAATAATTTACAAATATTAACATAACGATTAAAAATATTATGGAATATGTAATTTTAAGCGAAATATTATTCTATTATTGAGAAGCAAATCGAATGAAGTACATAACTTTTTTACTCCATTTTCCTTTTCTAAAACGGTTAAATTTTTGTGAAATTTTCCAAATTTTCAATAAGGACAAATCTTCTGAATTCAACTAAATGGCTTAATTTGCAGGAAGCAGGTCAATGAAGGTTGGTAGCAGAATAATGCCAATTTGGCATATACTGCGGTATCATCTGAAAACCCCTCATCAAAAAATGATTCCTAGCAAGGATTCTAGAATTCAAATAGCTCGAATTTAGCCGAAAATACTTGAAAGGTACATTCGGCCAAAGGCAGGAATTCTTCGGTGACGTGCAATTTCTATTTTATGTCTTGAAATGCGCCTTTAATTCGCTCCTAACTGAAAAGTCCTCGAGAAATTCTCTAGAATTTGCAGTACCCAAACATCCATAATTGCATCAATAATCGCCTTTTAAAAGTTTTTCGAGCCCAAATTCGCTTTGCTAACGAATTAAAAGCGATTTTCATGATTAGAATACTAATTTTAAATCTAATTTAATCATTTTTATTCGATAATACAAAGCATAAAAGCGACAAATAATCGAATCATTTCGCTAATTCAATAAATTATTTTCAGTTTTCAATTTTTCAATAACTTGAAAATTTTCATATTTCAATGATTTAATCAATTTCTCCATGGAAATATTCCACTTGAAATAATACTTAAGCATCAACAACAACATTTCATTTCCAAAAAATCATAATTATATAGGAATTCATTGCAACGAAATGAGAAACTCGCTTTTCGCTTTCACTACTTATTACATATTTTTGATACAGTAACCCATGAGAATTTATTATGGTCCATGATAAATTTACTTCATAACGATTGCAAACGATGTATGCAAATTTATATTATTTTTTATATTATTATTTATTCATTATCATTATCGATAATAATGTAGTCATTTACACCAATTTTAATTCGAAATGACTGATATTGATTGAGCAATTAATGATGCCAATTTAAGGAGTAAAATTTCTTCGATCAATTCAAAAATATCGAATTTTATGCCGAAAACTCTTCTTCTTCTTATAAAAACATGAACCATTTTAATGATTAGCTTCATTGGTTGGATTTTTCACCAGAGAATGATTTTGAGAAAGATGGAGCTTTATGCCGATCAATCATTCTTTTAATAAGTTTACACCACTTAAAGGACAGAAATCAATCCCTAAGCTGAAGCAAGAAAGTACCCTCAACAATTTCCCGCATTATTCTCAAGTTTTTGATATTATCAGTTAATAAATTCAATAAATACAGTAGAATAAACAATTCGTTAATGGACTTTAAAATACAGAAAGGCTGCCATATGTTGCTATTTTTATCTTGAATGAAGAAGACGACGACTTATAAAGTCGCTCGCTAAATTCGCTTGAAACCTACCCGAGTACCATTTGGACATTCCGCTACACGATCCTTTCTCCAATATGCCTTGGAAAACTTTGTTGCTAGCTTTAGTTAAAATTACGAAGAAATCTTATTTAAATTCTGCTCAAATAAAATGTTTTCTATCGTTAAACGAAATTAATCTGAACTACAAATAAGCAACAAATTTTTTAAAAGCTTTCCTACTTTATATAAACAACTTTCGCTACTTCATATATCTGACTTCCTTTCCCGACTTCTCTACATGTACAATTTTCATGCCTTTTTCTGCACAATATACATGAATGAGAATGGAAAGTTTAAAAATATACCGTAGAACCGAATAGAAAGAGAATCGCAATTTTTTAATTAAATTTATGTAATTAAATTAAATGCATTAAATTTATGTAATTTATGTAATTTCCCGAAGACATTTTAATCTCATAATTAACATGAATTTATTACTAAAGGTACAATAAATTTTTTTCCCAAATTTATAGGTAAATTTTTTCATAATAAATTATTAAATAACTTTTCGAGCGCGCTAATATGCAAATGAAAATCGGGAAAAATCTATTAACAACTGTTCTTATAAATCGTCTATCAAAGTTTTAATCTCACATATCAAATATTTGAAAAAACTTTGAGCAATAAAAAGTTCAGACTAGAAAAAAAAAGAAAAAGGCAGAGAAATAATTCTAAGAAGAAAATAATACAACAATATTAACTAACACGGGAAGGTGTAACTGGAAAGCCAGCTAAAAATATTGCTTCATTTCATTAAAAGCTTAAAAATTACTAATCAGCAAAACAATCGTTAAATCTCTTTTCTAATTTTTAATTATAAGGAAAAAAGGATTGAGAAAATGATAACGAATTTCTGGGCTTTTTTTCGAATATGGAAGATCTATTCCATGGACATTTCGAAATTTAAAATGTCCATAAATTAAAATTGAAAATAAATCGATGGTTAGTTGAAGTGTCCACGAGTAGAATCGTTAAAAGCTAAATCCTAATGGAAATGCTCACTAATTAAAGCGAAAAGCTTAATCACTGGAATCCTTTCAGAAAACATTTTTAAGTTTTCGCTAACATTTAGGCATTTATCAATAAATATCTCCCACCAAGTTTCACATTAGTATTGAGAATATTATTCAACATTTATGGATTATTACATATATCAAAAAACTTCTATCGCTGAAATGATGGAGTTTTTTAAAGTGTATTTGAATGTGCTATAGGACCAGAATCTGTCATCCAAAGTTACTTGACGATGAAGCTAACGCTAGGCCGCCAAGATTTTGCTTTTAGTGACAAGCTCTTCAACAGAAATCGAGCCCATGCCACTTGTATTCAGCCACAGCAACATACAAGACAACCATCTTCTCCTCTTAAAAGTGAATGCCTTATTCTCACTTTATTCTTCACGAGAAAAGTGAATGATGCGTATCGCTTAAAAAGAAATACAATTATTTTATGGTGAATGATCTCATGATTTTCTAAAGATAAAAATTTTGTTAATGTATTATAGATAGCCAGCCGATCGTGATAACAGAGAACATTTGATCATTCGAGCGATAAGTGTTTTCATTCCTCAGGAAATTTTAGAATTATTCGAAAATATTATAGGGGGCATGGTGGTCCGATCAGTTTAATTGAATAAAGTCTTTCGACGAAGCTTGAAATATCTGGAAACTATCCCTTTCATGATGTATCATCTTTATGTTTTTGTTCCTCAAGTAGAACTGCTTTAATAGACTAACTTAATGATACGCAACATTGTATCAGTTGTGATACAATCTTTATAGGTTTCACGATCAGAATTTCAGTGATAAAAATGCTATGCGATTTGCGGCCAAGCTGCTTAGATTCGAATTCGCTTCCTTAATGCAAGCTGAGAAGCTCAGATTCGAATTGTTGAAATATAAAAATTCGCAGGAAATAAAAAAATTTTCCGAATACTATCGACAGATTTAATTAAATATTAAAAATCTTATACTCACAACTTCTCGTTTGGCTGGCTGCTCTATCTAGGACCTCTTTAATTAGAATCCAACCCTTTCAGCGGAAAATTGTTTAGAAATAGAAGATAGATATGTTTCCATCAACATCCGGAGGCTCAATTATTATAAATATTTATTTTTATAAACAGATATACAAATTATGGCTTGTTTTATGTCTATATTTGTTATGGAAAGAGAATAAACTTATTTTTAAATAAATAAAGAAATATGCATTAAAAGTGAAGAAAGTTTTTCACTATTCTTAATCAATTTCGAATTTTTTCACCAAATTTTAATAAAAACCAAAACCAATTGAATGCGAATGGCTGATTTCTGTGATTTTCCCACATTCTTCGATATCGATGATATAATAATAATTGTTATTAACAGGAAAAATTCGAAATATTGAATTTCGACGAACAAAATTTTATCAATTGAACAATTGAAATTTATCTTAGATCGATCGTAGGAAAACAAATTAATTTTTCTTGTGTAATTGAAATGACGTTAAAAATTTCGATTCATTAAGCAATATGTAAAAAACTATCGAAAAAACTTCGATTCTTTATTCGAAATGCAAAAAGATATCACAAAAAATATTGTCTAAAAATTGTAATATCTGATATTTGATGCTAATTCTGAATTTTAACATTAACATTAAATGCTAGGAAGCATTTTAAAAAGTGTAGAAAATTTTTGCATCGCTCTTTATAATTAATTACAGCGATAAGAATGGATGAAAGAGCGGTAATATTATCTAAAATTTTGAATAACTTTGGTAAAATTTGGGTCTCATTGATTCAATCCTTCTTATACTCACAACTTCTCGTTTGGCTGGCTGCTCTATCTAGGACATCCGGAGGCTCAATTATTATAAATATTTATTTTTATAAACTGATATACAAATTATGGCTTGTTTTATGTCTATATTTGTTATGGAAAGAGAATAAACTGATTTTTAAATAAATAAATAACAAGAAACTTCATTACAAATTATTCGTGTTGCATTTGGTCAATGCTGTGGATCATAATTTTAATAGCATACTGGTTGACCATATGTGTAATATCAAAATTAGAAAAAGATGTCAGATAATTGATGAACAAAGAATGAATGGCAAAAGCGAAAAAGCAGAGGTGTATTTAGACCATAGACAAAACCTATAAAACATTTCCGACAGAATGAATGATTAGTATTTCAAGCAGTTTCATACATATGCATATCAAAAAACCTGGGTGAGGATATTTACCTGCATCATATAAATGACGAAAATCTCCCTGGCGAAAAAGTCGTAGTCCTCATAGCTAATGAAGACAGCCAATTGGTAGTAACTCAACCAGAAATTATGACTGCTAGCCGTTAATAAATCATTTGGTCAAGTAAATAAATATGGTCAGAAAACAGAAAGAAATTTCGATAGACGAATTCTTGAGTTCATATCAAGTAAATCATTGTTACATCAATAATTCTTGCTCCTTGTGCCAACACATTATATATTTTCTAAGTAAGCCAACAAACCTTCCTAAATTGTATTTTTCTAGTTCCTAAATAATTTAGAGGAAAAATATATAATAGAATATGTCTTCATAAAGAAATAAATGAAGAATTAGATTGGGATGAGTGAAGAGAAAAGGGCGAAATTTACGCTGCGATTAGCCCAGCTTTTCCCGCCCGATATACATTATTTTGAATACAAAAATTCCGATAAATTGGTGAAAATTGTGGTGAAAATTCCAAGTTCTCCGGAAAATAAAAATTGTACGCAAAAACTGGTCAAATTTATAAAAATTAGTGAAATAAAAGACGCATACCAAAATAAATTCAACATCATCTCTTTCGAGATTTTTATAATCATCTAAGCGGGTTTTGCGAATACTTTGAACATCCTTGAAATGTCTCCATGCATAATCCTCAAGAAGACCGTCGACATCGACGTGATTCTGGCACATCATTCACTTCGATTGATTCGCCTCCAACCAACTCCGCCTATCATCATTAAACTACCCAAACAAATTCTTCATCTATCTTTCGATTCGTTCGCTCATTCTCTCTCTCATAGATACCATATATCTGGCAAAGCTTTCTGTCATCATTTTTTTCTCGTATAATTTTAACAAAAACTTTTTTTTATTATATAATGTTCATTCATATAATATAATATAATGCTTTAGCTAAAAGATGTGCAAACTCGTCATTAAACATGGAATCCGACGGGTTGCTGGACACCCATCTTCTATCCTAGTTCACCCACTTCAAAGTGCAACCATTCGGAACCAATGGTGAGAGAATGCTATAAGAAGATGGAAACTGTTAATTTTAAATGAGGTATATTCTTCATTTTTGCAGTGGTATTTATTGAAGCTATAAGATAGAACTAAACTTTGAACTGTACCAATCTCATTCAAGTAAATTAGACGAACAGCAAATTAGAATATATAAGCTTAAATGGAAAAAAGAGTGGATTCTACTATTATCAGTGTGTTTGTCAATACAGCAGCGGATCAAATGACTTGGATGTGTTTTATTCTAGTATTGCGATAATAGTGGAGGCAGCATAATGCATAATGGTGTGCTGTTGGAGTAAGTAAATCAGGAAATCATGGTAAAAAAAAGAGCAAAAATTTCTGAAATATTCATTAAAAATACCTAGAATTTTTAAGGCAATCTTCTCAAAGCATAAAATGTTTATAGAATAATAATATGGAAAGAAGCATTAAAAAAGAAAAGAAAGTAAATTCTTTTAAAATTATAAAATTAAACTGGGGATGGAATGGCTCAGTGGGTTGTTGTTCAATTGGGAGCGTCGATGCTGAGGTTCAATTCTCCGCAGGAGTAAACCTGTACAAAAATCCAGGTGATGTTGGCGACTCACCTGTATTACTATCGCCAAGGGACTCCCTGATTTATTGTCCAATGCGACAAGCCAGTGGAGCGAGCCTAATCAGTAAAGATGAGGACTCTTAAAAAAAATAAAATTAAATTAAACTATCCCAACAAATACATCGCATTGAACCATTAACGAGCGATTCCTGTGCACCAAAGAAAGGTGTTGGTTTTTTTCCATATAAAGTCTTACCAAAAATTAATTGCTCAAATAATTGAATTGAATTTAAGACGATGTAACGCTAATTCTCATCCACAATAAATCAATTGAATGAAAGCATTTAGAATTTTAACCCTTAAGGGAAAGTCTTAAATTAAGTATTAGTCTTTTTTCTTCAAAATGTTGGTCCACTGATGGAAACTAATAGATATGGCCAAGCAACATTTAAAATCACTTGTTTTTTTTCGATGGAAACTAGAAAGACGATATGGGCAATGGTAAAATAGTTGCCTCAGGGTATCACAAATTATCACAAACGGAAGTGATAAGTTTCCACGAATATGCATTATCGAATATGCATTTCGAACCTTCAACTATTTGCTCCTTTATTAGGAGTAATTCGCTCTTTCAGCTGAAAATTTTGCCTTTATTTTGTCTTTTTCTAAATAATTACCATCAAAAACCAAGTTCTCAATTTTTTGTGCTTTTCGCGCTTCATTGAATGAAGATAAATGCATTAAAATTATTTTGACTTGAACCGATCATAGGACATTCCAGACTTTGTCTGCTCCTAGCAGAACCACAGAAGCAGATTATAATGATCAGGATGTTCATGTTCATATTTCTAATATAATCAGTGATTACCAGTGACTCAAGTATCATTTTTCTGAAGCCCTATTTTTTTTATGACGGCCTGCGTTAATTTCTTTGCATCGTTCAAAAAATTTTCAAATCTTTTTATTATCATTATTAGGCACTTGAAATTAAGCTGTGAATGGACAAAGAAACAGGTATATGAATCAACGATTGGCAAACAATCCAGTGAATCTCTTCCCACATCTTTCCTATTCTAAATAATATAATCGCTATGGTGGTAAATATTTACAACTTAAAAACGAAACCTTTAGCAATTCAACTATTAAGCCGAGAAAAATAACCTTCGTTATTAGGCTTGGCTTTAACTAATAAGTCAGTTACGATTTGAAAAAAAGCTTATACGATTTATTCAGATGATTGGTTAATTACCATTGTCCCTTGAAACAAACCTGGAATTCCTTAACAAAGAAATGCACCAATAAATCTATTTAACTTGGTGCACTTTATGCTACACAACATTAAATGAGACTAATAACATATGGGGCGAATGTGCCGACCTAATGGCAATTCTATCTCTGCGGTGAAGAAACCTCATTCCAGTGGTATGGCGACCAAACCTGAAACGGTGAACGGTGATTGGAACAAGAAAACCATAACTTTTTCCTAAGCATTGATGTTGTGAATTTTTTCGGGAGATGAAAGTCGAAGGTTAAATCTTATGTTAAATCTTTGAATGTTAAATCTTTAAATAGATAACATTTAAAAGAATTTTTAAATTATAATTTCATCGGTGACAACAAATTTAAATGAAAAGCAATGGCAAAAAAGTTGAAATTCAATAAATTAAAATAGTTAAGAAAGAAACAGCAACAAACAATGGTTCATCAGCAGTCACCAATATTTCACCAATATTTTAATGACAAATTTATTTCCAATCGATCAAAAGTAAATCGCTTAAATCGCTTTCCGTTCAAATATTCCGCAGAGCAAAATTCAAATGATGGATGAATATTGTAATATTTGGCCATAAATAAATACTGATTAGGAAGTGTGATAGCAATAACCGAAAAAGGCAAGAAACGATCGAACGAAGCGAAGACAGACAGTATTTCGAGATATGATAAATTGATGTGCCAAATATTCGAGATAGCAAGGCGATAAGGTAATAATTGAACGTTGTACATATGCAATTGATGTTAGAATAATGTAATGTAATATATACATACTTCAACATAATATGAGAAGACAAACAATGGTGAACAAAACTTCGATCAACTAACTTCGATCTGCTAACATTTTGCAGGAATCGTTCAAAATATATGAAAAAATAAATCCCACACCTGAAAAAAATTCCAGACGATCATCCACAAATATATCACTTTCAACGTTATTTCGAAACGTTCTTTGTTTTAAATCTATTCTTCCTATATACTTCATGCCTATTTCATATGGAAAATATTCATTTCAGTAAATTGCTAAGTTGGTTCTTTTTTAATTTTGACTTCTAATTTGGCTCCTTCCTAGCTACTGGGATGTTCATAAATCTTTTTTTTGGTTCGATGCCAAATTGTTGAGTTTTAAACAATTTTCTTAAATGTTTTGAATCAATTAACGTGATTTAATTTTTATTTTAAAAATATAATTCAAAAAAATTTGATAAAAAATTCAAGAAAAATGACAAAATATATATAAAAAAAGAAATCGCATAAAAAGACGTAAAAGTGAATAATGAGACAATTATTACAATAAAAAACGTCTAAATTCAAAAAAATGACCAATAAAATTCTCCTTCTCGACAATTTCTATCCAACTTGATATATGAAAAAATTTTTAAAAACAATAAAATCAACCAGCAAATATAATTAAAATAACTGAAACAACACTAAACATCACATTGACAAAACCCATAGTGAGGAAATAAAATCAATACAACCCTAGATTCCATTTTTGTAAATTAAAAAACAAAATATATATGCTAATTAAATTTTAAAAACAATCGCATCGAAGGTATATTCACAGATTATCAACACAAGATCTTGGAAACCAGCCTCGGGGAACAAACTGTAAGTCTTTCAAGCATTGTTCACCATTATTTAAGTCTCCAGGATTATCTTTTCTCGTTCCATATAACCAATATTTATCTGCTCTGGTGACCAACCAATGTTCTCCTTCCTTAAGTAAACCAAACCAAATTTATAAACCAAATTTTAAAGTATCAGAGAGCACATAGAGATGAAAAGATGTAAAAGAGAACAAACCTTAACTGCAATTCGACTTTCATCCGTCCATGGTTGCCAAATCCATGTTCGAATACCAAAGCTGATCGATTTACAATATCCACCAGGAAAACTTCGTACAATATTCACTTCATAAGCATTTTCTCTTTTTATCCTCTTTTGAATCAACTGTTCTTCCTGAATAAATAAATGCATAAAAAATTGGTCTAAAAAGAATGTTCTGAAGTAATTCGAGATTATCCACAAATCTTAAAATTTATAGAACTATTGGATTACTGGAAATGAAAAAATCAAAGAAAAAGAGACTTCAAAGAATTATCGAACAATTATTTCCGCTTTAAACAATATTCTTAATCTCCAAATGAAAACCTTTGTAATTTCAATAGAAAAAGGCAAACAAAAGATCGAACGCATTTTTTCCAAAGAACTTAGAAATGTCATAATATATAATAATGATTCCTATTCGACTCTAAAAGAACATTGTCAAAATTGCCTTTTTTTAAATTTCTTTTTCTGACAAAATAATAATCAAAGAAAAATTAAAACTTAAAACTTAAAATTAAAAAAATTGAAAAAAATGGAAATAAGAAAACCAATTGTGGTACAGGTTAAATGGTACGTGGCTTCGCCTGATAAAAAACAGAATGGATTTATGTTCTATTGACGTAGCATAAAAGTGGAAATCGGGTGGCACTGAGGACCCATTTGCATTTCTATCTCCAAATGACTTTCATTGTAAAGGTCAACGCAGCATGGTAAACCAGAAATGCTGTTAGGAAAAAAGAAGAGGAAATTTGTTGATGGAGAAATTCAAAAAGGATTGGATAGCAAAAAAAGACCTATTATCACATAAATACAAATCAATCACATACAAATAATATAAATTTACTGGAGAATTCATTTAAAAGAGGTATTAAGGGTTTTACGATGATAATAGGAACTGGCATTCATGCTGAAAACGATTGCAAAGGTCGCACAATTCAAAGAATCTATTGAAGATGAACGACATAATTGCCAAACATTCAGAGGAATAAAGCTACTTGAGTTCAAAGCAATTTTGTGAATATTCCCAAAATATTCCCACGATTAGGATGTTTATTCATTTATCGAATCAACTCTAATTCCCAAATCTGTACTGCTGAATAAATTAATTGCATTTTCAACACATTCTATTTCATTGTTTTATCCAAATGAATTCTGAATTCCAACTGAATTCGATAAAACCAATCATAAAAAAAAGAAATGTCTTCAAAAAAGAAAAGGCTCGTAATAACTATAAATTAATCGCATATCAAAGCAAAAAAGAATTGTGAACGAAGAATGAATTGTCGAATTGCAAAGCATAAACATATAAAAATTACTTGGAAAATACCATCACCATCTTTCAACTAATGTTTTTTTTCAAGAAATTCAAGCTTCCTGTTGCATGGTGGTAGCAGACGAATATAAATGCAATTTCAAATAAATATTAATTTCTAAATTTCAAGTAAAAAATGAATTTAAATCAACCCTATTATGCATCAGAAATAGTTTACATTAGGGCAGAGCATAATGATTTATATTATACTTTCTCTTTCGGTGCTTCATTAATACAGTTGAAAATAACCACCTGATTTTAAAAAATAGCCAACGAAGATTTTTCGAAGATATTTTTTTTTAAAGAGTCCTCACTGCTATTGGTTAAACTCGTTCCACTGACTTGTCGCAATATGCCAGGGAGTCCCTTAGGGATAGAAATACATATGATTCACCAGCACCACCCGAATTTTTGTACAGGTTTACTCCTGCAGGGAATTAAATCTCAACATTGGCGCTCCCAACTGAGCAACAACCCACTGAGTCCTATCCCCCTTTCCGAAAATATAAATTCATTTAACCAAAAAAGATTTATAAGCATATATTTTTATTTAATTTTATGCAAAATATATATTATGGAAAACTTGTTATTTACTTAGTTACTATTAAAATATTTTTAGTATTATTAGTATTTTTAATATTTTTCATATTATTATAGTATTTTATCTATTTTCCACATTTTATGCTTAAATACTCGGAAAGTATTGCAATTATATTTTAAATATTTTAAATTTAAATATTAAATATATTTTAAATGTTTTTTTTTTAATCAATGAATTCGAATTCGAATTATATGGTACGAAAGTTTACACGATTTCAAACATCTGTTTTTATTTACATTATTCATTACATTTATTTATTTTTAATTTTCAAATACAAATTCTGAACCTTAATGAATTTAACGAGAATTTTTACATTAAGTCGGAAAAAGAACTTACTGAGAAAGAAAACTGAGTCGCCGGAGATATTACAGGCCACCACACACCATTACCTTTCGTTGAGCCATCCCATGTTCCCAAAACTTCCAAAAAATTACGCTTCCATCCAAGATTATATGGATATAAAAAAGGATCAGACCTTTCACGACTTTCAGCTTTGTTGACTATAAACATATTCACATATTTTATTATTTACTTATAAAATTAAAATTGGAAAATTTTCGAATATTAAAAATACCAATGTAATCTTCGATTCCTGTTCGATTTTTCAAAACACTTTTCAGCTGAATAAAGAGAAGAAAACCAACTGCAATAATCACACCTACTGCAAGGCCTAATGCGAATACTGAGCAAATGAATAAGTAAACCGAAAGAATAACTTCTGGCTCGTCACCTATGCCATAGTGAATATACCAAACCTAGAGCATATAATAAGAAAATATTAAAGAAGGTTAAAGAAAGTTAAAGAAGATTTGTTTTGTTGATAAGTGCTGCTGGAACTACAGTACCACTATCCATTTAATATTTCAGCACAATAACAAAGAAAAGGCTTTTACCTCATTCAAATCTTTTGAATGGACTATGAGTATCAAATCAGTGAATGAAAAAGTTAAGACTAGAACATCCGAAAGAGGTCGATAATAAGCCAAAATGGCAAAAATTCCACCCTCATCAAAAAAAAATGCAAAAAAAAATTTTTTTTTAACCAAGATACCTCGATAAAATAACTCACTCGAAAGATGCAATAATAAATTGAGCACGAAATAATGAATACAGCATGTATACAACCGATCACTGCAGCGACTAAAAAACGGATAAAATATGCGTGATTTCGATGACCAACACAATTGTTTATCCATGCTTAAAATATTTTTTATTAAATTCCATAGAAAATCCGAAGAAACAATGAAACGGACTATTTTTCTATCCTTTAATTTCTAAAATATAAAATATATTTTTTAATATCTTTTAACTAAACAACATTTTATTTTATTAACTTTTGTTATTAACAATTATTTTCATCATATTGTTAAATTTCATTAAATTTTATTTTATTTTCACAATCCTTATTTTAATTACTGTTATTATTCACTAATAAATCATCCTCGGAAACTTATGTTTAATCCAACTGAACATTTCTAAATAGGCTATTATGCCATAAAATTTTCTGCGAAAAATTTTAATCCACAAATTGAAAAAATGAACGATTCGATATTGTCTAACGCAACAGATAATCTCACTAATCCTCAACAGTTGTAAACTTTTATAATTAAAATTTGGCAAATAAAAATGTCAAAATCTAATTTATTCAAATTTCATTCATTTATTTAGTTCAGAATAGAATGTAGCATGAATTGTTGGCGAAGAATTTTACTGAAAATCAGTATATACTGATCAGTATATACTATTTATTTTATGAGCATTATTTTATTTATTATTTTTATTTATAAATGTCGAATACCTTGGGTCGAATTATGTCACTTTTTAATAATCTGAACCCCACTGAATTCCGCAATGTCCTTGAACTTTTTTGTATCCCATCAAACTTCATTAACGACCTATATTTCCTTAATACAATTGTTTCGTTCAAAAAGTATGAATTATGCACAGAGTGTAGGTTCGAGGGCTACATAACTGAATATTACCACCAATATCATAGTATTACCACAGAATAAACTTAATTTTCTATATAATAGTTATATTAATTCGCTATTAATTGCAATACATATTTTCTGTATCATAATTACCGAAACGACCCAACAAATTGTTCCAATAAATGGATGGAAAGAAGATAGGTGAATCGTGGAATAACAAACCATAGATATGCTAATGCTCCAATTAATATATCACTTTATTAACCAAAATAACTGACTATCATGGCCTTAATGCTTAAAAAACAATTTTCTAATTGAATTTTTATACAGTAATTTTTAAATTTTAATCAATATTTTCATCATCCCTAAACGGAATAAAGAGGAAAATTTCGCTAGAACTAATGATAATCGTCAATCGGTTTTTTTTTTTTATAGTTACGAATCTACTAAAGAAATATTAAATAAACAAAGCAGTTAAACTGAATTCATTAACGGTTGAGGAAGTGCCCGACTTCAAATACCTTGGGTCCACTCTAATACTAAATGGACAGGCAAAAGATGACATTATAACTCGGATCACTGCAGCTAGAAATGCGTTCTTCCGGTTGACGAAAGCTTTATGGAATCGTCGTGAAATCACCATAAAAACGAAAGCCCGCATCTATATAGCCGTGATCCGTTCGATCTTGCTATATGGCTCTGAGATATGACCAATGAGAGTTGAGATATTAAAAAGTTATCTGCTTTTGACCCCTCCTATCTAAAATATATGGATCCGTCGAGCGGATAAAATAACACATGATCGCATCCACCTTCGTTCAAATACCACTTGACTTAATGTTAATAATGTTATCACAGGCCGCCACCTTCGCTGGTTAGGACATATTCTCCATCGTCCACCACATGAGTTGACGCATATTTCGTTATTTGCTGCGTGATGATTGGCGTCAAAAGCGAGGTAGGCCAATCAAGACCTGGATTGATACGGTGAGAAAAGGTTTGAACTTATAGGTGGACCAGCAATATATGGACTTAGACGATGGAAAAAGGAACGGCTTCTGTTACTGATGGTATCAAACTACGCCGTTTGCAAGCGTCTTACCCTTGGCTGTTGAAGGCAGCTTAACCGGTAAGAGCTGTTAGAAGAAGAAGAAGTTAAATTGAATGATAAAAAAATCTAACGACAATGATGATCCATTTTCAATACACAACGTCCACAACGACAACAGTGATGAGACCTTGGTGCTTTATACCCGTCACATATTTTACAGAACTGCAACCGCGATTCAAAACTCTAGAAATGCAAAAAAAAACCACAAATTAAGAAAATGAATTAAATTAAAATAATTAATAATCAAGTAATGAAGAACACAAGGTTAGATTAGTAGATTCTCTTAATATTTAAAAAACTGGATATAAAAAAATGGAACCCAGGAAAAATATTAGATATTAAAAATGAAAATTCTTTATTAAAATGAAAAGAGATAATAGAGCTCTTCTAGTTACCTACTTTATTATTGACCAAAAAATTTTCAAGAATTCATTTACATACATACATCAATTAATAAAAATAATAAAAATAAGAATACTTCATCTGGAGGCCTCCATGAAAACGGAAGATATCCAGGTCCGATAAGCGAAGAGCGACATAAATTTGTTAGAGTACAGTAATTCAAAAACAAAAAAGAAACAAAATGAATGCAGGCAAAAGAAGATTTTAGAGGCCACCATTGAATATGTAAATAGGTTGCTGTGGATCCAACCTACAAAATGAATTTAAAAAATTTTTTGTTTTAAATTTTGAAATTTATATTGAATTCTATTCACCAATTATTAAATAAATTGAAATCCAATCATCATTATTACAAATAAAACAAAAAAGCAAATGACTCATTTCTGGTTAGACTAGCTCTCCTAATTGTAAATACTGTTAGAAACTTTCATCGAGAAATCATATAGCGATAGAATCACAGATAGATTGCTAGCTCCGGATTTTCAGTAGCAGATATACTCTTGTTCGGAATAGGATTCAAACTCCTACCTCCCAATAAGATAGGTTTTATGGAAGTTTTTTCATAATTAATTCTGCATTTGATTGAAAACCCAAGATCAATGTAAAAAATGATGAAAAACTGATAAAAATTTGAAATTTTATTTTCAGTTTTTAATTTGATTTAATTTATTTTCAATTTTTTCCTAAAATTTTATCAAGAAATATAATAACTACCAGCAATATTATAATAAGAGCAATGATAGGTCCCCAGTGCAATAAACGTTTAAATGATGGCTTGTCCGGCACATATTTTTCGAAGCCGACTGGCCAGGTTGGAGCATCAATTATACAATTATCTACAAACAAAAAATGATCCTCAGAAATTGATATATATTTCCTATCTAAAATTTGCTTTTATTTTGTCTTATTTTGTTTGAAGCAGAGAGTTTCAATTCAGTTTTAACAACAGGTGTTATTTAAAGAAATTAAAAAATGGCAAAAAAACTATTATGCCAAAGAGAATTTCCGAGAATTTCTATAATACATCAATGATTTTAAGATAATTCATAAAAATAATTTTTTATTTATGAAATTAAATAACACCTGTTAAAATGAAATGGAAATTACAATTAAAAAAAAATTAAAATTCTGTGAGTGTTTCAAAACGTTTTTATTTCCTTCTTTAAGAATCAAAACAACCGAAGTGATATTTCGAAATAAAAAATATTAATCGAACGATATCGAATTTTCTTAAAGAACTTTTTTCGAAATGAAAGAGAAAAGGGAAAGGGAAATGAAAGGGAACTCACATTGCGTAAAATTTGCGCGATTAGCATCATCGAGTAACACTTGATGTGAACTTTTAGGGAATAACCGACGATGCGCCATACAATCATTTGAAGTTAAACATAGTACTCTTCGTAAAAGTGACTAAAATATCAATCATAAATTTCCAAAATTATTCCTTTCTTTTCAAGTTTTCAAAATTAAGCAAAATAAAAAATATCTGCAAAAATAATAAAAAATTATAAAAAGCCAAAACGAAAAAAGACATAGGGTTTACGCTTGTAAATCTAAAACGTTTCTGACAAATGAGAATTGCGAATATAGAAATTTCCTATTTCCTATAAGAATAAATGAGGAATTACAGAAAAATCCGCAAATCGTAAATCTTTTTGTTTATAAATTTAAAACTGCAATAATAATATTTAAAATATTTTTACCCGAAAAATGTATTTCTTGAAAATTTATCTAATTAACCAAATTTTTCGAAAAGATTTTTAAAAATTCAGTAAAGTAGAAAACTTCTGCACTAAATTTTTAGAACTGATTAAATTCAATCTTCAATTCAATTAAAAATTGAATTGGAATGGCTAAGAGAATCGTTGTCCCCATTGTTAACATTGAAGTCCCACATGTGGCAGAAACAAATCGGTAATCTTTCCAAAATCCGGTTGATGCTGGCGATTCACTCCAATTCCGTTGAAAATCCAAATAAGCGAAGTTTGTCTGATCCGACAAATAAAGATAAGTGGATAAAGCAAAATTAACCGAAAATTTTTTTTGAAAAGATTTATGAAAAAATTTTCGGAAAGGGACCGAAGTGGTTGGAATTTATTCATTTAATTTGCAGGTTTTCTACAAAAAAAAAACTCTTTCCGTTGACTCAATTTTCGCAATTTTCTCAACTTAACGAATCAAGAACGACCACAATGCGATGGAAATAGCAGATGCAACATAGCAGATGGAGGGCATATTACGACCGCGCTCAACTCATTATGAATAAACCTCGTTCAGATCGGAATTTAAAGATAGCGATAGCATGCACATTCTACAGCAGCAGTGCAAGGTAGTGAAGTGTGGTGCAAGGCTTAATCATCATTTTATAGCTTTCTCAGTTATTATTTTCACTTGGCTTCTAATAGCTCTCACCACTGGTTAGGTTGGCCGCGCTTGCTGCAGGGGATTCATGGGCCTGCAAGCTGTTTAATCTGAAGAAGATAAGATAAAGAAGCTCTCCATCGTTTAAGAACTTTCGTTTTTAGGCGATCTGGTGACGATTCTTATAGATGCTTTACAAGATGGAAGAGCGCATTTCTCGCTGCGGCTATACGAGCTGCAATTTCGTCTCACGCTTGACAAATTCGTTCAAAATATTTCAGCCAAGCCTAGCACTTCCTTATCTCGAACTGATGGAAATTCTATCAGCGTCTGGCATATAACACGAAAGGAGCATAGAACAAAAGAGCTGTCTAGCATCTCGCATTTTTTCATTGCTATCAGCAAAGAGGACTACGTCATCTTTAAGATCTGGCTTATTTAACAAGGCTAAAAAGATCTGACAAGATCTGACACATTTAAGACCTATGCCGTGGACTGACTCGTACACCTCTTGACTACCAGCAAGCGGCTGAGCTGTCACATAGTTGAATATTGTAAAAGACACCAAGAATACCAGTTTTGAAAAGAAGTGTCTCAGACTTATATCGATGTATGCTTTTATGAGTCAAATGATTTTCCCTGGAACTGGTCGCACTGCATCACTCTCCAGAGCTCAACTCAACGGATGATGTTGGCAAAATCGGCGAAACAAGTGACAGTGAGTTGCCGATGAATATTTATTTGGCTAGCATTTCCGCGCTCCGATCAAAATGGAATGGTTAGGACGCATCCTCGCTTATTTTCACTTAGCTTTATTTATTTCATTTTTTTTTTTATTTTTTCTTATTTTATTTATTGTCCAAAAATTGTTCTTATTTATTGTCCAAAATATGCATAAACAATTCTATTCGAAAAAACTGTACTATTATTAATTCACTGGAAGGATAAATCTGGATTTTGAATGAGAAATTCTGATTGAGTTAGTGATAACAAATATCTTTTGGAAAATTTTAACAGCTTAACCGTAAATTTACATCTTTTTCTTCTAAGCTCTCACCATTACTGATTAGGCTGGCTTCAACGGCTACAAGGATAAGACGTTTTATAAGCGGCGCAATCTGATGCCATCGTCGACAGTAATGGAAGCCATTCCTTTTTCCATCCTCTAAATCCATATATTGCTGGTCTACCTATAAGTTCAAAATCTTTTCTCACCGTATCAGTCCAGGTCTTGATTGGCCCACCTCGCTTTTGATGCCAACCATCACACAGCAAATAATAAAATGCATCAACTCCTGTGGTGGACGAAGAATGTGCCCTAACCAGCGAAGGCCGCACTATGTGATAACATTATTTATGCATTATTATTACATTATTAAGTGGTATTTGAACGAAGATAGATGTAATTTTGTGATATTTTATAGGCTCGACGGATCCGTAATATGTACCTGAGACAAGAGTGGTCAAAAACATAACTTCTTGATATCCTCCACTCTCATTAGCCATGTCTCAGAACCACATAATAAGATCGAATGGATCACCGCAATATAGAAACGGACTTTGTTTTTATGGTGATTTCACGACGATTCCATAAAGGGTCAACCGAAAGAACGTATTTCTAGCTGCAGTGATCCGAGTTATAATATCATCTTTTGCATGTCCATTTGGTATTAGAGTGAACCCAAAGTATTTGAAATCAGGTACAACCGGCAATGAATATACAAAAAGAGGCATTTTATCAGCTTCTTGCACATAAAACGAAAAGTCTTTCGTTTTATTTACATTGGTCCTGAGTCCGATTCTTGCTGCAGTGCCTGACACGTTATTTAGTATTACTTGGATTTCGTTATAACAAAAGAAATATATCATCAGCGGATTCAAGATCTGTGATATGATGCTCTGGACCAATTTGGACATCCCCTTAGTGCCGATAAGCGATATCCATTACCCAGTCTATCGTATAGTTGAATATTGTAGGGGAAAGGACACACTCTTGACGGACACCAGTTTTTATTTCAAAGGAGTCTGCCAGTTCCTCATATGCACAGACCTGCGCTGACGTGCGCTCATAAATTGCCTTTATAAGTCTAATAATTTTCTCTGGAACACCGTAGCGCCGCTTTATCAATTGAATCAAAGATACCGCAAAGTCGATGAAACACGACATTCACATATAGCCGAAGATTTCTGGAAGAATGCATGACTTTGTTTGTGGTAAATCTTCATGCCAAAAATCTTTTTGCTTAGCTTTTAAAACATCAAAATAAAATTGTAAGAAATTTAAAGAAATTTGTCGTTGTCGTTGAAAATTGTATAAAAAAATTTGGACTATACTTTTGAAAAATAAATAATAAAACTGAAAAATAAATAATAATTAGGACAGCAATAATAATAAATTATATAATTATGCGATTTTTTTTCATGGTTAACGCTCATTATTTCTGGTTATGCTAGCTGGCTTTAGGCACTTTTACTAAGCACTTCACTTGGCTAAATTACAAGCACGAGCACCGCCCGGACAATAGCAGACTTACACCGTCAGGGTTAAGAGACTTGATGCTCGGGAATAAACAATGTTACACATTGCGCTAAATCCAAATTCCGCTTTTGACTGGTGATCGATGTCTTTTTTTTCTGTTTGCCTTTTCAATACACTTCGTTTTGAGCCCAGAGTAAAAAAGTCTTAGATGTTATTAACTGGTTACAAAGGGTTGTGGATTATAGCTATAGTGCAATAGTGTTTGATAGTTGTTGAAGAAAAATGGCGAGATTGAAGCTGCAGCCATTTTCCATGTTCATTTTTGGACCCTCACATATCTTGGCATATTAGCACGGCTTTTTTGTGTAAATAGAATGGGACCAGAAAAGTAGGGATTTTATTAGATTTAAGTAAAAAATCATTAGCACAGTTTCCTCGAAGGTTTCATTGCTTCACTTATCTATTTTAGATGGGTTCGACAAAGTAATCTAGGAACGTATTATTTTGATTAAAATTCTTATGAATTTTTTTAAAGGCAATGACTGGGATTATCACTGGGCAATTTAACTTAAAAATCCATTTCGGTTACGATTTTTTTTCTCAGAAAAAGGTTTTTAACCTATAGTTCCCTGGCTCCTTATAAACCTATAAATAGATTCGAATAGATTCGAAGGAGGCCAATGGGCTTTGATGATTTTCACCCATCTTCAATTATTATTTCTTTCGTTCATTATATTTATTATAACCAGGAAGATATAATAGTAATGATATAATAGCAATAATATAATATAATTGACAAATCACATTTTTTATAACACACATTCTTTTATGCAGTTTATATAACGAAAAGATTACTTAGAAAAGTACCTGTACAAAACTGGCAAAAGCATTCACTGCACAAAAAAAGAGCGCAAAATTTTTAATCTTGGCCCTATTGTCATACAAGTCTCTATGAGAGCGAAAACATACTGCTACTGAATCCAGATGAAATGAGATTCAGCAACGTTTTCGCTGGTTCTAAATTCCAGAAAATGTGGCTGCTAATCATTTGAGAGGAATTATAGTTGCTCTCAGTTCACTCAATTTCATCATTATACCATTATTCTACATTCATTTTAATATTAACCAAGCCAACATTTTGTTGCTGGGAAATGAAAAGCTCTTTTCTAGATGTCTTCCATTATCAACTTTACAAGTGCCACGTTTATTTCCAAGTGTATAGAATTATTTGCGGAAATTTTCGTATATAAAGCTTCGTTTTTCAAGGAAAACATTTAAGAATGTTTCAATGTTTATGTTTCTTTTTTAAAACTATCTTTCGATGAATGTTTTAAGTATTTAAAAATGTTTCCTAATTTTATGCGTTCGAAAAAACTTCTAAAAATTTCTTAGAGAAACCAATAATTTCTAAAATTATAATTTCCAAATTTTGATTTTTTTCCATTTTTTGACTTTATTTTCAACGCTTTTTCATGGCTTTTCATTTTTATTAATTTTGCAAGAAAATTAAAGCTAAAAAAACTGAAGATTTTTCATAATTTACCATTAAATGTGGCAAATAATTATTTCTTCATGGATGGTGATAAAATTCTAATCAGTGAGAATCGACTATCGTAGATGAAAATTCTTTTGAAACAAAATTTTCAAATTTTTTTTCTTTTAATTAAACGAATGAAATGAAAAAAAGAACGTAAAATGATACATTTTAACTTCTATAAATGAATTTAAATTTATTCAATTTTTATAAAAAAATTGAATTCATATTTGCTGGGAAAATCATTTAAGAAATAAAAACACACTGAACGAATAAACAAAAAAGAAACTCGAATTTCATTGCTTCCGAACTGCACAACTTGCAATTCTCATTCATTCAATTCCGAAAGATAAAGAAGCACAAAAAATATTTGATTAAATATTTGAAATATTTAATGATATTTAAAAATTACTAAAAAAAATATTTAAAAATTTAATGTAAAGTGAAAACGAATGAAAAAGTTTCCATAATACTTCTAAGAAAAAATTTGCAAACAATTTTTGCAAACTTCACATCCTTTTAGAACAAAAAAAATTTTTTACAGCTTATTTAAATGAAGCGTTTGGTTTGAATTTCATTCGAATTTCGCTGAGAGTTGAGAATTTCATCTGATTTCGTGAATCGAGTCTGACTTACATTCTAAACACTTACATTCTTTTTTGCTAATATAACTGCGTAAAATAACTCTTCGAAAATCCACGACTCGTGCGATCGAAATAATCCCGAAAAAATCCGCAAATTCCCACGAAGTTTGGCATAGAATGGCGAAATTACTTATTTAATGAATGATTTTCCCGGCAATTTACAAGATTTCTATAAGAAATTAAAGCGAAAAAAGTTTTTTTTTAGAAAAAAATTCTTCGTTGAAATGAATTATTCGCATCGTTTGCAGATTGCTCTTATTTTTTCAACAAACATTCTTTATTACCGATAAAAAGTTTGGGAAATCAAGAAACAAGCAATATGTAAAGCATTCATAAACCGTATTGTGCATTTTAAATCGAAGGCACGTTAATAGGCAGCGACCGTGGAAAATTTGTGCAAAGATGAAAATCGATCGTTTATTTCTCTCCAAATCAATCACTAATTTATCGTATAGCTTGAACGTTGTATATGAGTCGCGCGCTCCTGAAATTCGGCATATTTTATTTTTGCCATGCATTCTTAGAAGTTTGCACAATTTATAGAAGATAGGAATTATTGGTACTAATTGGTACAGAAATTGTACACACAATTGCAAGTGATTTACGTCGGAGGAACTGAAAGAAGGATGAAAGAATTTAGATGTGGGCGATAATAGAACAGTGATAGGTGATGAGAAGTGGATCCAGCTTGCATGAAAATCGGGCAAATATTGCTGGTGATGGTGGGGACGAAAGTCGCCAGCTTGCACATAGCAGTGAACCGACTATTTTGTTGAAATGGTCTGAGATTTTTCAAATTTTTCACAGCAATATCGCTGAGTTTTACTTTCTACTTGAAATTCTTGAAATGCGCAATATGATCGAGTGTTACTTGCTTAGATTATCGTCGTTCGGACTTTCTGATTCTATATGAAGTAAGCCGGCTCTATTATGGCTCTTCTTTACTGCGTAAAGAGCCATTAATAGCCAAAGGATTAATAGCCAGAATTGCTATGCGCCTTCAAATATGCTGCAGGCAAGCGCATCATAAATTCAACGCATTGAAATATAATTCTAACCTCTCCCTCTCTATTGAATAAAATAGTCTGAACATTGGATCCAGATCCAAATGTATCTTCTCCTTCAAAAATTAACTGGTCTGGAGGACTGTGGACACCACCTTGTCCACGAGCCCAAATCTAAAAATTTTTATTTTCATAAAATTAAGTTTTCAAGGGAAACATATCATAAATGAAAAATACTATTTTATTTAATACTCCAATTTTATTATTAACCTCAAATATATAAAAATTTGTCTTGCTTATAAAAATTAAAGAATAAGAGAGGATTTCACCTTAACAAATTTTCCTGGTCTCAAGACAAAATCTCTTGGGAAAGTGTAAACAATTTCGCGTTTCCCATCAATTTTTCGTTTTAATTTCCAATCACCAATGAATTCTTCTTTTGAACGGTGAGTATTTTCAAGTAAAATAAATTTACCGTCAGGCGAAGCATCCTAAAACATGTGTAATGATTAACCATAGAATCCTTTTTCCACACTAGAGGATTGCCTATACCATTAATACCATTAAATCAGAAGACTGCCTAAATTTTTGCCTGTAAAATGATTTAATGAAAATATAAAAATTTTAGAAAATGTTGTGCAACGTAGAACACAAATAATTCACGCAAAATATAATTTTTTAAGGCAATATTTATAATTCTTAACTAAAGCATTTATTACCTGAATGGAGACATTACCCTTAGCTGAGCGTTGGAACGAAGTCCTGCTGGCAGTCTCGCCTTTCATAACTCGGAGAGTATCTACAATATAGTTTCTTTTGCAAAAAAATATTTTCGAGGCAAATGATTAAGAAAATGATAAAATGCAAGAATTCCGCTTTTTTTCTATGTCATGTAGGGTTAAAAATGAAATAAAATAGTATGAATGAAGGAATGACAAATAAATGATAGAGAAAAATGTAAGTGATAAGATAACCAAGTCAAAGTCAAAGTCAATGTTATTACTTAAATAATACCGATATGGACTTATATAATTGTTTTGCACATAAACCTGTTTTATGAAACTGGGCCTAAGAAGAAAAACAAGGAAAAAAACGAATTACGAACAATGAATTATGAGATGGATGCAATTTATTTTTGCGTTTCTGTATCATTAGAATGCCTTGTAGGCGAACTTATCGAATATTCTATAATTGTTATGTTTCGTAAATTGAAGGTGATTTTCTAGCGATTGAAAGAGTCGAAAGAAATATCAGCAGACCCTTCGAAAAAAAATTAAACATATAAAGCTCTAATCGAAACTTCTGAATTTCATATAGTACCAGTTTCATCAACTTGCGATAGTCCATGAGTTTTTACGACCTGTTCTACAAGCTGACGAAGTCCAGCACGATTCTCTTCTCCTTCTAGCATCTTACGATAGATCGCTATTTCTGCATCTAATGTCTGCAATAATTTCGTTATTTAACATTCAAACATTCGCTTTTAGATGAGTGACTTGTAACCTGCTTAGTATCGAGAAGCATTTGAAGCTCAAGCATAAGTGCTTGGCACTCTTCACGCATTTTTCGAATTTGAGCATCTCGATCATTAAGAGCAGCTTCATATGAGCGTTGATCATCTTCTAATTGATAGTTTAATTCTTGTGTTTGTTTCTCGAGCAGTGAATTCTGCAAAAATGAATTTATAATTGAGAAAAGTTTAAGAAAAAATTCTTTTACGAAAAGTGTGGCACTATAAAATAGATTTAGAAAAAATACTGTATGCGTAAGTTACGAAATATGTTCGAGATTCATATTTCGCTGATTTTGAAACCTCGCAAACAAACATACGCGGCCTTCAAGGTCAGCAAGCTTTCCACGGAGGTCAGAAAGTTGAACTCTCAATCGTTTAACTTCTTCCTTCGCGTAACCTTGTTCGAGGCTTTGACGAGTTGATTGAGTTTGAATCTCTTGCACTTTAAGCTTGTACCAAGATTCCATATCAGTGCGGTTCACATTACAAATCTGTTAATTGAATTTTTTAATGATGATAATTTCATTAAAAGTTTTATCTCATCAGAGGATAAAAAATGGAACTCATGGAAAGTGGAACCCATTTTGTCCTTGGAATAGGCAGAAAAAATTAAAGTTTATCAGAATATTTATATAAAAGTGCTTTGAATAAGCAGTGGACTATTTGAATTATTTATTTACCTGGTCATATTCAGCGCGAATATCACGAATAGCGGATGAGAGTTCATTCTTGAAATATTCGCGATTCTCCGGTGTGGTATCGCGTGATGCAAGAGTTTGCAGTTCCCCAATTTCTTGTTCATGAACGCGTCGTATGAAATCAATTTCTTCAAGTAGAGTTTGAACTTGATTTTGGAAATCGATACGATTCAAAGTTTCTTGATCCAAATTCTGTTGATAAATTGAAGTAAAATAAATTTGAGGAAGGACTACTTGATTACTTAAAAAACGCTTGCTATTCGAATTTTGACTAGATTTTTAAAATAGGTCGAGAACTAACGAGATTCCATTCCAGAAGGAATAAATTTGTCTTTCAAAAATCCAGGTTAAGCTAAAAACTTATATATCTTTACTCTCATCTGTATTTAAGCACTATTACAAATAATTCCCAGGCTGCATTTCTCTGGTGCGACAAGCTAACACAGCAAGTTAAACAAGAAATAATAAAAAAATTGAAAATGACGAACTAATAATTTGAAAAACAGATAAGCAAAATGTGAGATGTGTAAAAAATGAGAAATGTGTAAAAAATGTATAATTAGAAAATAATTACGAAGAAATACCAGTTTTAAGTATATTTTTTGAAATTTTTTCTTCAAAGTATGTGCCCAGGCTAAATGTGTATATTTTTTCCACATATTTCTTAAAACAGATCACATACCGCTCTAGCTTTATTAAGTTCGTTGGCGAAGTGCAGATTATCCTTTTTGATTCGACTGACCTCCTCTTCAAGATTTGCAACTCTTCGACGTAAAAGATTAATCTCAGCTTCGAGACCACATAGCTCACTCTAAATTTTAATTACTCAAACGAAAACTTCGATTAAATTTAACTTTTTTAATTTCTTTAAAAATTTTATAAGTTTAAAAAATCAAAAATATTTATTTAATAAAACGATCTTTGTTCATATTTCTTATAAGATTCCATAAAAACTGCTAGGAATTACGTGTTGAGAGTTAACTGTTAAAGATTTACCAGTAAGTCATCGATAGTATTTCGATCGATTTGATGCCCATGTAATACATCATCGTATCTCAAAGTATTACTTTTAAAAATGTGGAGGATTTTAAAATAATTAAAATTAAAAATTAATTAAAAGATCTATTAAATCTATTAAAGCTGATAAAAACCGATTTTCGTAAGCTGATAAATTGATAAAACGATTCGTTGTTGAAAGTAAATATAAAAATTAGTTTATTAAGTTACCAAATAATTTTCTATTCAAACTATTTTTTTAAAAATATTTAAACCATTTTTATCTTTTCTTTTTATCTTTTCTTTTTTAATTCATAATTTTTATAAATCATTTTCATTTTTAATTTTCTTTTTTTGTTATATTAAATAATTCTAAAGATTTATTCAAAATTTCATTTAAATATTTTCGTTGAAAGGTTTTTTTTGAAAAATTATTTCAATTAGAAAATAAAAAATAAAAAAATTTTAATTGTAAACTGACAAAAAGTAGAAGAAAAAAAATTTTAAATTTTTAAATTTTCCATCGAAAAATATAAAAGAAGCACAAGTATTTATTTACTTTCGACGGTATTCAGCGAGCTCTTCAGTTAATTTTCGAATTTGTCTCTCAAGATCTTCACGTTCATGTTCTGTATCTCGAACCACTTTACGAGCCTCCTTAATCCAGTTACTGTTTAATGGTATTCGATCATCACTTAAGTAAACGCTCAGCAGTTCTTTTCATTTCGATATTCTAGCATTCTATTTCAAAAACCCTTCTATTACTAATATTAAATTAATTACTAATTTGATAATAGAATTACCTGAAGTTCTCCTTCATACATCGAACGTACACTCATTGTATCCTTTCCCCATCGCCCTCTCAAAAGATCAAGATCAGCAGCCAGTTTACGATTTTGAGCTTCAAGAAAGCGAACCTGCAAAGTATAGACTAAATATTCTTATAAAAATTCGCCAAATATTGCTTCATTAAAATTATGGAAATTGATTAGGGATAATTTCTGTATCTTTTTATATCAGTTGTTTACTGATATAAAAAGAAAAAGGAATATTTGTAAAAGTAAAATTAACAAAACCTTCTCAATATAAGAAGCTAAACGATCATTTAAATCGCTCATTTCCTTCTTTTCACGTTCACGTGTATCACGTATGGTTGACGCAGCACTTTGTCCGAAAGGCGATAATCCTCCACTATGGATAGATGATGACCCAAATTCCGTAACAGTTTTAAGTATGCGACCACCAGATGCTGAAATTTTCTTTTCCGAAGGAAAGAAAGATTGGTTCTTAGCATATGCTGCTGCATAATTCTGAAATCATCATTTTCTCGCCATTTTTTAAGCTCAAATTACGAAAAAAAACTTACGGGTAGTGCTATATGTTGAGCTGGTAATATTTGATCCATTCGTGCGTTGAAATGTTGGACGAGCAGAAATTGTGCTGCGATAATCAACTAGAGAAGCGTGATCCATATCACTAAAATATTTTCGCCTATGTCACCAAATTATTTAACTATTTATTAATTATTTTAAGCATTTTAGAGTGCAAAATATTCAAGGATTCATCGTAATAAACGCATATAATTTAATTTTTCTTGAATACAATAATCATCAAATAATATAGCAATCTTCTTGATGACGATTTTACACTTATGATCTACAATCCATACATCCAAATTAATTTTGGTCATTAATCTGGAAATCAATCGTGAAATGAAAAAATCTTCGTAATTTCATTATTTTTCCTAGGAATTAAAAAGAGGTGAATAAGCTCAGTCTATGCAAATAATCATAGTTTAAGCCCAATCCTTAAGCCTGAGCCTAAGCATAAGCCTAGAATAGCGATAGAAGGAAGAAATGAGAGAATAGTAGATAGAAATAAAATAAAAATTAACGACGAAAAAAGCTTCAATTCGTCGCAAATTTTTACGCAGCGATTATTTTAAAAAAAAAATTAAAGATTTATGAAAAATTGGGAACGAATTCTAATAAGCAAAAAAATAGGCACAATGTAAAATGGTCGAATGAAATGGTTATCTATGAAATGTTTGACCGACCATCATAACCGAGCGAGCAGCAATAGCAGTAGCAACAGTATCATCCAGTTTCATCAAATATATCTATTAACTTCACTCTCATTGTCATCGTTCATCGCAGTGATTCAAATAAATGTATGAATAAAAGAAAGCAATATGTTTTAACAGTTATATTTGCACAAACAAAAACTTATCGATCGCTAAATATCCAAAATTTTATATATTTTATTGATTTTAATGGTAAATTAAATGGAAGTACAATAAACGAGAAGTTCCACAACAAGAAGCTCAAAAGGGGAGAGAAGCCTCTCCTTTGTTGTTCGAAAGATTTAATGATTACTGTAGGTGAGAAAGAAAAGAAAGGTGAGAAAGGCTATCCAAAAACAAGCTAAAATTGTTGAATATTTCACCAAAATATGTATATAATTGCTAGTGGGAGAATAAATTCATATTTTATGTGTTATCAGTGCGTTTACGTGAAAACCTCAAATCAATCTACTTAAACAAATAAATGACAAATTTTTAATTTCGACCGAATCGAAAAAAGTTGTTTGGACCAAATTATTTTAGAAAATAATGCTCAAAAAATATCGTTTGGACAAAAATGCTGCTTGCAATACAAATGGAAAAAAAAAAGCAATATGAAAACTTTTAGGGCAAATTAATGAAGGACGAATTTCACGAAGACCAAACGTGGGACTCAAGCCAAAAGGTCTTTTTATAAACCTTTGGTAAATTAATTAATTCCTGCATTAGACATTTCATTAAAGATATTTTTCTTTCTCTGCTTCTCGCTTTGCCTTCTCCCGAGAGCCTCTTAGGGACAGAAATATCCCCATTGCACGGATTTCACTCGCAATTGGAGGTTTGCTTCCATCACGAGGAAAGAATTGCACTCGTAATGTTTGTCTTGAAGCCAAAACATAACACTCGACCACTCTACTTTTCGACTTTAGAAAATTTGATGGAAGTTTGGAGAATTGCATCATAAAAAACCGATTATTTTGATTATTCTTGGCACTGCCATTTTATCTGATAATTTTATGGTGAGGCGGTTCTGGTAAGAATAATAGTTTATATCGAAGTGCTTTTTCATTGTTTCTTTTGACTCTCCTTTCTCCTTTTTTTTATCCTTTCATCTCTGTAACACCGTTACACTATTGCGTCGTCAGTAACATACGGTACTCCGATTTCTTTTCGCTCCAAAATTTTACAGTCTCTTTTCATCGCCATAGCCGATAGGAATCATGCGTTTCAAGATCAGATAAAATGGATGTAGCGAAATTTTCTAGTTAAAAATCGAAATCATTTGAGGATTTTGTGGAGAGCATTCATAAATAGCACTTTAACTAGTACAAAAAAAAATTATTTGAGAGTTCGTTTATAATAAGAGGCCTTTCGAGAGCAATAAACAAACATAAATTCATTATGAACATCGTACAGAAATAAATAAACTTTCAAACGACTGAAAAAAAGGATGTCTAGACAGTAGGTGGATAACACAACTAGTTCCATTAAATGAATAATGCCTACATATATGGAACCGTCGCAAAGAACATAAGAAAATTATCTCAGTTCATTGATAATAACAAAATAATGATGGAGGAAGAACCATATGGCAACAATAATTTCAGGTAACCTTTACCGTTAGCTAAGATTTAGCTTAAAATAAAAGAAGTAGATAAATGCCATAATTTTTTTTTTCACTAGCGCCCACTGTAACTGGTTAGTTAGGCTTAATCCGCTCGCTGATCGGACCAGACAAATTTTGCCAAAGATCTCGTCACTGGGCAATAGAAATATAGGTGGGTCACTATCACCACCCGAATTCCTGAAAGGTAAGCTTATTCTTGCGCACGTGGAACCCAAACATCCATGCTATTTCCTTTTACTTTCGCCATTCGACGGTACTGATGTCGGACGAAGCGTGGTGCGTCTGCTGTATTCGAACGCGAACCATTCACGATACAATCATCTTATTACTTGGCCACAAGTGCCACAATATTTTAATAAATACTTAGTCAAGAAATTGAAACAAACAATGCAAATATTAATTGTAAAATACTTAAATTGAATATGTGCATTAAAAAAATCAATGCTAATAGTAGAAAATAAAATGTCGCATAAAATTATGTCAATATGCATAAAAAAGAGCTTGTCGGAATGGTATAAAGAAATGGAACTTTTTTGCACAGTACATAATAGAAAAAATGGAAAAACTTTTTTTAGACCATCTCTGGCTGCGTCCATTGGCCATTAGAACGACTTATTTAAAAAATCTTTTCATCAAAGTGAGTTAGAAATTTAGGTGATCTCTCAGAATCACTCGGATTTCTCTTTTAACCAAAATTTGTACCAACCAACCAAGAGATAAAAATTAAGTCCAGTTCTTGACTGTTCAGTTCAACTAGTGATATTCTCATGGTTAAATTAATAAATATATTAAATATAAATAATTTGATTAATATAATAAATGTAAATATTGGAAATGTTATTCGATCAAATGAATTGAAAATGAGAATTATTTAGTTGCAAACAATATCGTAATAATCCACAAGAATGGTTTATCGAACTATTCGAGTGGTTGAACTAAGCGGCTTAAATTCTACGCTTTTTAGCTGGTTTCATGAACAATATTAAGGTTCTAAGTGGAACAGAATAGGTGGAAAGGCTTCAGTGATAAATAAACTAGTTTCTGTTTACTCGGCAAAAACAATTTTTCCAGTGAAATTTTAACGAGTAAAAAACTTTTTAGTGAGCATTTTTACGATTTGAAAATCATCAATTCCAGTATAAATATAGGAAATAAAAAAAAAACTTTTAGAAATTTCATTCATTTTTCTTCAAAAAGGAAAAAAATTATTTTCGAATTCAACTTTAATTCAATTAAAGATTAGAGATTTTGTTGCAATTATACTTGAATTGAAAGTTCCCTATTCACGAATATCAGAAAACTATTTATTTCTATGGTCACTCCTAGCGTTAACCATTTTATCGGTATAAACAATGTAATGGTAATGGTGATGTAATATACATCCGTAACGACTATCATAAGTAAAGCATAAGTAAAATAAATATATGCCAAGTCAAATCACATCTTTTAGCACACTAAGAATGAGAATTAGAAGATGGTTTAAAACTACTGGGCGAGCCGTATTGAGGAAGGCCGAATACGAGAACATTCTGCAACCTCACTGGTAATAAAAAAGAATAAATCATAAGATTCAAGATTTACAAAGATGCAAAAATTTACTATTCAGTGATTTGAGAAAATCGAATTATTTTAACAATTCATTTTAAAAAATCTAATGATAAAAATCCAAACTATTATGATAGGCATTTTTAAAAATCCTTGAATTTGATGAATTCAAGCGCTTAAATTAGCTAAATTACCTTTTGCCACCAATTTTAAACTCCGTTGTGGTCGTTGTAATGCTATCGGTTGATTTACGTTCGGACATTTTTGGGAGTGTTGAAGGACCAATTGGCTGCAAAATATAAAATTTATAATAAAATCACCATCGGTTTAATGAAACCTCTTGAAAAATACTGAAGCTAACATGAATAAAATTCACAAAAAAAACAAAAGAGAATTTCTAAAAAGAATCGATAGAAAAAAAAGAAATGAAGAAAGGCATAGTTTCGTGGAGAGGGGTACGGGGAGAGGGGGAAAAGAGAGTCTCGAGAAGTCGGAAAAATCGCGAATATTGAATGATTAACCCTTCTGAACCCTCACATCACCTTCTTGCCACCTAACTGATGTCCACTCAAAACTTTTCATATATGCATAGTATGCAATGTATATATAGCGCATATATAGCGACGATGCCTGGCATCGCTTTTTTCGACAATTATTTAATCGTAATGATACTTTTATCAATAAATCTTAATTTATTGTTCAATAATATAATACTTTATCATTTTATATGTTATGAATAATATTCTGAATCATTTTTGTATTTCTTTTGAATTACGCATCAGAGAATTCAACAAATTTCACCATTGTTCCGTCAAGCCAACGAAGTGAAAATCGAGAATAAGCGGATAAGCGAAATTCAAATAAGCGAACTCCACGATTAACTGTATGTCGTATGTAAAAAACTATGAAAACAAAAGAGATCTATGCGATAATATGGATTAAAGAATCAGTGATATCAAACTAATCAATGTTTTCTAATAAATATTTATTATATTCCGCAATACTACTGTTTCAACTAGTGATATAACTGTGGTACCAGCACCATCACCAGTATTGCATCATTTGAACTTACATAAATGATTCAGCTTTATTTTAAGAAAACAGCTATGAATAATCTTGTTTCATTTTTCATCATTTCCTTCGTTCAATTGACAATTGTCTTTTTGCAACATATTTTAATCATTCTTGGATGGGAAGTAATAGCAAAAATAGTAATAACGATTTTTACTGAAATTCCTATATATTTCCGATCAAATTTCTTTGCGAAATGAAAGAAAAAATATTTTTCTCAAAATATTTCTCATAAAAATATTTCTCATAAAATCATATTTTTCCTTCAATTAATTCAATTTTGACAGTTTTCTATAAAAAATTATTTAAATACCGAAACTGGGCCAAATTTGGAATTGCAATTAAAGAGTAAAGTAAGTAAAGTATTAATTTACCTAAGAAAATTTATTAAAAACTATAAAAACTTTCAGGTTTTAAGAAAAACCCAAACTTGCAAATTTTAAATCAGGCAGTGATGAATATTTCGAGAAAAGTGGAGGCAACAAGGGAAAATTTTGCACGTAATCGCAAAATGTAAGAAACAAAGGAAAGAGTGAAAGGAGATTGTTATTGATAAACCAAATAATATGATGATAAGCAATTTCATACATACCGATTTTCGCTATCACTAAAACTTTCCCTTATTAATGTTTTCTATTTCTCTTCTTCTGATTTATAACTATAAGAAATTCGATTTTCATTATTTTTCATTCATTATTTTTTTTCCGATGAACTTTGACATTTTCATATTGGAATATAAAGCAATTGAAAATTTCGAATTCTATTTAATTTTGAAAAATAGACTCTGTAATAAAAATAATATAAAACTAAAAAAAATTTCTGTTTATTGAAACGAAGAATTTGATGGATTTGAAAAAAATAAATAATTTTTTGCCTAAAAAAGTTCGTTGGAAAACAAAAAAAATGATTCATTACAATTTCTAACAAAAGTTTCGTTATGAACAATTTTAAGGAATGCGACTTGAAATTTTTGAATAGCAATGATAAATTTGCGTTTAGCAAATTATTATGGACAATTGTTATGGAACAAAACAAAAGAAATTGGATTTGCTAAGGCAGGCAATTTAGCCAGGCGAATGGTCAGTTTTACTCAGTAAAGTTAAAGGCTATAAAGAGAGATCTTCAGTTGTAGATGGTTGTTTCATGTAACAAATTTTTTTAGTAATGCCTTTGCATGAAACTTACTTTGACAGGAAGTCTTTGACGAGTAAACATTTCCGTCGACGGTTTTCGATCAGTTTTCGAATCCTAAATTAATAAATAAAAATTCTTTTTACTGGTACTTTAAAACTTGAAACCTGAAATTTGGAAATTTGCGAATTTGCAAGGAGTAAAGCTCCTACTCCTCGCACCAATTCTACATGAAGTAGATAAAGCAACTATTGCAGCAAAAAATGATTTGAGATAATCTTTGATGAGCAATTTTGCAAAAATTTGCAACAACGTTCAATAATTGGTCTTAACTAAATTAATTAATCGATAACAACTAGGCAAGCAGAAAACAATTTTAATGAAATTCACTCGGATAAGTATGAAAGGAATGCATAAAATAGCTCAGCCACTTGGCTGAATATGAAAAGAATGTGCGACTCAAAGCGACTTAATCAGATTTTTAATCCGACTTTATTTTAGTTCTCAATTTTATCAACTACATTTTTATTTTTTAATTTTTAAAATCCCCATTTTACTATAAACTATAAAAATTATTATTATATATTATTATAAATTATTCAGCCAATCAACAAACTGTAGATAAGCTAAACCAATCATATGGAAAAACTACTCCACGAACAACGATAGCAAATAATGAAGCTGAAGCAAAGCTGTTGTTAGATAAAAATTAATTTCGAATAAAGCCTATGCGGAATAATGTCGACTGAATTAAGGATGGAAAGTACAAATAAGAGATTTTGCTTTATCTGATCTAATCTGCGAGTGATGCTGGCGACTCACTTGCATTCTATCGCCAAGCGACTCCCTGGCATATTTCTCTAGTGCGACAAGCCAGCGGAGCCGGTCTAACCAGTAACGGTGAGGGCTGTTTTAAAAAAATCTTAACCATTATTTGGGATTGGCGAATATTTTATTTTGTCGCAAAAGAAAACACTGCTAATTGCAATAATGATGGGTTCAGAAAATAGAAAATTCATTTTAATAGACGACGAAAATCATCAATTGAAAGAGATCAGTCGGAAAAGAAATGACAGTAAAACAAATAATAAGCGATGAGACATTTCAAAATGCTATTTTTCATGAATAAATATTCCTTGTTTTATGAAAAAAATAGAAAAACAAACGAAAATCTTTTTCGAAAAATTAAAGCAATAAATAAAAGTTTTATGCTCGATTGCCTACGAAGAATCTTCAATTTCAAATGCATATTTAAAGTTTTTTAATGTTTCAGTTTGACTGAATAGGTTTCCAATAAAAAAATGATTTAATTACCATTTTATTTTATATCATTAGAATCGAATCTATTTAAAAAGCAATGAGAGAATTCGATTGTTCGTTACATTGGCTGTTAGTAGGGAAAGAGTTTTGCAGCCAGGCAGACATTTGAGAATAGAAGTACAGCTGGGTGCCTGGCATTAATCGGATTTGTTAATGGCATTAATCGGTTTATTCTTGCATTGTGTTCCAGTTAATTTTGAAAGGATTAGCAAAATAAAACTCAAAAACGTTAGTAGAGTTTAATTTTTTTTTAAAACATCAATGAGTCGGTAGGCATGAATTTTTTTCGACGAAAAATCCAGAAAAGCAAATTAAGTGCAAAAAAGTGATTTGCTGGAATGGAGATTTACCAAGAAAATCCAGGAAATAAAAAAAAGAGGAGAATTTTCAATAAATTTTAATTAAGATCCAAAACAAATGTGTTGAAAAAGAAGATTTTAAAAATTAAAATAACTGATCAAACCAACTTCGTAACGAGTCGACCGAGTATGCGTTTGGCCTCTGTCATATCTCGTTGTTGCTTCATCTGATATTTTTGTATCCTTTCGGTCTGTGGCATATTTTGTTGGTACCTCATCCGACATTCTCATATCTGTTCGACTACTATCATATCTTGTTTGTGTTTCATCCGGTATTTTCGTGTCAGCTTGGCCTTTATCATATCTTGTTGATACCTCTTCCGATATCTTTAAAGCAGTTTCACCACTGTCATATCTTGTTGGCACCTCATCTGATATTCTTTTTTCCGTTCGGCCGCTATCGTATCTCGTTGATGTCTCATCAGGCATTCGCATATCTGTTCGACTTCTTCCATACACTGTTGATGCTTCTTCCGATATCTTTAAAGCGGTTCGACTACCATCATATCTTGTTAATGTCTCATCCTTATGCTTTTGCTGTTGTACTTGCTGAATAGTTAATTTTAAAAATAACTGATTCCAGAATTTATCATCTGATGTGCTTAATTAAACAGTCAAATAAAGTTAAATAAATAAATTTGGAGCTATTTTTGTTTTCAAAATTTACCTCCTTATCATCTTGTCTAGTGGATTTGATCACAGCCCACTTCGCAGATTTTTTTTCTTCTGGCACCTGAAATTATTAATTATTGATGTTTGGAAAATCAGTTAATAAGTATTCTGAAAATAATAGATAATAGAATTGCATAGAACGAAAAAATGTCTTTGTTTGGCAAATTCATATTCAAAAAATAAAATTAAGCTAAACAATAAAAAAGCAAACACAGTATTTCTACAGCCCTTAAATTTAAATGATGTGAATCGATTGAATAATATGGGTGAAATAACAAACAGTGATCATTTCGTCTAGTTCCTTAGTTTTCTCGAGACTAGACGCAACAGGAAATGTGGTCCTTCTAGAAGTATCCCAATTTTCCGTTGCATGAATATTGCTTGTCCAATCGGAATCTTTAACGATGACAGTAGTCGAAGATGCAGTGTCAGAAGGCCTATCTGCATCAGGTTGTGCCCTGATTTTAGGTGCCCATGATTCTACAGTCCTTGTTTCTGCTTCTGAAGCTGATGTAAAAGGAGATTGTGAAGGTGTAGTTGATGGGAAGCTGTGCTTGTCAGACCATGTGCCCCTCGAAGTGGATGACCAAACTTCAGTTATTTTTGACTCTTCTATGTATTCTCGTTTCCGAGGTGTTGTATCATGCATAATCTGAAACTTGCATTACATATATATAATTATAATAATATTTATATATATATAATTTTGATAATCCTAAGACCTTCAGTAGCATATGCTGGATCCCATTGTTAAGTTGTAAATGATCATCGCTACTCTTTATTATGGTACTATCAACTTGCATTCCTTTTACAACAATATAAATCCCATTATTTTGAAGCCAATTTTGTTTTTTCGACTTATTTTTTATAAACCGAAGTAAGTCTTCGCATGTTGCAATTTCGCTCTTTCACTCTTATCACCAATGAATATGGTAAGGATTTAAAATTTTTATTCAATAATTTGCTTGTGTTGGTAAATATTTTTTTCCAGTTTCTGGTTATTTCTATCATTTATAATATATATATATATATATATATATATATTAATTTCTCCAAAATCCATACTTTTTTTACTTCTTTTTCTCGCGAACTTCGATCCGCATCATCAGTTCTTCTAATAAATTCTCGTTTTTCATCGTACTCATATATAGCAATCTTAATATCTTCAATTAAATATTTCCTCATCAATTATTTGTTGGGTTTTTTCTTACAAAAACGAAAACTCTCATAAATTTAGAAAAATATTTCATCAATTTCAGAAGAAAATATTTGAAATTAAAAAAATTGGAATTCAAAAAAATAATTGTAATCAAATTTTCTAAGAATTTAAAATATTATTTAGAGAATTGATTTTCTTCTAATAATAAATGTAATCAAATTAACAAATTATCTGATTTTTTTCCATCAATCAAAATTGATCATTTGAAAAGTTTGGATTGACAAATAAAGGATAAGATTGCAAGGATTCACCTGTTCCTTCCGGCTTATTGGAGATTTCGAGTAGCTTTCCGAAGCTGTTGGTGGAATGGCTGATTTCTGGAAAAATATTTTGATGGAGAAGAAATTATTATATTTTAAAAAGAAATAGATAAAATATAGGAATAAGTAATAAATATCTCGCCACCCAGCCATAATGACCGAATATATAGAAAGCAAAAGAAGAAGGATTCGTATTTTGTTTTGCATAAATTTTTTCGTACCTTGAAAATCCCAATGATATCCCTTCGATAAATAATCGTCGTAGTGTAATTTATTTCAGTCGTCAAATGAGTAGTTAAAAGCTTTGGAACAAAATAAAATAGCATAATTAATAAAATAAAAATAAGGGATGAAAAGAAGAGTAACATTTTATCAAAAACTACAATATTATAAAGAAAGTAAAGATGACAAGGATTTAAGGTTATACCATTCATTGAACTTTTCATACTAAAATACATGATAAATTATTCATTTTTATTTTAAACGTGTCGTTTCTAACTGAACTAAAAAATCAGACAGATGTCACTGAACTAGATGCTGTTTTTGCAGACGATTATCTTAAAACCAAATCACCTATTTTTCAGGTCAATTAATCTAAGCCTTCAAATTGAAAAAACAGTAAAATATCATGAATAAATCAGTTGTCTTTCGTTAAAAGATGAAGCTAAATCCACTGAATTCATATTTCTAATTCTCTGGACAATCTTCACCTTTTTTGGTTTCTTTACAAATAATAGTTAGAACGATAAAAAGTGAGAAGGACGAATTGTAAAATTCCGAATTATGAGCTGCGAAATATCATTAAATCACTAGGCACCGGAGAAGCCAAATCCAATGAATTCATATCGCTAATTCTCAACTAAATCTTCATTTTCAAATTAAATGAAAAGAAAAAGTAGAAAAAATAGAGAAAATAATGAAAAATTCACAAAATTGTCAAAAGAACGAAAATTTAAAAATAGAAGCACATTTGATGAATTATTAAACTCAACTATATCAAGTGAAACGGTTATTCACTGATCAACTTAACTCCTTTATTTTAGGAAACATTGAGATAGCGACTGCTATCAGAGGAAAAAAAGAAAATTTCCCAATTATGGCAACTTTTTGAGAGAATTCTTTCAGCCTTTTGTGAATTCGATATTGTTGTTTATCACCTCCAGAAAAACATTAATCTGTCTTCTGTAATTTATAAAAGAACATATAAAAGATATAATTATAATTTATAAAAGATAAAAATATAAATATAGAAAAATATAGAATATCCTATAAATATTCGCTTACTCCATCTGCTATGGAAAACCTTTTGCCAGGAAGTCATTTGGAGGTAGAAGTATACAAGTAGGTTACTCGTTGGCAGTTGAACTATGATTTTTTAATGACGAGCTTATTCGTTCTTCCAACAATTTACACCATTGCTGATTTGGTTAATTCAGCTAGTAACTAGAGTAAAATATTTCCAAGGTTTTCGTTCTAGTGCCATGCTTGACAATAATTGAAGTCATTCTTTTTTCCACGACTAAATTCTGAACCAATCGTGTCAATCCAATTTTCGATTGGCGCCATCCATCCTAAATCTTAGAATGAAGCAAGACGTGCCTCAAGTTTTAATGCTGTGGCGATGAAGAACATGACCTAATCAGCACATGCAACGTCTTATGCTTCGATTGATGCAGATAGCATCAAAATATCTCATATGACATGCTGTCGGTGCATAGGATTTACCTTAGACTTAGGATGATAACCTAATAATAGTCAAATACAAATAGTTTCCTAATATCTTACTTACACTCTCATTGTCCAAATTCTGCAGTCGTATGCTAATAGTATAGCCAGATAGATGCGAAGAAATAGAAAAAACTTCATTTTTAAGTGATTTCGCGGCATCCAGAGAGTTTTTATAGCAATTTTCGCTTGATCATTAGGTGTGAGAATGGATTTGACATATGTAAAACCTAATGCTAGTACTTCCTGAACCGTTAATAAACGAAAATAGTAGTCTTATCAGCATCTGGTATATAAAACGAAAAGAAACAATTAAGGACAATTTTCACTCTTACCGACATACAGCCAGGCTTGCGGCAAGATGCGAAAATGGTAGTCGAGGCGACAATACTATCGCTAGGCTATCTTACTTTCCTTACCTATGCAGTGGAGATAGAGAAACAGTAATATCATTATAATTGGATTTGTTTGGTAGTAATATTATATATTTCCGCAAATCTGAGGCTAAAATGTAATGAATTTTAGCGTAGTCTAAAATGATTATTCAGGGAAATAAAAGCAAAGCTAATTTCGCTCCTGTTTTCTTTTAATAGTAAAAGGTTTACTACCAAACGAAATTTCTACTATCGTTTTGTGGAAAAGAAGACAATATTTTGTAAGACAAATTAAATAGATTTTTTCCACAATAAACGAAATGGGTGAAAAGGCCATCCGCTCCAGTGCTATAAGAGAGACAAGTTTGTCCGATAACAGCTTTAAAAAATCGTAATAGCAAATTGTTAATATTAATGATCGATTTTTTGTTAAGCTCAGTATCTCATACGATTTGGAAAACTGCAATAACCAAGCATGAGAAGAATGAAATAAAAGCTGTTTAAATAAATAAACAATTCATAGTATTTAAAAAATATTATTTTACAAAATAAAACTAAGGAAATAATAGCGAATAATTAAACTAATCTTGAAACTTATTAAATGAAGACCATTTTAAGAATTTTTTGCGGAGAATTTATAAAAAGTTCTGTCGATCTACCGATATGCTCCTTTTAATAATGATAGGTCTAAAAATACGCTTAAAAATAGATAGCATCCTTTGAATCGATTAACGTATTATCAAAATTGGAATAATTTTGGAGAACCACTTCCTTATACCTAAGTGAACTTCTTCTAGGAAATGGTCATATATAGAGCGCGACAACCCTCAAATTATATGCGCTTTTAGGTGAAGAAGAAGCAAAAGAATAATCTTCATTTAAAATTCTTTACTGAATAAGAAATAAACTAATTAAAAATTGTTGGAGGGCGACTTACCAAGTCATTGATAAGTATCATTGGATAAGCTTTAAAATATGGAAGGATCGGCTAGCGATTTACAGTACACCTCTAACTTTTAAAAAATGATAATAACAATAATCAATTGATATATATGATACAATAACCTACAAAAGTTTTTCATGAAAATTTTTAACATCGATCATGAGAGATTTTTTTCAGTTCACGAAAAGGTATTTGGTCTTCCGAAAAGATATGCTGGTTTAAAATTTTTCGAAAAATTCGGAAACTAGAAAGTCCAATTGGCACGTTCCAAAAAAGTCACAAATAAATAAATCTGTGATTTGTGGTACTTTCCAGTTCATTTGCTAGAAATTTTCCAAATTAAGAATAGATTTCACCACAAAAAAAATAAATCTGAGGAAGAAGAGGAGTGGTTGTTGTGCAGATTATCGTCAAGTATGACAACCTACTTTTACCGCCAAATGACCTATTCATAATAATCCCTCATCGAGGTAAGCCAGTGAAGTGATCCTTGTGATGACTTTTATTAATTAAATCCAACTCGATTGTTATTCACTGAACTGAGAGCAAAGAACCTGTGAAAGCGAAAGGGAGAAGCAAGCTCGGTATTTTTATTTTTTTCAATGTCGCGTTAGTTCGTTCAGCAATCAATTTGACAATAAAGTCAGTCCTTATAAGACATTTTAGAGATGCTTTCATTGTGTATGTATTTGTACAACCAGAAATTTCATATAATAATTTTGTATTTATTTAGTAAAAGATGAATTAAAAATCGATAGTTTTTATTCGATGTTAAAATTATTTGAAATGTAAATTTTTTGCTGCTCCTTTAGGTTTTTGGAAACTTTAAGGCCATTCACCTATATTTTCTACCAGTTTTGTATGTCAAAGAACTTTTCCTATTTTCAAATGCGCCGTCTTTTAACAATCTCTCTTAGTGCCATATAGGCACAGCTTTAATTCTAGTTATTTGCCTATCATTAAAAGTTCCTAAGGATCCATCTACGCCTACATTTCTCATTGACTACCTAGCGAAAAGATTAGGAGGCAAGCAGAACTGTTCTGCTAAAATATATACAAATAAATATATATATATATATAAATATAATAAATATATAAATATAAATATAATATAATGAACAACTTTTAAATTAGATAAAATTGGCGAATGAAATAAATATTTCATAAATTTTTGCAATATCGACAATTTATAAATAGAATTTACATATGAAAATGAAAAAAAATGAGACGAATCTCGCAGATTACTTTCATCAAATAATTTGATTACAGTAGATTCTAGGATAATGACGAAAATCCATATTTTTAAGTGTAAAAAGCCAAGTAAATTTCGAATTTCAATTCATGTTCATTCTTCTTTTACTTTATTTTAAAGCGTTTGCACTTTTCAAGAGTTTCGCGTTTTTTTAGATAAAATTTGCTTGCCTTCGAGAATTTCAATATAATTATTAAATCCACATTTCAGATAATAATTATAAAATGAAATATTTCTTAAAGTTAGTTTAAGAAAAAACAATCTCAATAATAAAAATTTGGAAATAATGTTAATAAACCTTTTCAACTCCCCGTGATCGTTCGCCATCTGATTCAGTTGAAATTTTTGAATCAATCAATTCGTATTCGACTTTTTTATATTTGCTACCTGCTGGCGTAGTTCTGAACTCCACGTTCGATGGAAATTGAGGAAGTTCTTTCGCTTTTGGACCTCCCTTAAACTTATTTCTTATTACCTTTTTTAAAATATTTCCCTTCTTACCCTTCTTTAAAATATAGTTTAGCTTTTCATTTATTTGTTCAGTTCTTCTATTAATCGGAAACAACTGAAAATGTAATCGCATAAGACTAATAAGTGGTTCATTCCAAAATTAAGACCATCAAGAAGAATATTTTTAAATTTTAATAACAAAGCACAAATATAAGAAAATTTTTCTCTTAGTGTTAGGGAACAAGATTTGTTAATATAATTTCTTTTCTTTCATATTTTGGCTTTTTAGGATTATAGGAAGTGAACCAAAGTAAATAGTGTTAATAAACCATGTGAAAATGAAATCCAGAAGATCCGGAAAAAGAAATAAGAGGCTAATTGAATGTTGGATAACAGTATGTAAATGAAAATCTTTGCTATTTATAGGGCCAAAATTCTTCAATAATAAATAGAAAATAACATATGAAATACGGAAAAAAAGAGAATGATTAAGAACCTTTAACGAAAAAAGCAAAATTAATAAAATATTACTTTATGACAAGATTCTTAGTGATAATGGAAGATGTATGAGAAGTATTTATCTCCTTCGAATCTAGGAATGAAAAATGCTATTAAGCAAGAAGGACAATCAAGAATGTATTACGATACTAGTGAAAGCAACTCTTAACGAAAACTTAAAGACACTTCGTCTTGTTCAGCAAGAGTGAGCATTTTATTGCAAGTGAAATGATGATGCTGCAGAGCTCACTTTTATCCACAAATGGTACTCTGATGATAAGGTCTTATCATAATCAAACCAAAGCCAAACCAAACCAAAATAAATGCTAATAGAAGTGGAAAAATGGAATATAAATGGAATGGAAATGGAAAAACTGAGAATTTTAGAATTCTTAAGCTACTTTATAAAATATTTATAAATCCCAAAATAATCCAAATTCAAGACCCTCATAAATTTCCATTTTAATATTAAAATTCTCGTCAAGAAATAATAATTTTATAATGCTATAGCAGCTGCATGCCTTCAGTTTCGCACAGCACACTCAGCTAGTCAAGCAGCCAACTATCTATTCATCCATTTGTCCAACTATCCATTCATTTATCAAAATTCACCTATCGAAGAACCGATAAGAGCAATTGAAAAAACAAAGAAAATGAAAAAAAATGATTTTTTTTCTCATTTCACGCATTTCGCAAGAAAAACAAGTTCATTTAATTTCTCAAAATATTTTTGCTGTCAATTATTTCAAAAAATACTTTTTTCTTATCTATAAAGCTTGGCACAAATTTGATTTTTTACTTCCTTCAAAGTGATAAATGATGAATGAAATAAATTTTTAACATTCGAAAATGTAAAAATTAACAAAAAACGATTTTAAAAAAAACTATCGTGAAGACTAATGAAAATATTTTGAATCATTCGGTAAAAAAATTTAAAAATTTTTCGATGATTGATTGTTCAAAGGAGAAATTTGAAGGAAAAAAGAAAGAAGAAATGAGAAAAATAAAAGATTTCCAGAAAACAAAAGATTTGTTACCTTAGGAGTCCATTTCATTCCATTACTATCCATCCAGTTCCGTTTCGCATTCATTTCAAATTGTTGTGTAAGCGCACTCACATCAGCTTTTGCAGGCGGTGCAGTTCGGGGCGGAACGCGTGAAACTGGTATATTTGACTTAAAATTCAACTCTATATTAAATAGATCAATGCATACTTCGTCATTCAAGTATCCCAAATACCTGAGTAGGTGTATAGGGCTTTTGATTATTTTTATCGTATAATAAATGTTTCACTGCTGAATTTATTGTCAGAAAGTGGTAAAAAAATGAATTATATTTTACAAAAATTCGGTGGTCCCATTTTTTTACATTAATCAACTTTTTTCAGCAAAAAAGTCAAAAAATTTAAATTTATTATTGAAATATAGAAAAAAAGTTAAGACAAAAATAGAATTTTATTTACTTTAAATTATTAGTGGATAAATTTTATGGGCAATTTTCTGGAAAAATTTTCTCCTATCAGGGATTAAAAAAAATCCTTATTGGTTACCTTCGAAACCCATACTCTTTACCTCATTCGAAGTAATATATGAACTCACAACATATAAACTCGCTGTTATATTAATATTATATTAATATTATATTAACCTATTAACTAATTGAATTAATTTCATAAATATAATAATTATTAATTGAAATATTAAATATAGGTAATAAATTAAAATATAAACAATATTAAAAGTAAAATATAAAAATATAAAATAGAAATACGAACCATATCAGAACCGCCGTCTTTCAGTTGAGCAATATTTGTTATTTCGGTAGTTGTTGTAATGGTTGTTTCAGTGGTTATTGTCGATTCAGTCGGTATTCGAATTGCTGATTCACTAACAGCTTTAGAAACTCGAAGTGGCGATTCGCTTGATGGTGCTTGAATCGCAGATTCACTTGGTGCTCGAACTGTAGACGCTGAACTATATGGATACTTTGAAGCAATGCTGCAATCATTCAATTTATTTCAGTAATAATCGATCACTTTTGGATAAATAATTTTGGTAGTCGTAGATATAATTCAGATTGCTATTATCTATAGTGCTTATCTAGATTGTGTTTAAAGCTTTTAATGGATCTTTTTAGCGAAGAAAATAGTTGCATTCTTTGAAGGTTAAAATAAAATAAAATATATAGGAGAAAGGTAATACAACGGATTTTGATAAAATCAAGGTTACTAACTCTATTTTCTATTCTGCTATAATCATAATTATGAAATCCAATTAGGGCTTAGTGAAAATAACGCTTAAGTTTTATCCCAAGCATATTCACAGATCACCAAAGGGTCCACGAAAGATCCATGGATTGGAAAATCAATAGCTTTTGTTAAATGTGATTAATTATAAAAATATTAGCTGTTTCAGATCAAATATCATATAATCATAGATTACTTAAAAATAGGATCTGTGGAACCACCAAAACGAGTCTTTGTCGCCTCAAATGTACTCTCTTCTTTATATTCTAATTCTTTTGTTTTTTCAACAGTTTGTGAGCGATGTTCACCACCGACAATATTTTCATAATCACTTAGAAACTCACGCAAAGATCCGGTTTTCAATCTAAAAAATATTGAACAATAAAAAGGACGATAAAGAACTTGGAAATGAATTTATTGAGAAAGTTTATCACCTAAGGAAGAGATTTGTTTAATTTAAGGAAAAACAAGCAAATGATAAATATTATGAAAATGAAGTCAACAAAAATCGTTCTATTCATCGACTCAAAAGATATTTTAAATTAAACTGATTGGCTTTGAATGGATGTATTATTTATAATTCATAGTTATATCAAATAGATTTTTCATTTTTCTATTTATTTTTTAGGAAAACAACATTTAAAAAGATTCGCAGTTGTTTGATTAACCTTTGATAGACGAGGATAAACTTAAAAACACGGATAATTTTTTAAGATTCACCTATATCTTCTGCTATGACTCTCGATCATCTCATCTTAGAAGTCAATGCAATTAGCCGAAACAGAAATTCTGCAGTTAAGAATAAAAAATAATTAAAATGCGTCGAAAATTCACGAAAGACATGAATTGAAATTTTTTTTTTAAGAACAAGTAGGAAAATTGAGAATTGAAGAAAAAATAAATTCATAATGAAATTCTCGAAGAAATTGATTTTTAATCACTGTAACTGGTAAATTTTACTTTTCCATTTTTTTCTTCACTTATCAAGCCATTAAATAACTAAAATAACTCTTTTTTTTCAGTTAGAACAGTCATTTTCATTAATGAAAATTAAGAAACATATATGGAGCTATATGGACTTTTTTTTAAAAAGTCCTCACTACTATTACTGATTAAACTCGCTGCGCTGGACTGTCACACTAAACAAATATACCTTGGCGATAGAAATACAAGGAAGTCGCCAGCATCACCCCGATTTTTGGGCAGATTTACTCGTCCAGGTTATAGAACCATTGGCACTCCAAATTGGAACAATCCACTGAGCCATTCTACCCCTATACTATATGGACTTATAGAATGAAAAAAGGAAAGGCTTCTATAATCTAAAGCAGACGTCTTATCCTTGTAGCCTGCAGAGCAAATGAAGAACTGAAATAAATAGTGACTAATCCGTTAATAATACAGTACTTTAGGAAACTTTTTATTTTGGTGAAAATTTGTTAGCGAAGTTATGAACTAAGAGAAGGGAATAAAGCCTATTTGAACGATAATAATGCACTCACTCTCAGCTGAAATAAAAATGCTTATTGAATGAATTTGCATATTTAAAACGCGATGTGCAAACCTAAAGCCAAATATAAAAATATTAATACCTTACGACTTGAAATGAATGGCCGTTCGTTCATTTGATAGTAATGAAACGATTCTTTCCGTAAAAAAAAGACTTTAGAATTGGACGAATCGCTATTTCAGAGATTTTTTCGGCAATTCACAAAGATGTGAAGCGTTATCAAATAGATGGCCATAACATTTACGAATCAACATTTAACCAACATATGAATGCAATAAACCTATTAAAATAAGTGCGAAAGCAAATGACTTAAACAACTTATCAAAGCCGATTTTTGCGAATGCGTTCACAAGGATTCTTATAAATGCTTAAGTGAGAGACAATTTTTGCAAATGCATTCATTTCACAGGAATTCTTATAAATGCTTAAGTGAGAGACAATTTTTGCAAATGCGTTCACAACGAACCATTTTTTCTTCAATTTCATCAAATAAATTTTTTGAAAATTTCGAAAATTTTTTCGTATTATCGACATATTATCGGCATACATAGAATTTTGATAAGATTATTACTCTGTTGATCCAAAAAATGAGAGAAATTAAATGCTTTAAGCAGCAGAAATGCCTTAAGTAATTAATAATCTTTATAAATGCTTCAAATTTCTGCCTAGAAAACATAAAGTTTCCACAACTAATAAGCCAAATAAACGACTCGCTAAGTTGCACAAAAGAATCGTGTCAAATGAAAAAAAATTGCATATTCAAACAAATTTAGGGCAAAGGAGACGGAAAAAATGCAAATAAGGTAAAGAATAACAAATGCATGGATCCCTCCGATTAAACGCTCATTGTGCGATTACAATTATAAAAAATATAAAAATTGTAAAAGTTATATAAATTTATAAATTATGAAGAATTAAGTTGTAAATTATTTATAAAATAATTATATATATGTATATATATAAATAATTATTTATTATTTATATAAATAATTTTTTATAAAAATATAAAAATATTAAAGATATACAAAAATACGGACAAAACTGTCTGTAAATTAAGAAATTTGATTTCAACATTCGATTAAAAATAGCGAAATAGGAAAAGAAGCTCTTCGACCAATAGTGCGTTTCAAATCGCTGTAGAGACTGATTTATATGGCAATACACGCTTTAGTATATTATAGATTATAGGAATCAGCTTATACGAGTTTCATCATCGGGAAAAGATAGCCTACGCTGCATCTACCACTAATGGAATCAGGGAAAAGAAAATCTATGACCCTATGACTATTCTTTTCTTTAATACACATTTTTATCGCTCTCAAGAAAGGCTGATGTACTGCCACTAATTCCTCTCGAAACAAGCATCATTAGTGCAGTAAAGTGAATTTTGGTTAATATCGTTAGATATCGTTTTCCTCATTTTTAATATAAATAGGATTCAAGATATCAATATGATTTTCGCAATTTTGATGTCATAAATAGGGGGCGAAAAAGCGATTTGGTAATTGCTATCCATTTTAAAAAAAATAGATAAAATAATAAAAATACGGATTAATGGATAAAATAGAGTTACTAAACCTTGTGCGTTTTTCATCGATTTCTGTCAAACTGCTGCCGTTAATCCGTCCATTTTGCGCCCATCTTTCAGTATCAGAAATGAATTCGGCACGTGCTAATGTCGATGCCGGTGAATATTGAATTTTTATAGGTGCACGCTGAAAACTCGTAGTTGTTTAAGAATAATTCGGGGTACTTTAATATTTTAATATTTTTGGAGTTATTGCTGTGGTATTTATTAAAACTGGAAATACTGAATATTAATTGGTTCAGCCAATTTCGATAATCACCAGGCTTACATATGGTGGATGAGCAACTTCATCTAACATCGTTTCCATCGACATCGATACCTAAAAGAGATTTGGTGATTGTTAGCTGTTTGAAAAATTACCATGCAATCACCGATTTTCTTGTTTTGATATGGAATATAATTGTTCGAATGAAAAAAATTATGATTTATGCCTTTTTTCAGATTTGTTTATTTTTTACGTTTATTTTGTAAAATATCAATAACAACAAAATCATTTTCGAAAAATAGGATCATTAATCTTGCCTATAGAGTCTATGAATTATCATATTACTTAATCATCACTCATCTCTTCTTATTTTAACAATTTTAACAATCATTTTAATGGCAAAATGGTATTTCTTGTCTCGATTCCTGTTAGATGCTGATCATTATCAAAGTTGATCTAATCTAATCATGTAGGAAACATGAAATCATTTCGGCTCTTATTTCATCGATGCGATTTTACAATTTTATAAATTTTGTATTAGTTTCAATTTCGAAATCTCATCAAATTGCATCTTTAAGAAAAAATTCAGAAAAATTAAAGAGATAAGATTACTTACTTCTACTTGCATAAATTCCTCATTTCGAGGACCGCTTCCCTGTTTTACCTGAAAGTTTCGCAATTCACTAGAGATTCATAATTTCGGATTTATCTTGCATGTTCGTGTATTTTTAGCTACAATCTTGGCAGATTTAATAATTCGTAGAAATATAATAACATGTAGAATATAAAAGATCTAAAACTGAAAACTCATTTCAGTTTAATTCACAAGAAATTTTTTGTGAAGAAAAAATCTAATTTTAAAAAAATCGCAGCGCTAACAAAAAAAATTTTTGTAAAATAAATTTTTTTACCTCAGTTCGCTCAATAACCATGCGACTACGGCTGTGAGATCGCGGTTTAGGTTCATATCGGCTAGTGGAATCTAAATTCGTCATCGAACGTGAAGTGTGCGACATTCTCGTCGGTCGTACTGAATTTCAAAATTTAAAGTTTTGATGTAAGAAGAGCGAAATTTCGATTTTTAATCGAACCACTGGTTACCAATTAATTAAATAACAAAAATAAAAATAAAGCTTCAAAAATGATAAAAGCTGATAATAAGCATAGAGCAATTATAATGCAAACAAACATGCACACCCATCATTAACATCATTAAATAATCATTTCAGTACGCTTGTTCGGCTCCTACATCTTTTAAATGTGACCCATTATTTCTATACTAGTCGGCTTCAACGTTACCATTCAATTAAGGGGATGCAATTGACCTCATACTGTTGCTCATCCTCAGCTAATACTCGACCGTGAATTGCATAAACTTGTGGAAAGCACCTATTTTCAATTGTTTCAGCTTCATAAATTTCTCTTCGAACTTATATTTGTTAATTTCTCGCGTTAAATCATTGAGAGCGAGCAACCTTTGGAAATTATTCACTCAGAATTTTTTATGAATCGCTAGAAACATGTTAAACAAAAACAGAAGAGTAATAATTCTCCTCCTACATAACTGATTTCCAGATTTTTATTATATTTTTATCTAATTGATTCATATGACATCGGTGTGCGAAAAAGTTAGAAAATAAGCTTTTGTTGCACTCCCACGCAAAAAAGAATTGAAGAAAAAGCATAATTTGAATTCTATTATAAAATTTATGAAAGTGGTAGGTTAGAGAAAAATTGTGGTCTGAAGACGTTGGGGTAGAATTTCGATGAAATCAAATATCAATAGCCAAGAGCAATTAATAATGATGCAAAAAATTTCAAGAATTGGATGTGTGGATAAATAATGATAATTGGTATATTTCATGAAATTAACGAACTTGGCAGAGAAACGACAAACATTTGAAAAATATTGAAACAATTGAGCCATATCACATGAAAAAAAAATTTACATAAAAGTTTGAAGAAAAGGTTCATTTGAAAAGTAATAGAATGAAATAAGCATTATAATAAAATAAAACAAATTTAATCTATTTTCGATTGTAAAATTTACAATTTCAGCTTATTCCATGGAAACACTTGGAAGGTATTAATGGGATAAACTTTGATAATCACCAGAACATCCCATGATAATCACTTTTATCAGTGGAATTGATAGTGAACAAATATTTTTAAAAATGTTTCAATGTTATGAAAGGGCAAAAGAAAACAGGTTATTATATTAGATTTATCCAGTCTTTCATGCCAATTTCAATTAAACTTTTAGAAACATAGAATTAACAAAAATGCTTTTTCGATAATTGTAATAATGATAGAGTAATTTAAATTTCAAATTTTTGCCTGAATTTAAACTGTGTTTTGGTAACTCAATTTAGAGCACAAACGTTCACGCATGCAGAACTAATACTGTATCTCTTTGCCTGGAGCACACTAATATATAATAACGCGCATCTTCGTTCAGAGGATGATCAATAAATGATCAATTATACATATAAAGGAGTTTTAGCCATTCTAAACGAAAGTCCATCGATGAGGACACATCCTCAAATTTGGAACCATTATCATACAATATATGCATGAAATGAAGATAAACTGGAAAGACGAGAATATAGAAATAGAATTATAATGGAGTCTAATGCTATTAAATGAATTTTAAGTTGCCTGAACTCCGTCTTTCTATTTATGACTTAAATCGCACTTGAAAACAACTTTCCAACCGTGCTCTCTTTTTCAATTTTATCTGCCTGAACTTTGCTATTTATAACTTTTGTGAGAGATTCATTTAGCATGACAGATGTGAGATTGAAGACATGGAACTTTCTTTTAACAAACCAAAACCGCATTCAAGCAGACTGCTAATTTATTACAAAGTTTAACAATTAATATAAGCCTTAGAGAAAGTCCACAAATATGGAAAGCCGAAGTAATGATAGGCATTTGGATAACAAACATTATAGTATCCTTGAATTTTTTGTTAAAGAGTCCTCACCATTACTGGTTAAACTCGCTCTGCTGGCTTGTTGGACAAATATACCAGAGAGTCTCTTAGCGATAGAAATACAGGTGAATCGCCAGCACCACCCGGATTTTTGTACAAGTTTACTTACTACTGCGGGAATCGAACCTCAGCATCGGCGCTCCAAACTGAGGGACAACCCAATGAGCCATTCTATCCCCTTGAATAATCATTTATTAAACAACAATTAATAATTAAACATTTTACGACATGCAGAATTTTTTATCACTTTATTCACTGAATGCAGAATGTAGTGAATTCACAAACTAATGGTATTAAATCGTTTTTGACGATTTCTTGAGAAAGGTACCCAATATAAATTGGAAACATTATTAATAAGGGAATGAATCTGCTGTGAATCTGTAACCAATTAATCAGAGAGGGGGGAGGGGGGTGGGAGGGTGGAGAGGGAGGGAGTGGAGAGGAATGTTTATTATCAGCGTCGTAAAATGCTCAATTGATCGCTAACGCCGATAGCAATTTTCATTCAGATTTGGGCAAAGGCTCTATTTTGCAATATTTCGATCTTCAAACTTCTTTTTTGCTAAAATTTTGAATCAAATTTCCAAGTGATTTTTTTCTCAGCAATTTCTAATGTGCCATAATTTATAGTGATAAGACATTTCTTAATTTTTAAATATTTCGGTTAACAATCAATCCCACTGCTTGCTTTAATTCTGAATATCTTCCATAAGTGATTAACTTTTTAATTCTAAATTTTTTTAATTTAATTTTATTTTTTTGATTTCAGTGTTCTAATCTAAATTTCTTACCCGTTTTTCAGAGGATCATATTTTGAATTCAATTTTTCTACATTAACGATAAATTCGAAAAATTTAAAAATCAATTAAAAATCAATTTCCAGATTAGATAAAAATGTTTCGCGTATTAACGATTAAAACCATATAATAAGCATGAAAATGTTGCGCAAAATCGCTGGAAAAAATGAAAAGGCAAATGAAATGATATTGTAAAATTCGCTATTGTAAATATTATAGAACAAAAAAATTCAAAAATTTTCGAAGTCAACACCAAAGTCTGAAATTTAAGAAGAATTTTAATTTCTACTCTTTTTATTTTATGTACGCACTATACACTTAGCAATTTAATCAGCTAAAATTCACTAATCGAAAAACGTTGGAAAAATTCATAGCCGAAATGGCTGATTATAATTGTAATCCTCATCTTTCATATTCTCTAGCGGAGAGCAGTAATTTAAAAATTTAATTTAATTTAGCAGTAATTTAAAAATGAAGTAAAATCATTGTCGATCATTAGAAGCAGTGGAAATAGAAAATTTGAACATTGAAATTGAAATTATAATTACTACCAAGTTACGTAAATTATTAAAACTTATTTTAAAAATATTATTAAAACTTCGTTTGAAATTTCTATTAGTAAAATGATTAAAAACTGTGAGAAAAATCGTCAACGGTAATTTATCACTTTATCATTTGTCATTTATCATTTCATTTCATTGTTTTAAACTGCTTAATTGCATTTGATACATTTTGACACATTTCTGACAATATATTTTATGATTGGCATGATTGGCTTTAACGAATTGTAAAAACGAAACTTATGATTTTCATAATATTATTAATATTAATAATAATGATATTAATAATAATATTAATAATAATATTATTAATAAGCAGCAGCAGTTCGAAAAAAACCTTACACGAGTTTTTTTTGCCAATATTATATGGATCAATATTATATTGCGCGAATGTGCATAAAAATTAGAAACTTTTTGTTAACCATTCATTATTTTTAGTTTTGCTGGCTAATTTGGCTATTGGAACGACACTCTCCACCAGAATTAGAAATATAATTAAATCATCAGCGCCATTTAATTTCGCTACTTCGCTTCACCTTTAATTTTATTTCACCTTTAATGAGAGGTTTTCTTTCGTCAAAGTAGTTTCTTTTCTAAGAATCCTCACCTTTACTGGTTAAACTCGCGCCGCTGGCTTGTCGCACTAGACAAATTACCAGGGATGTCCCTTGGCGATAGAAGGTGAGTCGAGCATCACAACGATTTTTGGACGGTACTTGCTCCTGCGGAGAATAAAACTTCGGCATCGGCGCTCCAAATTAAGCAACAACCCACTGAGCCATCCTACTTGAAGTGTTAGTCGAAGCAATATACCACTCGACATTTCGTCCATAACTATGGAGGAAATTCACTGCATCGCAAACTACGCATTTCGAAAGTTTGTACAAATCAATGATGAAGAATTTATAAAAAACTTTGCTGAATATAAAGTAACACTAATTAGTTAAAATTTATACAGTAATATTATTTAAACGATTAGACGATTTTTAGTAATAGACGATTTTTTTAAGTTGAAAAATTGATAAGAAGAATTATAGTTGAATTGTGGGTACTTTATAAAATAAAAATAGGAATTCGCAATGAATTTGATAGAGTATTAGTTAGTGTCATTTTCATTTCACTTAAGAAGATTATTTCAAAGAGATTTGAATTAGAATCACTATTGAACATACAAAACAAGCCTCACACTTCGTATTATTCATTTATTTCACTGGAAAATGGTCGATAAATATCGTAAAATCCATAAATTTTTAGGAAACAAAATTATTTATTGCTTTTTGCTTGAAATGCAGCCAGTTCTGATGCTCTTAATGGCGTAGCGAGTATAAGCAATAGCAGTAGATGAACAGAATTAATTGCTTAATCGGCATTTTTGCCTCAACCACATTCTGATGCTTTCTGATGCTTTAGACTTTAACTGGCAGCAATAAAAATTATAATACTAATAATTTTTAAAAATTTATCAATGTCCATAATGTTTTTATACAAATCTCATCAGAAATTCTCATTTCTTGTTTATTTACAGCGTCGCTTAGAAGGACACCAATGGCTAAAGAGGATTCTTCTATTAAATTCCTCATTTAAACTTAAGAAGTTTAATTTCATACTAGCATACCATGGTTTTTCCAGCCATTCACATATTATTATATCATTTACATGAACAATTTGCTTCCTTTCTTCTCCCTTTCTACTTGTCCATTGGCTCTTATTTGGTTCTTTTTTTAAATATATATATACATAGATAAAAGTAGTAGTAGCTATAGCATTCTTCAACAGAATCCAGGAATAATATCAGAACTCTCTGTTCAGAAGAGTAGGAAAAGTTAGGAAAAGCTGAAACGAAAATCTTCTAGGCCTCTGGTAGAGGACTCAAGGATGAGGATTATTCGCCCACAGGGTTCTCTATATATATATATATATATGTATAGTTTTAAATGATATAAAGTTACTGAGGCAAATGCAACCAGATATTAAGCTTTATAAATTCTTCTTCGCAAGTCAAAATGAATAACTTACCTTTCCTTTTAATATATTTGATATCGATAATAATTTTTTTGCCTTTATTTGACATATATACCTTTTTGCTCTAATAACTTCTTGAAAGACGCTGCTTTAATTTCTTTTTCTGCAAATCGCTTGAATATTTTCGAAAAAGCCGAGCAAAATAGAGACAAAAATTAAAAATTGTGTGTTTCCCATGCTTCACATAATTTTCTGAAACGTTGGTAATTTGTTTACGATTGTCCCATTTTTTCCACTTATTTTCTACTCGATTCTGACTTATATTTTGTGACTTAATGGGAATATTTTAATATATATTTTTATTGCAACAAATTCTTATTTAATTCTTTTTTCTTTTCTCATATAATTCTCATTTATAAAACTACGGCAATTTATAAAATTATTTCCAAGGATGTTGCGGTGAAACTGCATCGTCGATGTTTATCTATTTTTAATAACAATAAACTTTAGTAAATTATAGAAAACTTTGGTCTGACATATGCTTTGACCTTGTTTATGCACCTATTCGGTTTGCACCCCTTTCCAGTCCAATCCACATTTTCAGACTTCATTTTGCCTACCAGTTAGTCAGAAAATATGCTTGGATACAGTAGGTTGTTAATATGTAATCGGATCTGGATGAATTAAGACGATATAAGCGGAGAAGGAGAGAATATTACCAATGGCAAAGATAATGTCGGAAAAATCGAAATAACAAGCATTTTCTCATGCTCAAAAGTTATTTATTATGAGTTAGCTATTTGATCTTCCACTCAATGCTTTTTTTTGATACATTTTGTAACTAAATTGTAAATACTTTAATTTATGTAACTTTAGTTTAATTATAATTATTTATGTACAAATCTTGAATACAATCATGAATAGTCATAAGAAGTAGTAATCATTCTTTTGTGAATAAATGTAAATTTCCTTTGTAGCTGTGAGAATACTATCAATTTATAAAGATCTTTACGTCTTTACGTCCGATTGAAAAAAATCTCTTTACATATTCCTTATATAAGCTATAAGGAATGACCAAGGGTCAATTTTTTCATTTTTCGCTTTATTCGTCGGGTCAGTATTCATCATTTGCGTTATTCTTGGTGTCAGTTTTGACATTACGTCCTTCGCGAGTTTATTTCACAATACGTCCTTCTTTCTGTTTTTCAATCCGCTATAATAATATTTATTTATTTTACAAATTATTTCGTCGTTCCGTTATACTGGTATCTGGGCAGTAATAAAACCAACAACTAGCTGTACATTCTGTACATCCTTCTGAGTCCAATTCGTGAAACCGTCGACGACTATATATATGTTAATCCTTTCAAAAAGTTTCTCTTTCTGAATTAATAAAACTTTTCAAAACTTTCACGACATAAAATTTTTGGTGCTTGAGGTAACCTCCACATTATGACCTCCACAGTAATAGAAAGTATTAAACCTGTAAAGGAGAAACTAGAAATACTCTTTCACGAAGTAAGGGCATTAGACATCAAACTTCCGGAACCAAGTTTGATAACAAAGGAACGACTTCAATTGTGCAAAATCGACTCTTCGAAGAAAAAATCTTGCGATTGCAAATGTGCATCAAGTCAATCAAATCAACGGCAAACGACAAATGGATTGAATAAATACAGAAATCTCTTAATGTTCAACTTTTTTTGGTAGCATAATTTGTCAAGTATACATCGTGGTAGTCGGCTTTCGGCTACAGTTTCAATGCTAGAATGTCCTTAGACCATGGAGACCTCAGAAGATTTCTTGGGAACTTAATGTGAATGAACAGACAAAAAATCAATTTTCATTTACTCATATGGACAAGAAACATACCTTATTTAAGATAAGCAGAATCCAAGCTACAAGCTACAATGAAACCTTAGCACTAGTAATCATCCACAATAAAAAGACGATTCCTCATCCTACAGCAGTGAAAAGCGAAATCAAACATGAAGCAAAAAGAAATCAACCACAAACAAAACATTATGCCAAACAAAAAGGAAATTAACAAATTAAAAGATTTTTCAACTAACTACAATCCGACTCAAACGAATGCAATAACAGAGAAACAAGGTAAAAAATCTACTGTAAAAGGAGATAGCTATATTGGCTAACCCATTACAATCAGAACGAAAGGAAGATGCTTTAGCACTATTAGGCCACAATTAGGTCACAATTAGGTCACAATTGGGTTACAATTATCTTTTATATCAAAGGAATTAGTTCAGCGACCAGACTTAACAGAAACTGATGAACATGAATAAGATTAGCTCCTCTCGGTATTCGAAATCATATAGAATCACTGCGCAACTCAGTATACGAATTAAAGATGATGAGATTATCGAAATATGTACTAATGTAGTCGAACGTCTTATCAATGAATTACATGTTGTTAAAATACCGATAGCTGATCAAACGATGAATTTAAAAAATTATTGGAGACGACCCGATATCGTAATTGAAGCGGATCATTTCTTCAAATTTGTAGAACTGAACAAAGTCGAAAAGATTCCCATTACTTCATACGAAAGTTGGACCAATGATTGTGGGAAATGTCGACATGAATCAACTTTGCCAAGCAGGTACGACACATACTTCTGATACAATTTGTGTAGTCACCTTAAGCTCTGGGTCAGAAAGAAATAAAAAAGAATTTGAATGTAAGAAAATTTCTTTTTAATGATAAAGAATTTTTTTTTAATGATAATGAACAATTATAAACCAAAAGCGATCAAGAATAATTTTCTTGGCATTTATTGGATGCATGATTTAGATATTATTCGTACAACTTTAAAACCATGGACTGGTAAACAAATCACTAAGAGGACTATTTTGCAATTCGTCTTCTCGCAATATGATCCACTGGTTTTCCATAATCCCATCAGTGATTTCATTCAAATTATTTCTTTTTCAACATTTATGGAAGAAGAACAGATCAATTTTTAACCCAAGAAGATGAGCAACAATGGTGCAAGATGATCAGGAAATGGCTGACCAATGTAATCGATTTACCGGAGTTTGTGATAAATTTCGTAAAAAAATTGGAGAAACACATATTTACCGATGCATCTAGCTTTGCATACGCAGCAGCAGTTTATGCTCTCAAAGAAGTTTAATCTCCCAAGAATGGAATCAACCTCATTCTTAATATATGCCAAATTTTGGATTACTCCAATTAAAGGTATATCCATACCAAGGCTTGAATTACTATCGGTACTTATTGGTGTACAAGCTGCATATTTCGTATTAAAACAATTAGAAGTGAAGGATATACCTGTGTCTTTGTGGTCGAACTTAAAATGTGCTTTATTTTGGATTAAGAATTACTCTAAATTGCTTCCTCGATTCGTCCAAAATCGGGTCGAAGAAATACGAAAGGCAGGCTTTGTCGCGAGTAGCGAACAAAAAAAATATAAAATAAATTCCTCAAATAAATATTTTTTATGCAAATCAAAATTCTATATATATATATATGTATGTATGTAAAATAGCTTATTTTCGAAGTTGAAACAATCTCGTTTGCTTACTTTGTTTTCTTAATTTTTGCTTTTTAATCATTTTATGCTGATCTTTTATTATTACTTATGACTTTATGTCACATTAACAATAAATTACCTTAGCCTGCTTGGGTTCGTCGATAGATCATTGGATCTTAAACCAAAGAATCCTTCCCGAGTTAATTTCCACCAATCCTACCTCTTGTATTAAACTGCGTCAATTCATTCTCCCTCAACTATTTTCTCCACAACAGACTTTACCTTTCGATATATACCAAATCCCATAATTCCTTGGATGTAATCAGAGGAATATCACCAATGAAACTATGAACTTGTGAATCATGGTGGAAAGGCGCGAAACGGCTGGTAAAAGGAAGAATTGAATAGTTGCAATGGAAATTCATATATACTATGATGATGAATTCGGTTATATTATACCGAAAGCATCATGGAGCGAAGGTGTTTATGAAAGAATGCTTGGATTAACCGAGAGCGCTCAAGAAAGCATTAGATGTATTCTGGGAGAACTGGAAAAATGAATATTTCAATGAATATATAGTGAATAGTCTCTCTCAGTAGTAGAGAACGTACACAAAGGAAATAGCGTTTCCCAAAAGAATAGAGGACCGAATTCCACGTTCTGGTGAAATAGCCTTGTTAAGTGGACTTCCCAAGGGTATGTGGAATGGGTAACCTTAATGAAGACTGAAGGACTCAATATCGGAAGAGATGGAAGAGAGAGAAGATAATGGTAAATGGAGAATGGAAAATTCTTCGATCGACCAATCAACTTACTTTATCCACTGAAAATAAATGGAGAGGAGAGTGGAGAAGTCCAAACAACAACAAAGGATAAACTAGAGGAACCAATTGCTCGCCGAACTAGAGGAGACAGAGAAAACGAGAGTTTATTCAACCAAGTTCAATAATAAAAAACTTGCTACTAATAACCATTTTTTCACTAATTCTACCTATTATCTCGACTGAAAAGTGAAAGTGGATTTCTGATATTCCGTTTAACCTTCCACAGAAATGGAACTGCAATGATCAATTCACTGCGAATTTCACGCTAAACGAAATAGCGGTATATACCAAAACTCATATAAGGATGCCAGCGCTCAAATGCAACAATATCACTCGTACGGTATGTACTAAAGTCTTTTTGAGACTTTCTTTATCTGTAGAATCACACCAGACCACTACTTCGGCAACAACTTCATATTTTTGGAAAGCATTCGTTCGACAAACAAGCAGTTCGACAAATGGAATAGATCTTAAGCAGATATCTCCAAATCAATGGAGAACTGCAAAGTCATTTACCTTTAAAAATAACGAAACAATTAATTAATTCGAGAAACTGTAATTTTATCAATTCTAAATCAATGGACAATAATATTATAATCTTCAACCTGTAAAAAGAGACGTTATTCATGATGGAAAAGACCAAAAGAAAAACTACTGATCCGGAAAATACCAAATTTCAATATCTCTATGATACTCTCCAAGAAGAAATTGGGCAAAAATTTAATGAAATCTATCAAAAGAGTTGCCGTAATCGTAATGATCTATTAAAACTTATTGAATGAGGCATCCCATAATAAACCTACTATAGCGGCTAACCTAAAGAGACGACAATTTAACGATGCATTGGCGATTCATCACTCTTGACTTTGGTGTTTTCATAATTTGTTTGGCAACAATTGTCCTTAAAGTAAAATTAGATTTGCGTTCTATACTTCATCTACCTTGTACTAAACGTACTAAAGAGAAATGGTGTTGGTGTAATGAACACAAAAATAAATATTTATAAATTAATCCGATAAAAAATGAACGAAAATTTTTTAAACTCCTTTTAGCCATAGTTGATTCACAGAAGTTTCTGTCCTAAAATTTCGGTTATATATTAAATCCACCGATCTACCGACTAATAACCGACTACCGACTAACTCTGCCAGGGGTTCTTAATCTTTTTTATGATATGTTATGTTATCCTAAATTTATAAAATAAGAGCGCACATATATGAGAATATCTGCGCTGATAAGTTGTGCAACATAAATTCTTAATTTAAATAAATACTGAGTCACAGTTTAATTAAAAAGAAACGATAAAATTTCCTCTCCTCTCTCCCCTCAAATATGGTTCCTAAGTCCTAGGTTTTGTTCTATTTTTATCTGAACTCTATAGATCTACTAAAGTTCCAAAAATGACAAAATCTTAGCGCAGTTATCACGCTAAGTTTTTTTGGGCCAACGACCGCTCATTAAATTTTGAGTAACCACCGATTCGTATAAACCTTTTTTAACGATTTTCAGAGAAATTATTGCACATCGTTGCGATGTTGTAACAGTAAAAGATTAAAAGTGGAATTCGCCTATAAGTTTTTTGCCTAATGTTTGATTACTACATTAAACAATATTTCGAAAAATCTTCATAATTTTTTTGTGTTTTAAAATTTGTACTCTGCAAATAATCCGCTATTTTATTTTTTCCGCTCTCAAATTATTGAATGTTTGTGGGTTACATCGATTTTATTAATCTAATTTTAAGCCCAAATCTAATTAAATTAAAAAATTGAAATAAAGTAATAAATAAATCTGGAAAAATAAAAAATGCGCAATAAATTATTATTCTTAGAGGAAAATTATAAAAATTCATAAGAAATATTGAATAAAATAGACTGCGAAACGCAAATGTCGAGCAAACACAGCTGAAACAACTGAATTTTTGATTTCAACCACTCAGTGGGGAATTTCAAATTTATTTGAAACGAGTTGTTGTCATCGCTTAATGACTAAAAATTCGATCCGAGTAATACATAAATAAATAAATAAACATATATATATATATATATATATTAGAATTAGAATGACTGATGGCTGTTGTGATTAGAAATTGCGTGTGATAAATGACACGTGTGATAAATTAATTCCAAATCGCGGAAACTGACCAATTCTACGAAAAATTAATAACATTTCGCATTTATTGTTATGTAATCAATCAATCAGTTAGTGAAATATAACGGCGATCAACGTCATTTTTTTGGCAAATTGAGATTTATTAGTCTATGAGAGAAAAAATTAGCATAAATTTCGCGGATGACAACGATTCGCATTAAACCATTGAGGTGTTGAAATATTTTTTCTTCTGTAAAATAAAATATAATAGTACTAAAATAACAGAGGGGTTGCGCAAATTCTCCTCTCGAACTTCAAGATTCGTGCCATGCGCGTGACCTTTTTTAAAAATTCGAATATTTATAGTCCGAATATTGGACGCCACATCTGCATTTCTATTTACAAATTGTTCATCTGTTGATAAACAACAGCCGAGGAAGGCATGTAGCTATATGCTCGGATATACTGGCCTACAACAAGAAATATAAAGCAAAATATCTCTCGATATTACCAATCTTTATCTAATTCTAATATATGCTGCTTATAATCGGATAACTGCAAGGTTTTTATTATGCACTTGCAAAGTCGGAAGATCTCCTTATAAAATTACGCAAACTACTGAAAAAGCTCTGATTTCTCGTTATATTATAATAATATTCCATTCCACCTGTGAGTAATTGTAATTTTTTTTTAAAGTCCTCACCATTACTGGTTAAACTCGTTCCATTAGCTTGTCGCACTGGACAAATATGCGAGGGAGTCCATTGGCTTGGTGATAAAAATGCAGGTGAGTCACCAGCATCACCCAGATTTTTGGACAGGTTTACTTACTCCTGCGAGGAATAGGGCCTCAAAATCGGCATTCCGAATTGAACAACAACCCACCGAGTCATTCTATCCCTACAGGTGTGAGTAATATAATATTAGATCTTGCTATAAATGTTGATAGGATAAAGGCTATTAATTGAAAATTTAAGGTTCTAGTTTAATGCAACTAAAAGAAATATGTCGAATTTGTTAAATCTAGGTTACTCTCTCTCTCTAAAACTGTCGTACTAACAGGAACAAGTTTAATTAGAAAAGTTAATCATTTGCTTATTTAGTTCATGAAGCGTCAAATACAATATAACCAAATACAAAAGGATCTATGCATTTATTGGTATAATAAAAGATATAATATCGGAAATATAGAATTAATATATCCTGAATTTTTCAACAAGTTAGCACATTTACTTCTGGATCTATTCTGAATGATCTTTATGAAGGGAATAACCACGACAGTGTCGATGGCAGCAATTAGTAACCGATACAATATTTTCGTGCCAAGGAAAATCGGAAGATTATTTAAAAAGAAAATTGTATGAATTGGTATCGGTGATTCTGTGGGTCCGAATAGGCGAATTCTTGCTGATCATTGGCTGATCATTAGGTGCTATTGCTGTTATTTTCCGAGTTGAAGTATTCCATTTGCTGGAATACTAAAAGTCACCAAAATGGCGTTTAGTGTACCCTTACAATGGTCATGGTCAACTATTCAGCTAATTGACGCCCCATATATAATAGCTGTTGCCGACTTCTAGTTATATATTATATATACGTTGTTGAATTCAAATTAGAAATTCTAAATATAAATGAAAATAGTACTTTTATACGGTACTTTCCGCATAATTTTGCTAGTCCCATATTTGTCGCTTTTATCATCTTGCACAGACAAGCACAAGTACGAAGGAACGATTAATAGCACTGTGATGTCGATGTGATTTATTTTTTAAAATCCTCTGGACAAGAGAGTGCTATCGGCCGCTATAATCGAAACTTATTGAGCGCCAGTTAATTTCGATTTTCACAAATCTTGCTTGATTATTGTTGGTATATTTAGATTTTTTAAGCTTTAATTATTATTCTCGACTGCAATCCTTTTGTTTCGAGAATATTACTTTGGTCTTCTATCATTTGAATCTTTAAAACCTTTCTTTACAACATTTTTCGCTTGCATGCAGAATATTTTTGATTTCGATAGCAACATTTTCTGGTCTTTGGTGATCTGAATGTTTACCAGTGGTTCATCATTGACTGCATAAATTGTCTAAGCCGTTTTCTTCAATAATTTTGTCACCTCGCATTAGGCGATTGCACTTTTTAATCAACGGGTAAATTATTTTGGTTCATACTCGATTTTGTAGTTTGATTTGATTAGCACTATCCACGAATGGAATCCGCAAATATTAAGCACTTAAATTGATCAACATTCAACATACTGAGATTGAATTTGACATTATATTTGGAACTTCTACGCAGGTTGCTTACAGGCGAAGGAAAAAAGGTGAGAAAACCCAAGAGGAATTTGATTGGTTATGCAGGATGATGTGTGATATCGATGGATGGAATATCGCGAAGGGTTTTACTGACAATGACATTTATTTAAATGTTGAGATTATGAAGTTGAAATAATGATAACAATGAAGAAATACGAAAAACAGTAGTTCAGAGTATACACATTAACAAAGGCTTATATATATATATATATTTGAGCGCCAGTTAATTTCGATTTTCACAAATCTTGCTTGATTATTGTTGGTATATTTAGATTTTTTAAGCTTTAATTATTATTCTCGACTGGAATCCTTTTGTTTCGAGAATATTACTTTGGTCTTCTATCATTTGAATCTTTAAAACCTTTCTTTACAACATTTTTCGCTTGCATGCAGAATATTTTTGATTTCGATAGCAACATTTATATATCTGTATGGAAAAGCCTTAAGGACAAGATACTCTGGAATTGATGGAATGCTACTATAGCAATAAACCTAATGAAAGGAAAAAATGAAGATGGAAAATGATCTACATCCACATTCTGAGAAAAGAAACATCTTACTCAATGCTTCAATATAGAAAATGAAAAAGAAAAAATGATCTATCACCAAGATTACTTGAAAGAAAAGGGAGGGAACGTGAACTGGGAAGCTGAAAATTTCCAACTTCCAATATCTTCATTTCGTTATGCCTTTCAGTATTTGCTGTTTTCGTGCTTGTATTGTGCCACTACTTGTTGAATAGTTTCTGAGAATTCGTACAGCACCTTGAGTCCTGTCCTGTTCTGATGTTATAGGATTCCTTCTACAGATCTGGTATTTAGTGTGGTGCTTAGTATTTTTTTGTGGTGCTATGATCAATGCCGCAGTGCTGCTTTTTAATCTTTCAATCATCATAGGATTTCTCAATATCAATTACCTCAGCTGTCTATCGATGCTATGATCTTGCTTTGCCATGGCATTCATTTGATCTTTCAGGTGTTTTCCATAGTCCGAATTCTTGATGAACATATTTAGGATCTTGTTGACTTTGTATTCATTGAAAAGTAAAGCAGAATCATGAATCATGAATAAACTGTACAATTTAATGAAGTACCATTATAAACAATATAATTGAAGATGCGAATAGAGTCCTCGCAAT